CTGATCTACTGGGATTTTCACGCACAACCATCTCTAGGGTTTACAGAGAATGGTCCGAAAAAGAAAAAATATCCAGTGAGCGGCAGTTCTGTGGGCGGAAATGCCTTGTTGATGCCAGAGGTCAGAGGAGAATGGCCAGACTGGTTTGAGCTGATAGAAAGGCAACAGTGACTCAAATAACAACCCGTTACAACCAAGGTAGGCAGAAGAGCATCTCTGAACGCACAGTACGTCGAACTTTGAGGCAGATGGGCTACAGCAGCAGAAGACCACACCGGGTGCCACTCCTTTCAGCTAAGAACAGGAAACTGAGGCTACAATTTGCACAAGCTCATCGAAATTGGACAATAGAAGATTGGAAAAACGTTGCCTGGTCTGATGAGTCTCGATTTCTGCTGCGACATTCGGATGGTAGGGTCAGAATTTGGCGTCAACAACATGAAAGCATGGATCCATCCTGCCTTGTATCAACGGTTCAGGCTGGTGGTGGTGGTGTCATGGTGTGGGGAATAATTTCTTGGCACTCTTTGGGCCCCTTGGTACCAATTGAGCATCGTTGCAACGCCACAGCCTACCTGAGTATTGTTGCTGACCATGTCCATCCCTTTATGACCACAATGTACCCAACTTCTGATGGCTACTTTCAGCAGGATAATGCGCCATGTCATAAAGCTGGAATTATCTCAGACTGGTTTCTTGAACATGACAATGAGTTCACTGTACTCAAATGGCCTCCACAGTCACCAGATCTCAATCAAATAGAGCATCTTTGGGATGTGGTGGAACGGGAGATTAGCATCATGGATGTGCAGCCGACAAATCTGCGGCAACTGTGTGATGCCATCATGTCAATATGGACCAAGCTCTCTGAGGAATGCTTCCAGCACCTTGTTGAATCTATGCCACGAAGAATTGAGGCAGTTCTGAAGGCAAAAGGGGTCCAACCCGTTACTAGCATGGTGTACCTAATAAAGTGGCCGGTGAGTGTATTTTTCTGTTATGTAGATGACATTTGCTTTTGTTGATCACATGGGGCATCAGGATTAATACAGTCTCTATTTGATCATGTGGAGAAAATCCAATATAAGGTTTTTAAATAAAAAAATAAAACAAAATAAGTTTTTACATAATCAGCTCCCATTGACTTAAATATGATTTATAATCCTATAAAAGTCAAAACTCATAATTTCAGTAACTTTAACACCAAACATTTCGACTTTCTGCTTTGACAGGACTTAGAGCAGACACATGTCTGATGGCTAAACAAATCCACAAGATGGCAGTATACAGTACATTACTACACGACTTCTGCAGCGTGACCTACAGTGTATGTGAGCCAGTCAGGCCAGCAACGTGATGAATGACCGTAGGCCTGATGATTGAAAACAATACAATATAAAAAAAAGTCAGCTTTCTTTTTCTAATGTTCTTGATGGGGTCAGAACAGTTTGTAGGGACTTAGGTGAGGGGTCCAAGGCACCGACAGAGACCACGTTTAGAAACTTTACTATGAGCTGAAGGGGTGCCACTTTGATTTAGAGTAATTGCCAAGCTACCCTTGTGCAAGACACTATGCCTCCAGCTGCTCAGGTTTTTGCTCCATGTCCAGTCCCCTCACTTGGACATCTCTGCATTAGCACCTTGAATCCTGTCTACATATATTTAAGTGTTTGTGTAGCATGCTTTTATTCACTCCTGTGGTTACTCAAGAGGAGAAACTAAAGATTAAAACACATTAACCATTTTAAAACTGTTCTAATTTTGAGAACAAACCCAGAATAATTCATCATGTTTGTGTCATACCTGTTTCTAGCTTAGTCACTACAGATCTTAGTTAATGGTGCATTCAGTGAGATATGTATTACAATCAGCTCCTTAGACCCATAGCTGCATGCAATAGGCAGCCCATATTAATTAATAACAAATATAAGAGACATACTGACAGATCTAACACACACGCACACCCAGCACAGTGATGGTAAGTCCTGGTGAGTGTTGTCGTGTGAGAGTTTGGACGGTGCTATTTTGATGCCCTTTTAAGGTTTAAACCTCGACCTGAAGAGCAGCCTCTGCATAACTGGCATGCCAGACAATATGATAACCGAGGGCTCAACATGTACTTTTGTAAGAGGGGAGTAAGAGAGTGAAGGAAGGAGAAGAAGGAAGAGAAGCAGATAAGTTAAGAGGAGAGGGGTTTGATGAGTGTTTAGCTCTGAATACATGACAGACAGGAATGTGAAATGTCTCAGCGTTTTAAGAGATTTGACCTTCACTTTGTCCTTTGACTTTGACAACAAACAGGAAATATCAGCCAAAAACAGGAATAGTCTTCAGCTTAACTGTTTTGACGTTGAACCACAGAGAAAAGTGACTTTGCAAAAACCCATTTATGTAATCACTGTATTTTTAAAGTCCAACTTTTGTACCAGTTAATTGAATCTGAAACCATATCTTATTATTTCATGGACCTGTGTTGCAGTGCTTCATCAAAGTCAATGGGCGGATCCTAATACCTGATTGGTTGTCCAGCACATCAAGTCAAGACAGATTGACTCCAGATAATGGATTGATGCAGCCACTCATCGGTCAATATCTTGGTCAGAGAGTGCGGAAATAACTCAGAAATTTCCCTTTACTCTTCTGCTTTACACAGTACAAGGTCAGCTAGGTCTAAAACATCAATAACCAACTCCTGAGAAAGTTGGAGCATATCCTCCATATCCAATATGTTTTGAAAGACTTCCAGGATTCAGACCAAAGCAATAGATCATACTAGATCAGTATCAGTCCCGCCTACTGGCTTTGATGGGTGAGTTTGACAGATAAAAATAAATTCATGAAGCACTGCAACACAGGTCCATGAAATGATTAATTAAATTGTGGAATAATTTTATATGTTTTAACATTAAATGAACTGGTATTTTAATAAATTAATGACACATTTAATGACACATTTTTGTATTTAATTTCCATTTTAAAAATATCATGACACATTCAAGTATTCATTTCAAGATGTATGTATATATTTCAATCTGTCGCCTTTCCTCCTACATATGTGTCTATGGTTTATGTAAAAATGAGTTTCAACAAACTACTTTTGCATTAAACTTCTGTAAGATAAAGGAAGAGATTCTGCAATGATCTGAATCAGCAATAGTGACCAAACTTAACATTTCCTTACTTTACAGAAAAATGTTCTGCACTGTATGATGTCAATTAAAATTTAGTTACATGTGTCCGTGACTCATCTTAAAAAACACAATCATGTACATGAACACACAAGTTAAAGGTGGGGTAGGCAGGATCTGAGGAAGTGCCAGCTTTTGAATGTAAACTCTACCCCTCCCAACCAGTTTTCCCCTCAGCTCCTCCTCTCCCCTCAGTCTCTGCTCCAGCAAGCCCCGCCCACAAACAGATGCTCCTGCTCGCTCGTATCGTTCCAATTCATTTCAGATATAATGTAGATACTTCAGAGAATTACAAATTGGGCCCAGTCAACGTGAAAGTAAACAGCATTGGTGCTACTGTAGATGCCAACAGACTACCAGCAAACACAATGTTTGCAGGACTTCTACAACCAGGATAAAGTGACATAGTCAAGGACCCGAGGTCAACAGTTTAGTGGCGCTATATTGTTATATTACCAAATATCATCAATGACTAATAGCTATTGACTGATATTAACAGCTTTTTTTTTTTTGTAAATACACCATAAAGAAAGATGCTTCTTTAACGGATTCCTGCCTACCCCACCTTTAACACTGGCTGCCAAAAAACAGTTTTTCTGACTGCATTTCTCATGTGCGCTATCATTCACAATTAGATGGGGTGGTTTTCTCCAAAACATGTGTTTGTTGGGGTAACAAATGAAAGGAATACAGATCTATTTAATACTGCCTCTCTTTATTTAAGACTCGATGCATGAGTTCCCACATAAAAAATAACTTGAGCCTTTTACTAATAGTACCAAGTCTTTTGTTTTATTATGTGTGTGTCTGTCTCTGTTGTGTCTTTCAGAATTCAGCTCCAAACTGTAACATTTCCATCAAGTTCACCTGCAGCCGGGATCTGATCAGTGCAGCTCATTTTCAGGTATGTAATGGAAAGAACTTGAATACAACCTTTTACAAGATTGCACTCATTTCCTCCGTCCTGCAGCATCGACAGAGAGGCCGTCTTGTTTGTTTGTTTGTTTGGTTGGTTGGTTTTTGAATTGTAATAATAAAGTACCCTTCATTGCGATACGTCTCTTGAATATAACACTTGTCCCGTTGAGGGTTGGAGGACACTGCAGCTGACTGATGGAGGAACAATGGAGTTTTTATTCGAAACCATACTGTGGGAGTTTTAAGTGTCCTTCCTGCCTCTTTAAATAAATCCCTCTCCAGTCTCGAAGGAGAAAGGTTGCTCCCAGGATAGCAGGCAGAACGAGCAGGTTGGCCGCTCCTTTCATTATACTCTAACTCCCCTCAGGCTCTCTTTCCCTTCAATCCTTTTGCTGTCTCCTGTTTCCTATCCTGTGATCTCCTCTTGGCGATCTCATTTTTGCTTCCTTTTTCATCTCTTATGTCAGGAGTCGGAGGGAGCACTCTTACTACAAACCTTTGGATTTCACTCTTGCATTGACAGCACTACCTGCACATTCATACATGCAAAGTGACCGCTCTTCCTCCATCTCCGTCTAACACACTCACATACATACACGCTAACATGCTAACACCCATCCCCTCCTGCCGGCTGAGCAGGGAGACGCAGGAGCGGCAGCAGCAGCTGCTCTGACACATCCTGGCGTGACCAACACACTGGTAAGGCAGGAGAAGAAGAAGAAGAAGAAGGAGGAGGAGGAGAAGATCAGGAGGAGGGAGGGAGGAGGAGGAGTGGAGGAAGAGAGAGAAAGGGAGGACATAACTCTGTCAAGAGGACACAGGAGGACGGGAGAAGAAAAGGAGGACAAGGAAGAGGAGTAGGTAAGGAGAGCAGGGGAGGACGGTGTTGCAGCCATGTCAGACACACCTTTGCAGAGCAACGGCACCGCAACGGCACCGTGAGTGTGATTTTATCTTGATATTTCTGTCCCTATCGTTTCCTCCATCCTTCCTCTTTTTCCCTGCATCTCTCCACCCTGCTCTTCCCTCCATCTGACAGGCTCGGGTTGTCATGGGAACGGGAGCTCAGTCATGGTGAGGCTGCTGCTCAGTCATGACTGGCGAGGAGACACGCGGTACACAGCGTACACTCCTCCCTCTCCTCTCTTTCCTCTCTTTCCTCTCCTTCTTTCCCCTCTGGTTTTGACTCTCTCTAATCCTCACACCTCACCACACATTTACCCGCCATCTCTGCACTTTCTGGCTCTACTGCCCCTTTTTCCATCACTGCTTCTCTTTGATTCTCCTACTTTTCCTTTTTTTTTTTCTTCTTCTTCAAACCAGTCCAGCAATCCCTCTTTTTCGCCTCATTCAAACTCCTCTTTTTCTTGAAATGTTATGTGTGGCTGTGTCTCAGTAAGCATCTAATATGGCATGTTTTAGAATAGCCGGTGTGGAGGCTGCAGGCTTAGTCCAGCCTCTGTGTGTCAGCATTGTCCGCCATGCTGCTGCAGACCTCTTCTTTCTGTGTGGGATTTGCGGCTCTGTGTTTGCATGCATGTCCGTGCTAACATGAGAAGAAAGAAACATTTTGACATGAAGGGACATACTGAATGAGACTTTTTGCTTTTTTTGTTTTTTGTCATGGTTGAATATTTACAGATGAAAAAAAGATCTAAACATGAATTCATGACTAAATAGGCTAATTAGTATTCATGAAACAGCAGCAGGACAATTATCGAGCGAACGCTGACGATGTGTGAAGGAATTGTGTAACTTTGGCAGCTTTTGGTTTGAAAATCACTACGAGTTGTCAAGCCTTGGATGATGTGTCCCAGGAGTACTAAAGACTCCTAACATCAGCACATTTCAACAGCCCAGCTTCTAGTCTGGAGAAAGATTCAGAGCATTCAAAATAGCCAGTAAATAAATAAATAAATAAAAGATTGTTTTGCACAAAACATTTGTGAGATGATGAAATCCAACAAGTTGAACAAAGTTTTATTTGTGTGTTTGTGTGTGTGTGTATTATTTTCAAAAGTCCCACAACATTTACCAATATAAATCTCTTTTGAGCAAAGTTATGAGGAATTTTAAGACTTTGATAGTTTCAAATGAGGGGGAGGCCTTCTGCGTAAGTTGTGAAAATGTCTAAATAGGGCTCTAACTTGCTCCACAGCAGATAAACAGTCATAATCAGACTGATCTGAATCATGCCTCACAATGTGACAGTCTAGGGTCTCCGTTACTGTATTGTGCGTTTCATAATGGGCCACACATTTTCAAGGGGGGACAGGTCTGAGCTGCAGACAGGCCATTCCAGTACCCACAGTCTTTTATAGTTAGTCATGCCATGGGCACCAACATACGCCCAGACCATTATAGATGCTGGCTTTGAACTTTGACCTGATCAAAGTCTGAATGGTCCAACACTGGCAGTGTTTCTGGCTGTTGTTGATATCTGTCTTTGTCTTTGCATGGTAGAGTTTGAACTTGTATATGTAGAGATGATCAGTGTTAACTGAAAATGGTTTTCTAAAGTCCTCTTGAGCCCACATGGTAAAGTCCTTTACAGAGTGATGTAGGTTTTTAATGCAGGGCTGCCTGAGGGAAATCCAGTCCTGTTTTCATCCTTGCTGCTTATGTGCAGAGATTTCTCTAGATTCTCTGAACCTTTTGATGATATTATGGACTGTAGATGATCAAGTCCTTAAATTCCTGCAGTTTTACATTGAGAAACATTGTTCTTACACTGTTGGACTATTTGCTCACACAGTTGTCCACAAAGTGGTGAACCTTGCCCCATCCTTTTTTATGTGCAACTGAGCCTTTCAGGGATGCTCCTTTTATACCCAATCAGGACACTCACTTGTTTCCAGTGAACCTGTTCACCTGTGGAATGATCCAATCCAAGTCCTCAATTTCCCCTTTTTTTAGTTCAGTGGTTCTCAAGTCCAGTCCTCGAGGCCCACCTGATTCAAAGACACACATGATTCAAATGATTACCTCGTTATTAAGCCATTACAGAGCTTGATAACGAGCTGATCATTTGAATCAGGTGTGTTGAAGCAGGGAAACATCCAAAACATGCAGGAGAGTGGGCCTCGAGGACTGGACTTGAGAACCTCTGTTTTAGTTGATTCTGTCCAAACTTTTCTAGAACGTTTTGCAGCATCAAATTCTCATTGAGTGAATACTTAAAAAGATCAAATTCTGTATTTAAGTAAATGTAGGTTAAAAAGAATTTTCAAATCATTTTATTCTGTTTTTATTTTTTATTCACCTTTTACACAACATCCAAACTTCATGTGCACAAGGAACTGAAAAAAAGGAGTGGTATGTTCAACCGTCAAAAGATCCAAAGAGAAGATGTATCTGTAAAAGTCTTGGTCACCTGTTGTAAAATGCTGTGAAATTCCACAAAAGCTACACACTTCTATTGATGGTTCGTGTACCTGCTCCTGGCCAATCAGATTTCACTTCCATGCCGACTGGAAACACCCCTGAATACAGAGATACAAAGGCTAATCTTCAATCATGATCATGTTATCCAGTTTATTTTCACTAAATCTCTATGATTTGAAAGTAAAAGGGTTAAATTGATCCATCTTTTTGCATCTCGACTTGCTACACTAAGCTGAAGTGGTTGTTGAGGGAAGTACAGACAGTGATAGAGTGGTGAGGAACGGAGAGTGGGAGTTGTTCTTTAACATTCAAAGTGTTGTAGGTGTACTTGTGTTCCACTGAAGCTACTAAAAGAGAGCAAAAATTCAAATAGCTATGAATGTGCTTGTCTTTCTTCCATGTGCATTTGATGGTTGTGTCCTTGAATCTTAGAGAGGCTGATCAGCTCAAGAAAGTCTTCAGACTTAATTGGTGGATGTTCAACTTTCCTGAGACACATCTGTCTGTTTCAAGGAACTTAACAACACTTCCGCTCCAAAACCGAAACAGCCTAAAATCCCTGCAGATGTAGTAGATTACTAGTTTGCTAGTTTGAGTGACAACCAACTTGTTACTCTGCAGCCTGACAACAAGCTCAGAGTCTGAATCAGCTGTTGACTGACACTTTGAGTGACAGGTGGGAGTGAATTTTTTATCCTCTTTCTATCAGAGCCGCACCCATGAAGCTGCAGAGACGGTGCAGCGAGGCGTAAAGCAGACATGCCTCACTGGTGCATCAATAGTTAATGGTATATTTGTGAAAATTAGACAGCGCTGTCGTGATGCACTAAGTCTCCTACCTTCTGTCCCTGCTCAGCTCTGTCTGCTGTGAGTCCATTTCTAATCATTACACACAGTATGCTCTGTGGGTGGTCCACTGATTCAGCAAAGAAATGAAATAGTATTTGTGCTCATGGTGAGCGTAGACGCCACGACGGCAGATGGTCCATTCCCTGTTGCTGTCTATTGCACTCCCTGGGAAGTGTGTCAGGGGACAGACTTATTAGTGAGTCACTGAGTTCAGCATATTCAGATTGACTGAGTGGACACCTTGCAGAGGCATTAAAATGACCATTTCAGATGTTGACATTATCAGCAGGGATACAGTTGTTAGATGTGTTATGAAAAACATTTTGATGGCAAACTTAAACTTAAGATCAAAACATCTGCTTATGTGTGACTTAAAGACTGTATATAGAATGGACGTCGTCTGCCTCCTCACTGGGTGAAGCCACTCTGAGAACAGCACCCTCTGGTGACGGACTGCAGTATAGGTCATAAATCCCACCTCCTCCAGCAATCCCTATGGAGCTGTGGACAAACTTTAGAAATTAATCACACAGAATATAAGTTTTTCTCCCCCCCTGGTTGCGATGTTGACATGTAGTGACATGTAGTGACTACAAGCCTGGTTTGTGCTCAAGTCCTCTTTTTTCTGTGCAGCTCTATTTCTAAAAGTTATCAGGGGGTTCATGTTCCCTATGATTGACACTTGATATAGCCAATGGGCTTACAAAGAATGTGTAACTCACCAGGGGGGATACGCTGTTTTAGCCGAGCGTCATCACAGCGACTCTCTATTACTTTCCTGCAAAATGCATACAACACTACTGTGTAATGTTGGTTTCAGGAAGTGGAGAAAAAAACCTGGAATTACCGGGAGAGCTTTTCGGCTTCAAATACGTATACTTGTGAAAGGCAGAACCAAGTTGTCAATAGTATATACAGTCTATGGTATGACCCTAGAGCATGGTGGAGTATTTTCTACTTTCTAAAAATAGGACGAAAAAGGGCAGAGTATAGAACAACAATCTTATGGTAAAGCACATGGTACATTTTGAGCTCCTCACGGTATCAGGTGAAAAAAAGGATGCATCTCTTCTAAAATGTATCTCAAAACAAATATTGTTTGAATATGAATGGCCTTAATTGAACTATTCACCAGGGATGTCACAATGTCAGATTTTTACCTCGTGAGTTTTACAGCCCCAAAAATTTCATAATAATATCACAACAGAGGCGAGACAGGAGTGAAGTCACGTACAAACTCTACAAAGAAATGCAACTGACTCACTTACACGTCATCTTTTTAGTCTTCTTCTGCGTGTGATTGTGTGTTACCAGTGTCCTCAGAGACACGAAAACTAAAACCACAAAACTCCCAGACCAACAGGGGAAATTTTTGTAGGTGTGGACAGAGCACTTTACTTTCATCTGTGGTCTCCTCTATGTATGTCCAATAAAATACTTATCAGTCATCAGTAATGCTGTAGCCTCACTGTGTGTAAATCACCACAGCAGTCTTAGTGTGGCTGTGCGGACTGAAAACACACAGTCTTATCAGTCAGAAAAAAAAGGAAGTGCTGTGATCTGAGTGTTTGCTTTGAGGCAGTGATTTACAAACCCGAGCCAGCGCCCACTTTTTTTTTTTTTTTTTTTTTTTGCATTGACAAGAAGCAAATTTGAGACACAAATTTATGTGTTTGACAGCTTTTATAGTGAAAAGAGGATGTACCGAGCAGCAGGTGGGAAATGTAATGCCCTGAGTAGCTCAGAGAGGCTCCTGGAAATGAATTTTAGATTTTCAAATGCTTGTGAGACAATGTTTTAGCCTGTAAAACTTGAACCGTGAAATAATCATCAGAAAATTTTGAAAGTGGACCCTTTATTAGGTCTTCTGACATATAATGTAAAGAAAAAAATATAAGTCCAACTTTTTTTTTTTTTGAATAGGAGATTTGCATAAAAAATTACCTTACATACCTGCTGTATCTAATCTGATCAACACAGTTCAACACCTGATTGTATACATTCGGTTTTTCAGGAAAAAATCATCACAGTGAGGATGTAGAGCTCTGAAAAACTCCTAAATTCTTTTTGATACAAAGGGTGACATAGGGTTAATTTCACTGTGTGTCACAGATGTGAGCAAAACAAACACAGTCTGACCTCCTTCAGTGGTGTATAAAATATGAATGAGATCAAGGTCTGGCACTCCCAGAAATATGTCGCTTTGAGGGTCTTATATGTCAGTTTAAGGTACTTATTTTCTCTATAAACTCACTCCCATGGGCACACACACACAGGGAGAAAACTTGGTCTGCTGCAGAAGCCAGTGTGAAACATACAACATGTGTTCCTGTACATGTTTAAGTTATTTTGGGAAGAACTGCGATGTTGGTGAACCAAGCTCAGGAACGGCAGGCAAAGGCACACGCTCGTAAATGATTTTCTGACATACTTTCTGTGTCCATATTCGCTCATTCCCTCTGCCTCCTACTCTCTTCACATGTTATTTTATTTCTGCGTCTGTGTGTGAGTGTGAGTGTGTGTATTTTCCTGCCCGTGGTTCCACATCTGGAGGCTATTACCTCTGGGCTCTGGGATTGGGAAGAGGCGGAGCTGGGCTAGCTGTGCAGTGAGGTCATTGCGTCGTCGTGGCGATGCAGAGGAACAATGATGCTGTTGTCTTTAACAACGACGCACCAACGTAGCTAACACCAGAATTACAAGGGTAGGGGGGAGGAGAGTTGGATGCATGCATCTGAGGGAGAAAGACTTTAAGAAATAGAAGGGGGGAGAATAGTTGGATAAAACGGAAATGCCAAAAATTACAATGATCAAAGAATAGTGCATCATCTATAATAACAGTGTGAGCAGCCAGCATAATAATATGATGTGTGTAAACGCAGGTCAAACAGAAACACAGAGGCCAGAAGTCTTGGACTGCTGCAGAGCTGAGTGTGGTGTCTTGATATAAACTGTATTTCACGGAGACTCCAGACAGGTCCTGGTCTATGACCTCCATAAAACCACATTAGAGATGAAGCAATAGGTCTTAATGAGGGTGTGTCCCAGAGCAGAAAAGGACAGATTTTATGGAGCATTTTGATGTGGAGCCTCAAACAGGTCTGTGTTACAGTTTTAACAAAATCTGTCTTTGGAACATTTTACTTCATTATTCTTCATGCACTTCACATGCACTCGGGGAAACAACTCTGACTCCTAATATCCCCACTGAAACAAAAGGAAGATACATACTGACTTGTGCACAGAGTGAAACCATTCGTCCTGTAAATTTATGTAACTCAAAACTGAATTTTGAAGCAGCTGCAATAAAACAAGCTATAAACACAATGTGGGCATTCCTGCCTGCAGTCACAATACACTATAACCACTCGTTTAAAATTCAGTCTGTAAGCTTCCCTCTCTTTCTCTGATCTCAGAGTATCATGTTCCCCTGGTAGTTGCATTCGTCTCTCTGCATGCTGGGCATGTAGAGCGGGTTGTCAGGGTGGATTTCAGTGATATCCTATGCTGTTTAATTTTGATACCAAAGAGATCATGTCCAATCTCAAAACACCAATCTCTTCAACATTTTTCTCACAAACTTTATCGAGTTTTTTTTTTTTCTTGTGTTGGTTCATTTTGTTGATGACTCTCTGTGGATCCAGCCTCATCCTTCTTATTTTACGTAGATTAACTCACTCCTGATTGTAACACGATTGTCCTCTGTTTTTGGGCCTGTTCAGGGGAGTTTATAAAATCCTCCAAATGTCTGGGGCTTTGTATGGAAGTATTGAGTTAGTGTAGCGTGGACTAACTGAGTTAGAAGCGCATAAAAACACTCGACCCGACCTGAAATACCCTCAAAATTTTGTGTGCGACTCCGCCCCGCATGATAGTATCCTTTTTTTAGGGATTCAGAATATGGTCACCCTATCTTAGTCATGGTCTGCCATTCTCCTGAGAGTGCTGATGGGTAAATAAGTATACTATTAGATTATACAAAAGCTCTTTTACATCACAGTTTCTCTGTTTCTTCATCGTCCTGTTTATTTTATTTTACAAAAAAGAAGAAGAAAAAAAGAATGACTCAGACTTGGATGACATTCGCCAACAAAGGCTTGTAAAAGCAGCATATGACACACATTTTATTACCAAGTTTGGGAATTAGATTTGGATTTTGTCTTAATATTGAATTTGTAAGAATAGAATTGGAACCAAAATATTCTTTTTTTTATTGCCACGCGAAGACGTGTCGTAAATCTTGGAGAGCAGCACCCCTTATTGAGGATTCTTGGACTTGGTTATGAACATTGGTTAATCGGTTTTTAATAGATGAATGTGTTATTTGATTTTTAAAGACTCTTTTGCATCCTTAAACAACAAAATCCAACGTAACCTTCAATCTTTAACTGCTCACAAGCAAATAAGGAAGTTATAGCTAGTGCCGTCTTTGATTTATCCAAGTGTTGCAGCTGCTCTGTGACTCTACGGGACAGATACTCTCCAGCTGCAGTTATTTACTGCATACTTCTCCCGCAGTAATGCTGAGGCTGTTATGTCTGCATGCGCTTGTGTGTGTGTGTGTGTGTTTCTCTGTGTTTGTGTGTGTGTGTGTTACATGCTTCTGTATTCCCTGAAGAGCTGTCCAGTCCTGCTGCTGTTTCTCCTTATAAGGACGTTTACTCGTGGAAGGAGGGATGCAGAAAAAGAAAGAGAGAGGAGAGAAAATGTAGGCTGGAAACAAGGAGACGAAAGTGGGGACAGGTGCGATAGGGGACATTGAAAGGAGGAGATAAGGATTAGGAGGATGAGAAGAAAGAAAGGGGGTCAGGAAGAAGACAGGAAATGTGGATGCAAAAAAGGGAAAGTGGAAAAGGGAGGAAAGAGTATCAGAGGAGAAAGTAAGAGACAAGGGATCAGGAAAGGTAATATGGGATGTTAGGAAATAAGGTGAAGGGTGTAGGAGATAAGCAGAGGAAGAACTATAACTGAGTAAAAGTTCAAATAATGGGCACAGGCAAAAGTGACCCATTTTTACAAATCTTATATTTGTGTGTGTTTGTGTGCACCTCCTTGTGTTTCTGCTGTGCCTTTTAAGGAGTGGTTTTGCACCTTTTACAAAGGTTTTCATCCGCACACATCTTTGTCAGGATGTGTCACAGTTGTCCCTTTATTCTGTCCTATTCCTGTTGTTTTTTAAAGTAGGAGGCTTCTATTGATGTCACTTTGAGAGGCGCTGGAATAACTGTTCGACCAGAGTGACCAAAATAGATCCTGAAGAGTCAGCTGCAGGATTGTTTGTGTGTGGGCAACACAACTGCTTGTGGTGGTTTCATACAATTGTAGAAAAGATCGCTTCATGACGGTTTTGTCTCCTGTTAAAAGTGAGAGAAATATAAAGCAGGATTCCTCCCATGGAAAATGTAACGTCTTGAGTGTGTCTTTAACCCTGCAGCACAGAGGTGACCTCAGAGAAGCTGCCAGCGACCAAACCAGCACATAGTTTCAACAGTAGCTGAGAAAAGAGGTCCATATTTGAAAATCAAAGACCTCTTCAAAGAGTTGGCCTTAAACCTGCAGTAGGTTGCATTATTGAATTAACATTCGGGGTTACAATGACTAATGTTTATTCATGGTACACCACGCCAGTGTTGTGCAACTTCAGATTAAAAATGGAGTAACTGGAAGTCTAGTTCACAAAGACGGAGATGAATTTGTAATGCCTGTAGGTTATAATTTTAAAATTTGAGCAAAGTTTAAATTGCAAAGAGTGAAATTGTTCCCCCTTCTTATTTTAGCTGCATTTTGTAACCCTTGTTCAGCAGAGCTTCCCTCATGTCCATTCTAAAGTCAATACTTTGGGCTACTGAGATGCTTGACCCAGAGTAACCTGGTTGACACGCTGCGCTACTAGTTTCTTACACTACTGTGAGTTTTTGATGATCAGTGAAAGTCCGGACACTGTTCCTCAGACGCAGCGAACAAAAATGTATTGCGATGAACATTACCAAAATCCGTTTTGCAATTGACATAGAGCAACAATGACTAAACAAAGAAAACACTGGCATTTAGCGCCACAGCGGTCAAAAACCAGTCACGTAGCTACCTCTATGCCTGAGCCCCAGATAACAGGACAGCGACATCTATGGCATACAAAGTGAACTGCAACTCATAATATGGTATCACATCAACATATTAGGCTCCTACAGGTGGCTTTTATTGTTTTTCATTATGACAGTCTATCCAGGAAAAAACAATTGTTTTTCAGGGCAGATGGTTTAAAACATTGACTGTATATAGAATGGACACCGTCTGCCTCCTCGCTGGGTGAAGCCACTCCGAGAACAGCACCCTCTAGTGATGGGCTGCAGTATAGGTCATAAATCCCGCCTCCTCCAGCAATACCTATGGAGCTGTGGACAAACCTTAGAAATTTATTACACAGAATATAAATTTCTCTCCCCCGCTGTTTGAGCCGAGCGTCATCACAGCGACTCTCCCACCGAATGCGTACAATGCTACTGCGCACTGTTGGTTTCAGGAAGTGGAGAAAAAACGCAGAAATACAGAGAGCTTTTCAGCTTGAAATCCATATACTGGCTGAAGGCGGAACCAAGTTGTCCATCGTTTATACAGTCTATGGTTCAAAAACTCTGCTTGATTCAGCTGATTAGTGTTTACAATGTGTTGTCTGACTCGACCAAAAATTTGAACAAGATTAAAAAAATACATGAAAACACACATTCATTTAAAGTTAGTTGACTGTTTATTCATCCAAATGACTGATTGGCCCTGGAGTAATTGTGATGCGCTGATTTGTGGAGGTGACCAAAAACTGAGCGTGTAAATCTCAAAACGGGACAGCATAGATAAAAGCTTTTGTTTTAAGTGACTGAAGCAGGAAAGAAGAACAAGATAAAAAAATAGTCATAGTTTTCAGCTGTTAATGATTCATCACCCTCAGTCCTGGTCCGTGCGTCCAAATATGACAAATTACTCCTGTGCTTCCCTTTTCCTGACTTCTGCTTTTCTTTTTTTTTTTCTTCCTTTTTCTTTTTTCTCTCCTCCGTCTCTCACAGCTCCCTAACTTCATGTCATCACTTCTCTTTCTCGCTCTCTGTCCTTCCCCTCGTCTCTCCCTCTCAGCTGCTCCTCCCAGCTGTTTAATCACACATGGTCCATGCCTAAAAAAGAGAGAGAGAGAGAGAGAGGGAGGGAGGGAGAGAAGGAAGGAAGGAGGGGACAAATGGGAGGAGAGACAGAGCGCGCAAAAGAAAGAGTGGGTGATTGGGACGGAGAGAAAGAGAGAGAGAAAGTAGGAGCAGGCGAGCAGAGTGTGAGGCACATGGCCAGTGAATGAGAGATCTTTGCGTCCTCTCAGTGCGAGCTCCTTCTCCCTCTGTCTCTGGTTGGATTACTGCTGAGGAAGGACCTTGTCTGGATACTCCTCCTCCTCCTTCTCCTCCTCCGTCTCTTCCCTCTCTCTCCTCTACTACCCTATCTTCTTTTTTATCTCTTACTGAGGGACTCTTTCCCAGATCTCACGTCTCTTTCTCCTTTCACCCCCCTCTCCCCTTGCTTCCCCCTCAGGATGTCGTGTGAGGAGGCTCAGCTCCACAAAGAGAGGCTGCAGGCCTTGGCGGTAAGTCAGACTGAGTTCAAAATGTCTGTTTGTGCTCTTGTCATCTTCATCTGACCTTCTCTGTGTCTGTACTGCTGCCTGTTTGTCTGTCAGCTGTTAAAAACACGCAGGCTTTCATGGACACGTCTCACCGTGACTCCAGGTCTTTCTGACATTCACAGTTCAACATCACGCCAAACTGTCTGTTACGTCAGAGTTCTTGCTCCTCTGCTAGTTCCCCCTCTCTCTCTCTCTTTCAATCACTGTCATGCTCTCTCTACCTCTATCTCTAGCTGGTCACATTGTTCATTCATGATCCATTCAGGCCAGTCCAAACACATGCGTGAGGCAGGAAACGGTGTGCCTCGTAGTTCAAAACCAAAGTTCAAGTTTATTGAACTTGGACAAACAGAGCAGCAGTAACAGAAAAGGTGTTGTGCATCATGAGTTGGAGCTTGAATATGCAGCAGTAGTGGTCTGCCTCTGTGGTTTCATGATTCAGAAGACTTGGGACCTGGAATTTAAATCATCCAAATTATAAATGCAACTGATCTCTGCTGTGTATCGGCTTTTTTTGTGCATTATATTCAGTGGTTTTATGTTTCTGTTGTTGGGTTGTTTAATGTGTTGAGAGTCTGACTTCATAGCCTCCTACACCCATTTCTGTCACATGAGACAAAGTGATTTTTGTTGCACACACTGTAACCAGCTCTCTGTCCTGATCTGCAGCTGTTTTTGTCTCGTTCTTCATGTCAACTTCTTCCATGTTCTTTTTCTGGAAGGGAAACCAGAGCAGAGCGAAGCTGGTGGAAAATCAGATGTTTCCATGTTTCCTTTTCTCTTTCTTTCTTTCTTTCTTTCTTTCTTCTTGGCTGGATGTCTGAAGGTTTTCAGGTTTATATGCTTTCCAAGGTGGAACAATCTCAGCTGTTAGGTGGTCTGCTCTGCAGCATGTTTCGACGTATATTCTGTGATCAGCGAGGCAGCTGCTGAAGCTGCTGGTTGGACTTCAGAGCAACAGTTAGGCCTGGAGTCACTGCCTTGGACTAAATTTGGCGCCAGTGAGGAACCACAGCATACCACACACACTTAAGACGCACAGAAGCACAGGAATATACACACACACTCATTTGTAGTCACAAGTGTGTGTGTGTGTGTGTGTGTGTGTGGTGGGGGGGGACTATGGCAGCGGCAGATGGAGAAACTATTTTGGCCACGTTGATGATGAAGCCACAGCAGGCTGCATATGCTTGAACCTGAGAGGCGAATAATAGTGGAAAGAGAGCTTTGAGAGTTTGTTTGTTTGTTGGAGAGCGAACAGCGTTTCGGTTTTTGCATCACTCTTGCATGTGAGTCATCAAAACATTTAAAAAAATTGATTACTCGATCATGTAAATGAGTCTGTTTGTTTGGAGCACACGTCCAAAATAATCTTCATATTGCAAAAGTTGCAGAATATTGTGGGCAGCAGCAGCAGCAGACACTATCGACGCCGAGAGCTTTGACACGCATTCCAAGACAGTTCAGGTGATGAATGGAAGCAAATCAGCTGAGACAATTCGTCTACTTACAATGAACAACCGTCTTGTCTGGGTTGTATGTGTGTACAATAAATCAAAGACAATTGCAGCACTAATAGCTTTCGAGCTCTAACAGGCTCTTAAATAGACAAGAGCTACTATTACACTAACAGTGCTAACAAGTCTCTGATGGAGCGAAGCACTCTGTAGGCCTCAGACACAGCCAGACAGCCTGATCCAGTGTAAACCCAGTAGCTGGATACGGTTTCTTTGGACAGCTAATGAAAAAGGAGAAGGATTTTTTAAGACCCAACAATCAGAACGCAGACAGTTGAAACAAAGAAGCTAAAACTCAATAACAAAAGGTTTTATTTCTCCTTTCTCATCTCTAGCTGTTGAAGGGAGGTCTACAGTGGATACACACACTTACAGTGTCTTTGGCCTGCAGCTGACATGCTAATGATTCCATCAATAATTAATAACCTGAGATTTTACTGTCATCCCCATCACTGTCTGAACTCATCAATACTTTAGCAGGTCTTGGGCCAAATTTGAGGCTTATTTTAAAAACTGAGGCCAAAGGTCAAGCTTGTCAGCGCAGTGTAAACACACCACTTCAATTACCACAGGCTTTAATTAACACGGTGTAGAGTAAAAGAGTTCAAGATCTGTGCGGTAATTTCTTGATCAGGCCAAACAAAAAGATGACTGTCAGGTTGAAGATGACTGTCATTATAATGTTCATTTCCCATACAGACAGGTCTGTCTGCTGTGTGGCTCATGAATAAAGAATGGCACTAATGGCTGTGAATCACAAGGGCTTTTTGACAGGGGGACTTACTTTTCCATTCAATCATCACAGCTGCGGTGAGGTATTGTAGTGATAAGTCAAAGAGTACGAGCAGGATTTTTGAGTGTTTTTAATTCAAGTAACGCAGTTTCCTTAATTCCTTAATTTTTCACACATTGTAGACAAAAATAGATCCAAACTATCTGTAAATATTGTTTATCAAACTTAGGATGAATGCAACATGCCTGTTAGTTATATGGTTCGTCTGGATTATTGAACCCTGTGTATATACAGTGCTCAGCATAAATGAGTACACCCCATCAGAATTGTCAGAAAACCTTGAGTTTCCTTTCAAAATTAACATTTTCTATGTCAGACTATACAACAAAATACCCCTCCAAATGTAGGCCATTGGCTGCAAACAAGATTTTTTAAGTTGCATACAAAAAAGTATATTTTTCAATCTAAAATCAGGATGCAGAAATGAGTACATCCTAATCAAAGTTCTGGGAGCAAAGCTAAATTTTAGTTACCGTATCACCCTTATTTTCATCCTGTGATAAATAAAATGTTATGTTAAACTCAGCTTTGTCAAAACTATGGAGATTGTTCTTTTACTCATCTATATATTGAGTCATACATTACTTTTAATAGGGGTGTACCGTATGCACTTACAGTATCTATGCACAATTCTGTAAATTATTATTTTGTATTTTTGCTGCATTTTTGTTCCAATTGTTGCCAAAATGAACTTTACCAATTTTTTTTTGTTTTTTTTGTTTAATTATTATTATTTTTTTTTTTTGCTGCAGAGTGTGCCATCTAATTGAAATGTAGAGTATCTCTGAGTGGTTCATGTAGTATGTAATAATAACTAAGTGCGTGAATCATTCATCAACATAAAGTGTTGTTTAATCAGACTTAATTATTCAACTGGCTCATCTCTCTGCAACACATTCAGGCCGACAGTCTGATAGTGATTAAGACCTGTTAGCTGCAACCAGCTCAGGTTTCCATGGTTACTGATTGGTTTAGATGAGGAAACAGCTGTGATGTCATGTCGTTAAACCCAGGGCCGTACTTGGTATATTATTAACATATAATTATGGCGTTTTGGGAAGCAGCCTGATCACGGTTCTCCCCAAAACACTGATTACATATGTTTGCGAATGCACTGTATGTGTGTGCTTGTGTGTTTATGTGTATGTGTGCACTGAGTGTGTTCACCAGAGCCCAGCATGTGGTTTTGAGATTAACCAATGAGTGGTGAGGGCCTCATCTTTCTAATTAGATGTTGCCCATGTGGCCCACAGACCGCAGATGTTTTGGGTAAATACATATTCAGGTGTGCGTCTTTGCATGCACTCATCCCCTGAACTTCTGTGTGGTGTCTGTGATATGTTTACACAGATGACTTCAGCCCGTTGGACTCTTCCTCAACCCCCTACATACACACTCTCAAAAGCACACAAGGCCACAGATCGTCTGGGGCCAAGTCTGAGGGGAATTAGGAAACGGTGCATGAGGAGTGAGATGATGGCAGTGTGTTTAGATTTGCAGGGGGAAGATGGAGAATGAGAAGAGCTGCTGGCTGCAGGGGAGCGGAAATTTCTTATTGCAGAGAGATCAGTCTCAGCTCTGAAAGAAGATCTATGAGCTTAATACGTTTTATGAACAATCCTGGGAGACTCATACTAAGATATGACTTTATTTTAGTGACTGGATTAGACTACAGGTCGATGTCTTTGAGGTAATCTGTGAAATCTGGGGTTGTGATAGAAGCTGGTCAGTGCTCTGGATCCACTCAATGAGCGCTAACAGAGGGAAATGAGCTTTGTAGGGTGAAAGAGAGGGGGATGCTATATAACTAGACCTTGGCATGCGCTGAGATTTGTGGTTGTGGCATGCAGTGAAGGGCCAAGTAATGGGCTGCATTAAGGAGAGAGGTAAATAGAGTTGGGGGCTGGGCTGCCTGCAGGCCTTGTTAGTTTGTGCAGTTATCTTGCTCATGAGGTGACATGTTAGCAGTACTGATCCTCTGGAAACAGATGGGAATGTTATATTGATTGCCAAGGCTGTAAATTTTAACCCAAGTACAACTTTTTCCTCAAGCTTTTAGTCATTTCTACTCTCACATGTGATTCATTGGGCTTCTGGTTTTATAGAACTACACAGTGCTCCAAGTCCAACATACCTGTTGCTGAAATGTTACAGTGAGAGCCAACATTACTCTCATATGAAACTATCAAAACATTTTATCCACCTTTGAGAAAAGTAGAGTTCTTGCAGTTAACAAAATAGCAGTATGTAACACCCTAGCCATGCATTTTCTGTAATTATTTAATCCTTTCTTCCGGCTGCAAACTGTTGAAACAAAAGCAGCCTAAAATAACCGCTGTAAGAGATCGTTGATCCCTTTTATAAGTAATTTTCTCACAATGAAACATGGGTGAGTTAATTAGACACTTCCTCGTAATGGTTTTCACATGCTTTGTCTGGGATGAGTTTGAATCCAAATTTACAACCCTGGTTCAGTTTAGCCAAATAAAGACTTTCCCACACATATGACGGATGTTTGCCATCTTTAGGTTTGTGTGAAGTCGACATCCAAGTGAGGCTTATATGGTCCATTTGACTGTAAGTTGAAAAAGGGTTAGCTCTGCCACAATAAGACTCAACAGTCAGAGTATCCTGAGTCAGGCAGCATGTCAGTTTTAGTATATGTTGAGGTTTGACAGCTGGATATGATTACAGAATAGGCTAACTAAATTTGTGTCTAACCTTTTCATATTTGGCAGAGTGGGTGTTTCGAACTACCAACTTAGCAGACTGGATACTGTGGTGGCAGGGGTGGGTGGATAGGGGAGGCTTGGTTTCCAGACTTCAGCAGTTTGTAGGGGGGTGGGGGAGTCTGCTTGGGGCAGTCAGTCTGAGGAGGGGGTGTGTGTGATTTGTTGGGTTGCAGGGGGTCGGGGCACGCCAGGCATTACATGCCAGCTAAAATTAGCAGCAGCTGTCTTGGCCACGCTGGACATTCTGCCCTGTTTGTGTGTGTGTGTGTGTAAATGCCTTTGAGTGGGTGAGTTAGTGAGTGGGGTCAAAGTTTACAGGGACTTGAGAAAGGAAAGGCTGGAATGCGGCTCTAGTGGGCACTGCTGCTTTTGAAATAATGACGTTTGAGTTTTAATGTAAAGTAAACTACATAGAGAGAAACAACAGGGAAATACTTGAATGGTAATCCAAGCAGGTACTACTGTGAGTGGAACTATTTGTCTCATTACTCTCTAGTTTGCTGAGACCTGATTGTTTGTGTGTACACCCAAGTGCATGCAGAGGTATGTATTCTGCCCTCTGTACGGACATGATGAGTAAAAGCAACACCTGCTGCTATCACATGTCCTCAGCATGTAAGACACTCGAAGAATGTGCTAAAATGGTATTCATTGACACCTACACTGGCTAAAGAGCCACCAAGTTTTCATTCTGTTCACTGCAGACTTATCAAATTAGCATTGTCTTGGAGGACTAATAGGAAATTTGGCATTTCAACTATGCAAAGACACAGATTTTTTAAAATCTGTTTTATACTCATTGGTCTTTTAAAAATTTTCACAACTTTCTATGGACTGAGTAAAAATCAAAATCAGTAGGTGTAGGCCATACATCGTGTGAAAGCTACTATGGCGTTACAATTGGTTAGTCAAAGGCTTTAATAGGGCATTTTGGCACCATGTTCATTTCCATGAGCTAGAATTTTGTATTTGAAGATGTAAATACCTCTGGAAAAGAGTAAGAGGTGGCTAACAGTAAAGATGTGCAGACTGTGCATTTGTCTTGATTATGCACGAGTCAATGACCTTTTCAGCCATCTTTTTTTCTTAAAGAATGGCGGTTTATTTGAAGTGGAAGATGACTTGAAGAACAGTTACAGTCTGTTGAATGAGTGGACTTGACTTGCATTTGGGTTATAGATCTACTTTCAAAGTCTGAACAGGGTCTTTGCTCCAGGGTCAAAGATTAGTTTATGACAGACATCAAGCAGGTCATGTTACTTGACTTATTTTCATCATAGTATATCCATGTATCACTTCAACACAATCATGAATGTTAATTAAGTTAACTGAGGTGACAACTGGTTGACAGCTCGTGGCATCAACCTCTCAATCCCTGGGATCACTGCCCTGATCATGTATATAGTGACAGCTTGGCATGATCGAAATAGTTTTTAAAAAATATTCCCTCACATTAAGAAATGTACAACAGAAAATAATGCTGTTTTTTCATGCCAAGCTGTATCTTAATTCTGCCATTAATGAGAATTTTGTGATACAAAGCATTGTAAAATTCCCTTTTTGGTCCCTCCATGATGTGGTGATGGTTGCCTTTTGGTATCACTTAAACTTTAATACCATTACATTGAGATTTTTCTTGTGTGGTAAGTTTAGAGTAAAACCTGTGACATTTAAACTACTGGTCCTGTCCTGTAAGCATTCAGGTATGGCTGCCTGCTGAGCGGAAGATGATCTCCACCATGACATGTCTCTGCTGGGTGTGTTGGCATGTGCTAAATGTGACCCATCTGATCTGTAGCTCCTTTCTATTGACAATCTCAAAGTCAGCAGAATTTTAAATCATGTTACATCATCGATGTTACTGACGGGCCTGCGCCTTTACAGACAGCGTAGCTTCTGTGTATCAGTCAAGAAGAGTACTGTTTAAAGACAGTTGTATAAAATCACATGCTTGTCACAGTAGGTTGTGTTTTTTTTAAGGGGTCAACTGATTACAGTTTTTCAATGTCTGATGGCCAATACCAATTATGAGAGACAGCAGGTTGGCCGATATAATATGCCGATATCAGACTGTGCTTGTTTTTGTTGATTTTTTTTTTTTGTTTGTTTTTATACTGTTTTTTTTTTTTTACTAAATACATTAATTTTATTATGCTGAGCTTGAGAGAGCATTTTTATTAAAGAAATTTGAAAAAAATAAAATATAATATATTTTAAAATATTTGTAAAATTTGTAAAATATCTGCCAATATTTGTAAAATCTTGCCATAAAGGACATTTGGGTTTTTGTCTGCAATTTGAAATTGTTATTCCACACGATCTTTTTAAAGTCAATAAAAACAGAGGCCAGTAATTGTTTTTGATTCAATATATTAATGAGAGACAAGAAAATTGCATCTTTAATCAGACAAAGGATAATGGTGATATTGACCTTGTTAGAGTTGATCTCAGTATCATGATGATTATTTCAAAATGCCACTAAAGAATTTCTGCATATTTTGCAAGTCAAATTAGAAAGAAAGAAAGAAAGAAAAACATTTAAAAAATAAATAAATAAAAACTGATATTGTCTTGTACTCAAGATCACGAATGAAAGATAGACTCCTGTCAGTCATATGAGACTTCTTGAACCCTTGCCTCATTTCTGTCGAAATGTTCCTTGCCAATACTTCCATGCATTCCCCCTACTTGAGTTTTGTCCTCCTTTTTAAATTGTTTTGGGAACATTTAAAAACTGCAGGGGAACAATAATGACAACAAATCCTAAGAGGTTACAGTCACTTTCATAGCTTTTCCTGACAAGAGTAACAGGGAAGAAGAGTGAGAGTTTGTTGTGCTAAACACACGCTAGGACGTGTAATCAGATACTGTGCGCAATTTGTCTCTTTCTAAAAGTTTGACCATGATGAGAGGATCCTAATTTTGGATCAGTTTATCTTTAACAAATAAACACAGTTCAGTGTCTCAGAATCCACTTTTGATGGTGTCAGCAGTTGTGGTTAAAGTAATGTCCTCCTTAGGAAGACTGTTAGCAAAAAGCCAAGTGGGGCCAAACACTCAGTGAGTCAGAGTGTGGGAAGTCATGAGTGTGTCACCAAGAATGCCAACATATTTTCCTGAAGAGGAGGATGTGTTTTCTGGAGGAAGATTCAGTGAACAGTCTGGCTTTGGGTCTTTCTTTGGTCAATTCAACACGTATTTCAACTATATAATGAAACCTGTGTGTGCAAAGACAGTTTCAGGAGTGATTTGATTCAAAAGGGTCATTTTAAAATTGCCTCCATCCATATAAGCTTTTCTTAAACTGCGTGAGTTTTTAGGGTTTAAAGAACCTCCTTTGTATTTCTTGGAAATCTGTAAATCTAGATTTTTTGGAGGGGGTATTGCTTTTGTGAACTTTGGCACATCATCAGTAAATTCTTCGAAACCTCCTGTAATCCTCTGACTTATGATTTACTGGCCTGTTCAGTCTGTTACAGAATTATTTTTTTGTGCTTTGTTGCAGAAAAGTACATACAGTGTTGACTTTGACTTTTATAACTACCCCCCTCCCCCATGTTTGCGTCGTCATCCACATCCCTCCGCTCTGAGACCCCCACTGTGTTTCCTTTCGAAATGAATAAGGAGTCTGTCTATTGTCTGTCTTCAAGAGCCTCCGGGCTGTTTAGTAACCACCGATTTAACTTTATATTTCTACTATACAACAGTCTACTGTGCTTTAAATATAGCAAAAAAACACAGAGTATTTTGTGTCTGTACCATTTTGTGGAAACCAGCTGTAACTTTCCATAGTTTTTTTTTTTTAAGAGTAGAAACAGTGTTGTCTTATCTTCGTATCTGCAGGTACAAACCTGGACCTGTAACTATATTTGTTTTTGTGTGTGTGTTTTACCCATTCCTCGACCACATGTCCTTGACATCTGGTGGCCATTCCTCCGTTCGGCCCTCTGACGTTAACTCCACAAGCCATGGGAACTGCTGTGTGTAGGTTGATGTGGTGTGTGGAAATACATGTGTGTGACAGAGAGCGGGGTAGGGAGAGAGAAAAAGAGAGAGAGATGACCTCAGGTTTGGACCAGATGTTTCGTCATCTGTGTACAAGCTTTGTAATGTGTTCGCTCTGTGAGCCTCATGAAATCAGAAGTTCAATTTAACCTTTATGTGCGGTGGTTTTGTGGAGGATATGGTCTTTGTTTGGTCTTTATTTTACAGGAAGTTGTTGTGAATGAACTTTTTGTCAGATTTGGTGTTCCTATACATTGACCTCTGTACACACTGCTTTTATATCATGGTAACTTCGAATCATCATGTCCCATAAGAGTCACTAATCCACAGTCTTTTCTGGGAGTCTCTGAGCTCCATCATTCCTGCTGCTTCAGCTACACGCATCAGTCTCACCTCGATTTATCTCTTTATTCTGCAATGCAAGTACAACACTCATGTGGTTGAAGATGATCTCCCATGATGAGGCTCAGCCTTATCCCAGCTTTACATTGAGTCTTTGTAAATAGAGTCTAGACCATATTTTTTAAGCGTCTTGGGATAACACTTGTTGTGAATGGGCACTATATGTCACATCTCTCATTACCTGTTAAAAACTGCTTAGCCTAGCCTAGCATGCCCCACATATGGGGACCATGGTCGCTGCAGTGGTTTTGAGGCCAGGCCCCGACCATATGCTGCACGTCATCCCCCCTCTGTCTCCCACATTTCCTGTCTCTCTCCATTGTCTAAAAAACATTTTAAAAAATTGCTTTAGAGTATTAGATAAATACCCTCAATGACAAAATGGTACGGTTGCCTTTTCGTATGATCTTCAAACAAAAAGTTAACCCAAACAGTTTCTTGTTTGTCTTCATAAGATTTTGGTTAATTTCAGGATATTGGAGGGAGTGAAATGAAGGAATGAACTGCAGGTATTTCAGCTCCCTCCTTACTTGCAGATTTGATCCTTCCTTTGACTAAGATGGCTTTTACACATGCAGAAAACTTTGTGAAAGTTTCAGACAGAGTTCATTTTGAATCATCTGAATCATCCCTGCTGGTCATCTATTGAAATTTCAGAGTGAACTCAGGGTGACATGTAAACACATGACTTTTATATCTTTCAACTAGTTCAATCCCTGAGAAGTGACATGTAAAAGGATGAATAAGAATATGAGGTTCCTTTTCAAGACTCTGCTCCACCCTTTTTGATTTTCACTGCCCTTCATGCCCGTCTCTTCTTCGAAATCCTGTCCCTCATAACTCTTAGTCTAGATCTGTTTCTGTCTTCAAGATGCGGTCTTGTGTGCATCCACATTTTGGGGTTTTACCCTGTTGATATATTTAGCTAACTGAAAACATCCCCAGGAACGATCATCCTGTCCCAAATGAGAGAGAAAGAGAGAGAGAGAGAGAGACAGAGAGAGAGATAAAGCCACATACACATCCATGGTCTCTCATGCCCTTTGGCCTCAAACAAGCTTGTCCTGGGGTCCTCTCTGTTTATATTCCCATGCATATTCGTCATAGGAAATTCAAAGGCAGTGACTCCTCCCTGACCCAGTTTGGTTTAGATATATATTTCCTATTTCTAACCTTCTTGTCACACAGCCTCACCCTCTTATCATCAGCTGTCTTCATTTTTATGCAAAATTAAGTTTCGTCGACTCTAGAGTGAGTTCAGCCACAGTGCTTTCAAGCTCTGAGACCTAATCCTTCCCTTTTAGATAGCCTGTGTAGACCCTGACCCTCTGAACCTGTGATAAGCTCCGACCTCCGACCCCTCTAATACTCCACTTCCCTCCGTCATCTTTCTCTCCTTGGACTCAGTGAAGTGGATGTTTGCTGGCGCTTTAACGCAGGAATAACACATTATTTAGTTTTTTTTTCCATTTCTGTTTCTTTTTGTTAAATATAGTTAAAGGAACCTGAATTATCACTTCTTTGATAACATGAGGTGGAATTTCTCTCATTGGTTTACTTTATTGATTATCATATTAACCATCTCTGATCTTTCAATTTAAACTAAGTTAGACAGCCTCCCACATATATGAACATCCAGCGTCTGCTCAGCTTTGATTGTTCACATAAAAACCTCAAGTCCCAAAGGACTCTTTAATGCAATTGGTGTGTATAAACACTGAATGATTTAATCAATACAGCACTGTATATTACTGCTTCTACATACTCATCTTTTTCTCACTGTCTCTAACATTAAAAAGAACTAAAAATCTTATTTTTCAAAATGACATACAGGGAGGTATGATTTGTTTTTTTCTCATTTTCTTCTGATTTTTGTCTCCTAGGAGAAGCGAAAACGGCAAACAGAGATTGAAGACAAAAGAAGCCAGCTCGATGACCTGGTGCTACAAGTGCAGCATCTCAAGGTTGGTTTTTGTTTTGTTTGAGAGTCCGTTTGTGTGTCCATGTGTATTTCTGATACAGACTTCTAATGAGACTTTCAGCCCATTACTTATTCATAGAGGTGAGTTTCAGGGTTGAACAAAGTCAGAGTAAAAGTGAAGGTAAAGTAGCATTTAGGTTACAAACACAAGCAAGTGATTCAAAAACCAATGATGATCCCATGACGGCTTCACCAATGCACATGTTAAATCAAAGCAATCCATGAGTGTTTCTTTTTTAACAAAAGTTTTGCCTTGAGACGAAGCATCAGATGTACACCACTTTGCTTTCTCCATACGATACGATACACTTTATTGTCTTCTCAGGGAAATTTGTCTTGGACTCCCAGAGCTGCACAGATAAAGCTGCCAACTTATGACACAAAGTACTAGACCTAACAAAGACACAGTCACACACTGCACATACCCATATTGCACATATCCATTCTCCTTTTACACCCACTAGCAGGAGATTTTAGTCGCCCATATGCATGGGTAATTGTGTCGGGTGGACAGGTAGTGGTCCAACACCACTCTCAGAGCTCCTGGTGTGCAGGCCCGTTTGAGCAGTTTAGCCTAGCCAAGCAGGGCAGGCTTGGCTGTTTTCTTCTCTGCAGAAAAAACACTCAACTCCAAACACACATAAACATATCCCCTTAATAATCACTGCCAGCAGCTACTGGTAAGCCAAGATTTTGTTTCAAGCAAACATTGATTTGACGTTCAAATAGTGAGTACTGTGTAAACACTATACAAAATGCTGACAGATTGTGAGACTGAAGAGATGGATAGGTTTCAGTGATCAGATCCTCATGTGTTCCTCTTTGGCCTCACACACAAACTCAGAAAGTATAACTAACACTGTCTGGAGAGGACTAGCCAAAATCTTATACATGATGAAAATTGTAATCAAAATCTTCTTTCTTGATAAGGAAAACTTTGATTTCAGCTCTGGTTCACCAAATATTTGTTATCAGCAGTGAAAAATGAAACCCCAACTTAAATTCTTAGATGTGATGAAAAAGATCATCCTAAATATAAAAAATCTAATACTTTTTTCATTCTACAATGTATAAGGTTATGAAGAGTTTTTGTTGTTGTTGTTGTTGTTTTTCTGGAAAGCTGAAGCCGTAAAAGCTGCACGTACTGTATGCAGTGTGGGTGGGTAAATAACTGTGCGTGGGTACCCATTATTCTTCAAATAGCTATGGTAGCAAGTTTTTAATATTTGCCGTAAAAATACATTCCACTCTCCAATTAGAGACTTTAAGCACATTTGGCATGGATTATTTTGAATAACTTAATTTACTACTTTTGTGTGTGCTTTCCTTTGCCCACTTCCATAAGCCCACTTATGGAAAAAAATAATCAACCCAAGAGAAAGAGTAATCAAACCCATATGCACTGGCAATTAAAGCAACAATCCAGCACAGTTCGAACATTAATGATGCTGTTGTCCATATTTTTGTTAATAGTTTGGGTTCAACGGAAAAACCCTTAAAAGTAATCCAAGCCTCAGTGATCATGAAAGGAAACAGACTAATTTGACTCTTTTCTCTTTTCTGTTCTTGTACACCTTTTTTTAAATTTCCATTTGAACCATCCTTAGTTGCTCTTCGTGTGCAGTGCATAGAGTTAACTAATATGCTGTACCACTAAAATGATGCAACAAAAGCTTACCATTTCTCCCCAGACAACCTTTTTGTTTTAAACAAAGTTTCCTTGTTTTATGTCTTTGTAAATGCAATGAAAGGAAGTGAGGGGAAAAAAGATGGATCCAGGCTGTTTGTGGACAGCCTCAATTAGGGCTGGGCGATAAATCGAAAATTTATAGATACCGAAATTTACGACAATAACTGATGTCATTTTGCCCATATCAGTAACTCAGTGTTAAAAAAGTAAATAAATAAAAGTTGGTTTTGGATGTGTGTAGGTAGGCTATGGTCTCATGTTCCCTTTGGACGCTGTCCTATGACGGAGACGTGACTCCACCCCATTCAGTAACAAAGAGAGAAAGACAGGTGAGAAGATGGAGGACGGTTCAAAGGTTGTAGCGGCTAGCGGCTGAAGTAGACAAAGTTAATGTGGGAGGGGGTGAGCAGCTTATAGAGTAGTTATCGAGGTGTTTATCGATATATCGTGATATTGATTTGAGGCCATATCGCCCAGCCCTAGCCTCAATCCTTAGGGAAGCAAGGTGTCCCACTTGGTGTCTTAGCTTTCTTCTGCTGCATAGAAAAGGACAAAACTGTACTTTTATGCTTTTACTTGACAACCAAAAGGTGAAAAATGAAAGAAAAGACACCTGCAGGTCTAGAATGTTAAAATCAGAAGGAGATGACTGTGTCCTATTTTCTTTTTCTTCCTTATATCCACAAAAAGGACTGAAAGCGCAGAACTGACATCGCTATCACCCTCTGATAATCAGGGAGCCCCTACAGAGCCTGTTTTTATGACGTCTGTCTTGCATACAACACAAGCAGGCTTGAAATCCAGATACTATCAGCATCCAGTCACACAGGCCCATTTAATGGCCATTACCTCTGAGAGCCACACAGCCAGGAAGCATGAAGCTGCTTTTGTAGTCCTCTCTCCTGAGACTTAAGAGGAAATGGAGACTGGAGCCCAGAGATTTGATAAGGACCCCTTTGCTTCTTGATGCAAGTGTCTCAGAATGGAGGCGTTGATCTGAGTCTGGGACAGGGTAAACATCACAGTGGTTTTAGACTCCAGTTAACCTTACCCTGCACTTTCTGCTCAAACCTGAAGACCTGGTTGATTTTCTCTCCTGAAGCTGTATAGTTCAGGACCTAATGCCTGGTCAGCTCTAAACCGGTTATTCCCTTCTCTGGTGAATAGCATATACTTTTTGAGCAGTCCCATACCTCCCTTTTAAGGAAGCTCAGAGTGGTTGTGTGTCACGGCGAAACAGGAAATGGAAAGTCTATTAAACAGCGTGGGAGAGAGCAGAGAGCGTGGCTGGTTCTCACAGCACTGCTCAATTATCCTTCACAGTTTTATCCACCGATGCTTTGTTAACTACTAAAGCAGTTCAGACGACTTTATTTATGTGTAATAATATCTTCCTGTACAGCATTACTTTGATATACTTCCACAGGGAGGACAAAGTATGGAGCAGGCTGGATGACTGACATATTTAAACAACAAGCTGTGGTTGTATGCTTCAACTTTAGGTCTACATTTTCGTGTTTTCTTACTTTTATGTAAACTAGAAAATCATATTTGATTTTTTTATTTATTGAAATGGGATGTAACAAAGCTCCAGTATGAGGGTCTTTTTCCAATCCTGTTAGTAGGGGAGACCGAGGCTTGTTGTCACACTTTTTACACTTTTATGTATTTCTTGGAATCGATACATCATGTATAAACAAAATGTGTACCAAATGAAAGACCAAAGTCTCAGGTATATATTTCGTATTCATGTCATTTTTAAATTTTGTGTCGGTTCAGAGTTATGAACAATCAATTGAGAGTGTGAACATGTGACATGTTGCCCCTCCATTGGTAAGTTGTCTCACTACATGGGATAAGACGTCACAGTGGATTTTGCAGCTAATAATACAAGGAGAAAATTATTGTTCTATTTTTTTTTTTACTTGAAAGTGAACATCAAAGTCAGGCACAGAAAATGTTTATCGTTGAGCTAGAAAAAGTTATTGAACAATTGTTAACATAAAATATTATGCAACATGCTCTGGAGTTTGGAGAACTGTCTGACTCTGTATTCCAGCTGGGATGAATGTTTTACAGTACCGAGCCAAGGTGTGGTAGTTGACATTAAAGACCTTTATTGTACTCCAGATTGATTCATTAGCCAGGGTCACCTGCCTGACTGCTCACTTTCTCCTCTCTTTTAAACCACTCTTTTCTCTGTAAAAATAGTCAAATTTTCAATATGACAACTGCTGATAAGCAGACTCTCTATGTTAATTTTAATCCCTTTTAAACATGTGACAACTAACCCCAAAAGGACTGAGACATGTTGCCCCAAACTAGCATGTTTGCTAATTAAAGCTTTATCTTAAAGTTAGTTTAAATCAGAACAATGACTGAGCTATGACAGGATGCCTTAATCTCTCCTCTAACAAGTCCACATGTATCACTGCTAAGATTTTTATCTGGAAGAAGCTTATTTTAAAATATATCAAGTTTTTTTTTTTTTTTACTTTGGGTTGTGTAAAATGGTTAATTGACACAATGTGCTCTTCTCTTCTCAGACAGGACACGACCCTTGACCATTTAAGGGAATAAAACTGATATTCCACTTTTTAGTTGCGCCCTCTGGTGGCAAAGATAATTGCGATGTGACAACTTACCCATGTTACGACAAGCCCCGGTCTCCCCTATTGCAGAGAAAACAAAGTAATATCTTAACTCTGACATGGTGATAAAGGGAGCTTGGCTTTCATTCAGATATATCTGGCCGTCAACTTTCAAAATAAGATGTGTGATTTATGCGACCTCAGCTCAACAATGTGGGTGTGCGGCAGTCACACGTAGACGCATTAATAAACAAAGAGCCTCAGCAGGAGGCAAAATGCTTCGGAGTCATTTCTGTCGAGCTCACTGTGTGGTGTGTGTCAGTTTGTGTTTATATGCAGACACTCATTCTGTTAATTGTCAGCTCCGCTGCGCCCTGAGCTATGGTTTGACAGTAAACAACCAAAGGTGAAGCTCAGTGTTCCCGCTGGACTCTGTTATGGTAACAAAACAGAGATCCAGACAGAGAGGAAACATTGGTGACATTAAAAAAGACATCTGGCATTTATCTCAAAAACATTAGAGAAAAACAGAAAACCCCTACCTGCTGAAATGATTGGCACTTTCACCTCTATTTAGGACTAATTCTGTCTTATTTTGCGGTCAGATATTTGAAGGCAGAGCTGCAAACAGAAGTGCTGAAAAGAAAGAATAAACAAAGTAGTTAATGCAAGTGAGTTATTTATATTTAGAGAGGTGGAACAGCTCAAACAATCATATCATTCCTGGTGAGACAGACATTTTGGCGTGTCTTAAGGCAGCAGCTGTATCACAGATGTAGTGTATTCAAACTTCAATGTTTTCCTCTTCCAAAGCATCTGACCCCTGAGGTCTGTTTGTGAAACAAAAACTACAATCTGTCTCATCACACAGCAGCAACACGATCAAAGAGTATAATCCTTGAGTACAGGAGAGAAGATGAAAACATGAATTTAAGAAAAAACAAAGATTAGACTCTCCTCAGGCATGAAGTCTGACTTGTTTGTTTGGGGAAATTATTTAAGATCAGTAAAAGATTCAGTGAACAGCTTGAAACCTGATGGGGACTATTTGCTGTAGCTCCCTTGGACTGAGGCGATTCATAAGAGATCTGCTGCGAGTGGGACCGAGTTTTTCGGCTAAGTTTAGATTCAATCTGTGTGCATGTGTGGGCCTCTATTTATTTGTTGTAGCTGTGCTTGGCAGTCATCTCACAACTCTCTCTCAAATAGTCTCCATTATAGAGGTCCTCTGGCTGTTAGTAATATCTAAGAATATCTCAGCTTGCATAGAAAAGACGGGCTATTTGAAGGCCGCTGTGATGTCGCTGAAGATTTTTGCAAGCTGTATCGTAATGACCCAAATAAATCTCACAAAGGATTACAGCAGTTCGAAAGCATGATGTTAACAGTGTGTACAATACAAAACAATGCAACTGTCCAAAAGTGTTGTCGAATGCTTTTATCTAAGAATGTGTTTGGAGGGTAAAAACAATCACTGTTTGATAGCATGTGATTCATCCTGTCTGTGCTGTATTCCTTTAGAAATGATCATACTTTTTAAAGTACCTCTGCTAAATGTGTGTATTTCCTCTCTTTAGTCCAAAGCCATGCGTGAGCGATGGCTCCTCCAGGGAATGGGAGTGGAGGAAGAGGAGGCACGGCGGAAACAGCTGGAACAGGATGAAGAGCAGGGGAAGAGACTAGAAGACCTCATACAGAGGTACGGCCATGGAAGACACACTGACACATGTATGAGGCTTTGTTTAGTTTTCATGCAGATCTGCTTCGACATCTGGACCAAGAACTAGCAGACTAATGTTACTACACATCTGCTTTCTTTTTTAATTTTATGGAGTCTTTCATTTTTGACAAAATTGCAAATCACAAACTGTCCGACTTTGTTCATATCCTACTCATGTGGTCTCTATTAGGAAAAACTTGGTGCAAATCTTAACACCTTTTTCTCCAGTTTTCTATTCATTTAAAATACACACAGTACTTGTTCTCACTCATATAATTTGCAAAATCAATACAAATGTAGAACTGTTAAACAAAGCATACACATTATGAGGTGTTTGTGGTTGAATCTGGTTCGTAAAAACTGAGGCTGAGTGAAGTATACTTGGTGAGAAGTCAAAAGTTATACTTGCAAAACAATGACGTCACGCCTAGAAAGAACAGAGTAGGAGTAGTAGTAGGAACGGTACAAAGTCTGACGTAAATTGATGCTAATGGCACAAAATACAACGTCTAAGGCTGTGTGAGTCAAATAAGTGTGGAAAAAAACAGCAATATCCCACCAAACATCTGACGTCGAAGAGACGTGCAGATCAAGTCAGTATTGGGTCGGTCTGTCAAAGACCACAGCTAGACGTCAAAATAGGTTAGAAATTTCGACGTCCAAATTGGACTTTTTTAGACGTTGCTCTGATGTTTAGAATTTGGACGTCATCTGAAGACCAAATCTAGACGTCGGCACAACGTGCAAAATGGATCCAAGATTTAGACGCCATTATTGGACCTCTTTTAGACGTTGAAATGACGTTCACATTTGTACTTCATCGTCGAAAAATACGTTAAATAGTTGTCATTTCGACGTCGCATTGCACAGTGGGACGCTTAGATATGCCTTGATTTATCATGTCCTACACTTGTCCTATGTTAACATTAGCACAAAGCATGCAGACCTGGCTTAACACAAGACTATTTAACTGACTTAAGATTTAAATGTGAAAGAATATTGTGCAAATAAATTCTTTTCCGGTCCATTTGATGGTGCTGGACCGAGGTCTGAAGTTTTAACAAGCAACTTAACTCAACAAAGAAAACCTGTAGAGGTCTACTTATTGTTCCACACAGGAATTGATAAGAGACTTGTGTAAATGTTTCATAGGCATGGCTGTGAAGTATCCCGTTTGGGTCGGGAAACTACCATATTTTACCCCTCTTTCCCGCCGTATTCCTGTATCAGTATTCTCACGGAAATCTCCTATATTATAATATATGTATAAAAAAAAAACATTATTCTGCGTCTCCAAACTGAACTCGCGCGCTAAGAACCCACCAACTAGGCTAGCAGTGAGATATCATCTGTGATCACACAGACGATGAACCAAACCCCCCACAACCAAATTTTGACAGGTATATTCATAGGTTTGATTTTGATTGTACTTTTCATCTCAATGAATATATTGGTTGTGTTTCGTATTGTCCAAAAACAGCCACACTTCAGCTGACCACTCATATGGATTTGATATTTTCTTCCACCACCATCATCAATGCACCACCACATTAAAACATGATTTTCAAAAAGTTTACATTTGATGCCGTCAAGTACTGGGACACTTTTAGCTCCAATGCAGCTCAAGAGCTATCGAGTAATATCAAGCTTCGAAAACATCAACAATGGGATTCTTTGGACATAACAGCCAAATTTGAAGGATCAAAAAGAGAGTCCAAGTATAGAGCTATTTGTGTGACTGTTGGTGCGCATAACACACACACACACACACACACACACACACTCTTACACACACAGTGTAAATGGAGAGGCAGTGGGGGTAGGAGATTCTTCGGGGCAGCTCTGGAATCTAGCAGCTCTGTAACCTTAGCTCAAAATCTACATTTTTTTTTTCACTCACTGGTGTGAAAACAAACACCAAGAGCTATGTATACACACACTTCTCCAAAAACAGATAACAAGAGCTCACAAGAAATGAAGAGAGAGACGAAAAGAATTAAAAGCCATGACAGAAAATAAGAGATAGAAAAGTGAAGCGAGGTATGATTGTTGGAGGGAGAAAATTAGATACTGAGAAGACAAAGAGCAGAGAAAGAGAGAGTGATGTTATTCCGTGGGCACTTCCTGTATTTGTGTCTTTAGGAGGAGCTTCCTGATTCCCATCAAGCACTGCTGTGGGATAGTCTCTTATTCCCCAATGAAGTTGGGGCATGAGATCACCAATGCTATGAATAAAGTGCCTGCCAGCTCCTGTCATCATCATGCCTTGTATTCTTGGCCCAGAGTTTTTCCACTGGCAGGGTATGAGGATTGGGTACGGCCTCTTATTTTTCACTTTATGCGATTTTCAGGAGTCGTTCACAGGCAACACATAGGAGAAAAACGCATCGGAGTGTTACTGAGGTGATGAATTAACAGTGAAAGTTGTATTGTGACCACTCTGCATATTTGGAACCATAGTGAAAGTGCATCATTCCTCTGCTCTGGGGGAGTGGTGGCCATTTGGCAGGCATATTTTCCCCAGACACAGACGGGACTGTAAAATATCTTCCATTCCCATACTTCTCTTGCTATGTTTTCAGGCAAGAAAAAAAGTGAAAACAGAGTCAAAAGTAAGAGAAACTGATGGCACCATTGGACAGAAAGTTAAGGAAAGATAGAAAAGAGGCAAGATAGGAACTTCTGTCAGTATCAAGCATTTGGAACAAAGCTACAACTTATCATCCGACATGCTATGCTGGCTCATTTTTTTGCAGAGTGTGCAAAATAAATCAGCAAATGAAGAGGCTCTGGGTCACTTTAACATCCGTGAGTCCAGCTCCAGCTCCACCTCCTCATCCATCAAATCTGAGCATGAAAGAGACTCTGTTGGCCGGTAGCTACTGTAGCTTATCACCCGCGCTGAAACAACATCAACACCGCGCGTTGTCACGAAACCGGGATAACATTAGATGTGTATAAACAGAACAGCAGTGAATGCTCAAAGAGAGGGCATTGTAGGCCAAAGTACAGTTGTGATTGTGGAGCCGATCCGTGTGAATCAGCTCATTCAGCAGCTGTTGAATAGACTTGTTGTCTGACACGCTTTCGAAGTGCAGATATTAAAGTCTGCGGTTTTAATTACTTAGAAAAGCAATTAAAACCGCAACGATAATTCTTCACTGTGCCGCTTCAGAGCATGTGTTTTTGTCGGCGATGGAGCTTCATTTAGGTCCTCGATGTGCCAACACAAAGGAAGACAGAGCTGCATCACTGCCAGAACATTGAAGTCGCAGAATTGGTACTTCACTGCAGAAGATCAGAAATTATTTCCAAGACTGAATTTTTCAGGCATATTAAAAGCCTGTCCTTGTTTTGGACTTAACTCCTGTTGATCTTGCATGAGAAGAGACATAACATCAGTGATCATCCTAACAAGCGACGAGTTCGTTTCCATTTTCAGAATATCAGATCAGAACAGAATCAGATCAGTCCAACAGCTTTTTGCATGTCTGGATGTTATTTACACCAGGGTCGCAGATGTGTGCTTGTAATAAAGAGGAGCTCAGCTGTGCAGGTTTTAATCCTCAAAGCTTCATAAATCGGATCAAATGGATGAAATAAAGTCATAAGGCACATGACTGTGAATCCAAAATGCAAAACTTTAAACCCGTTATCAACTTTTTTTTACTAAATTACATCCAATTGTGGAAATTTTTATGAGAAACTTTTAACAATTGTCTCTTTGGTTACGGTGTCATGCTGTGAAACAGGAGATATCTCCATTTAGATGTTTGAGAGGGAAGAACATTGATACATGGCCCGCGACAGTGTCTATGCGCTCACTTCAGCCAGAGGGTGTGGCATCTATATTTACACTCTGTGGGACACCATCCCAGAATATCCTGTAACCCAGGCAACCGGAGTCTTTCCAACACTGATAGGGACAGGGGTGAATAGTTGGAATGGATATGGACAGTAATCTGTGTGTGTGTGTAAGTGTATGAGTGACAGAGAAAGTAAGAGACTGAAGCTGTAATCATGAGTAAACCTGGAAACTACACCCACCTCCACCTATAAAAAACGCTCAGGAGGCCAAACATCTTGTTCGCCACAGTTTTATGGTTGCTAGACTAATGGCACATGCACCAGCGGACGCTTAAATGACAGACAGTGACAAAGACGAAGCAGCGGCTCTTTTATACACGCTCATTTCATGCACCGAAGAACACATAAACAAGAGTGGGAACAAAAAGAGGAACAGCTGTTTGTGTCTTATCAGAAGAAGTGCAGTGGTGCTGACTTTAGTGGAGGTACGGAAAACGCAAAAGATGGAAGATGCATGCCGTCAGGTGATACGATCTTTTAGGGAAAATTCATTTGATAGAAGAAAAAAGAGAGGGAGAAAAAAAGGAGAAAGAAAAAGTCAAGAGAGGGACTGTTGTGCGCTTGCTCTCCTGTTCGGGAACACATGAAGCAACAGAGCAATGGAAGAAATAGCAGCCATTGACAGAGCACAGTTTAGTACAGAGTCTGGAGAACAAACATGCAGTAAGAGACAGAATAAGAGTGTGTGGCAGCAGCAGTGGTACTTTTACAGATATCCCTATCATTACGTGGACAGGCTGAATAAACAGACAGGAGAATACAGCAGCAAAGAGTCCTTTCACAACGTGGTGCTGTCTCGACCTACCCAGACTGATTTACTTTTAGGAAGTCGCTTGATTTATGTCGCACAGACTGTCCAATGTCGATGTGGCCTTTATTGTAGGGAAGAAGAGGGTTTCTTTCAGTTTTTCCAACCTCTGAAAGCAAAAGTGACTCAACGAATACAGAGCATTTAGATAAACTGTTGCAACACAAGTCAATATGATGCTCTATATATACATTATATAAAGTTAGTGGATGTTTTTTGAGAGACTGTTAGCTTGGGATGAAGCAGGTTGCTCTGTTACAAGCAGGGACCAAATTCGCGTTTAAGGGCTGAGCTATTACATGGCAAAATTAGGGCTGTAATCAACCAAAGAAATTCTTAGTCGACTAAAACCCTGAAATTTTTTACCAAATATCAACTTATCGGGTGGTGTTGGGGTGTAAAGGTTAGAGTTAGGTGGGTTGGGTGAATCCAAAATGGTGAAAACAAGGGGGGTGTTCTGAGACAGGCTCTAAAAACACCTCATCAACACTTGACACGTTCCTCCTGATGAAATTAACCATAGACTGTAAATTGACGTGAAAAAAAAAGAATCGACCGATCAGAATTTTGGTCGACTCAGCATTTATCGACCAATAAGTCGACCAGTCCACTAGGACTGTACAGCCCTAGTAAAACCACAACAGCACCGTCTAGACCAAACCCAGTATCTGTGTCTGTCCACTGATTCATTAAAAGTCCCTCTTCAACATGTTACTGCTGAGACAACCATGTATCTTAGATTTTAATGTGCATGGGAAAATGAATATGTACATGAATTTCTGTAATGTATATATAGTATGAACCACAATATCATCCATGTTCATCATTCTGGATGAGAATGCCGCAGCCTGTTTGCTTATATGTTTTTATGCTAAGCTAAGCTAACCAGTTGCTGGTCGTAGCTCTATAATGTATCAATTGTTTCATCTTACACTCTAAAGGAAAGATAGTGGGTGGTTTTCCCAAAATATCAAACAATCTCAATTAATCAGTAGCATTTACTTACATGACTACATAGAAAGTGTTTTTCTTTGGGTCTGTTCATGCAGGCTTCATGGACCAAGACTGTTACTCTTAATTCTACCACCACACACTGACCTCATCCCTCTGACGGATAGATCAATAACGCTCCATCTAATTCTTTCTAACCATCAATCAATTACCAGACCAGAAAACCTCTAAACTGTGCTGAGGAAGCAAATGGAGTTTGCAGGATGGATGGAGCCCAGCAGGCGGTCTGGCTACAGCAAACTGTACTTACTGCAACAGGCCCATTGAAGTGCTCATATCATGTTACATAATGTTCTTAAGATATTTGTCTTTTGCCATGCTGTGACTGCATGAGAGTTTGGATCAGATTATTTTCCTGTAATCAAGTTTTCCTTCCCTGATTTCTGAGCTCATCAGATTTTAGGAAGTACCTCTTGAGCTGAGTTGAACTAAAATGAAAAACAAGTAAAAGTCCAGAGTCAGTCACTTAATGTGACACAGTCAGATTTAGACTAGAATTAAAATCCCAACACAGCTTTGATTCATTTTTGACATTTACGCTAGATAAAATCTGATCTGATACGGATAGTGTCCCAGAATCTGCCCCAGTTATTTGTCTGACAAAAAAAAAAAAAACATGTTACGTGTTTTAGACTCCTTTTTTAGTTGATCAAACAGCCTTGGACTTAAAGCCTTCACACTTTCTTTTATTCAAAGTCACAACAATGCCAAATAAAAAAACTTAATCGATGAAAGATACATAAACTTTTTCTGTCAAACTCATTCAATTTTTGCAGTAATAGCTTGAAATTGGATGGTTCCCCTGAAGGTCCATTAAGCTGAGGTAAATTACTTTTTTGGTCATGTTGGAGTTTTATGCTCTCAAGATTTACAATTTTTATGTGTGCAATGTGTCTGTCCCTGACAAATTAAGCAAAATTATCGAATAAACATCATTGTGGCATTGTCTGGAGCAGTTTGCACACTTCTTCAAAGAGATCTGAAATGATTGATAAGAGATAAATCTGTTACCAGTCATTGTGATAGTGTGAACAGTTTGTTACACTGAAAACTGGAAATTTATTTACTGTTTGTCAGACAAAGCAAAACATTTCAAGAATTTGTGTGAACTTGATGAGGTAAAAATCTGAGTTGCAGCTCGTGTTTGTAACTTACTATAAGTTTATTATCAAAATTATCCTTGTGTGTGAAAGTGCTGCTTAAAGCCCCAGTAGGGAGTTTTTGTTCAAAAAATTTTGAAAACTTTATTTTGATAGTCCACATATTGACACTTAACACGCCATCAGTAGATATGTAGTTGAATGTGAACAGCATTGTAGCATTGTATATTGTAGCATTGTATATGCAGCATCAATGAACACGTCTATTTTCATACACAAGGCGCACCGGATTATAAAGCGCATAAAGCCAAACAAAACAGTCAGATAAGTCAAACTTTATTTAACTTATTCAATAACTCCGCGAGGCTACACAAGCTGCAGTGCTCCGACAAGCCAAAAGGATTTTAAATGCACCTTATAGTGCTACCTACCTACCTACCTACCTACCTACCTACAAACAAACAAATATCGCTTGTGTGCGATATGTTGCTGACTGTATTCATGGAGTATTGGGGTGCTTGGATTAATATCCGTTATGATTGTGCTGTCGTGTTTTCTACAACACAGCCTGTACTTTGTCTTTTGCACCTTTAAACTGTAAACAATGGTGAATATGAAGACCAGGGACAGACACAGAGAGTGATATATAAATACAATCTGTCTTCAGTGCTCTGTGTGAATTTTTGCCAAGGACAGTTAATCATTCATGACAAAACATCCTGTTTACAATCTGGGGGACAGACCCTATTCAGTCAAAGTTTTAATGTTTCACTTCCAGGTCACTCTATCCAAACACAAAAGGACATGGCACTGGTATTAAATAGGGGGTGCATTAAAATACAAGGACAGACCGACTTTAATTGTAGCTCAAAAAGTGTTCAATTGTACACTCAAGCATCTTGTGGCCAAAGCAAGTACTACAACAACAAACATTTCATACTTTAAAGATATCAGCTCAGACTTGGAACATCATTTTTACATTGTAGTTGTTGTTGTTTTTCAATTGTCTCCCAAAACCTCCATACAGTTAATCACTCAGGACTGAAGCATGATCACTCTGATTAATGTATGACAGATAGGAATCTGTACCAATAATGATGGGCTAGTATGTACTGTATAGGAAGATTATTGAAGACAGGATGAAGCTTTTATAAACAGCTTTAACTTTTGATTCTCAAGGTTGTTTATCTAGACTTTTTTATTGTTCAGTATAAGTTGATAAATTTATAATGTAGTGTGCTACATTAAATTGTAAGTTTCCCTCTTACATGTATATTATGCATTATATATCAGTGTATACCATCTTTTCAGTTATTATTAAACAAAGAGTATGATATGAACCTACTCTTTTTGTAAAGCATCTTGGGATAACAGTGATTATAATTTGGCACTAGACTGTGAGAGTGATTGATTTCCAATAAATACTTTATACAATTCACAAAGGAGTTGTTGACAAATATGTCAATAACAATAAAATTTGCCTATAACTAGATTCTCATACGCTACAAACGATCTATTTCAATTGTACATACTCTTCGCATTTGCAGTATTTTCATTTGCACTCCTCGAATTGTAGAATTTTAAGAAAAAAAAATCAAATAAATTTAAAGTCCCTGTTGTTGTTGAAAGTGTGCAGTAACAAGAATCCAGGAGTCTAGAGAGCAGCTCTGTTCATTTCACACAGACAGTATCCTGCGTACATAAACACGGTGTGGTTAGACTTCCTTTTCAAAGTCCATCTTCGTATGGTTCACAGTCTGTGCGCACAAAAAGCACACACACATGCGGCACACAAACCAGATGTCTGTTTTTCCTCCTCCTGTATGATGTGGAAAGCAGTCGCTGCCCACCCAGGGGTATCCATGGCAACCGGCCTGTGGTTGGCTGACAGGGTGGGACAGTGACATCACTTGTGTCTATCTGGATTGCCACAGAGATAGTGGCGCTGCCAGACTGCGAAGTATATAGAGAAGTAAAGGGGAGGGAAGGACAGTGTGAGGTCATGGTCACATTTCTCTTTCTCTCTCTCTCTCTCCCTCTTTCTCTCTCTCACACACACAAACAAACACAAACATGTGCACACAAATGAACCACATGACCTGTGGAACTAGAGAAAAGGTTGATCAGGTGTTTTAGACCCATCTAGTTAGAAAGTTTAGACCCCTGCTTATTGTTAAACACACTCTGTGTTTTTTATGCTATAGTTTTTGATTATCTAACAGTTTTGTATCTACACCGTTAACAATTACCCACATTTTATCAAAACAAGGGTGTAAATGAAAGCAATTTACCTTTAACCAGTCTCTTCCAGTTACATCATATTTCTTTTTTTATGTGTGTTCAGTCTTAGTTTCAAATGACCACCAGAGGGCGCCAGATACAAGTTTGACCAGTGGTGCTGTTGAGGACCATGAGAGGGGTGTACAGATTTAAAGACATAACGCTCCCCTCCAGAGATTGATTATGTGACTCTTCTTTCAAAGGGGTGAACACCTTCTTATTGATTTTAGGCTGTACTTGACCACACTATAGATTACACTATGATGATATATTTCTGTGAAGTGAGCTTCTCCCTCTATCTTTCTTCCATATTTTTCTACTTTCCCTTTTTATAATCTCTTTCTAACAGCCTGTTTTGACAAAAATGTCTCACCAAGTCAATAATTTTGTGGAAGAAAAACGTGTTGGATGCTTCAGACAGTCCAAGTTGCCTTAGGTATGAAAAAAGTAGTTTTTTTCATATCATGAGTAACAGTCAGGTTTTTGGCACTGACAGCTGCTGAAACCGTACTGATCCCCCTCTGTGTATTTTAGTCTTTGTATGAAAGACTGCATCCTTCTCTGGTCACAAATCTTGCTTCCAAACCCGTTTTGGAAAGACTTCATGCAGCGCTCAGGAAGCAGAAGTAAAATCCATTTGCTCTCAGGAAAGGAAAAAGGAAATGAGATAGAGGGGAGCAAGACCAAGTGGACACCCAAGAGGCAAGAGTGTTAAGACATCTGCTACCAAAAAGACAAAGGTGTGGGTTAAACAAGACCCAGGGGGTTATCTGTCTCTGTTTTGGGCAAAACCCCAAAGATAAACGTGGTCAGGGTCAGACATGTGTGTCATATGACGGTTAAAAACTCAGATTACCTCAGAAGAAAGAGAAAGTGACAACTTCAGGGGGGACAGCGTGATGTGAAACAGATTTTTTGTTTCATCGATACATTTGTCAAGTTTTCTGTTTTTCTCACTAAACATGAGACAGAATAGGCACCCTTGTTTATTTGGTTTTATTCCAGACAATAACATTTGTAGTCATTAATATGCAAAGTAATGCCGGCTAACTTGCATATAATTTTCAAAGCATATTAAGTAATTAGAAGAAGAAACAATGGGTTGACCCAGTGACTCAACTCATTTGGATTCCAGCGATTTGGTACTCTGACTGTGACGCACAATAGCCATGCGTCCTGAGGTGTGTCTGATATGGACAGCAGGTGTTATGAGAAAAATAATGTATGTTAATAACTTTACAAAAGGCTTTTATTATTCTCTGACTACAGACAAATCTCTTGCATTAACGCTGGTGGTTAGGTTTTTGAAAGGTTTCCTCTGCATTGCCATGTCCTTACAGGTACATTTTCTTGTCTATGAAATTATTCTTTATGTTTTATCTAATTGAATGTCTGGGGAGTAGATCTGAATCCCTCTGAAATATGCATACCACTATCTGTAAGTGTACTACTGAGTGGGGTGCACCAATCGCAACTAAGTCAAAAGTTCCCAGCCTCAACTAGATTGTTTAAAATACCTTAATTCCTGAAGTTAATTAATTTATAATTTCATTTTTTAAATTATTTTATTTAACACTTATTTGAACAGGTAAGAAACCCATTGAGATCAAGATCTCTTTTACAAGGGTGACCTGACCAAGAGGTCAGCAGCACATGTCACAATAATATTAATGCAACTCAAGGACAAAATAAGTTAACAGACACAGTACTTCTGAAAGTGCATAGGAAAGGAAAAAATAATTTAAATGATTTAAAGTTGCACATCAATAAGTAAATGGGCTGAATGTGAAATAAACTAATTGTAGTAAATAAGGGTGCAGAAAGCACTGAAGCTCATACACTTTGCTTCAGTAAAATGACAAACAAGGTCTTTTTCAAGTACAGTCCACTCTGAGCTTAATGAACTGCCTTATGAGAAACAATACACTGTGATAAGATGCTGACATTGTTCAGAATTCAAAGTGGTGCTAAAATAGCTTTTCTGCATCTCACTGTACTTGTTTTATTTTTGGCTGCAGCAAGAAACAATACAGTGCTTTTTCTGAATACAAGAACCACAGAGTTTTCTGATTTGAGCTTTTACTGACCAACCCTGAACTGTGCTGTCTATTTTGATCGAGACAATGGCCTAAGGACACTGGATAAGGATAAGGAGCTGGTGTTGTGCTTTTTTTCAGCTTTGAGATCTTGTACATTCAGCAGAGACAAACAAGAGATTCATGGGACAGATGAAGCAAACAAAAGCTTTAGAATAATCTCAACTGCCTTTGCAAAATAAATCTGACTTAGATATCCTTATAAAATGAAAATGACATGCACTGTGTTGAATCAATATTATTTCACTGAGGTTTCCAAGCCCTGGAAAAAATATTTTCTGGTGTTTAATACAAAATACAGGTAGATGGATGACATCCAAACGTTGCAGGACTGAAGATGAACTTGTGTAGAAATATTGGCAGACTAAGACGTGATGAGAGCAGACTGTGCAGACTTGTGTAGTCAAACCTCGGTGATCATTGCCAGAGCAGCAGGTTTTCTGGCAAATAATAAAAAACACAGGCCTGAGTTTTGATAGTGTGTATACATATCTAGCGATATCCCCCATGTGTAATGTTGATATTTTGAAAATGTGAAAATTCTCAGTTGAAGTGGGCCAACTTATGCTAACAACCTTATGTTTCAGTGAGCTGCTCCAGATAATAAGTCTCTGAAAAGAACAAGCAGTAACTCTGGACTTTCTCATAGTTGGTCATGCCGGTATGAATAGTAAGATCTATTATTTCTAGGATAGTGTGTGAAGGCCAAGTGTTGTTATGAATCCTGATATCTCTTTTACACACATGTGCTCACACACACTGACGCACAAATTCCTTATGTCCCTGAGGAGCGTACTCTGAGAGTATTGTGAGTGCTGGCAGTAAGTGAGGAAGCAACTCTGGTCCTCCTCCCTGACGGCTTCCTTTCATTGTTGCTACATCCACATTTTTAAAGTCCACATGAGCTTCCACGTGTGTGTGCGTCTCTGTGTATGTATGAGTGTGTGTGTGTGTGTGTTTCCTAATCAGTGGGTGTACACAGACTGGCTTAAAGGTAAAATTTGGGAAATGGTAACTAAATTTTTGGACTACATCAAGACGTACCGAGGAAAAATGTTCCAAACACAGTAGTTATCTTGCCAATGACAAGTTCCCCTCATCAGCAAGGCCAGCAGATAGGACAGTATCTTACGAGGAAACGTGTCTCGGAAATGGTCGAATTAAGAAATATATTTTGGCAGACAAAACCATTATTTTACGTCTGTCTATTTCTGTCAAAACAAGTACATTTATTTTCATGATGTGCTCAATCGTACTAGAACTTTTTGGAACTTTTATAAACGATATTCAAGTTCCTTAAGACCTATGGATTTTTCTTTGAAAACTTCAATATAACAACTTTCTACAAGTGGAAGAAACTACTTAGATTTTTTTTTCAACTTCCACAACATCATGGTTGGAAATGACCTCCTCAGTTTTCTGTGTTTACAGGCTGGAGTCAGAAATCGGTGCACTGGAGAGTGAAGAGTCCCAAATATCAGCCAAAGAGCAGGTCCTCAGAGAACGTCTGAAAGAAACAGAGCGCTCTATAGAAGATCTGCAGAAGGTATTTGACAAAGAACTGTATATGGAGACGCTTTCAGGTGCAAAAATAGTCACAAGAGGTAGTTTCTCAACAGTCTGACTAGAATTGTGTTGCTTTATGCACACAGAAATGTTCATGTTAAGTTGCAGAGTAACCGAGTGAAAACGCACCTGATACCCACTGAGCAAACGATCGCTATTTGACGTCTAGTTTTCTAATTATGATAGCCATTGAATATTATACAGTGTAGTATAGATACGGCCCAGATTGAGATTTTGTCTAATTTTTGGTCTAAATTTAGACGTCTAAAAAAAACTTTTTATTTTTAGACCTGTGGTAGCCTGATTTTAGACCAGTTGTCTAGGCTACATTTAGACGTCTATTAGACCTCTTTTAGACCAAAAAATGCTTGGAGGGTAGCCATATTGCCGCACATGCAAAAGGTCAAAGGTCTTACTAATTCTAATAACATGAACCTGCTGGCTTAGGAGACAAGAAACAGTGATTGACATACAATTGTTTTTAGAAAATGGATGAAAGGTCCAAATTTAACGAGTCAATGTTGTCCAAAAAGCAGAGATATGATACTTGAATGTATTAATTCATAAATATATATTGTATTTTTTTTAAATGAACACTTTTGGTTATATGTACAGAAGTAAGTCTATTATAAGTCTGTTTTCTCAAAACTAATGTGGCTCATGTGGACCTTTCCTGTCTCTCTTTCAGAGTCTAATGAACCAGGATGGAGGTACGAATAATGACACACACTCTAAACACAGAAACATACAGGGACACACACAAAGAAACAAACAAAGCTCCCTGAGTGGGTGTCCTCCCCCTGAGTTAGCATTGTGTCCTTGCAGTGGGGTACCTCCACTTCTATTTCTGTGTGTGTGTGTGTTTGCGCCTGTGTGTGATAATAGTCTCGCTGAGGCAGGAGAGATGCAGGCCAGCGCACGCTTATGACCCCAAATCACACTCATCCACACTAACAGTCACACACATAGACAAACACTGACCCGCACACAGACACACACATCTACTAAAAACTCAGACCCACACAAATGCGCACAGACCCGGGCTCAGCGAGACTATTGAGGCTGACACACACACAAGGCCATGACTCTGCAGCCTGCAGTCGCTGCCTTTATCCCCCCCTATTCACCAACAAGCCCTGTAAGCCCCCCAAAGCTTTGTTCCCGCCATCGCACACACACGCAGACACACACAAACACACGCACTTCTGCTGCATAAGCATTGAACCTCAGGGGTGCGAGAGTTGCCGTGGACACAGAAACAGAGGGATGAGGCAAGTTAGGTAGTGTGCGAGTGTTTGTGTGTGTATGTGAGTGTGTGTAGAAGAGAGGCGGGCAGGTCACCCAGGGGTGTGGTTAGATACTACGCTTGGAGGCTGGGCTGTATTTGTGTGTGTGTGTGTGTGTTTGTGTCAGGGTGTGGTTATACATCACCAAATTGTGTGTCTTTGTGTGTATGTGTGTGTATCGGCATGAGCCTGGGGAATGAGTGTGTATGTGTGTCTCCCTCACGGACTCCAACGTTCCTCTGACCATGTGTCACTTCCCCTCTTGTGCTCCTGCTCACTAGATGCGACCGGCTGCATGTCCACCGCTCTCTCGGACTGCACGGACCCCAATTCAGACCACCTCCTCCTGGCCACGCAGCCTCGGGCCGGCCAACCTGCCTCTGGAGAGCACGCCATACCAAGACCTGGTAAGACACAGGGAGGAGAGAAGGGTGAGGGAGGGGAGAGAAGAGAGAGGGAGGGAGGGAGGCAGGAGGAAAGGATGGTTTTGGGCTGCAGCCAAGTTGGATTATAAGCAGGACAAACTCACATGCATATGGTAGGTGGTCAGGCACAGATACACACATGTTCGCACCAACTGAGTAAACTTTAACTAAAGGTCACGACACTTAGGAGTAGGTCTCCATGGTAAAGTAGCCATAATGAGAGCATAAGGACAAGATCAATAACTACATTTATTCTGAAAGTTGTCTTCATATATGAACTTTTGATAAGTATGTAACTTTGATTGAAAAAAGCAGAGAAAATGTATAACTAGTGTTTTATTTCTGAATGTACGGATAAGGATTAATCAGTAAAGGTATACTGGTATTGACAGGCAATTATTTTTGACTTACTCTAGTTTTACTATCGTAAGAAAATGAAACTGTAGCTATATTAAGAATCACAGCAGCTGTGATTTTTACATAACGGTAAAGAAAATATATTTTTCTGTGTTGAACTGCTAATCCTACATTGTTATCTAATTGTTCTGATCTAGTTTAAAAAATAAAAGCTTCTGCATGAGAGTGATTGAGTTATGCTGTTGACTTATCTGCAGGTATTTGAATATTACCAAGCATAACATATCGTCTTTTCTTTAATGTTTAATTAAAAGATTAAAGGCAACAGACTTTTATACAGACAGAATGTGTTCAGTGTCACAGCATCAAGAATCATCATGATTTTTTGACATGTCATGACAGTTTGAAGTCATTGAAAAAGGAGCCCGTTTTTATCAGTGATCATTAAGATGTTAAACCTGTAAGTTCAGTAATTTTTCTTCCATATTTTGCACCTGTGGTTTGAATTTTTATTTATTTTTTTGCTAGTTAAGGTCGTGTTTTTGTGTTTTACTAACTGCAAATTTTGTCGATTTAATTAATTCATAATATTTCAGAGAGCACTTTTTCCCCTATCTTTATCCTTCACTCCCTACAACTTCTACTCCCCCACCTCCTCTCACTGCCCCCCCACCCCCTCACTTCGAACCCCTTTTACTTCTACAACTCATCTCCTCCATCCTCCCTGTCTCTCCTCCTATCTACTGCCCCCCTCTCCTCCCACCTCCCCTCCCCCATCCTCTTCTAATAGCTATGTTCGCCATGGAGATCAACGTGCAGCATGACCCACAGACCGGAGAGCAGCGCATCCTGTCAGCCAATCGTGTGAACCCGCACGATGCTGCAACACGGGGAATAAAAGTCTATGATGATGGCAGAAAGGTGGTCTATGAGGTCACTTCCTCTAGGGGTGTGTCCACCACAACTGTGGAGAATGGGTGGAGCTCTGCGCAGGTTGACCAGCTAATCCAGCAAGCTGCCAGACCTGCTGACAGCAACAGGGGTCATGTGACTGTGACCCCAGCTGATCCGCAGGCCTATGTTTCCCCATTAGATATTGATGATCTGTCTCCACCCTCCTGCGCCCCGCCCTCCATCCCTTCAAGCCCACCAGCCCAGGTGACCCTGCAGAGAGAGACCCGGCTTGGCATGATGCCCCCTTCTGCCCCAGTTACGACCCAGCCAGGCTCCTCAGCCCATCCAGGCTCCGAGCTCACCTCCCCACCTCAAGCCACGGCAGAGCACCCAGTCACCATGGTGTTCCTCGGCTACCAGGACGTTGACGACATGAGCGAGAGCAGGCGACTGCTTGGTTTCGACGGGGCTGTAAAGGCTGAGGTGGTCTTGATAGATGAAGATGATGAGAAATCCCTGAGAGAGAAAACAGTCACTGACCTATCCATCATCGACGGCACAGCAGCCGATCTCGTGTCAGGGCGGCCGGCCACATCTGAGGCCGCCAGCACGGAACTGTCGTCAGATGGCCGCGAGCCCGACAGCGCCTCCTCACCCCCTGCAAACGCTGATGCCAATACGGCTCCCCCACCTGGCCATACCCCCGCCACAGGTACAGACAAGAGGAAACGCTGCCAGTGCTGCATCCTCATGTGACTGAATCTTCTCCCTCTTCCATCCTTTTATTATTACCCACAACACCCCTCTCTTCTCCTCTGTCTCTGGATGGTTACTAACAGAAGCCCCGCCTTCCTCCTCCTCTGGACTCTGAATGGCTGGCACACACATGCACGCACACATGCTCTTGTCTGACCTTTTAACTTTTACTTGATTAAGTTATTCTTTCTTACATCTCTGCTTTTTTTTTACCCACTTTGTCAACATGGAGTCTCAGACAACATGACACATTTTATGAATTCAAATGAATCAGGAATAAAGCAATGCTGCCATATTTATGGTTAATACAACACATGTAGATGGAAAAAGAGTTGACTAGTTGATGTAAAACAACTCTCGGCGGTCTGTAAGACTTCGTGGACAATCAATCCCATCACCATGCTGTTTGACCAAACAGTCCGTATGGCTTTAAGGACAATCAAGTCGACCATCTCCTTTTAATAGGCCAGTTTATAAAACATTCAAAAAAGATGGACGCAGCCTCTGTTATTTTTTATTTCTCTTTCCAGTCACTTTTCACCTCCTTTCTCACAGGCCACTCTCTCTACAAAGGCAGATTCTTCAATGTCGTCTCCAAACATACACAGACACACATGAACAACCACACACCCGAAATACGAACTCCAACAACTCACCCCCTTCTCACCAGACGAAGAGGAGGGAACTCGTTGCCTTGGTTACTTTATGTGCCTCTTCATCCTTTCAAATAGATAGTCCTTATGAAAAAGAAAAAAAAAAAAAGAAATAGAGATGAAAACATCTATCCGACTTTTATTTTGTTTACTGTTAATATCTGAACATTCTTTTCTTTTGTTCTGAAACTTGAAAGACCATTGAATTGTTTGGATGCCAGTTTCCGTGGGAGCCTAAAGTTCATGACACTGTTGTTAGCAGTAACAGGACTCTCTCTTTCTTTCTCTCTCTCTCTCTCTTCCTCTCTCTGTCATTTTCTCCATTAACTCCAGCTATTCCACTGCTGAGGTCACTTCCTCCTATTCTGGTACTTTCTAACTCAGCAACCAATAAGAAGCACTGAGACCCTTTTGGCTGCCAGTATGATCCTCGCAGTCATCTTTTCCAGTGTTACTAAAGGTTACAGAGCACAGGAAGCTAATGGCAGCTTAATGAGTCCACTCTGGCAGCCAAGGAACATGTATTTCCAACTATAAAAAACAAATATGGGTTACCACTTACAGCCTGGGCACAAAGTTGTGAATAGTGAATATTACTAAGCACTACCATATTTCTAAATTACAGCTATTGCAGCGGTGTTCAGATGAGCTTTTAGAGAAATTTGTAATACCTGTTGATCCTTTCGCCTTTTAAATTCACTCCATCACAGCACAAGAACACAAGAGATCCATTACGCTCTGCACTAAGAGACTAAAAACACTGCCAGCGCTTGCTGTAGTCACAAACCAGGTCCTTGTTTACAAGAGTGCTACAAATAATGTGGCCTGGGCTTCATTACAACGACATACAGTATGTGGTACACTGTAGAAAAAAGCTCTCAAAAGCAGTAATCATCCTTGTTCTGTTGCATGATAATGGAGGCTCTGAAAAGGTTTTGCTTCATTTCAAGGCTCTTTATGGTACATGAAATAGGGGAGATTGTGCTGTTCAAGAGGCCTGAGAGAGATAGTGACTGCATTATGCCATTGTACACTGGAAGAAATGTCTGTTTCCATGGTTTAATCAATAAACTTAAACGGGCCAGATGTGTGATTGAAAAAGATGTTAGCAGGTTTACAAAGAGGTTAGAGAGGCTCTTCAGGTCCAGATAACGGGGTTTGGGGTTGTTTGTAGTCCAAGATGATGTGGCATTCAAATCTAAAAAGGGTCTTTGTGTAAGTTATCCTCTCTAAAATGTTGATATTGGCACAGAAAAAAAAAATCACCCTGGAAAAAATCTCTAACTAGTGACCCTGTGAGCCTCCCAAACCTTTTTTTTTCCAGAGTGCTGCATTTATTCTTTATTTTTTTAGTCATCATCTGCCTTACCAGTCCTTTAAATAAAGTTAGCTGGGTTCTCGCTCAGATAACTGACATCATTTGACAACAGAAATAATATCTTGGATATGAAAAGGTCTCTGTATAAATCACCTATTCCCTAACATAATTCTGTGCACAGCCATACACTCCCACCGTTGAACTGTTTCTTCAGTACAGGACTGTAACTCGAGTTCTGCCTTCAAACATTCATGCTTTAGTATGATTGGCCAAAGCTGCTGTCAGTCAGTCACCACTGGCTGTGTGATTGGCCACCACAAGGCTGTGGCATGTGTAGATAAAGAATGTAAATACGCTCTATATTCTATTTAGCAATGATTTTATTTTCAACACATATAGAAATGTAGAGATAATTCAGAGTAATCTGGGTACTGGACATTGTTCTAGTATCCAACCATGCCATATCACAACTGTATGAGTGCACAAATACCACCTTCGTATATCTGCATTCACTAATGTCACTGCTTTGCTGTGTTTAATCTCATTATTAACCCCCCCCCTACACACACACACACACACACACACACACGTAAACACACACACACTCCTTACCTCTACCTTTAAAAACTCTTGGCAGCTGCTTCCATTCACTTACCAAGTATGGTTGGCTTTGGAAACACCAGAGGATCTTAACATTGTTCACAGTCAGGATCATAAATAATAATAATAACACTGAATTTGCATGGTAGCCATTAAAGTATAGATCACACGCCATTAACCTAACTGCTGACCATCTTTAAAAACAAAAATAGTATCCACAATGATTCCTTGCGAGCAACCATCTGTTTCCATTCATTAAGGTAAAGCTTTAAAGTCTATGTTGTCAAATGAAATGCATCTGAGAAACAATTTTGTTGATAAAAACACACACTTATCTTTTACACTGTGTGCATGTTTCAATTTTTCCACCACAGATCTTATGGGGAAAAACAAAAAAGATGAGTCTTCCAAACATTTTGTCCCAGACTTTCTCCTCCATGACACCCATGAGCAACAAATGGACCGTAAGGCCTGTAAAGGCAGAGGGCAGTCACTCATGCTGTCATGTTAAGTGCCCCAGATTAGCAAACAGTTATTCACTGCATGAATGTTTGGTTGAGGCTATGCAAAGAGGTGTATTCAACCTTTATAAATACACACATGATGTGCAACAGAGCAAAAAAGCACTTATTGTATGTACCAAGAGAGAAGCCCTATCATATCCAAAAAAAAAGAATAAGTGAGAGACTGGGTTCGAATTAATGCAGCCTGACCAATCAAGTGTGTGTGTGTATGTGTGCGTGTGTGTATGTGTGTGTTTGTTTTTAATTTAATGCAAGGAGCTTTACAAGAACATCAGAGTTGTTGAGTTTACCAGCCCCACTGCCAAGCCTGCAGTACTCCTCTGATTCTCTAGGGGTCTCTCTTTTACTTGTCTGCCTGCCCTCATGGTTGTATGGACTGTTACAACAAAAAGGAGCCATTTTCTATTGTTCACCTCTCTATTTCTCTCTCTCTCTGTCTCTCTCTCTTCCTTTCAATCTGTCACTTTCTCTCTCTTCTTTCTCTCTGATATCTGTACCTTCTCTCTATCTTTGGTCAATAAAGCTGAGTTTCTCCAGTGCCCCCCTGCCGACTCTTGCTTGTTGTTCTTTCCATCTGTCTCTAACATTCACATTTTCATTGGCTGCTTACAAAGATATCACAAGCTACCCTGACTGCACCCCTACCTCTCTATAATACCCACTACCACTAACAAATACACACATTTCAGACACAAACACGTGATTTTCAACAGTCAAACAAGCTTTAACTCTCGTTTCAAGGCCTCACTTGTACTTTTGTTTAGAAGTCATGATGATAAGAAGGAAAGTTTGAAAGACCAATTAAACTCCTCCTTCCCTTCTGTTTGACTCAGACAGGTTTTACATGCATGTGGTGCTTTTCACTGACTCACAAACTCAAATCACAGAGGAGTAAAATCAATTGGGTAATGCAACAACTCCTTGTAAATGAGGGAAGGAGGCTGTTATAAATTTGCAAAGTTGCATGAACATAAATGAAAGCCAGTTTGATGGATTTTGCCTAAAACATGCACAACTTTATAGTTTTTAATGAGTTATCATCAAACTGAAAAACAGAAGTAACAAGAACCAAGAAAAGATCTTCTATGTCTCATATACTTTAAGTATTTTAGGCACTGCTCTTCTGTTGTGTAATCTACAACAAATCGGCACATATTGCATCCAGCTAACATAAAATGTTTACTTCTTTCATCAGCATACCTTTAATTAAATCAGGTTACATGGACATGTATTGAAGTAAATAAGCTGTTCTCAAAAAAAGGTTACATTCATTACCTTTAGGATTATGCAACACTTGATTGGTTAATTTTGTAGGTTCATAGTTAAATAGGTTATGAGTAGATGAATGTAACATGGTATGAGTCTGTTCTCAGAAAATCATAAAGGATGGCTTAACGGCAAAGAAACTTGGAGCAGACCTTTGAAATAACCTCCCGTTTTTACTGACTCGCCACTGCCCATGAAAAATTGCTCTAATATAACATTCCTGTGGGGACCCAGACTGTGTCTGTGCAATCTAATGAGTTTACACCCTGCAAAAAATATATTAAACTCGAAAAAAAGGACTGTGAGTACTAAAGAAGATAGACGGAGGGCATGGGGAAGCTAGGGAAGTAGTTGATGCTGAAGAAGGAAAGAAGAAAGCTCTGAGACTGATCGTAAAATAGATTATGAATAGATGGGTGGATCAATAGACTGTAACTCCATGCCCTAGTTCTGCAGGAGCCCTGAGGCGCCACCATGGTACCAGTAGTAGGTACTACAAGAAGACATCACAGATTTCAAACACTGCCTGTTTACTCAGCTAACCTCACTGGCTCAACTAAAAACCCACAGAGAGCAGCAGAGACACTATCGAGATGAAAATACAAAACAAGCTGCACTTTATACATGAATGAGACACCCACTTATCTAAAGACACTGTGAACATGAAGAAAGGCAGGTTTTTGTTTAAGAACAGGACAAAAAAGAAACAGACTGTGTTCTGTAAATCAGTGAAGGTACAGTACTGCAACACTTCTAAACATGAGGCTGTTTTAGCTCGATGTCGTCATCTGTTTTTTGATGACGTGCATCTATCTTGGATGAAGGACACTGTTACTGTTCACATTTAAAACAGACAGGATGTGAGGAGGTCAGCAGTCCAAACAAAACACACACTTCCCGCAGAGGAGAAAATACAAGGTGATAGATGGTTGCGTGAGAGACGTCAGTAGGATCATTATCTGAAAACAGGGCTGCAATTGAGCTGCACACACACTCTTCCCACACAATGAATGGGTGTGTTTTCAGCGATAATAAACACTAATTGATTTACCCTGAAACAATGACAGTCTTAGCTGAGACCATGCACGCAGATAATTATTACATATGCTCATTCATGCACTCACACAACTAATGATAATACACAAGTCAGTGGTAGAAAGCACAACTGTGATCTGGACTAACACTCAAATAACAATATGGCCTTGCAACTCTACATAAACTTCACATACTAACAATAAATCTGTTAATAAAATCATGTGCATTATGTGTTTGAGAGGGTACTTTAAGATGCATATAAATATAACAGAACAGTAGTTAAATATGTAAAATACACACTCAAATGCACAGTATGATACAAAATACATAATACTGGCTCTGAAGTGGATTTGCATCGACATATGAGGCAGGTTCACTGTGGCACAGACAAACTTAAACTTACTTCCATAACTTGTTATACTGTGAATTATTATTTTTTTGTAAAAACCTTGCACAACAACAGTTGCAGAGGTTGCAAGACTGGCAGGAGTAGAAAAGCATTGGTAGTTTAGTAGATGTTAAGTTTAGTAAACCTAATAGACTTGACTCCAGAGGCGTCACTCCGACTTTAAAGCAATGAGAAAAGTCTCAAAAAATAGCCAAAAAAAATGAATTGATTATGTTACTTACTATTTCAGTACGTCAGGAAAATTAAACTAGTAACTCAATCACAATTCATTAGCTATAAAACTGGTGATATCGACATGTCTGATTCTTGTTTGTGTCAGAGACAGCAGATGTATTCTTTGTATTGCATTCGATATTTCATTCCGTTTATGCTTGTGAAACTTCTCTCTAAACCACATCCTGAGGCAAAAATGACCTGTCTTTCATGAAGAGTCAAGGTTATAGAAATGCACTTCTTTATCCAACAGCAATGAGAGGTGCTGAAATATACAAAGACCAGCTACAGGAACAAAATGAATAGAAAATGATAATCAACAAAGATGATGATAATAACTCCATTTTTGTTTCATTATAGGTTACAACATAACACCAGGGTTTACTGTGCCAGAAAATGGATATCAAGCTCCAAACAGGCATCCACACACTGCAATGGTGAGTCAAAATGTGTTATTATGTTTACAAAAGGCTGCCATTACGGCCATTACATTTAACCATGAAAGTCTACGTGATCACCTACATGACGCACTTACAGGTGAAGTCAGAAAGCATGGTTTGACATCACAAAAGCATTCATGATCCATCGAAGGAGACCTACTTTCACAGCTGTTTGCAAAGGGTTACAGGCTTTCGAGACACAGTTTATCATTATTGAATTCAGCTCATAGACTGTAAAGGGTTTAGCCCATCTGGACGTCAGATTCTTGTACACTGTCTGCGTCTGTCTGTATAGTCTGCCTGTAAAAATGTCAAGAGAGAATGTTTGGAATGACATTCAGCCACATTTTTGCCTCTCTAGAGGTGAGTTACATGAGCTTGCATGTCCTGTTACAGCGCCTTTATGATATCAAACCCTTATATGGCCTTCGGTTAACTCAACATGACCTTATACTGTTTAATTATTTCTGCTGCTGAGCCCCTATAATAAATCTAAAGGGGCTTAAGATGAGACAAAGTACATAGTGTATGTAGCAGATTCACTGTACATTAGGCTATTCTTATCTGCTAGAGTGTACAGTAAGGTACAGTAATATTCCCTCGAGGGGTTATTGCTGTTCTTGCAGTTTTGAAAGCTCCAAAACTAAAGTTACAATATTCTCATATGAGATACTGTTCACTTTTTTATCAAGTATATAAAGATAGAGAATCCAAGTTCAATACATTTATCACTTCAGAACAATTTAGTTTATTTTGCTTTTTATACTCATGCTGTAATATGCACACATAGGCCTACATAGATATACATATATAACTAGATGTCTATATATTTGCTTATTTTATAGACACTCACATGAAAGCTATTGTATTATTATGACTTGCATACTGAATTCTGGATCATGTCCAATGCACCGCTCAGTTGTTCATGTTTTGCATTTAAAGTAAAGGTACACATTGTGTTTTTCTAGTGGGTTAATTGGTATGCCTGCAGATGTACTTGTTATTAGGATACTCCAACAAATGAGGTGGAGAAAACAACCCCAACCTTTAGTTTATGCTGCAATTGTTCCTTGGTTATCTGGACATTCTTTCAGGGACTTTTTGTCACCATTAGCTTGCTTACTAATTTATTGTTTCATGCTACCCTGCCCATAATCGCTCAAGCTTTCCTTTGGGTGAACAAGCGCTGAGTTAGATGGGTTGCACACTGTGTAATTAACAACTCTGGCCACCACTATATGTATAATCCCAATTAATTGGAAACAAAACAGAAATATTAGCTCATTCTCTACCTAATGAATTAGACATGGGCACAGACTGTGAAGCTTAGCCATTTGCCAACCACCACTTGCCCAATTAGGGCCAGTTCTTGGCACAGAAATAAACATGTCCATTATGTTTGGTGGCAATACGGCTAAAGCATAGACTGTATATAGAATGGACAGCACATAGTCGCCTATATAGGGGTTAGGGATCCATTTCGGACACAGCCTTAGTTTCAGGAAATGGAGAAAAAAACACGGAATTACCGAGAGCTTTTTGGCTTCAAATCCGTGTACCGGCAGAAACAAGTTGTCCATCCAGTCAACGGGCTAAAGCAGTCATCACATCAATGTGTGTTATATCATCTTTATGGTTTAGCCCCACTCTGTTTAGCCAGTTCATGACCCAAACTTCCTCATTAGACAAGCACTGCTTGATAAAGCTTTGAAAATGAGGCCTTCAATTATTAATTTCTCAAGCAGATGCTGAGATAACACTTTGGTGCATCTAAGATCATAACAACCTATTAAAAACTACACAACCAGATATTTTTTAATGAGTCTTTATAGGGAACCAATGCTTCTCTCTAGAAAAACTGAACTTTCTGTGGACATATTGAAGTGTCCACCATTCAAGACCTGAAGTAGTTATCTTAAACTTTATTTTATATCCAGCATGCTTGTACTACTTAGTTACAGTCACTGCAATGTTCTGGACTGTTCTGAGTATCTGTTTGTTTCACTGAAAACGCCACCTGAGCACATTTGAGAGGGGGGCTAGAGCCTGGGGCGGGGAGGGAGACAGAGAGAGTTGGGGAGACAGAGGGTGGGGTACAGAGGCAGGGGGGAGCTAGCTGGGCTGCAGCTGGGCTGTTCGCAGCTGAATAAATGAATGAAAGGCAGTACGGCGGTAACCTGATCCACGCGGGTCAGTCTCATTGTGCTTGGCTGGAGCTCGCGCTGGCGGCTCGCTCTCTGATTGTCTCTGGAACGGGACAGAAAACACTCCCGGGACCTCGCGAGCCCTGCATTATTCAGCGCGCGTGCCTTGAAAAAAAAGGAGAGAGAGAGAGAGAGAGAGAGAGAGAGAGAGAGAGAGAGAGAGAGCTGCCAGTTGGAAAAAGCTGGCGCGTACAAGGAGCTCAATGTCATCTCATTCAGAGGCTGCCGTCTCCTTATCACTGCTGCAACCACCACGAGAAGCTGCTCCGCTACTTCTCCTCCTCCTCTCCGTTTGCAGCTATCTCTATAGTGTCCCGCCGGCCGTTGGTGCAAGGGCTCTGGTAATTTCGATGTGAAACACTGGAAAGAGAAGACAAAGCAAACAGAAGATAAAAAGTAGCGGTCACTCTGTCCGGTTAAGCCTCCACCGTTAGAGCTAATCCCGGTCATTAGTCGTTAGTTTTCCTGAGGAGCTCCGGGGGATCAGCGCTCTGACGGCCACACATCTTTCTCCGCACAGGTAGAGTGAATTAAACAAATGTTATTACTCCAAATATGTCAGGGTGTAGCCTAAGTGAGCAAGTTACAAGGAAAGGAAACTAATGGAGAGAGAGAGAGAGAGAGAGAGAGAGAGAGAGAGCATACTCAAAGGGTTACATTTGGGCTGCTTTTGCGTTTGTGTATCTCAACTAATGGCTTTCCAGGGGGGGACACTGCATCCTTTCCTCCTCATGGAGACACCCAAAGGGGGTCAGTGGACCAGACTGCTTGCTGCAGTGGTCTCTGCTTCTCTCGGTGTGTCTTTGTGCTCCTCCTCCTCCTCCTCTGCATCACTTTAACCTACATATAGAAATGACCTTAACCTGGTTTTCATCATCAGCATCCTGAATGACTTGGCAGAGACACAGAGACAGTATTCCTGCTGATGCTGCTCATCAGAAGCCTTTCTCACCTGGATTTTTTCCTCTTAGTCATATGTTTTTGTCCAGTTGCAGGTTATTTTTATGGCTTATTATCTAGTGTTTACCTTCAGCTCTCTTTCTCTAAAATAGATGCAGCCAGCTATCTCGAAATATGGTCTTTGCAAGTTGTTGAAGCACATAAAATTCCAGCCTCACTTGTATTGAAAAGCACTGGCATTTTCAACTTTAACTTCTCATGTTAACATTCGTAAAAATTGAAAGTGGCAACACCCATGATTGTTTGCACCGTAGGAGAGCAGGAGCTGATGATCACACCGAAGAAAGCTGTCACATGCTCACATGTTTGCTCTGCAAAGTTTTGATCTTTCCTTTGACCTATAGCTGTTACCAAGCAACTAACAACTCTTTGATTGCTGGCTTTCAAATGATTCAAAGCGAGATGTACATTTTCACGCTGTGTGCTAATGATACACGTGGCTGCCTGTTGGCTTTTGATTCTGGATTACACAGACAGATGATTTTAACCTCATTTAAATTAGAGATTAGATCATTAATCTATCTTGTCTCTATTGCTTGTTCTCAGCTGCAGGTAAATACTCTTTAAGTTGAGACTCACTGTCGAGATACCGACATTTTCTCTAATTGCAGCTGGCCAACAACGCTAACAATCCATCTGAGCCCTGAGAAACCGCAAACAGTCTTATAGTTGCTTTGTGTGAGGGAAAAAAAAGAGATGTGTTCATCTCTAGTCAACCTTAGAGATGGCAGCTTTTATTTAGTTTGCACTATGTTTACACAGCAGTGCTGGAAAGACAGGCAAACACATCCACCTGGCAGGAGGCAGCAAAGAGGGCATCAAAACAGCACGAGACAGAAGGTGCATTGGACCATTTTTTTTTCCTATCAGCATGTCTCATAAAGTGTGTTCAATCACTTTTTCTTGTGAACTTTTGGAGCATCGAGTTTATAGAAAGTGTTTCGTGTCTACAGCAGCACTTTGAGATGAAGTTTTAATCACATTTGGTCGGTAACATTCCAAATTTAGGAGCAAACAAAGCTGTGGCGAGGGTTTAAAAGCCTTTTTATTGCCCACGCTGCAGACTAGACTAGATCATCATTTGTGTTCACCGTTTTGTTTGGTCACCATTTAAAGTAATGGGCTGATTCTGGAACTAACAAAGCCAAGGCAGCAAAGTGCCAATTCAGTCTGTGTGTTTGCCAAAACCTCTGCCAAGCCCCAGGACAGAAAAATCCCAGCCCGCACTCCAGCCAATGACATGAGCCACCTGAATATCCTATAGACAGTCAGTGTTTGTTAGTGTTACTCCAAGTCTGTGTGTGTTTGTGTTTGAAGTACATTTCCTGTCCCCAGTGAGAACATGGACAGAACCAGCAGACCTATCAATGATGTCTATTTCCTTCAAACCTCTTCCTCTTCCCAGAACCCAGACACACACATTAACTCACTCACACACAGATAATCACAGGTTACGCAACAGCTGTGAGACTGTTAATGCCAAAGCTTGGTGAAGCCAAAAGTTCACAAGAGGTTGAAATGAACATGAGGTAAAGAAGCGGAGATGGGCAGAGAGTGACCAATGTGTTGGCAAGAAAGGAGCGAGGAGAGCAGAACCAAAGGGTAGTGCAGGTGGGTATGTTTATGTGCGTGTTGGGAGTAGTCAGAGCGGTGAACGTGGAGGATGCTAGCAGGATGTCTGTTCAGCCTCACATGGCTTGAAGTGTTGTTGACATTAACTGGCCGATGGCCTTTCAATGGCCGATCTGTTGATGGTTCTTCACAGGCAGTTTTCCAGGAAGAGAGTGATACTCCACCTCCAGTGATTGGATGGCGGCCCAAACATTACAGTCATTTCAGTACGGTTCAGCTGGACACAGTTGCCACCCACTTATTGATGTTTTTTCTGTAATATTACGATTTGATTCAGAACTGCAGGAACTATGAACTATTGTTGTTCCTAGGACCCTAATTTAGCTTCTGCTTCAGGTACTTTCGCAACACAAGGGGGCCTGTAAGTGATGTCAGTACACTGTGATTGGTTCAAGTGTGTGTGTGTGTGTGTGTGTGTTATCAGCTGATAATGAGTGGATGGCATGAAAAGAAAGGATGAAATCATGTGTTTCCCTCAGGCCAGCTATTAGACGGAGCCTTGGAAATGATTTTCTACCCTTGAAACAAAGCCTCCTCATGTTTGTGCATGTCTGGGTATCTGGGATTTTCAGTAGTTCTTGGGTGTGATTACCCTTTGAGGCTATTTCTGAATAGCCCATGGGAATGTGGATGACAGCTCAAAGGGATGAAAGGACACAGTGGGTATTGTGTGTGTACGACCGGTTTGTTTGTCGTTATTTCTTCTCGGAAAATTGAGCTTACTGTCAAGCACACCTTTAGCAGTTTGAAAGAAAAGAGAGAAAAGTCTTGAGTTGATCTCACTTTAAGTGTATGGACTGCTCTTGTCTTTATTTTCATATTCATTTGGTCCCTTCAGACATTTTTCTATGCTACAGGAAGAGAAAATGTACTGGAGACACAAATCAGGTCTAATGAGGAATAGAGATTAGAGAGTATCCACTTTCTAAATGAGGGAAACTCATTTGCATATGGATAGAAAAAGTACAGGCTAAAATAGTCAACAGAAGACCACCTCTATGCCAGTTTGTTGTCTCCTTAATGAAGACACTATAAAAAGATAAACAAGGAAACTCAATTTGTCAGAGATAAAAGCTATCAAAGCTAAAAAGCATATTAACTCAAATGGTGTAGGCATTACTCATTCCACTCCAAGTGTCTGCTAGTTTACCGTGGTCCAAAATCGGTGTAATTGCAGACAGTTTCCAAAGTGACAAAGGATGGGGGATAGGGTTGTCAACGAATATTCTAAATATAAATTTAAAAAAAACAAGATTCGGAGCTGCTCCTGCAGTGAGACTCAACAAAAACCGTCTGTGGCACAAACTGGGAGAGAGTGGTCTGGACTCCAATTAACTTTAGAAGCTCCGTTTGGAGATAATTTGGATTTTGGGCAGACACAGAAAAAATGCTGAGTGAGATGAAGTTATATGCAAGCTGTGTAAGATAGATATTCGAATATGTTCGAACCTATGTGTTATTTTTTGGAACGAATATTCAAACGTCATTTTGGAGCAATTTTGACATCCCTTATGGGGAGTGACAACCTGCTCTATTAAGTATCCGCTAAAGCATTTTTCAAAACCTGATAATCAATAACGTCTGAGCTATCGGGCCTTGAGGGTCCTGTGAAGTAGCATTATACTTTGAGTTTAGTCACTTATACAATCGTGTAGCGCAAAAAAAATATGGAAGAGACTGGATGGCAGTATCAATAAGGACTTGAATCATTAAGGAGTCTTGATAACGGGCAATTTCCACCACATCCTGAACGGCTACAAAAAGGCTGTATCCGCCGATCGTAGCTGATTGTAACCATTCAAGTTAATGTGTCAGTTTCCGACGGCTTCTTTCTGTTCTGCTGCGGATCGCCAGACTCCGCTCCAGATCGGAGCTGTTCTGGATGCGGTGTAATGGTTTCAGTATCAATAAAGTCAACAATCCCCATCTCTACCAGTGACAATACTAAAACTGGTATTCCACTAGCCTGGAAGCGACCTAGCCGGTAGCGTGAGGGTGGGTGTGACGTCAGTCCCACAACACTGAATACAACATCTATTTAACTTAACTGACTCTAATGTTTGTGTTCTCTACACTGTCTCTTGCTGAGGCTGCATTTGTCAACAGAACTGTAATTCAGTCATTTTCAACATTAACCAGAAAAATTAACACTTGGACCAAAATTAGTACGATAAAAACTAACTTTAGTGACAAAATTAACAGAAAGATTACTGTTATGTTGAGACTCTTGTTGCTTTGACCAAAAGAGAATTAAAAAAGTCAAAGAGCACTTTTTTTCATCACATTGCATCATCCGAAAACATTTTGTTCAGGATTTTGGTATTTATGTTCTCAAGAGGAAGAGAACCGGAGGGATGCAGGAAACACAACAATAAAACCCCTCCATGTGATGGCCACCATTACACAACCCCTACCACCCACTATTGTCCACAACATCCACCAACTATTGTTGTAGTCTGCAACAGAAGTTATTCATTAAATACAAAGCAAACCACAAACCACCTGCTAGCACAAATACTGTGTTTACAACAAAGATGTGCACAGAGAACATGACATAACGAATTTTAAGAATGACATGTGATAACAATTCAGTTTTAATACAGGAATTCAGAATGAACAAGAAGCCGTTTGATAAAATACGGAGGCAGAGACCGAGGCTGTGGTTCCAGGGAGTCAGGAGGCAGGATGACCTCAAATGTCAGGGCATCATTTCATAACACAGGGCTGTGTTTTGATTTTGAAATACTGCTGAAGTCTCTTATCACATCCCTGCTGTAGACTGGAATGTCAGGAAGCCATGGTGTTTGAGAAAGTGAGAATAGGGCTTTAGGGGCTGCTATATAAGTCGTTGTAAATGTATCTGTATACTTTATGAGGAAGCAGTCAAGCTCTGAGTTCTCACAGTCAAGGCCTTTAAAGAAATATGATCAATTTAGGAATTTGAGGATTTTTGTCATAGTTCTCCTGGAATGTACTGTGCATTACTGACGCTGTGGAGGGAGTTTTCCTTAAAGGTTAGCTAAAGGTAAGAACTTGGATCTTAAGTAAACATTAGATCTAGGTCAGTATTTTATCAGGTTTTCTTGACAGAAAAAAACAAACAAAAAGGAGTATCTTTGATTTCTCTCCCAGTAGTGCTGCCAAATCAGAGTCCTACTAAATCTGCGATCTGTTATTTCTCTAAAACCACAAAAACAAGCACTGAGAAATCTAATGAAATGAAGAATACTGTAATCGTCAGGCCCAGACATGTTCTCTGTCACAAGTCTGTTTTCTTCCTGTGTGAACCTCCTCTGTCTGTCTAAATACTGCAGCCTAATGAGCTGGTTTCCGGAAATAGACAGGTGATTAGCACACGGCCGCACACTGTAAGGCAAAGCAGAGCTAGTTAATGCTGTAAGCTAACGCTGGGATGAGTTCCCTCTCTGAGGATCACAGTGTTAATATGCTTTGGCTCATGGTTGGGAATAGGCGAATGCTCCAGGTCTTAAAAAACTCTTTTATATGCTGCTCAGATAAAACCATGCAGCGTCAGAGCTTACAGACAGATTTATTCCAAGAAGAAGCAAAAACAGCGATCTTTTACATTGCGGTTCAACTTTGCTTGTGATGGCTAACAAGGTCAGACAACTTCTTAACCTCTGTGCATTTGCTGTGTTAGACTGTACCTGTGTGGTTTGATGAAAACATTTTGTCTAATATTTTAAATTCCAAGTGCTTCAAATACTTAATTTGAATTTTGGGCTTTTGTTTTCAATGCATATTCACTTCATTATCCGTCAACATGGGATGATAATCAAAGCTAACTAATATGCTAGCTTGCTGACTGAGGTGAAGTGAGGTGTTGGCAGGTAGGTGTGTCAAGCTCTCTAAACATAGCTATCTCACTGAATAAAGTTCTGTACACTAATCTAATCTTTCTCCACGAAGGCCACACCAATTTGAGATAATTGATTAATACATTACATGAACAGTGACAGGTGGTGCCCTTGGTCAGTTACTGTGTGATAAGCTGATGATGTCAATGATGCAGATTGACCAAACAGTTGGAAGAGGAACTTTAGGGAGGTTGGAGAGGCAGCATGTAGTTTCAACTGTGTGTTTTTTTCAGAAACTGGAGGAAAGTTTTGCAACTATGAGTATTAGAGAAGCTGCACCGAATCCATTTTGCATTTATAATAAATATTTTTACTTGCTGTAAAACCTGCACATTCAGACATGTTTGAATACAACAGCTTCTCTGTCTAGTTTTATTTCAGCCAAACCACTCCAGGTTGTTAGCCGGTCAGCCTCATTGTGTGGTCTGTGGCTGCACTGAAGGTTCTGTGGGAAAAGAAATACTAAAATGGGCTGAATCATGCAGGGAAAGGATTAGAATTATATGCTTGATGACTTTTCCTCTTCTGATTCACACACAAACACACACATGCGCACACACACACAGACACAGAAAATGGGTGGGTCTCACATAAACTCACACACACATGAACGCACACAACTGTGTCCTCAAAACCCTAAATGCAGCCATCCGTGTGGTCCCTCCTCCTCATGTGACATGTTGTCCTCAGTTTATTTCTTGTAAATCTTTCTGATACCTCTGAGTCCTGACGGTTATTTTTGTCTTCTCAGTTTTAGAATACTAACAGTTGAATCCACCCCTCTTGAGAAGTCTATTTGTAGTGTGGTGTGCATACTTAAAAAGGGGTGTGTTGATAGTTTTAGTCATTGAATTGCTTGGTCTGTTATGATAGGTTCGATTTATGTCATTATTCTTATGTTCCTGTTGTCTATTTTTAGTGTTTGGTTCAGGAGTTCACTTTCCTGTGTTTCCAGTTTTATTATGCCCTATTTTTTTCTAATTAACCTTTTGAACTTTTGTTAATTAAAACCTTTAATTGTTTTGAATCTGCAAAAGTGTCCTTCTCCTTTTGTCTGAACGTAATATTGTTGCATGGCCAATGTATGCACGGATGTGTGATGTGATTTGAGGGAAAGGTAATGATAGCTGACAGCAACTTCTGTGTCCTGCTGGATTAGCAGCAGGAGAGAACTGTTGCATAACGAGGGCGGTTGAGGAAAGAGAGGACAGGGAAACTCTGCTGCTGCTAAAATAAGTTTGTGACAATGGGTCCTAAATTTCCGGGAAAGCGGTGTCATTTTTTATCATTGGGAATTTCCTGATTTTAATGGGTAGTCAAAGGTGCCTTAAAAGACTGTGATAGCATAGTTGCAATGGAATTAAACAGTATCATCTGCATATAGGCTTACTTAATGAGAGCTTGGTGGTTTAGTGCTACTTTTCTTTTAGCTTTTGTTCTTCTGGGATTATTTAATGGTATGTCTGAATGATGAGCTCTTTTAGTCAACTAAATGACTTGCTATGATGGTTAAAAAAAATAAAAATGTGGGCCATATGTTTTGTTTGAGCTGTTGCGTCATTGACCACAGGCTGCAATAACGCAATAATGCTCTACTCAAATATAAACATGCACAGATGAGAACTCTCATCCTGTAAAGCAGCAGTTTCACAGTATATGAGTCTGGAAAATGGAGAAAAAGTTGTTTGTTTTGTTTAGTAAACTTTCATAGCATTACTTGACTGGAGCGACGCACTACCAGCACAGGCGTGTGGTAAATAACCAAAGCTCTAAGAGTGTTTGCCACACTGCAAACCAATTCACACACTTTCCTGCAGACCTATGGGATCCTGTGTGTAGTCATGTTGTGCAAAATGTCCACTGTTTTCTATGTTTTCTTAGTAATAGACAAACCCGTTAGTTTGAATTAAACTACTTGGACATTAGTTGCGTTTGAACATCCTTAGTAGGCTATGTTTGATAATCACAATACTGCAGGCCTCTGCAAAAGCGTCTGAGTCATTTAAGACATCCTGTGTGTTGTGTTGATTGAATACTTTATCTAATTTGTGCATTAAGTGTGATGTATGAAGAATGGCTGTTAGTGGTTAGTCAGTCAATGACTTTGAAGGACATTTTTTCAGTCATAATTTGTTCATATGATCAATGTATGTGGAACCTGGCCCTCGATAAGCAGCATTTGATTTAAATATCAAATCTGTGCCCTAATGGGAAGGAAAGAAAACACAGAACAGTTTTCTAGCCCAGGCTGTAGCTCATGATGGACAGTTTCAGTATTCTCAGTGTTGGCACTAGACAGTGTTTTGTCCCTGTTAGTCCTGCACTTGTGCCGTCAAAGTTAACCTGGCTCTCTGCCCTGTGCTTGTAGAGCCCGTGCACACAAATGGTCACACTCTTTGACTACAGACCTTTCTGCTTGAGAAGAACCTCCATCTGTGAGCAAATAAGTGTGCTTGTTACGTGTGTGGATGTGTGTGTGTGTTTGTGTGTGTGTGTGTTCTAGCATTAGTATTCAGTCCTGAGAGTCCCACTGAAGCGCTTGCTGGGCCCTTTGTTGTTGCTTCATGAAGGGGTCTTAGGGGGCCTGGGTTGTGTGTGAGAAGTGTCATGAGAGACTTGGAAAGGGACACAAATAACGGACACGAGTCCAGACTTGCAGTGCATTCCTCTCCAACGCTCAAAACCTAAAAGCTTTCTGAACAGTTTCAGTCTGGTGGTTTTTCTAAATTCTCTGGCAATGAGGAGGTGAAGATTGCTTTCATTCTGCTGCAGCACTGCAGTATGCTGTTGCTGTGTTTGTGTGTCTGTGTTTGGAGTTTAGTTGAGGTACACAAAAGACACAGGAACCATTAAGAGTTGTGCCTCTAAAAGAGGAAGTGATTCACTACAGCTACAGGGATTGTGTTCTCCACGGAAGTTCTTGTGCCAGTTTCTGGATGAAAAATAAATGCTGCCTATTCACTTAGTCACACTAGTTAAAGACCCACTTCGATGAAAATGATGTTTTTCTTGTTGTCTCCGTGTTCATTTGGCATTTTTCTGATGCTACAGGACATATCATGAAAAAATAAGTGGGAAAGTTCATTTCGGAGTATTTCTGCATTCAAATCATTGTGATCTCAGGCAGATCTAAACGGAAGGCTCAGATACAGTGAGATTTCCTACATCACAAATCCAAACTCCGCCCCCTGAGTCCCACTATGCAGGCCAGACTCTGAGAAGTAGAGACAGACGATCGCGGAACAAGCCTGTGTGTTAGCAGAGTGCAATGCTCATAAGAAAGCTAATTATGACATTAACTTTCATCATGTCCCCAAAGACATTAGTGTCCGAGAACTGAATAGATCCGATATTACCTGCTTCATCGTCTACATTGGCAATGTTAGGCTGTAAGCTAGGGTGAAGAGGAGGGTGCAGAGCAGCGCTGTCTCTGCTCCATCTCAGAGGTGAATTGGTAATGAGCTCTGCAGAAGAAAAGCCCTTGAAAATGACACAGGTAATTCAATATTACAATTCAATATGCAGAGAGTTGTAAAGATAGAAATATCAACTCGCAGCTAAAGGCATCTACAATGTTTCAGCACGTTTTAAACAGTATTTTTAGTGTAATGGCCTTTGTTATCTTTGAAACGACTGATTTTGCCAAACGTTGACCCCAGTGACCTCAGCATGATGCTAGAAGTTCATGATTGTGTGCGCGGCTCTTAGATTTGGGTATGTTTCCTGTGTTGAGGGCAACTTCCATGGATACAAAAGTTAGCTTAGCTTCCTGATTTCCTGTTTTGATAACCTGTGTGCTCAGTGATAGGCTTTTATCCAACCAGCTGCTTCCTTTACTTTACTACATCTTTTTTTTCTAATGTCTCAAAACTGCTTGCCATTCAGTCTTGAAATTCATTGTCATTATCTCCATCTACCAAAAAGACTCAAGGATTTCCGTAATGAAAGTAAGGTACTGGAGGATTGAAGAGGGTGATCCCCATCACTGCAGAGCTTCAGCATGTGAAATAAGTTTGTTATCACTAGGATTTAACAAAACTGTTGTGAGTTCAATCAGGTGGAGACGGACTCTGATATTTAACACCTGTTTTAAGGAGACTGAAGGAATTCCCACTCATGCATGTCACCAGTGTGTAAGAACATTTCTCTCTTCAGGATAGTCAGCTGTTTAGATCTGTCACACGTGGTTGACTTAATCAACAGTAGATGAGGACATGATGACATGATCAGGACATGAACTTGGATCTGAAAGGATAATTGTTATTTACATTGTGGTTGTACTCTCTCACTGATGCTAGGCTTTACATGTTTCCACTGTACTTGACCTCTATAGCTTGTGTGTGAGCGTGTGTTTCTATAGAGTTTATGTGCCATAGCTAAGTGTCTCATTCGCTTTGAGCTGATCAATCATGATCAGCTGTCATCGTGACAGCAGACTGCTCTAGGCACTTATTGACGAGACAGTGTTGACCCAGTTACACACAACCACACATGGACAACCACATGATTAAATCATCATATAATACTCCTACTGCTTTCTTCTTTTCTCCTTTTTTCTTCTTTTTTTCTTGGACACCTCTTCTACAGCTGTGGGCTATTTAAGTTCGGTAGCTTTGCCAGCACGAGTGTATTGACCATCACAAGTCTTCTTGTGTGTTACAACCCAGTCAGGGCTGGAAGTCCCCAGAGCATATCCAGTAATTGGGTTACTGTCCCAATTTTCTGTAACCGATTTCCCTCCATGAGTTATTTCTAGTCTGGGAACCCACCAGGAAGTAGTGTTTTTTTTTTCTTTTGAAACATGGAAAAAAAATATTTAATAAAAAAATTAAATACAATTTTAATACATTTTTTGGAGCATTTTTTTGCCTTTATTATAGGACAATGGAGAGAGAGAAATGGCATGCCACAAATAGTCAGGCCAGGACTCATAACTGCGACTAACCCACTCGGCAAACATGGAAGGATTATAATTTGATAGTTGAAATGTAATGGTTAAAACTTGATGCTGAGGGGGACACCTGGGCTTTTGTTGGTCTGTCTTTGTGGTTACACAGTCAGATAATCTCTCTGCATTAGAGATGCAAGGAAAAGAGATGTTGATGGTACGATTGTTGTCTGAGTGACAATCACAGTATCATGACCTTCGCAATCATTGCATATTCATTCATTTCACAACATTTCTGAAGAATAATATCACATGAAGAACAACCTTAAAAAATATGAGTGTTATTTATTTTTACTATTGTTATTTATTTAATGAATGTTGTTTCTTTGGTCAAGATTTTGGACCAGTTGCTAAAATCCCTCTTTTTCCACGGTTACATCATTTGTCTTCCAGAATGTGAACTTCAATTAGCAAATACTCCAATGCTTGATGGAGTGGTTAGTTTACTTTTGGTTTCCATGTTATGAGCTGCTGGTATTTCCTCCTTACATTCCTTCTTAGACAGGTTATATTTCATAGTAGGATTTTGCTTGTAGTTTGTTGTGTTTTCACAAAGCTAAGGTGCTTGGCCATGGAGGTTTTGCAAATCTTTTTTTTTTTTTTCGTTAATTCCTTTTGATACTGATGCCTTTTTCCAGACTCCTCCGAGTCCTTTTCATACTGCTATCGAGTCTTTTTTATTATTGTTTCTTTTAAACTATTGAATTTGAACTGATTTTTTGCGACTCTAGCATTTGAACACATCATGAATGATAATGTAGTATTCACTTTTGCCTATCTTTCGTTTGTGAATGCCTCACAATGAAATTGTCTGTCACCTTGATTAGTTAGCTTATTAGCTTCTGTTCGGCTGATTTCAACAAGAATTTCAACACTGGATCGAGATTTTTAACTTACAGGACTTGCTCCAAAGTCTGGCTGTGCTTACCCCAGCTGCTTTTGGTGAAGAAGACAGTCAGAAGACAGGGTAAAGACATACAGACAGTCAAAATAACTGCAGGTACTTGATTTGATTTGATGCACAAAGCTAAGGTGCTTGGCCATGAAGGTTGTGTTTTCCAAAAGTGAAGTTTGACATTACTGCACTGGACCCTCAGGACTTGATAGCCGATAAGCTCAATTGTTGTTGATGTTTGTGTTTTGACCAACGCTTTGTTAGAACCTGGTTATCCATTTCCATTCCTAGTCAAATATAATGTACCAGCATCTTTTTGAGAGTGACAACAGAAGCATTTGTGGAACCTGTACAATTGAAGAAGTTAGGGCTGTCACTTATGATCAAAAATCAGTTTTTGTGTAAACTTGTCTTTGTGGAAACGTTCATATCCAAACTGTGCTGAGCCATTAGAATTGAAAAAACACAGTATACCGTTACCCCTGATCGGGTGGTCTAGCTTACTGTTTGATCCAGCAGAGGGCACTCTTATCATAACCAGACCATCGCATACGCTCTCCATTAAATTAACACAGTGATAATTTTCCAAAAAATGTATTTGTATTTTGTGAGAAATTCACTGCCCTATATGCAAGGTTAGCAGTCCAGTTGGTGGAGTCGCTGTATCTATATTGGCGTACATAATATTGCTATCTGATCTTTTGATTTCAAGGAAAGTGTTTCCAGTGTGTAGTACTGATATTGTGTTTGTGAGTGGAGAAAGTGAACCATGACGCTGGTCAGCTCCAGTTTCCACCGGCCTGATCCTATGACCCGACATGAACACAATCGCACACAAACCATCACAGAAAGGCAGCCTCATGTGGGTCTGTAGTTTGGTACCAAAGAGATCAGCTGAAAGGAGTGATAATGGAATAGTTTGAGGTCCACTGTGAATATAACTTAGCAGACTTGACATAGGGTGTATACAGCCAGCTCATCGTTCTATCCATCATACTGGACTGAGTCAACAGTCCCACAGTGATGATGATGATGACAGAAAAAGACCATTACCTCCCTTATCACCTCTCCCTCTCTTCAATCATCAAGTCTTCATCACCTCCTCCCTCTTTCCACTTTTAACAGGAGCAGTAGATTAAAGAGAACGTGGGTAAGCAACATACGTACAGAGTGAATAAAGAAAGGGTTTGGTCTAATAGGAAAGGAGGGGTGGAGAGCCACAGGGTGGATGTTTTTGCTGTGTGTGTGTGTGTTTGTATGAGGGCCTGCACAGACGGGGTCTTTGTGCGGGAGGGCATCTGCAGAAACGCGCACGCACATATGCACACATTTATGCCATGACATCACAGCTTACCGAGCAGCCGGCAGGAATGTTACTGAGAAAGGAGAGGCTTTGTGGAGGAGAGGAAAGAGACGGGAGGGGAGGAAAAGGAGGAGAAGAAGGGGAGGAAAAGGCTTGGCCAGGGAAAAGTCCGGCACTCCCACTATTTGGAACAGGACGGGCCAAGGCTGGAGTGAGGTGAACACGGCTAAATTGGAAAAAAGGATTAAACTCTTAGAAGACAGAAAACACATTCATGGTTGTAAATTTTGATTCATTTCAAAATTGAGGAGTTTCTTTTAAACGTATGGATGTACAGATATCACTGAAATAGGAAAATCTGTTTCTGAGACAAGAAATCCCATCAGAGCAGAAGGTGAGTCCATAACTTACTTATGCTATTTTATTTTTTACAGTAATTCTTTGTTATTAGACAGCAAACTGATTGGAGGCCAATGCTGAGTTTTGACAATTTGGTGGGCTAGCTAGAACACATGAGGAAGTGTCAGAGAGTGGGTAAGGGTCTTTTTAAAAACACATCACCCAAACAGCGCCTATACCGTCACATTTGTCTTATTTCTGCTGTTGTGTTAGTTCAAATCCTCGAGCTAGTATCGAGATTCCTCTCCTGATGTTTCTGCCAGCTGTTCGCTCTCTTACACAGCCCACCTGTCTGACTGCTGACTCTGCCAAGCAGTCATCCACCATGTGTCAGCCAAGCTCAACCACTTATTTAGCTTGTAAAGCGGCCTATGGTTACTTTCATTTACAACTCTTAAAGCAGAAACCGAGTGAATCATGATAAGTGCCGCATAACAGCGTTTGGCCAGGGTTCACAATCCAGGTAAGTTTGGACATGAGAAGAGCAGGCTAAACCAGCAGCAGGATCCAGTTACTACACAGGATCAAATTCAGCCAGGAAACACAGCCTGAACACGGACTGCTCTGGGTTACACAGGAACTTAATGTGTGTGTGTGTGTGTGCTTCAGAAGTCTTTCATTTTTACATTTGCCATGTGTTCTGGCTACAGTATGATCTAAGTCAAGGCTATGACGTGATACTTTAGGCGTGGAAAGTCTGTTTGTTTTTTGAGATAGAGGGGAACCGAAAGAAAGCGTGAGACAGACGTCAAGGTTGTGTGTTTATTTCCACTCAGGGAGTACTCTGTTGTTTCATATTCGGGTAAATGCTTTCGAATACACAAACCCCCCAGCGTCTCAGGCATGCAGCCCAGTGTGCGTGTTTGTGTGTGTGTTTGTGATTTTTGTGCATCCCAGTCAGAGTGTAAGCTTTTCCAGATGTGAGAGAACAGGGACAGGCAGAGAATGAGACAGCATTTAGACATCACAGACAGTGATGCTTAGCTGACTCACAGAGACTCATGATAGTAACACTGCACTTGTAATGTGTTTCGATTCAATTCGCTTATCCCCCCTTTCTCATTATTTTAACTTTTACAACCCACGTATTTACCTAACCTTGACTTTCATGATATAAAAGAGAAAATAAAAACCACCTGAGCTAGCCCAGACATCATTAACGCCAGACTCAAAAGTCTGAAAGCCTAAAATAGATCCATTAATGTGGCGAGACTTTTAAAAATATCTTTGCTTTGTGGGATTTTCCTTGATGCTCCGTCCTTGAACAGCTGGTACAGTATGGTGCTGAGGTGCTAATGTTAACACAGCTGTGTAACTGCTACATAAATGTATATTTATAAGCTAATAGAACCCAAACTGTAACTGTAATATTAATAACTAAATCTTGTTATTTCAGATGTTTAAAAAAAGTCAGAAAAACGTGTTTCTTTCTATAACTCAGACGTGATTTCTTTCTACGTTTAAACATAAATGTAATTGCGCTTTCTCTCTCAAACACGCAGCACACTTTGCTCCCTAAGCTGGTCCAGCAGGGTGTACAATGTCCCTCATCACAAGTATTAGAGTCCGAGCCCTAGAGGACAGCTATGCCTGGAATGTCAGCTCACCTCACGGGAGTCAAATACACACGTGAATACACACCTCCAGCACAAATACACACACTCAGAAGACCACATTCACACTAAGGTGCACAGCCAAAGTCACAAACACGCGCTTTTTATTGTGTGTTTGTGTGTGTGTGTGTGTGGCAGCGGAATAGCATTGCATATGAGACATTCTTGTACTGTAGAAGTGTTTTCCTCAGGCGGTAACAGGATATCCTCCCCCTCTGTACTGTCCTGCCTGCTGGACACACTACTTCACACTCGCACATTCCTGCACATGCACTCACACAAACCATATATACAATGGGTAATATGTGATCAAACAGAAGGCCTGATCTGTGTGGGTGGGTGTGACATCTGGTCCTCACATGTAGTCTAATATCGTTAGCTAGGTTGAAATCATTTGACTTGATGGTGTAGAGGGCGTGGGAGTGAGAAACAAAGAAACACAGCAGTTCAAACTTTTCTTGTAATGTTCAATCAAGGTATAGAGAGCCAAAAAAAAAAAAATAATAGTCACGTTTAAAGGGATATTCTGGCGTAAATTTAAGTTATGGTCAAACACACCGTAACATCGAGTTAGACACCCCCTCGAGAGATGAATGTTGCCGACTGCTTGCTTCTCTAGTTATACCAACTTTAGTAACAACTGCACAATAGCAATACACAGCGGTCAACGTCTCCACACACAGCACCTAACTTCACCAACAGTACATATAGGGTTCCAGCCATAGTACTGGCTACCAAACATCTTTTAAGCTTTGCCTAATTCCCTTAGCAAAGAGACCAAACAACTCACCCTCTCTCCTCCAGCAGCAGCTTGTTTGTTGGGGAGCCCTGATGAGTTGCGCAGTCAAAGGAAGAACATTTATGATCATTTCTTTATGAAAATGCAATCAGGCTGAGACACTAAGGCAGAAGAACTACCGCGTCTGCAGTGCAAAATGATTATTATGATGATTATTACTGTAAGGAAATGAATGATCCGCTGCAGTCAGTGATCGACTTGCAGGGAAGCAAGCAGTCGGCAACATTCATCTCTTGAGGGGGTGTCTAACTTGGTGTTACAGTGTGTTTGGCAGTAACTTAAATTTACACTGGACATATCCCTTTAAATGAGCTTGCTGCTTAAACTTTGTTTTTCTGAATAAGATCTTCTGTTGAAGCTTCTCAAACTGTAAATATTGTTTTAACATTTCCGACTGTTATTTTGAAAGCCGTTTTTGTGCATGAAAACATCCAGAGACTGTCTCCTAAAAAGCATTGAGCAGTATTTTGTTCCTCACTGAGCAGCCCACCTTTGTGCTACAGACTAAAAAGACTTACCATCACAGTTTTGACAATGTTTCCCACAGTGAATCACATCAGCTTTGTTGCTTTGACTGGTTTTGAATACTGTGCTAAAACAGACAAAGGGACTGCTGTTTTGATTAAGATAAACCTTTATTTATCCCACAGTGGTTGGAAATGTTCGGTGTTAACAGCAGCGAAGGACCAGCACTGCAAACACGGAAGAATAAGTACACTTATTATTAAAAAAATAACAAACTTAAACCTTAACAGAAAAGAGAAAAAATAAAGCAACAACAACAACAAACCAAAAGCAGCTCTAAAATCAGTTGAGCAGTAATCTGTGTCCTGTACGGCACAGCAGCTGCACTATTAGATTCAGACTTCACATTTGATTTGACGCAATCAGATTTAATGCGGCTTAAGACCAAATAGCTCCAAAGCTAATAGCATTCCCATTATCCTCAGCTGTGTTTGTGCAACTTAGCAAATGCTATAATTTAATTATGTTTAAGATTGTACCTGTTAAGGTCAGATTTATAGTGCTGTCATTGCAAGCATGGTAGCAAGCTGGTGTTATATTTAGCTAAAACCACTGCTGTTGGTAGGTACAGTGGAAATAGACTTAAAGAGTTTGTGCATTAATGTTTTCTTTCATAACTTTTCAGTGGATATATTAGTGACAGACAAGTTTTTGTGTCACTGTTTCTTGACTTTATGGTACATTAGCGAATGAATGTTTTATAGATTTGACTGTCCACACACATCCTGATGGAGTCCTCTCAGAGAGTGTGTATCACAGACTCATGAGACAGCATGATTTGAGAAAATAAGCATGTGACCGAGCCAGATGAGTTACCAAAATGCCCTCAGAGAATTTTCTTTTTCTCTCAGTAGACATAAGAGACATGGGGGTGGGGGGTGGTGGAGATGTTGCTTCATTATATCCACCAGTCAAGGCTTTAGAGTAGAAGCAGGATATCATAATCCACCATGTGACTCCACTGACCACAGCTTCTTGGCTTTTACAGTCAGTGAAGAGACGTCAAACCAAAAGAGGAAGGAAAAGACAGTTAAGATGGAGAAAGGGATTCGACTGAAGAAATCAACAAAACAAAGAGGGAAAGCGAAAAAACAAGGGTGTATAAGGAGAGAAAAACTCCTCCTTGTGTCGATACCAAGTCTTAGTGTAACCTTCAGTCTGCAGAAACACCTTCTCTTGTTTCTTCACATCAGTAAAAGTTCCCATGACTTTCATTAAATGACAGTCTGGTACGTGTCTGAGTCTTAAAGTGGAAAAAAGGGTAAAAAGTAAAGACTTCCTCTTTATGGCTGTGTGTACTTGAAGAAAACAGTGAACCAATTCATTGAAGTAGGTCTCATTAAATCCTCATACACACACACACACTCCCACTTGGTACAAAGATGAGGGTCAACAACCCTGCATAGAGGCAAACACATCCTTAGCATTGAGGTGTAATTGGTTTTAAGGCAATAAAACAGAAAGCTAATAGAGTTTTTGAGAGCGGCCCGTGTAGAAAGCACAATAATAACAGGAGTGTGTTAATGTAGCTGCGCACTGAATGCTGGTCTGGAATGTGTCAGAGGGATGGTTTACAAAAGCAGGTCACAGGTTTGATCCCTGCATGCCTGAGTGTCAACAAACGTGTCTTCTAACCACATATCCAAGAATCAGATGCCCTCGATGGTTAGAGAATAGAAGCCGGCGTTATGTATGTGTTTATTCAAAATGACAGAGGATTTTTATCAGGCAAGACAAGCTCTTAAAATGTCCCAGAATCCCCAAAGTCTGAACAGAGCTGTGATCGATAAATGATGTTTGTGATCACTGTACAGTGGCATATTGACTGATAATGATGGAATTATGTCTTTTAGGTGATTCCATTTGATGCAAGCAACACCTTACAAAGAAGTTAGAACAAAGGCATGTTTATCATTGTGCTGCATCACTTTTGAAAGTTTAGGAGCCAAGGAGACGCGTTTTTGCACTTTTAACAGTGAAATGTTGTTTGATGTAAGATTTTAGCAGCTCAAAAGTTCAAAATCTATCATTTAGTTGGATATTCCATTTTATACCAAATGTTTTCAATTGTTGGTAGGGATGTCCCAATCCGATATTGATGTTGGAAATCGGTCCGATATCAGCAAAAAAAGAATATCTCATTTTGTCGGCCTGCATCTAAAATCTCTGATATATGCGCTCCGATACAAGCAGTCAATTCCAGACTCCACTCCAGTTCCTCTATCTAGCAGTGCCTGGATCTAGCATGCAGAGCCTACATGATCACACCAACAGTGTGTACTAAGGTACGAACAAAGTAGCAAGGAGTAGGAGTGATGTCAGACGTGTGGCAGTATTTTTTCGTTTAAGTCCAAAAAAGACGTCGCAACTGAGTGCATTAATTCTCCTGCACAAATTCGTGCTAATATCAGATCAATATCACCATCAGCCAACAACATTGGTGTCGTATGGGAAGTAAAAAAGTTGTATTGGGACACCCCTATTGTTGACATGTTGGAATTACAGACAGGCCAGTTTAGCGATCATCCTCATCTATGCTGTTGTATTACCTGCAGAGTGCAGTTTGTCGCCCCAACAAAGGGGATTGTCTGGATGGCAGCACTGGTGTCTCCCAGAGGTGTAAGCTTCCCTTTCCATGAGCACTCATGACTCCCTATACCACAGATGCTGGCTGTGCTGATAACAAGCCAGATGGTCCCTCTGCAGTCTGACGCGGTGTCCCTGATTTCAAAAAGGAATGTCAAGTTTTCATTCATCAGACTATTGTACAGTTTTCCATTTTGCCTCAGTCCTTTTGATGTGGGCTCAGGCCACATCCCAGATTATGTGTCTGTAAGGTTTCGCCTTTTCGGTGCAGATTCAACCTGCATATGTTGATACAATGACAAACTGTGGCCACAGACAGTATTTTCTTGTAAGTGTTGCTCATGGAGAAGTTTCCACTACAAAGTCATGTTTGTTATTGGTGTTGTTTATTAGACTTTGTACCTTTAGGGCAGACATTTCCTCAGATTTTCTTAATCTTTTTTTAAACTGTGGATGATGAATTTTATGCTAAAAAAAAATCATCATTCTGATTTTTTTTAACCATTTGCTCATGCAGTGTTTCATAGGGTGAATGTCCAACCATTTTTACCTATTAGAGACTCAGCCTCTCAGGATACGATATCATATTGCAAATCAGTTACTCAGCTTTTGTAGTGTTTTGTTTTCCCTGTCCAAACTTTTTCAAAACATATTGCAGAAATCAAATTGTAAATAAGCATAAAATTTCCCCCGCAAAAATCTTGATATGCAAACAGTCCAACTGTGTAGTCACTCCGTCCGTAAGTATCTTGTATATTGTACTGAGCCATCACATTTTACTCTATTTGGAAGCCGTGAAGGACCTTTCATTTTGACAACTCATTTCTTTCTCTTCTGGGACTATTTCAGCAGGGAAATTAGGTTTTTGGAATCCATTCATTCCTCTCATAAAAGCTGCTGCTGATGTGGCCTTGAGCCTGGCACTCAATCCAGAACAACATCAGCAGAACTGCTCTGTGAACAGCTGAGGTCGGGGGAGATACATTCTGTGAATGTTTGTGTTACAGAGAGATCGTGATAAAGCAGCAGAGCCATAAGTCTCTTTGCTGACGTTCTCCTTGACAGTAGGAGTGAAGGATTGTGCTAATGTGTCACTTTAAAGGACATAAAGAGGGACATGAAGATATATCTCTTTTTATGTGTTTTGTTTCATTTAGGTTTTATTCAAAATCAAGAATAAAAACCAAGATAAAAATCTTTATTCTATTCTAAACTGATGTTTTAGAGAGCTCTTCCTATTGACGCTCACTGTTGAGTTTCTGATGTGACATAAAAAAGCAACATGGCAACATATGGCGACCCCTAGTGGTGACCATCAAGAATAAACTCTCCCGTTGCTGCAGAGGTTTAACAATACTGCAATGCAGACAGATAGATTTCTATGAGAGAAAAGGCCAGAGTGTGACCTGTCCAAGAATAACCCACAGAAAAAGAGTTTTTCTTCACATCCTCTCGAATTTTTCATTAAAATGAAACATGAACATCTCCTCAGTATACATACAGATCTCTCTTAACATGTCCTGTCCTGTTTGTTGACAGAAATCATGGCGGGCAGCCGAGGATTTCAGTGACCCCGTACCGAGAGAGCGAGCACTGAAGAGCGTCAGTTTCCAGGAATCGGTCAGTGTTATCTCAGACAGGCCTGCAACCATGGAAATGGAGAGCCAACAGATCCAACATGGCTGCCTGAGCAGCCCCAGTAACCGAGCCCACAATGCAGTCGGTGTGAAAGTTGAGAGTTCTGACAGCGAGGTTGTGCAGGTATGTACCAGCTCCATGACTCAGGAACAGAGTTAGTCGTTTCTAAATTCACGTCTTGCTGTCCAAGAAGAAGAGAACTTTGTCACCGATCAGTTGTAACCGACTAATAAGTGCTTTACATAGTTTTAATTTACCTTGCTGATCACATTTTATCCCTTTACTTTACAGAGCAGTAACTTTGAAATAAGTAACTTGATTTTCTTCTGTGTCTATAGGAGATCCGCTACCTGGATCAGGTTTTGGACGCTGCCTCAGAAACACCCACCAACGGCAATTCCTCCCCATCACAAATCAACAGAGCCATCAGTATCGATGGAAACTCTCCATCTGTGTGCGTGTCCGCCTCCTCTCCCGTCAATCACGTTGTCGTCGAGGGCCAGAGACAAACCACGTTCCTCCACCAAGGCGAGTCCGATGTTAGGACCAACGGGCACATGCAGGGAGAGGAGTCAGGGAGCAGCCGGGCCAAGTTTGAGCTGAGAGCTTTTCAAGAAGAGAGACGACCAGCTAAACTCTTCACGCCTGGAGAGGAGCAGCAGGTCAGGGTGACGAGAAGACGACCCTCAGAGGAGGTAAGTGGCTGTGAGATAATGCAGACGAAAAAAAATTATGCAGAATTTAGACATTCAATAACAAAAACACAACAGCACTATGAATATGAGTCCAAACTCAGAGTCTGTATTTTGCTTATATGGAGTAATAGTTTGGAGAAAGGCTCAAAATTGTGTTTTCTACCAAATGAACATTATCTGAAAACACATTAAATCATATATGTTGTTGCATTTGGCCACTCTTGTAAAAGTTTGTTTTTATCTGATTAAATAAAGGTTGAATAAAAAAAAATGTCATGATGAAAAATTGAAGTTTATTTATGACAAGATGAACCTCAGATTATTGATAACCAGGATTACAATTTTTTGAAGTATTAGTACTATCAAAATTGAGTCCTGTATATTGTAACATAAACGACACATACACATGCTCAGAAATGCACATACACATATCACTGGTTATGGATCAAACATTGTCCTGCTACCCAGCCTCTGTGTTCGACATTGCAGACAAGGGGCAGCAGTGGTATAAGTATCCCACCTTGATATGACGGTATGTTAGAGTTTAGAGGAAAATACACAAAAACAATCTTGAATATTTTTAAGATTCAGAGGAAAAGAAAATGTGATTTATACTGAACATGTTTCAAGTCACCAGCTTTATAAGTACATGGATCTAAAAAGTTACATATTTATTCAGATAGAGTCAAATATGTGTCATGCACAATGCTAAGTAAAATAGTTAAACTCTTTTCTCTACTAAGTACGACGGAGTATTAGGGCCACATTAAGAAAAAAAATAAGATTAAAGTCATTAATTTACAAGAATAAAGTAATTACTAATGAAAATAAAGTTATTATTAACTAGAATAAAGTCGTAGTAAAGTAATCACTTACAAGAGTCAAGTCAGAATAAAGTCCTTATATTCCAACCTGTTGTTTAAGATGACAGTTGTTGAAATGAGAGCCATGGAATATTTACTGAAAATGTACTTCAATGTAGGTTTTCTCAAACAAGGAGATACATCAGCACATCAGCACCACATTATCATAAGTATCAAAATGATTTTATTACGACTTTATTCTTGTAAGTAATGACTTTATTCTCGCAAATTAACGACTTCAATCTCAAAGTCTTTTTTTTTGATGTGGCACTAATACTCCGTTGTAACTAAGCCCCCAAATTACCTAAAAACTAAACTCTGTGAATAATATTGAAATTGGACGATTTCATATTTTCCTCAGAGATAAAAAAGTAAAGTAAAAGACATATCAGTATGGCATGTCTTTTCTTTATTTTTTGGCAGAGTTGTAGGATAATTTTACAGTCTATTTATCTGACTCTCTCCTTTTTCTCCTGGTTTGTAACCGATCAGGTTCAGGAGTTGGAGCGAGAGCGTCAGGAGCTGATAAAAGACCAAGCAGTGAAGAAAAACCCCGGGATCGCCCAGCGCTGGTGGAACCCTCCTCAGGAGGTAGTCTCTCATTCATTCATTCAATCTGTATTCATTTGATAAGCACTGATTTCTTTAGGTTCATTCATTCATTCATTTGGTTTATTGAAGGTCCCTTTGGAAGAGCAGCTGGATGCAGACCAGCTGGAGTCTCTGAAGAAATACCAGGAAAGGAAGCAGCAGAAACAGAATCATACTTACGCATACACACAGGTAACGCCACTCAAAACACACACAAATGTATATCAACTACACTCTCTTGAAACAACGCCTGCATTTTTATTTTCTGTCTCACTTCTTTTCTCACTTTATCCTTTTTACAGATTTTTTAACTCCTGCTCTCTCGTCTCTCTTTGCAGCCCCAGTTAACAGGCCCTCCAACAATGGTGACCTTTGACCCTAACCTACACAGGAAGGACGATATAGTGGAGGAGCAGATTGACTTCTCGGTCGCAAGGAAACAGTTTCTTCAGGGAGATGGGACCAAGAGGGATGTAGCTCCACACATATACTCTGCCAAACCCTTTTCTAAATCCGTAACCAGGGGCAGCCAGGGGGTCAGTGACATTATTGCAGAGGTAGGAGAAAGTCACGTGACCTGGCCAAGTGAAGGACTTGCTGGGGAGTTCACCTGCGCGCGAGCTGTGATGACAATCCTGCGTGAGGAGGAAGAAGGGAAGAGCCATTTCCATCCAGGTTTCCACCTGGAGGAGTCCGACTCGGGGCTGGATGAGCTGTCTGTCCGCTCTCAGGACACCACTGTGTTTAGTCTGGATAATGTCTCAGACAGCGGGGCGTCACTACCACCTACTCCTCTACCACTTACCCCGGTGTCGCCGCCTACCCCTCAGCCCACCACACCAGTCAACGGGCAGACCAGTGGCATCCCAACAGAAGACGAGCTTGAGTACCACGCTGGAGTTCTGGTCCAGAACGCCATCCAAAACGCCCTTGCTGCTCAAAACGGGGAAGAATGGCAGCCGTCTGACTTAAACTCTTCACAGCTGAGCACTCCTGTTTCTCCATCTTCAGCTTCTACAAGCAGCCCAGTGCCAGTGTCCTCCTCTCCTGTGTCTTGTGGTGAAGCTCCAGGACTTCAGTCGCCTGTTGTCTCCAGTCCTGTACCACCAATCTCTCCCCCACAGACAGAGAGACAGCCAGAGGTAAAAGTCACCTTGGAAGAGAAGCTCGAGGAGACACAAGAGGCTCCACAGCAGCAGCAGCAGCAGCCTTTGTTGAGGACACCATCTCCACCTCCATCTCAGCCCATCTCTCCACCACAGAGACCCAAAGATGGAGGCCCCAGGATCAAAATCCAGTCCTCCTACGCCAGAGCACTAGCTTCCTCAACTCCCGCTCCAGCTCCAGCTCCTGCCACAGCGGCCCCAGTTTCTAGACCGACCCCAGTCTACCGCCCCCCTTCCCCTCCAAGCCCGGATAAACAAGAGTTCAGCTACTTCAGTAAATACTCAGAGGCGGCGGAGCTTCGCAGCACGGCGGCGGCACCGCGAGCCCCCGAGGTTGAGCAAGCCAGCGGGCCGTTCCGCCTCCGCTCCAAGAAGCAGAGGACTTTGTCGATGATCGAGGAGGAGATCCGAGCGGCTCAGCAGAGGGAGGAGGAGCTGAAGAAGCAAAGGGAGACACAGCCAGCTGTCAATGTCCGTCCCAGTAGCAATTATGGGAACGCCAGGATGGGGCCGCGGCAAACCACCATAACCCCAGCAGATAAGATGAAGAGCAACAGCCTGCCTGCTAGACTCACACTATCAGCCAGGACAGCCCCAGGTTAGTCAGGAGGTTCTCACTGGTCCCTGTGTGTCACACATCGCTGTTACTGTTGCATTTATCGATTGCTACTGTGACCGTTTTACTTGTCAGTCTGATCAGCTGATTTCACCAGGTCATCTTCTTCTTCTTCTTCTTCTTCTTTGATGCGTAGGAAAGATCGAGAAAGTTCGACCTGCACCGCCAGTCTCACCCTCGCCCTCAGAGGGAGCCCTGTCTGACGCCGGCAGTGAGGACTCGGGAGGATCTCGTCCCAAAAACTTTATGCAGACGCTCATGGAAGACTATGAAACACACAAAGTGAAGAGGAGGGAGAAGATGGAGGACAACAGTGTAAGTACTCAAATCCAGGAGAAGCTTAGATAACCAAGAATATGTTTTTCTTTGTGTAACTGCTTATAAAAATTCTGTATATTTTACAAAAGAAGATTGGGGCCACATGAAGAGAAAAAAAGAATTACAGGAAAGAGACTAAAGTCGAAATTTAGAGATTAAAAAAATTGAAACTGTGACAATAAAGTCAAAAGTTTAAGATAAAAAATTGAAATTTTGAGATTAAAGTTGAGATTTTACAATTAAAGTTGGCATGAATAAGGTCGAAATTTCGGGATTAGAAAAAGTCAAAATTTCGAGATTAAAAAAATTTAAATTTTGAGATTAAAGTCGACATGAATAATCGGAATTTCAACTTTAATTTTCCACTTAAATGTCAAAATTTTGACTTTAATCTCAAAATGAAAATTAATAAAAATCTTCCTCCTGTAATAATTTTTTATCTTCTTCTGGCCCTAATCGTCTTTCGTAGTTTTAGACTGTTTGTAGTTTCAGAAAAAGACCTGAACTTTTCATCACAAAAGACATGAAATGAATATTCGAACATGTACCTAAGTGAGTTACGATGATGGCAGCATAAGCTTGGTAAACTTAATTCGCTCTAGTCAACATGGCTTGTTGGCACTATGAGCAAATACCGAACAACACCAGGGGGAATTTCCCAACCTCTAAGGGGAACAGAAACTGAAAGTAATGCACAGATGCTGGGGGAATTTTGTTCTGAGTCCATCCTCTTTTTTGTCAATGTGCCACACTGATGCTGACAGAGTGTCATTGTTCAGGATCAGGTCTCTCTCAGGAGGAAATGTTAACTCGTGGTGTTTGAAACTGTCTGCTAGAGCGGGCAAAGAATCATGATGTGTCAAACGGCTTTCAATTCTACTTAAATACGTTCATACTCGTGCAGCAGGTTGTTGATCTTGTTATTGTACTCATCATATGTGTTGATTATATGTCATGTTGCTTCTCTCCTGCTGGTCGGTCAGTATGCCCGCTTGCTGCTGGCTCAAGAGGTAACCACTGAGGTACCTGTTGCACCCCAAACCTGTTCTCTCCAACAAGTGCCTTAACTGACAGACCTGGGTCAGACTCAAGTATTGAAAAAATAAATAACCTCCTGTGTGGATTTAGGTTCAGTCTCTCGAGATTGATTTCACATTTGTATTTATTAACTGTATTTTTACATGGCTGATACCATTTGTTATTACAGTGGTTATTTAAACTCAAAAGTTTCCTCACTGGGATTTATTTACATCTTCCTTCACTAAATTTACACCATAACAAACAGACATTTGGTTAAAGCAGGGACACTTATTTCCACCACTAATCTAGATATGTTGTAAAACTGGTCCTGAGATAGAGCATATGAGTTTAATGAATCCTAGACTGAGTCACATCTGTAAACGAAGCTTAAATATATATATTTCTTTTTCATCTGGTCCCAGGTCTGCTTGTGGTCTAACTGCCTTACTGTTTGCTCTGTGGTTGTGCTGCATGTGCTTGCCCCTGGCATTGGTGTGATATTGATCCCCAGGAACCCCCTATGCACAATGTTAGGCACATGTATCCTGTAGAGAAAAATATGGAGCTCTTTAAAAGTATTCTATAGGGCTGGGCGATATGACCTCAAATCAAAATCACGATATATTGAGCAGTTCACCTCGATAATGATAAATAGACGATAACTACTCCACAAATTGCTTACCCCCTCCCACATTAACTTTGTCGACTTCAGCCGCTACAACTTTTGAACCGTTCTCCATCTCCTCACCTGTTTTTCCCTCCTTTTACAAACTGGATGAGGTGGAGTCATATCGCTGATGTAGGACAGCGTCTTAAAGGGACATGAGACCATAGCCTACCTACACACATCCAAAACCAACTTTTATTTATTTATTTTTATGACACCAGAAATACCAATATGGGCCAAATGACGTCGGTTACTGTCGTAAATTTCGGTATCAATAAATTTTCGGTTTATCGCCCAGCCCTAGAATTCTATATGAGGAGTTATTCGACAAATGTACTGTATGATGTTTGCATTTATATGTAGTGGTTGTTTTGATCCTCACTGTCTGGAGCTCAGTGTTAACTACTCAAATGAGCGCTTGAGTAGAAGCTCTCTGTCGTGGAAATCGTCTTCAGTAATCATTACTGTAGCCGTTGTGTCAGATGTAAACAATGCAACTTTATCAGCGTCACCTTCACCCTGGATTTGTGTGTATGACAAAGATATGCTCGTGTTTGTAGGTCAGTGTGTATCTGTGTGAGAATGTCTTTGTCTCATTAAATATGAAACAAAGCATGAAAAATGTTCCTGAAATGGAGTAAAATCACCTTTGTTTTTATTGTCAAATACTACAGATGCACCTCTTTTAATAATACATTAAAAAACAAAATAGAGCGGGTTATCCACTATTTCAGTTTGAGTTTTTGACACACACTGCATGTCATTTTAAAGTCACTGTAACATGTTGTTTTTCTGTCTTTGTGCCGTCTTTATGATCTAATTAGTCATTATGTAATGTACAGGTCTTGGAGGCCACTCGTGTCACCAGGAGGAAAAGCGACATGGCAAAGAAGTGGGAAGCTGGCATCTACGCCAATGAGGAAGGAGAGGAGGAAGAGGAAGAGGAGGAAGAAGAAGAAGAAGAAGAGGAGGAGGAGTAAACAACTCCTTTCACATACAGTTAAAGGAGGATAAACAGACTTAAGGAGGAAGCAAAGGATGAAGAACAAGAAAGGAAACAGTATTTATTTCACTTATAGTATTCTGATGATCACGTGACCCAGAGGGGTGACACTGAAGAGATGTAAGGAGTTGTGTTATTTGGACCCGAGGATTGAAGGAGCAACAGTATGTTAAGTGACTGAGTATGTGAGAGACATTCAAAGTGTTGAGATGAGTTCAAGGAAGGTCAGTGAATCAGAGACACTTGGAAAGGGTTTTATGGCGGGTTGAGAACACTGATTAAAAAAAAAAAAAAAAAAACATGTTTGAGATGAAAAGCTTTTAACAGTTTTTAGACGCTGAATGACTCAAATATTCATAGGATTGTTGATTCGCCTGTAATTTTTTAGTGATGTACAGGTTGAGCTGTAAAGATTTTACCTAGAGACACGTTGCCGGAGAGTAATTATTGATGGATTTTGGGAAAGGGTGCTTTAATATTTACCCCAGCTGTCTAAAACAATGCAAGAACGGACAAGCAGGTGTGTACAGAGTGACGACAAAGAAACTGAAAACAGCGAAAAAGAAAAGAAAAGAAAAACGAGGCTCGATCAAACACTCAGACACAACATTTGTAATTTCAGAAGTCTTTACTCGGATATTTCAATGCTGAAGTGTCACTTGGAAAATCACTTTCAAAATCGATATAGATTGACCTGCTGCAGGCCCCTCCTTTGTATTTCATGTTGGTGGAGCTTTGCAATCCTGTCAAGTATTTGTGATAAATCTTAAGTGCCCAATCAAGGGTCGGCCTCTTTTAGCTGTCAAACGCGAGCTAGGAAGTAGCTAAACTAGCATCGATGTTCAACTTTGCCTTAGAAAATCAGTGATTGTGGGGTGCACAATATGTATGATGTATTTATCTTCTGCTATTCTGCATTACTTGCATTACAACCGTGTCTGTAGACCATAGAGAGCAAAGACTCATCCACGTTAGATAGAAGGTTGAAACGACTCTTTTGGTCCGTGATTTGATGTCTGTTTGGTGAAGCAGGTTTAACAGATGGGTGGGTGGGGGGTCACATATGCGTCACTTCAGTCAGTGTTTTTATTAATTCAAGGGCTCGGTCAGGGGTTTTACACCCTGAAATCACTTCTTTTCCCTTTGCTGGTTATGTGGCTTTCTTGACCTGTGCTTTCTGATGTAAGCAGTTGTTTCATGTATTATACTTAGGTAGGACTGTGTATTTGATTTATGAACACGTACAGTAAGTATATCGAGATTCCAGTTTTGGGCGACTGCCATGTATCTGCTATACCTTGCTAGCTGAGGATAAAGCTTGATGAAAAACTATGAGAAAGGCTTTTTATAAATATTTGTTAAACCAAAACAGAATGTTGTTATTTAGTCAGCCTTTTGCTTTTAAGCCTATTTAAGAAGTATTGATCGGGTGCATGACCTTACACTCCTTTTCTGACCTGAAACAAGCACACAACAAAACGCATTAACAGGCTGAATGTTTGCATAAGAAGAGATTCAAAAGTTAAATGTCTTTTTTCTTTTTCTTTTTTTTTTAACTAAATGTATTGAGAGCTTTGATTTGCAAGGTGATAAGATTTTCTGCTTTGTAAACTGGCTGAAAATTACTGCATTACAGGCGTCTGAGAGTGTGGCGATACTGAAACAGAAACAAGACGGCTGAAACTGAAGCAATCAGAACAATCCACGGAGCCGACAGGGGCGTCTTTGAATGAAGTTTTTAAATCGAAATGTGCCTGTTTGGCTGTGGAGACCATTTTTCAGAACCACTTAAGCTGAAAAAAAAGCAAATTGATTGTACTTTTCAATCTTATTTACCTTGTTTATTGAAGCCTTTGAGATTTTTTTAACCTTTTTTTGTGACAAAGATTTTCTACTGAAGCACAGATGACAGTTTTCATCACCACATCTTACTAGAGTGTCCTGTTATAAGTGTCCTTCAGCAGGTACTAACCTTATAATGCTTGCCCACACACTGATTCAAACCCTGAGTTGGATGCTGAAATGTCTGAAATTGCACAAAAGAAAAATAATTTCGGGACACATTCTTCCTCTTAACAATAAATCTTTATTTAATCTATTAGGTCATTTCCATAATGAGTGCAGGACAGGTTTCTCCATGCAAATGATCTCAGTCTATTTCTCAGAAGGAAACATAGTGCCAGTAACTTCACCAACAGAAAGCCTCTCTGTGATGTGCCCATTTCCTCCTGAAAAAACAGCCTTTTCAGAGGATCCTGCTGGTTCATGTTTCAATATATCTGAGAGAAGATATATAAAGAAGAAGTGTCCCCTTTGTGGTGCCCCAAAGAGAATGTCAATCCCACAAAGTCTTTAGATTGTCACGAGCCAAAGGACGCGAGAAACATGCAAGTCTGGCTTACAAACGCGGTAACAGGAGGACAAACTTTTCTTGTGGACATATGAGGAACTTGGTTTTCATCAGTCACGCAGTATTAGAGCACGTCTTTATAAGAAATATTAGATTTTAGACGCCACATAAACACAGATGAAACTTTTTATGTGTTTGTGGGAAAATCTGAGTTTAAAGCAACAAAATCAAACAAATACTTCTGTACTAAACTGCAGCTGCAACAACACACACAAATACAGACTCACACAGATCTCTTCATGTCAGGACAAAACTCCACACCATCGTCGTTTGAGTTTTCTTCAGGACCATAACGTTTTCAATCATGCACAAGAAAAGGAATGAAAGTGGTGTGATTTATTATGATGATAATAATGAATATTACTATGCTTTTTGATGTTTGGATTCATGGTGCAGAGAGGATTTATTTATCATTTTAAATGCTGGTAGTTAGATCTGGTCTGCTGAAGCATCCGAGCTTCAGTGAAGGACTCACACTGTCTGTGTGTGATGACCCAATCTTATTCTACATCTGCAGTATAACTCCTGTTCTTATGTTAACCACTTGTATGCTCATACTCTGCTTTGTTATTTTATAGCATATGTAAGGCTCACAAGTTATACACCTATACATATTATGATTATTTTCTCATTAAAAACAAAACCAGTAAGTGTGGACTGTCTGAGTGCTTTATTCAAATATAGGGGAGACCGGGGCTTGTTGTCACACTTTTCACATTCTTAAATATTTCTTGGAATCAATACATCAAATATAAACAAAATGTGTACCAGATGAAAGACCAAAGTCTTAGGTATATATTTCGTATTCATATCATTTTCATATCTTGTGTCAGTGCAGAGTTATAAGCAATCAAATAGAGAGTGTGAACATGTGACATGTTGCCCCACCATCGGGTAAGTTGTCTCACTACATGGGATAAGACGTCACAGTGGATTTTGCAGCTAATAATACAAGGAGAAAATTATTGTTGTTCTAATTTTTTTACATGAAAGTGAACATCAAAGTCAGTCTCAGAAAATGTTTATCATTGAGCTAAAAAAGAAGTCATCGAACAAACGTTTTGAAATTCCTGACCATGTCTTCTCGCTTTCTCCTCTCCTTTAAACCACTCTTTTGTCTGTAAAAATAAAGTCAAAATTTCAATATGACAACTGCTAATAAGCAGACTCTCTATGTCAATTTCAATCCCTTGTAAACATGTGACAACTAACCCCAAAATGACTGAGACATGTTGCCCCAAACTAGCACGTTTGCTAATTCTAGCTCCATCTTAAAGTTAGCATAAAACAGAACAATGACAGAGATATGACAGGATCCCTTAATCTCTCCTCTAACAAGTCCACATGTTTCACTGCTAGGATTTTTATCTGGAAGAAGCTTATTTTAAAACAAAGTTAAAATATTTTACTTTGGGTTATGCGAAATGGTTAATTGGCGCTCATCTCGGCTCACAATGTCCTCTACTCTTCTCAGACAGGACACAACCCCTAACCATGTAAAGGGAGAAAACTAGTATTCCACTTTTTAGTTGCGCCCTCTGGTGGAAAAGATAATTGCAATGTGACAACAAGTCCCGGTCTCCCCTATTTCAGAGACCAAAAGTTGACTCAAATTTTGTATGTTACTTTGAAAAGTGAACCATGACTTCTCCAGATCATGTTTGTGGCTCTGTCAATAAACTGTGTCCACAGACAATGGGTTTTGGAAGTCATTTTGAGTCCATGCAGTGATTTCCACTGCAGAGCCATGACTCTTCCTTGATAAAGTGCATGTCTTTGGCCCAGAGAGGCCACAGAGTACAGACAGGTGAGTGGTGGGTTAAGGGGGGGGTTCACTGGCTCTCCATTAGCCATTATCTCATGTTATTTACAGTTCACTACTTCACTGTCTACCTTTCACTTTAATTGAGTCTGACAACAAACCGGCTGAGCAAATGTGAAGGAGGAAATGGGCGTGAGTAGCTACTTTGTTTTCTCTCCACCGGCTCTGACTCAAAAGAGGAAGAGTCAACAAACCAGATTCACAGTCAGCCTGAAGAAACTCCCCGGAGCCGTGCTAACCTTCATCACAGCTTGATCTTAAGTCTTGACATTAGTTTCAGAGCAAGTCTCGTTGTTGCTGTGATTAAAATCCATCATGGCCCTGCTGAGTCTGTGCCAAACATCCCTCATGGTTTTCCGGCAGATCGAGCCGGTGATTGTGCTCGAGCAGCTGGGCAGCACTCTCTTCGACACCGCTCTGCAGATGGTGGTCAAGGACCGGACCGCAAACGCCACCTACCCTGACACCCATCTCTCCAGGGAGGACAGCCAACAGAAAGCCATGTCGGACTTTTTTATGACTTTCAACCTCATCATCAGGTTGACTCCGATTTTACCTGCACTGCTTCTGGCGAGGTTTGGCGACCGCGGCTGGAGGAAAGCCCCCATCGTGGTGCCTCTTTGTGGATACCTGGTGCCTAGGTTTGCGCTGCTGCTGCTAGTCATCTTCCCGCTCCCACTGGAGCTGATGTACGGTGCGGCGGCGCTTTTCGGGCTGACCGGGGGATTCTGCGCCTACTGGCCGGGCGTTGTGACACTGGCGTCGCTTGGCTCCACGGCGGCTGACAGGTCCAAGGTTGGTGCTTTCTATGGTGTAAGGGAAAGCAACGAAATGTCTTAAATTACTGTATAATTTCATTGTCCAGAAACAACAATATTTATTATTCAGTGTAACCTACTGCCTTTAGGACTCTTGGGTCAAGTTTGCTCTCCAGAAAACTTTGGCTTCACTTTCCTTTGTCATTTATCCCAACCCAGTATGAGCTCCTTTGACCTGCTCAATCGTATATGAAGGAGATTTTAGCAGGTGTGTGTGTAGATGGTCCACATAGTTTAAACAGGGGTGGCCCATGAGCCAGTGGTAAAGTAATATAATCTATGGGTTTTGTAAATACTGATTTTAACTGGTTGCCATTTTTCTGATCAAAACAACAATCCACTAGTAAATGAGGTGGATGCAGAGAAAAAGCTGTACTTTAAAACTGAAGTTGTTAGCGGTCCTGTAGCATAGAAAGCATCCTGTGTTGTTGATATCATCTACACTGAAATGTTTCCACTCATGAATAACAAACATGTTAAGTAGAGCCTTTAGCCTCATGTCCAAGTTTAAGTCAGACCATAGAATGGACACCGTCTGCCTCCTCGCTGGGTGAATGTAAAGAGTTAATGTATCCCTGTGTTCAATTCAGGTGATGATGAGAGTGGAGCTGCTGTATGGTGCGGCAGGACTAGTGGGCAGCCTGGTGTCGGGTCATCTCTTCCTGCTGTACAGCTCCAGTGTGGGAAACGGGACAGTCCTGCTCAGTCTGAGCACACTGATTGGTCTTCTCTGCCTCTTAGAGTCCATATGCCTTCTACAGGTCAGTTCGTGTGAGAAGATTATGTATTAAACTCACCAGTGTGAAAGTGTTTAATGTCAACTAAAGATGGTATTCTGTTTCATTGCTGTCAAAAGACCATCGAACCATTCAGCCATAGAGTTTTAATGGATTCCCATAAGGTACTGAATTAGCAATGTCCTATTTTCTGAACCTCATTTTTAGAGCTTTATCTCCAAATACTGTTTTATATGCAGGTGTTGAGGTACACTGGGTAGAGATGGGAATGCAGAGCAAAATCTAATAGTCAGGTTCTAGATTGAAGTCCTCCCTCACTCACTCCTTCAGTGGGCTAATAGTGGCCTAAAAAGACAAAGAGCTTTTGTGATGCCTGATGTGTACAATCCTCTATTCATGAAGTTTTTACCGTCAATACACAAGTTCATTCAATACAAGTAACAAAATCTCTCTTTTCCTTCCTTGTCTTACAACAAAGCCGCACACTGATTACAAAATCACAAATATTGCTGGTTTGTAAATTATGTGCAAGAAATATGGTAGTGCAAGATAGTACCCTCTGTAGAGGAGGACCCACTCCTCTGTAGGTATAAAAGGTTAAACAGAAACAAAACATTGTTGTGTTAAGGTGATTTTACATTAATTCAAACTTACTTACTTTTACTGTACAATGCCCCTTTAAATGTGTCTGTTTTTTTAAATTGAAGGTGAAACAAGACTGTACCAATGAGGCAACAACCGATGACAACTGCCAGCTCCTGTCTCCTGAATCAAGTCATGAGTCTGTCGAGGCTCCTGTTTCGATAAACAAGGTAAACATGGCCTTGCTGTTTATGGCTGCTGTCCTGTACATCTCTGCAGTGGGAGGAGCCATAGAAATACTGGGAGTCTTTGTACTGAAGGCGCCACTTAGTTGGACTGCCGCTCAGGTAACATTTTGCCTTATTTGTATGAACATGCTTTGGATTGGTGATCGATATCTTGCACCAGTATTGGTACCTTTACATGACTTGATTCACTTACCCTCTCTGCCTCCAGGTGGGTTATGGGAATGCAGCAGGCTGCATGATATTCCTCACCAGTTACCTCGGTGTTGTGGTGTTTCGTCGCTGCGTCAGTGATGTGACGCTCATCCTGATCGGCATGATATCATTCGGCTCAGGAATTTACTTCATGTCCTTCGTCACGACCACCTATTATTTCTACCTGGGTAAGAAAAAGCATCTTTGATCAAGGCACAGTTTGTGGTGAATAAATGACTCATGGAAATTTAGATTTAACACATGACATGGCAACATAAGATATTTATTTGTTGGATAGAGATATGATAGTATCAACATGGTATCAGATCCTCTCCCTAGATGTAAGAAGCCGGATCCATATGTTATATGTAGTAATAAATCACATCATGTGCCAAACACAGTTTTCTCCAGTCGTGTATCCTTTGTTTGCTGCAGAATAGCGGCGGCAAACAACCTCCTCCAATGGAATAAAAAGTTTCCATGATTTGGTAGTTCAACAGGCTTTTCTATTTGTATTACATCAGGTTAAGTTACAGCATGAGCAGCAACATTTAAGTTTCATTTTCATTTACAAGGTGCAGAGTGTTCATGTGATGTTGGTTTTTGAGGCTTCTATTTGAGCTGAGGTTAGAATGTGGAACTAGATTGGTGTCATCTGAGCTCCGGCCTAACAGGATTGATTTTGTCTGATGTTTCCTGAAAATGTATAGAGCATAATGAGGTAGTGAAAAGGAGCCACAGATTGTATTATCTATCTATAGATATTTGGTCATTGCTTAACAGTACAGTGTTAGTGACAAGCCTGCTAACAGAAGGGGACATACATGTGTCGGCAATGTGTTTGTGCTAATGTTTAATATTGTTTTTTTTTCTTTTTCTTTTTAAACATAATGTCAATACTCTGAAGGCTTTAGAGATAGGCTGATTAATTGGTAGGTTGATTATTGACATTTTGACATAATTAAGCATCATACCATCATTAGTATTCTTCAGTCGAAAAATACATTTTTATCATCACACATTAACATTAACAACATATCAATTTACAATAAATCCAAAAATACCTTGTGGTAACATTTTACAAAGCCAAATGTCATTGCAGCCACATTTATTTTGTTAACATGTTCACCAAAGCCTAGTAATTTAGTTTTTCATTGGTTGTTTTTTTATTGTCATGTTTTGTCAAATGCAAAATAATATTAATAGTAATAATGATTATTTTAAGATATAATTATTTTTGAAAAACAGTGATTTCAGCATTATATATAGACCATCGGCCAACCTGCTTTCTCATAGTCAGTATCAGTATTTGCTGTTGAAAAACCCTAATTGGTCGACCACTCAAACAAACACTTAAAATGCTGTTTTATTGCATTCACAAACTGTCAGGCAAGTTGTCCTTAACTGATAACACAGATCATCAATACACTGGCATTAGCTTTATAACTGTTTAAATAAAAAAAATGATGTGCTAAAAGTAAGAATACAGTGATTAGTATGCAGGAGTAGCAGCTAGCTAGCTAACCAGTTATAGCATCCCTCTAAAAGATTGTCAAATACTTTTCAAAGTGACGTTCAAAGATTCATTGTGAATCCAAAAACAACATAAGAGCGTAAGCCTCTTTAGCTAGTGCTAACGCACTGAACATTCCTACATTCCTACTGCTTTTCATACAGTTGTATACGTCATTTCAAAATAAAAGCAGGCTTTCAAAATAAAGTAACAGGGAGGAAAGACATTCAACAACAATCATTAAACAATCATTTTATGAAGCGGTCTCCTCTCTTAGGAAGTATCTGTTGATGCAGATAACTAGGAATAGATTATGGTATGTTGGTAAGCCATTTGTGTTTATTACTGAACTTTATATGTTGCTTCACTTTTGTCTTCCCCTCTTTATGATTTGATTATTATTTTTCCCGGCAGCTCGCTCGCTCAACCTGTTCGCTCTCATCCCAATGCCAACTATCAGGTCTCTGCTCTCACTGCAGGTTCCAGCATCCTCATGTGGTGAGTATGCAACCTGTGTGTATGTTACGATGTAAAAATTGAAACAAGAACAGACAACTACAGAGCTTTAAAATGTCAACATTTGTCTGAATGAATAAAATAACTTATCATATCACTTATCCTCATTATAAACCTTACAAATCAGTGATGCCTGTGCTTTTATTTTAACAAAATTATCAAATATCAGAGAGGATAGCAACATCGGAGTATCCCAGAAAAAAGAGGAAGCAGTTATCGATGATGACATCCCATTTCCTAAAAATTTAAGTTTGCAGTCTAAAGGTCAAAGGCTGGGGAAAACAAAGCCTTACTGACCCCCTGACACAGCTTTTATTAGTCTGTAAGTAATGCATAGTGCATTTAAGGAGTTACTCGAAGAGAACGGGTGTGAAACATGTATGAATAGAGAATAGTAATTATTATAGAAGAGGAGCAGGAAAAGATTGTAAAAACTATCCAACACTGAATCCACTGGAATGTTTTCCAGATAATGTCCTGATTTACTTCCTTTTAAACCCATCAGGCGAAACTACAAGTACAAGTAGAAAAAAAAGGAGATCTGTTTTGGGATGGGTTTGCTTGTCACTGCTCAATCATGAGGAAGATATCAGTGTAAGATAAGGAAACATGCCAAGATATAAACGGGAAGTTTCAACTGTAATATATTATGTTATAACCTCTGAGTCAGATATGTGGACTTGGAAGAGTAGTGTGTACTGTGCCGGTGGTGTCAGGTCTGCTGGGAAAGAGGATGTATTATTGAATTCTTTGTCGCTGGCTGGACACACCCAGGGACACACATACGTATACTCTAGAACTGAGTTCATTAATGATCAGAGAGGAAGAGTTATTCATTGTCAGGGTTTCAAGAACAAGTGGACTGCAAGTGTACATAGGCTACCCCAAACTTGTCCCTCTCATGCATACACATACAGTAAATTAATGAAAACTTAAAGTGGAGAGTTAAAATAAAAATCTTGCTGACTTCATTTGTTCCTCTCAGTATTTTAAACATTGGAACCTATGGGATTTCAAATGTTAAATCTCGTAGGTTGGTAATAGTTGTATCTTTTCCCTGGTTTCTTATTGTTATTGCCTGCAGGAGCATAAATAAATGCTCAGATATTGTTTTTTTTATCGATGAACTTCTTAGAGAGAGAAAACTGTTTCTCTAAGTCCAGGATAAATGAGAGTGTTTCTTCCCTAACCTTTCCTCTCTCCTCCTCCTCCTCATCAGGCACCACCCTCACCGTCCTGCAGCTGGCTCTGAAATTTGCCGGTCTGGCGTACATTCCTGGTTTTACTAAACTCTATCAGGCGACCCTGAACTGGTTCCCAGGCTTTGTCTTTCTACTGGCCAGCGTCTTTACAGTCCTGGGAATGATACCCATCAGGTAAGGTGTTCCTGTTACTTAAAGTGAGAATATTTGTGTAGAGTTTTTCTCTTTTTACTTTTAATCAAAGTGTAATTAGCCTAGCTTATCTGTAAGACAAACACTGATTTACACCTTTTTGAAACAAATAAAAAAAATAACAGTGGTCTAATAAAAGCAAACACCACTATAATCTTCAATCTGCTCATTATTCCTGGATTTAAAACTCATATATAGTTTTACACACCACTTTTTTTTTAACTTTTCATCTTATTAGATTTTTCAAACAGTTCTACAACCACAACCTTTTTTGACTATTTTTAAAATCTGGTTTGGATTAAAAAAACTTAAATTTTATCTGAACTCACAAGAGAAAAAAAGTTTAATTTACTGTAAAATTGTCTCTTCATTGTCATAATCATTGTTTACAAATCCTGAATGACACATTTATGCTAGTTTATCCACTGACTGTACATTAACTTCTGTCTCTCTCTAGTATATTCGGCTGTAGATCACCCCAGAGGCGACAGACTGTGAGGATTCAGGGAGACTGATGGAACCGGCCTCAGCAGAATTTCTAAGTGGGTGTTTGTAAGAGACAGACTGAAGTGAAAAATGAGAAAATGAAAATTGCACCCTCATTTTCACTTTGTACGATGTCATCTGGAAAAAAAAAAGGAATTGGACCCTTTCAGACTTTGGTTTTAACCGGAGAACCAGACAACAAGTTTGACGTTACATAAGCATTTTGTTTTGGAAAGACGTATTCTGATGATTTTAAATGAGATGGATTCAGGTTTAGAGTTTGGTCTAAAGTTTTGAGCTGTTGAACTTTGGTGAGTAACCCCTGGCATTTGTCTGAACTTCTGCAAAACAACTGAAGTCATATTACAACAGCACCCCCGAGCTGATTTCAACACAACACGCAGTAGATTCGTCATTACATGTGTCAGACACAAAAAGTTTCTTAAGAACCGATGTTAGACTCAAGTTTGAAATAACTAAAATCAATAATTATAATGTACACTGTTAAAATTAGAAATAAGGAAAAAGATTGCAGTATCAAATTACTTTTTAGACGTAAATATCAAAAGTATTTCCATTACAACACCTTGTCTTGGGGTTGGAGAGTTCAGACTTTAGGGCTTTTATTTTTAGGGGTACATCCTTATTTGTAATTTATTTCTTTTCCGCTGGATCTTTTTTGTTGTTCTTATTTTGTAAGGATGTTTTCTTCAGGTCTGTTTTCCATGACTCTATATTTACTCGCTGCTTTTCACACATCAGCAGAAACAAAAACACTGAGCGTTACATATTAATGATTTGTACATACTTTGATTATGATGAAAGCACTTTATAGTACCCTGGACTTAAGTGTAAATGACATACTGATGGATTAACCTGCAGCAGGTTAAGCAAACAGGTTATAAGAAAAAGACCGGATTTCTGTTTTTTTGTGTGTTCATTACATTATTCTCTGGTTGTTATTTCCTCTCCTAAAGTTGTGTCTAGTTTAAATCTTACTCTTATTTTCTTACTTCTGCATTTTAAAACGCAGCATTTACAGAAAGCAACAGACTGCTTCCCCTAATGTTACAGCATTAAGCATCTGATACCACAGATAAACTAAGACTAAAAGGTGGTTTGTAATGATTCTCTAGATCTTTTTTTTTTCCTTTTATTTTCCACACCTTTATCCGGACCTTGAAGGCTGAAATGAAGTTTACTAAAAGCAGATTTACTTAATTCCTACAATGAATTGAAATGAAAATGAAAAATGAATTTATGGTGAACACAGGGACTTGTGCTTTCACAAGAAGGATTAGCACTTAGTGAAGAAACCTGTCTCATTACTCCCTCTACTGATATGTTTTTTAACCTACTACATGGTTCCTAATTGACTCACGGACTGAGAAAGATGGAAAAGATGGGCTAGAGATGCTCATCAGTTAGCCCTAGCAGCCCAGAGTTACATCCTTCTATGCCAGGTGTCACCATCTAACATATTCACAAGTCCATGAATCTAAGCTCCATACCTGCAGGCTCTAGGTAAATAAATGGTAAATGGACTTTGTTTTTAAGGCACTGTCTTCTGGCCACTCTGTGCTTTTTCATCACATTCATCCATTCACACCATATCCACACACTGATGGCAGAGGCTGCTATTTAAAGCACCATTAGTTTTGACTAATCCCATTCACACACCACTGGGCACAGCCAGTGGGGTTAGGTGGGGTCTAGTATTTTGCCCAAGGACACTTTGGCATGTGGACAGCCCTGGGATCAAATCCCTGACAGTACTTTGTTGCAAAAGAGAGGGACAAAAATCTGTCTTTAGTGACAGACACATGTAGACTCATGTTCCAGGAAGTAAACGTCAGAAAAATGATAAACGTTGGTTTAAAAACTTGTACAATGGTACCAAAGAAGACATGAGACAGCAATTTTTGACATTTACTGATTTTGTTTATGATTCAGTTTGCTGAAAAAATGTAGACATATTTATATACTTGAGTATGGTACACATCAGGGTCACTTTTTTTAATGGTAGCATGTTCAGTCATTTGGAGTTGCTTTCAGTTTTAAAGCACTTTGAACAGTTTTGACTTTTCTGAATGATGTTATGGTGAAATATGTGACAGTCTGCTTGAATGATTGTTTGATTGATAGAGATGTTGCCTGTATATGAAACTGTAGCAAAGACATAAAACATAAATATTTAAGGATTATTTTATTTCTTAAATAATTATACATGTAGTCCTCACAGCACTGTCCTTGTCATTTTGCTTTATGGCAGAAAAATGGAAGAAAATGCAGGCTGCATTATTTTGAAGGTGAGCATTATTGCACTTACAGTTTTTGATACTTGATCACATTATCAAGTATTTTTTTCTCTGTATGTAAAGGTGAAAAAAATGGAACTACATTTTTTTAAAAAGGGAAAAAATATACTACTGAGCTGCAAGTCATGCAAAAGTCCTTGATTAACTGTAATAAGATATATTTTTTTAAATATGAAACATCACACTGTAATAAAATCACTTCAACTCTGAAACTAGAAGTTGGATCACTTTAAACTTCTCTATGAAATTTTTGCATTTAAAAAGACATCAAAAAAGTTTTTATACTCTTGTTGCTTCCGGTTTTGTTTGTATGTATCATCAAATAAATGTTTGAAATTGTGATGCAGAGGTGATTCATTAATCATTTGATTTGCTAGTTGCTTGTTTTGGTCTCCTCAAGTGGCTGAGCTTCAGTGTAGGACTCACACTGACTGTGTGTGATGACCCGATCTTATTATAACTCCGGCAGTTACTGTGTTAACCACAATGCAAGCTCATACCCTGCTTTATTATTTAAAAGCATAGGTGAGGCATGTAGTTCATAAACCACCATATACTATAATTATTTTCCAACTGAAACCAAAACAAGTTAATTAGGAGATTTACTTTAATTTTTGACAATAGATTCAATTTTTCTGAGTTAATTATTTCTGCAGCATTAAATAATAATGATAATAATCATAACTAACAATAAATGACCAAAAACGCTAAAACTCAAAAGTGTTGATGTTCCAGCTTCTGAGGATGTTGCAGAAAAACACACAATGAATTCAGTTTTGAACAACAGTTGTGTAAATACCTTTAAAAAATTGCATTCACACTGGATAACTCAGAAAAATAAATGTACAGGTAACATTCAAGCTCTACTGACCTCTTTGGACAAGCTGTGGCCTGATTTCGGTGTACAACTGCAGCATCACTAACACATTTTTTTGCAAGCAAGTCTGTGTTTTGGAGTTTTCTTTATATCAGTTTCTACAAAGTTAGGGATGCTATTGCCAACACTATCCACTTTTCTATATGTTATCGCATTACAAACTTCAGAACTACTCAATTCCTTGTCAAAGTTGTGGATAACAAATATTTCAACTGAGATTGATGGGACTCTATTTCACACATAAATGTTCCTTTTGTGTGATAACCACTGCAGGCAGCAAAGAAATAATGTGAAGTCTACCCACTCTATTTATTCATATATGATAAAATTGATCAGATCAAGAGTTATAATACTTATTCATCATCGCCTTCCCTGTTTAATTTATATTTGTAGTCTTTAAACCTTGCCAATGGCAGTTCTCCTTTCATCTCTAACTTTTGCCAAATGAATGCACACCTTTCACTTCCGTTATCACTGCTTAACACAGGAACATGAGATGGGGGAAGTGGGCGTAAGTGACTCCAGTTTTATCCCTCACCTAGGGGATCTTCATACAATTGTCACCACATAGGTCCTGAGTCCAGCTGAATAAGTCCCTCACCTGCTTTGATCACCTAAAAAGTCATCATGGTCTTGCTGAGTCTGTGTCAAACATCCCTCACGGTGCTCCGGCAGATCGAGCCGGTGATTGTACTGGAGGAGCTGGCAAACACTCTCTTCAACACTGCCCATAGGATGGTGGTCAAGGAGCGAACCGCAAACCTAACCTACCCTGACACCCATCTCTCCAGGGAGGACAGCCAACAGAAAGCCATGTCCGACTTTTTTATGACTTTCAACCTCATCATCACACTGACTCCGATTTTACCTGCACTGCTCCTGGCAAGGTTTGGCGACCGTGGCTGGAGGAAAGTCCCCATCGTGGTGCCTCTGTGTGGGTTCCTTCTGCTCAGGTTTGCGCTGCTGCTGGTTGTCATCTTCCAGCTTCCTCTGGAGCTCATGTTCGGTGCGGCGGTGCTTTGCGGGCTGTCCGGGGGATTCTGTGCGTACTGGCCGGGCGTCGTGACGCTGGCGTCGCTTGGCTCCACGGCGGCTGACCGGTCCAAGGTTGGTGTTTTCTCTGATGCAGAAAAAATAATGCAATCTTAATGAATTTCTCATGACTGTATCCATTTGTGGTTTCGTTGCCTTTAACAACAGGTTATTGCATACATGCAAATCAGCTTGTTTATTGGAGCTCCTGAGTTCTTACAGATCAAAAAGCAAAGACAAAAACTATTAGTTAATAATTCATTTTTGCAGTGGCGTATTCAGGTCGTTTAGATAGCTACGTTCAACTTGACTGGCCAAGGTGGCTAGTATATATATACTGAATTTATTTACAAGATACACTGTTAAAAAACGACAATCTATTCACAAGAGTTTGTATTCTTAATTGGGTGAACATGAAAATTGTATCAGGATCCTGAATTGATTGTTTGAGCAACTGAGTTCATTATAAAGAGCCTCTACAGCTACTGTTTGTCCTCAGCTCATTAGTAAATCTTTCCTTAATTTAAATCAGGTGGCTCTAATATCCTCCTGTTTGTTATTTTAGCTTTTATATACACCAACCAGTCACAGCATGAATGCCTAGGAGATGCCTTGTTTATTTTTCTCACGGCTTATTAAAGCTCCAATTAAAAGTATGTTTTCTCTTCAGGTAATAATGAGAGTGGAGGTGCTGTATGGGGTGGCAGGTCTAGTGGGCAGCCTGGTTTCAGGTCATCTCTTCCAGCTGTACAGTGCCAGTCTTGGACATGGAACACTCCTGCTCGGTTTGAGTACGCTGCTGTCCCTGCTCTGCCTCGTAGAGTCCATATTCCTGCGACAGGTCAGTGTGTGTAAGAAGATAAATAAGAAATGGTTAAGTTTATGCTCAGAAATTATAGGACTTAAATGTCACATATAAATAAAAAGAAAGTTTCTACTCCATAAGAGCCATAGTTATGGTCTAAAAGTTCCAAAAGAAGTTACCAAATGGGTCAAAGTCACAAGTTTTAACAAGTTTGTCGACAGTTTGGAAATTGCCCTCAACATCAATAAAGCATCCATCCATCCATCCTTAAACGGAGTCCTATCAGATAGTGTTTTTAGCAATGTTTTCAAATGTATGTTTATCTCAATTCAAGGTGAAACCAGAGTGCAACACTGAGCCAGATGAAAACTGCCAGCTCCTGTATCCTGACTCCAGTGAAGGGCCTGTGCAGGCTCTTGTTGGGATAAACAAGGTAAATGTGGCCCTGCTGTTTGTGGCTGCTGTCCTGTACATCTCTGCAGCATTAGGGTCCATGGACATACTGGGAGTCTTTGTGCTGAAGGCGCCACTTAGTTGGACCGCCACTCAGGTAACATTTTGCCCTATTTGTATGAACATGCTTTGGATTGGTGATTGATTTCTTGCACCAATATTGGTACCTTTACATGACTTGTTTCGCTTACCCTCTCTGCCTGCAGGTGGGTTATGGGAATGCAGCAGGCTGCATGATATTCCTCACCAGTTACCTTGGTGTTGTGGTGTTTCGTCGCTGCGTCAGTGATGTGACGCTCATCCTGGTCGGCATGATATCATTCGCTTCAGGAATTTACTTCATGTCCTTCGTCACGACAACCTATTATTTCTACCTGGGTAAGAAAAAGCATCTTTGATCAAGGCACAGTTTGTGGTGAATAAATGACCAATGGAAATTTAGATCCTCTCAACAAAATTCATGCTTGTTCGTAAACAGAGCCGAGAAGTCCACCTCATTCAACCCAAAGTATAACATGGCAACTTCAGATGTTCTTTTACAAATATTAGTATAAGATACTTAGCAAGAGAAAAAAACATCTTCCTAGATTCCAGTATTCCTGCTTGATAAATCACACCATGACTCAATCTGTAACTCCGCTTAAGCCAACACGGTTTTTATCAGTAAGGCATCCTCTGTTTGCAACTGAATAGCAGTGGGAAACAATGTCTATGTATGAAGTAATGACTCTAATGGTTCAAGTCAGGCCATGAGCAGTGAAATTTGAGCGGCTCTAAGTTTCATTTTCATTTAACCAAATACACTAAAAACAAGGCGTTCCAGTGATATTGGTTTTTGAGGCTTTGGTCAGCTGAGGTTGGAATAGAGAACTGATTTGGTGTCATCTGTGCTCTGACGCTTCCTTTTATGACTGATGTAGGTCACAAGCATCACCTTTTAGAGAGACAAAGACACAGCTTGTATTCTTTATCCATCAACAGACAGCAGGTAATAATTTGGCAGTACAGTGTTAGTGACATGGCGATCTGGGAGAGGGACAGACATGTAAGCAGAAATGTGTTAGTACTCGTGTTTTAACTTGTAAGGGTTTCTTAGGTAGTGTGGACAAATAACACAGCAGAAACACCTAAAATGTTCATTAACTGCATTTACAAACTGTCCCCATTAGAGACCTGACATCACCTGACAAATTGAATCAAAGTGCCTGATGGTTGTGGTGATTGGCGGTGTAGGCAGGAAAACTGTGGATAAAGTAAGAACAAAATTGAAATGTTTGTGTTCGTTTCCTGAAACAGCTCGCTTACTCAACATGTTCGCACTCATCCCGCTGCCAACTATCAGATCTCTGGTCTCACTGCAGGTACCACCATCCTCCTGTGGTAAGTATGTAATCTGTGTGTATAAAGATAGGTGTGAAAAGGTGACAAATCTATGAAAACAGGCGGTTAAAATAAAGCAATACCGGTGATGGTTTCAGCACATTATCTGTCAAAATAAACAGAGTATTTCAAACAGAACAGCATGAACTTCAGATTTTTAATATGAGCTACATCTTTTAATCCGTCAATCAGGCACCACCCTAGCCTTCCTCCAGGTGGCTCTGGAGTTCGTGAGTCTGGCGTACATTCCTGCTTTCACCAAAATCTAACAGGGGACCCTGAACTGGTTCCCAGGCTTCGTCTTTGTACTTGCCAGCATTGTAACAGTCCTGGGAATGATACCCATCAGGTAGGCTGTGGGCTATATGATGTTCCTACCACAGAATATTTGTTTAGTACTTGTATTTTCATTGTATTTATTTTTTATTCAAGTGCAGTTAGCCTAATCTGTCAAGAGATGTATTGTACTTTGTTCAAATATGGTTTAATTAGAATCAGAAAATAATAACTTAACATCTTTTTTACTTGAATTATAAACCCTGAATAATCCTAACCTTCTCTCCATCTGTCTCTCTCCAGTATATTCGGCTGTAGATTGCCTCACAGGCAACAGAAGGAGAGGATTCTGGGAGACTGATGGTACTGACCTCAGCAGCGATTTTATGTCTGTGTTAGTATGAGACAGACTGAAGTTACAAAAGAAATGGGCAGAGGGAAAATTGCACCTTTAAAATTCTTATGATTGTAAAATGAAACAGCCGGAAGTTTGATGTCACATGAGTGTTTAGTATTGAAAAATATGAGTAGTGTGATGAGTTTCATTGAGATTAGGCAGGTTTGTGCAACTACTTGCATAGAAATAACTACAGGAAAACATTGTGCAGTAGTTGGATACGTTTGTATTTATTGAAATACTTAAAGTATTTTGGCATAGCTTTTAAATATACTAATTTTAATGTGACATTTAATGACTGTTACACACCAGTACTTTTCTTTTATGAGAGATTTTTTTATGTGTTGTGTTAAAACACCTGTTTGAACACCTTTTCCAGAGAGCTTAGGACCGGTGGAGAAAACCTAAATTTAGGTGTAAAAGCTGTTGTTGTACCAGAATGGACCAGAGACAGTCTCACTCACTTTGTCTGTTTATGAAGATTGCTAAAATTTCCACAATCCTGTATTTGCTTCCTCTTAAATTACTACTGATAGGCCATTATAGGTCTGAGTAATTCCCTGATGCACAGTAAACATTTTAGCCGTTTTGTTGCTCTGTTTTTTTAAGTATTATGTTTGGTCATTTGAGATTGCATTTGGTTTAAAGCACTTTGACCTTTGTGGATTTTTTGGAAAAGTGTTAGACATGATGTAATACATGCAGGTTTGCTTGTATAAATGTGTGATCCACAGAAATATTGTCTGTACATTAAAGAGGCAAACTGAAACATAAATATCTAAAGATTCAGTCTTACTTAACCATCTATTTATGTCCTCAGTGATTATTACGCATGTATTTCTCTGAGTGTTTTGTGTCATTTTTCTTGTTAGCACTGGAGGTGAATTATGGAGAAGAAAAACCCCCACAGTTATTTTGAAACACCAAACATATTTTTGTTTTTTGATACTTGTGAGGTCGTTTTTCCTTGTAAACAAAGGCAGAAGATATATTGATTTAAAGCACAAAAATGAACATTAAACTACAAACTCTTTAAAAGTATTTAGAAAAGGAAGCAAAGAGGTATCCTGACTTTCCTCCATTGGATTTGTTTACATGATAATAAATGGATTACGTTAAACAATAAATACAAGGATAAGACATTTGCACAAAGTAGACCTGAGCACACAAGTATGAAATGCATTCGTTGTTTTATTATTGGTCCAATATATTCAAAAGGTCATTTGAGGTAAAGATAAATTGCATCAAAACAACATCAATATACAAGCTTATTTATAATAATGACAAGATGTTATTAACATCCAAATGTACAATAAAAAACTCTGAACGTAAACAGTACACACTGAAGGGGAAAAGAGACAAGCTGGAGTCCCATGTTTATTATTTTTCTGCCTTTTAACCTTTTGGACAGGGTTGATGAATTTTGGCGGTTCTGCAAATCAGGTTTTCGCAAAGACAACAGGAGGATAAGCCTGGGGGTGTTTGGCTGAGAAACAATTGATATGAAAAGAAAAGCCGAAACAACACCAGACTCTCCCCGCTTTATAGTCAACATTGTCTCTGTTTGCAGACGACGCCCTTCTTTACATTCCAGATTCAAGTTTCCAAACTGTGATATAAACTAATCTTAACCAACTTAACACCAAATTATTTAAAATCAATTTTGACCCTGAAAGAAAGCTAAAATTATCTTTTTTCTTTCAGGGGTCGTAGTGCAAAAGTAAATCAGCAGGCACACTACAAAAGTTGGGGTTTTAATAATGGCTGAATAAGAAAAAGAACTATTGCTGGGGTTCTCATGAGCACAAACATAAAATCATTTCTCATTTTTTGGTTCAAGATTTACATCATTGGTGCAAACCTCCTAAAATATCTTCATTTATTTGCCACGTATGAAGTTGAAACCCAACAGTAACCCCTCTGTTTCATACAAAAATAGACTCAGCTGTGCCATATAATTCAGCTGTGCAACAGAGTATGTTCAATATACAGTATGTTGCCATTAAAGCAAGAGGAAAATTTTTTCCAGTCTGAATGAGCATTTTCAGGTCAGGACTGTACAAATCCTCCATTCACACCAGATAGCAGGAAAGTTTATGGATGCACTGACGCCTTTTTGTCACCGCCATGAGTTCGACTGTGAATAAAACAAACTCCAGAACCAATCCGAACCAGACAATACAATAAATCTACACTTATTAAACTTGTATTAGGTTGCTACATCTCATCCTCCTTTGATTGAGTGCATAATACTGTCGTCCATCTTATTGTGTCTCTAAGTCTAACGCTGCAAAAAGAAATGATGGCCTTTTTTTGAATGTGACTCCAAAGTTTGGACGAGCTGGTGTGAGAAAATATGATTCTGTACCTTTATCTTAGCTTAAGGTATGTGAGTAAGTACCTTTAACTGAACTAAATGTGATGCTTAAACCCCTGACAGGACAGCTGTGGCTCAACTGAAGTGTTTTAATGAGAACTGAGAAGATTTTGAGAATTTTAACTTAAAAATCATTCTTAAAAAACGCCCATCAGAAAAAAAATTCAGTCCTCTACAAAATTTGTGGAAGAAAGCTATCACACAAGACTCGACTCCACATCTTCAGTATCGTAATTTAGCATCAGCGCATCCATACTATCCACTGTAGCTGCACAGAAAGCTTTTCTTCATTTTACTAGCTGTTAAATTAAAATTCTTTTTTTTTTTTGCTTTTAAAAAGGATGTAAGAAAAATAAAAGGAGAACTGACAAACCATACAGAAACCCTGTCTGGAGGCAGCCACTGTCACTTCCTCTCACTGCTGCCTTAAAACACCCACTGAAAAGAAGAGGGTGACATCATCCTGTGAAACTAAACAAGGGGCTTTCAAAGATGAGCTGACGTTTGAAAGAATTACAGACAGCAGATATCTCTGTTCGGTACACTGACAAAAAAAAAAAGAAGCACCTTATGTCTGAAAAGCTTATTATGAAATGAAATGATGCTAAAAGTAGAATTGAAAACACACATTATTATTGTATGTGTATGTGAAATCAAAGTCTTTGTAAATGTCTTCAAGGCAGCGAGGTCACACTGAGCCCCTCCTGGTCATCATTCGTTAGTTAAATGTAAAATTAGCAAGGGATGGAGAAATATGTTATTAACTCATATTATCAGTCATCTGTTTCAGTCCTCTATGGTCGAAAGCCATTTTTGGGTGAGTTAAAGCTCCCTCAGTAAAAGAGTATAGCAAAGATAATACATATAAATAAAACAGAGCGTCTATCTGTAAGGCCACATCAGCAACAGTTCGGATCTTCTTACAAGAAGAGGGAAAATGTGTGACGGGAAAGCACTGGTGATTTAGAGACGTGGTGCTACTTCATCTTCATCATAATATTTCCCATGAGTCACAGCTACACGGACCAGGCCAAATCTTCCCAATGCCTGTGTACACTTTTTTTAACCAAACCTTTTCCACAGCACTGAGTCATTTATCTTGTGCTCAATCATGTGTTTTATAGGTTTAATGCTCAGTATGTCAGGATCTGAACAGTCTGCTTTTGTTAAACTCTTATAAGCAGCTTTTCAGGGTAAAGCAGATATTTCCAAGATGCTTCAGTACTCTTTCTTTGTTTGTTTAAGCAATTCCTTACTGCAAAGATGTCCACCTATGAGCACTAAACTCTGTACTTTTTTTCAAGTCTTTGAGACTCACTTTCACATCTAAATTCAGAGCTTGTTTCCTTTAGACATTTTCTACAAATAAGTGTCAGTGTGTCCAACAACACCAAGATATTTAAATAAACATTGACGATGAATGTTTAATTCGTTGTATGCAGATTTCAGCTAGATTGAAATCGTTAGTCCTCCAGTTATTATCTGTTTGCTTTCATGGGGGTTTCAGAGAGTTTACGCCTTTCAGTGAAGAAGAAAGGTGAAACAGCTGTTAGTCAAACTGTCCACTGGGAAAGGAAAAAGAAGTGATACCAAGACTCATCAGCAGAGGCAGCTGAGCGAGTGGTTTAAAAGGATGAATCAAAACTGTAAACAGTTAAACCACCAGGTGGTGCTGCTGCACTAAAGTCAAGACATAAATGTATCTGCCTATCTGCTGTGTCCCACTCCACCAATCACTCCCCTGATATGAAGCACTGAATTCAACTAAGACACATATTTGCATCGTCACTGTTAAATGCATGTCTTTGTGTTTCATGTCTTTGTATTCAAAAGGATGTGGATCAGATATGCATCCTGCTGTTTCCCTTTCCATGAGAAATCTGGAGTGAAAGTAACTGAAGACATGTATGGATCCTTGTTGCTCGACCTTCTGCTTTGACCCTGTCTGTATTTTGCCTCTGGTTGTAAACAGAGCTGTGTTTTAAGCACCGATGATTATGGCGAGTTTCAAGTTTCTACTTTGAATGTTATAAAAATAAAGGTTGGCAGGGAAACTGGGAAAACTATAAAGTTAATTAATGAAGTTTAGGAAAACAGCAATGGATCATGGGTAGTTGGTTTCGGCACCTAAACATACAAAAAACAGGTAAATCCTTTAAATTAGGTAGAAGATATTCTTTGTTAATTTGAGGTGTCACATTTTCAGAGGCTTTTTCAACCTGATAAGGAAACAAAATTAGGGATGATCAGAACACTTCCTACCACGGTCCAGAGTTTTCTTTCACATTTGGCTGATTTGAACAAACAGAAACATGACTTCTTGAGACCTGGGTTAAATAAACACAAGCAGCATTGGCAAATGACCGTTAATTGGAAACATGACGTAGAAAAAAGTCAATTAGAACGACAAAAATAAAGGAAAATGTCTGTACATAGTAGGTCTCTCCCCTTTCCACGCTGTGCTTGAATGCACCGTTTGTTACCTCTTTTGCAGAGAAACTCTCCTCCGTACAATCATCTCACAGGAGAGCGGGGAGGGAGTCCAGCAATAAATGTATGCTGCCCGCGTGGTCCTTTTCCTTGGCATGACAGAGTGAGTGATACAGAAAGAGGGGAACGTAGGGACATGAGGGGATGTTTCAGTTCGTGTCACTCGTTTTGTCCTCAGTCTGTTTCTCCTGGAGAAGAGTTATGAGTGACTCCCACGCTGCCTGGCTCTGCGGAGAGCGGAGATGGATGAAGACGGCCAGTAGAGGCGAAAAAATGGGATGAAAGAAGAGATAGTTGCAGAGATGAGAGGCATACTTTCAAAGGAACATGCTGTAGCAATTGTATGTAAAAGGAAGAGCTTGGCGATGTGGGAAAAAGTTTATCGCAATATATTATTTGCATATCAGTCAAGTCACCATCTAAAAAATGAATTTTAAGAGTGCTTATTGGTAGCATGCCTTTCGCAATACAATAAGCTACTGCATCTGTGAGGTCTTCGTCTCTCTTTGACGTTTTGAAGTAAGGTGTTTCGCTAAAGAAATCAGACTGAGTGGTCAGCTGTTTGTGCCACGGGCTTTTTACTTCGCTCGGGGTTTGTAACCTTTTGCATTGCGCATGCTCTGCCATGTGGCACTGCTTCAGGTGGTGAAAAAGATTTGAGGTATTCCCCGACTTTGTGAGAACATGTACTTGACATAATTTGCAGTTCACATTACTCTGCTTCATGTCTGACCTCAAAAAAACAAAATACTGACGTTTTCGTGCCAGTGTTGTCGACGATGTCATCATCTGTTGAGCCTTCATCCGCATTTCTGCCCGGTTTAGCACTCATTTTCTGTTTTTCTCACTGACAGTGCTGTCGACTTCACGTGCCAAAGTGCGATGGTTGCGTGTAGCTGCTGCCTGCTACTACGCAGTTGTTTGCTACTTGGTTCTCATTCAGCACATGATTGGTTCAGTGCGAAGCAGACCCAGAGCAACTCTCCTTTTTGAATAGTCTACCTAAACATGGCAGAATGCAGACTATCGAAGAGCATATTGACCATGTTTTACTGATATTGAGGGAAATTAATTTTATCTCCCAGCCCTAGTAATAGGGATGAAAAATTAATCTCTGTCACATAACTTGTCAACCCTAAATAAGTCAAAGTCAACAAGTTTAGGGTTTGTTGTCATATACTGAATACCTTTTCATACCTTTTCATAGTGGTTGATGTTTTTGTCGGCCATGCCTGTGAGAAGCTGTTTGAAGTCTTGTCTCTTGTTGCTCTGCCAGCGCTCCCAGTCTGCCTTCAGGTCAGCGTTGAAGCACTCCACTTTGTCCTGGCATTTCTCTACTTCCACTGGTATCTTCAGGGACACAGAAAGAAAAAAAAAAAACTACAGCTACAAGGGCCTTTGGGGGACATGATACAAGACTACAAGTTACTGGACTACAGCCACGGGATCTGGGTGGTACAGGAATTTTAAAAGGGAGGGTTGCAACACAGACATTTGACAAAGTGACAGACAACTTTTAGTTATTGGTCATCTTACACTCTGGGAAGCTTGTTGTTCAGCTCTTTTTCTGTATTTCCCTCCCAACATGGTTGTGGCAGATGAATGTTTAACATGATTCTGGGTCTGCTCAATTTGCTAAATCTGAATCTTCTCCTGATGTTGAGTCTTGGTAACTAATCTCACAGTGCGTATGGTCTCAGATGTGCTAAGTCTCTTGGTTTACTTGTGGGGTTAATTTTGCATATGAACAAAAGATATTCTTGGGGGGACAGAACCTTCTCCGCTGCCGCCGCCACCCGCTGGAATTCACTCCCCAAACCCATCAGAGACTGTATAGACCCCCATACCTTCAAATCACCTAAAAACACACCCGCTTAAACAGGATTTTAACCTGTTAACTGTTTTTTTATCCTCTTTTCATGTTATTTTTTAAAATCTTCCACATTGTTGGTGTTTTACTCCACATTGTAATCGTGTTTTTGTAAAGCATCTTTGTATAAAATTTATTATTATTGTTATTATATTCAACTTATCACACCAGAGAGATTGGCAATACTGCTTTTGTTAACATTCAGTTTTAACGAATCGAAAGTTTGTGAACCAGTCTTGCAAAAACAAAGTTTTGTCTGGGCTTGCAATGCTTCTGTTGAAATGGTCAAATACTATATCATGTGGTTGCAAGAGGATATTAAGAGTAATTTGAGTAGCTACAAACAACCTGAATGATTGCAACACCAAACATGAAGAGTTAATAACCTGAGAAGAAAAAGCAGACTTACTGGTGTTTTGTCTTCTTGTTTGCGCAGAACGGCCGCCTCTAACCGTCCCTCGTACTCCGCCTGGCTCTGGTCCCTCTTTCTCAAAACATTCTACGAGAAAACACAGACCGCTTTATTTTTTGCACAATTTCTGCATCATTCAGTGACGCTGAAACTTTTCTGTGCGACAGAAGGTGAGAAATCTGCTGAGTCAAGACAGGACATGTCGACTGCAGAATCTCAGAGGCCTCTTCCTCAATTCAGGGTCATACATGACGGCCAGGCTGGAGTTGTTTTGAGCGCCTAATGATGTTTTTAGTGTGCAGCATGTTTCACCAGAATGTAACAAAAAAGGTGCAAAGTTTCACATCATTTATTTGGCTTTGCACTGTGCTACAGATGAAAATATAGTATATCCAAAATGTAGCTGAATGTGTGATACCAAAGAAATCTGCTTTTTCTGAATACTGGCTGCTAAACAGAAAAAGTATGGAGTCAAAATTTGGGATTCTGTGTTGCAAAGGGTCTACACAAGTTTAAAATGACCTTATTAAGACCTTTTCCAAGTTTTCTATGTACTATGATTTGCCACGAATGCTAACTGTAACCTGTAACCCCTGCAAACTCACTGATCACCCAACAAAGAGAAGCTTCACTGAACTTTGCCCCTCGCACCCCTCACCTTCATGGACTCTATGTAGAGCAGGTATTCCCTGAGGACAGGCAGAAAGTCCTGGCTCATGTTCTCGCACTGCTCCTCCAGGGCGCTGCAGCATGTTGTCACACAGCCGGCTACGCCCTCCAGGGGGTGCTGCAGCTCCTCCTCAGACCCCGCCCAGCTTGAGTACACGGTGCCGTACTCGCGTAGCTCTGTCAGATACTCTAGTCAGGAGAAGAGCAAGGAAAAGCAAGTAGTAAGAAAAAATCCATGCTGGAGAAGAAGAAGTTGTGGCCTTTGTTCTTTTCAGAAAATCAATTTCTTACTTTTTTTGTACTTCTTTGTGACTTTTAAACTCTCTGTGTCTACATAATTCTCTCTTATAAACACAAGAAACATCTGGACTGAAAAACAGACCCCCCGCTGGGCTTTCGTGTCTTACTCACAGGCAACACAGACGGATAAGCGTGTTTAAGAACAGAATCTATATTTGTAAATCACACATGAGAGAAGATAATGGATGAACGCCAGGCTCTGGAGTCAAGCATGCGTGGCATTTGCTCGTTTCACACTGTGTCAGCTCACAGGCCTTCATTATCTACACTTCCAGAGAGTCTATGTTATCTCCTCCGGTGTGAAATCCAGGACCTTTAGTTTACCCTGCAGATTTCTTTTCACAGACTCTAACACGTGTACAACCGCAACAGATGGTGGCAGAAAGTATTTTGGTGACGGACATTTACATGTTCACTTGACACGCATCAGTTATCAACTGTGTAACCTCAAAGCCCAAAGGTTTGTGGGTTTTTCTTCAAACCAAACACACCTGCCCTCGGTGGGTCAATACTGCAAATCAAGTCATAAAACCGACGAGTGTAGGCCATCCAGCAAAAGGCTAAACCACTGTGTGACACTGGCTAACTTACAGGTTGTGGAGCACACATAAAAAAGGAGCCGGTATGTGGGTCTGCCAAGGGAAGTAGTGTAAAGTGAACATTGGGTGATTTTGTAACCACTGTTTCAAAATACTACTTCCTGTTTCCTTTGAAATCCTAAGATTGAAACACACAGTCTAACATCTGTAACGTTGTTTGTAAGTCAAAGCAGTGTTAGCCAAGGGAACATCCAAGAGAGGGAAACAATGTAAAAAATCCAAATGTTAAAAAAAAGGAGACAAAACAGAAACTTCATGTTGCTTTGGTCTAAAAATTTAAAATGTTGGAATGTCTGTGAATTTATGTATAACAATTACCAGACAAAGTTTATTGTCATTTATCTTATTTTTACTAATCTAGTTGTTCATTTTTTTTTAGTGAATATAAATTCACAATTTAAGTGCTATTTTGGATAGAGTCATATTTAATTATTTTTAATGAATTTTTTAAATCTCTCATTTACTTACACTTACTTATACTTCCTCTCTGATACCTTTATAATTGCTTTGCATGATTTTCAGATAAAAAAAAATAAGCCTCAAAATTCTCACAACGGTGTATTAAAAAATCATTATCACAGTTCGTTTTCGCTGCTGTCTCTTTAAGCCCTGGTCTTTGCCAGCCTACTGTCTTCTGACTGGCTTTCCGCAGGCCAGCTGAGGGCAGAGCTCAATGTTTTGACCCCGCCCCCTCTATTGTGGTTGATCAGTTGGGCAGCAGAGGAGTGTCACCTCATATGCTGTTGGAGGCAGGTGGTTTTGCTTTGCTGGAGGCACAGATGATCTAGTAAGAACAGCCTATAATACCTATGTGAGAATTTTAGTGAGTCTTGTGTCTTCGTGCAGGCCACTGATTTTGAGCAGTTTACATCTAATTCCTAAGATTATGACAACATATGTTAACCATGTGATTTGAAACTTTGCGTACATCTAGTATGGACACCAAACTTTATCCCTTTGCAGGTTTTGTTGTAAATGTGGAAAAGCATGAAATCCCCACCTTAAATGTTTATGTAAATAACAAGACTCCATTGTTACTTTCTGTCAGTATAACTCAGGTTAGACTCAGAAGGTTACAAAAGGTCTGTTGCCTCATACCTGACTGCTCTTTAAGGATCCTCTGGGCGATTCGGTCAATTGTTCCCAGTTTCTGGCTGAATGTGTCCAGGTATTCTCCCATGGCGCAAAACTCAGCTGGCCTCGCCCGTAGCTTGTATCCCCCGGCAACGTGTTTCACTGACTCGCCCACTTTGGTCAGAAGGGCAAGACCCTGACGCTTGTTTAAGTCCTGCAGAGAAGACAGGGAAAGCCACATACTGTAAAAATTCTTCAATGATATCACAAAAGATTGAACTTTTTTTTTTTTCAATTTTTAAAAAAATATTTTTCTTTTATTTTTCTTGCTAATATTATTATGATGGTTTATATTATTATATAATATTATGATATATATGTAAATCAGTGTAGGAGAAGGAGTGGACTTCATAAGTTTAGACTTCTTCCCACTCCTCTTTGAACATGGATGACTTTTTATCATTTGTTGTTGTATTCTTCACTTTTTTATTTTATTTTTTTTATATCTTCAAAATAAACTTCAATCAATCAATCAATCAATCAATCAATCAATCAATCAATCAAAACATAAGTATGTAAGCTAATAATCAAATACACAGTTGTTGATAATGCTTAGAAAACCCTGCTGCTCCTGCTTTTGCATTTTTAATCTTATTCCAACTTTGATACTGTGACGCGCTTTTGTCCCACTGTCTCTTTTTTTAGGATTCTTTTACTGCTGCTGCGAGCTCATGTCCTCACAAGTATCAATAAAGTCTTGTGTCTCCTCTACTTGGACACAAATTTGTGAGTGATGGCAGATGCAGAGAAAGCACGCACATACACACATATTCTGCACAAACAGGAGCCTTATATTTTCTGGTATTGCCTTTTGCTGACAGATAGCTGCTGAGACGACTTGATGCTTTCCATCTAAGTTTCTGTCCTTCACAGTGAGTCCTTGTTGACAAGTACTGAACATTTTTACCCCCAAAGATAACTTATTACCCTGCCTGGAGTGGCAGATGTTCTACACGACACGCAGCCACTGATAAAAACAGCTGACCAATGCCAAACTCTGCATCAGTCTGACATTGTTGCTGTTCCCAAACACTGGTGTTGGACATTAAACTTTACAGATTACCCCTAACGCCCCTTAAAACCAAACGGCCAAGCTGCCATCCTCGTGTGCTCTCACCTTGGCAGACAGGAACGCGTTTAGATGTGGGTTGAAGGAGAGGACAGGATGATCAGCGACCCGCTTCAGGAACTTGTCCAGAGCTTTCATCCTCGTCTCCACAAACTCTTCTGAAAAACGATCGACTACGCCTTTCATTACAAACTTTTCCGGCAGAGGCTGGAGACAAATAGTGAAAGACAAGGAGGAAGGAATAAACACAGATGGAAAAAACAAAAAAAGGACCTTAGAGTCTGACATGTTGTGGTTAGTTTGACCTACAGGGATAAGGTGGGTCGGCTGACTGTCCTCCAGCTTGATCCTTAGCCAGTCGAAGTCCTGGTAACGCCGTCGCACACAGTACTCTGGCAGGTCAAACTCTATTCGTGTCGTCTGGGGAAAAACACACACAAGAGACAATAGCAGAGAAAAAAACTATAAAATATTCAGTTCAATTCAAAATTTAAATGTTATTTATCCATCAAGAAAGAGTATAAGACATCTGAATATCTCCGCTCAGTCGGAGAGTGGAAACAGAGAGTGATCCTGAGCAAATATAGGCTCAGTGACCACAAACTGGCCATAGAAAGAGGATGACTCAAACAAACATGGCTGCCTCCCTCAAAAAAGAAGCGCTCTGTGCTCACTGCTCACTGTTCATCAGGGGAAGTAGAAACAGAGATACGCTTTCTCCTCCACCGTGAAAAGTTGTCCTCGCTAAGAGAGCTGCATTCATGCCAAAGCTCATATCAATCACCCTTTATTCAAAATGACCCCAAAACAGACACAGGTGTGTTTCTCTTTGTCTAAGTTACTCTATTCATATTTCATCAACGTGTACAATGAATAAGCGCACAACAGCAGCACTCATGTGCACATAACATGTGGGTGGGGGGTTCACTTTGGGCCATTAAAGAGTATTGTACATTGCTTACTGAGTTTGAAGTATAGCTAAAAGTGCAAACACACCCACTCACACACTCTGCCCCTGACGAGAGAGCGTAAAAGACCCCCCCACCCCCACCCACATGCTCTCAATTAACACTCAGCGTTCATATTGGCCTGTGATATTTGTCCAGGGCCTCTGAGCTAAAGTGCCACAGTGCACATAGCAACTGTCGTCATGACGCCAACCGACAGCTCCAGGTAGTGTCTTCCTTGTATCTGTTTCTTTGGTTGGAAAGCTACGATGCTTTACTGAACTGAAGCAGCCACAGACACTGAGTTACATGTAATACAAAAACACAAGTTTCTACTATTAAAAAAACAAATAAATAAATAAAACACTTTCTATTAGCATGCACTTAGCTTTTGGTTTTAGAGCTTTCTTTGGCTGCATTACTAAAAAGTTCTTATAACAGTAGAAAACTGGATAATTATATGGAAAATATTAGGAGCTCAGACAATTAGTCAGTAAGCTCAAGATAGCGGCGAGATATTAACTGCATGCTTTAAAAACAGTAAACTATGACACAGACATCAAGCAAATTGACTCAAACCTGCTAAACAGCTACAAGTAGGGGAAAGTGGGGTAAGATGAGCCATTTTTCATGTTTCCGATCACTACATCAAGGTAATCATAGTTTTGTCTCTAACTAGTGTATCAGCATAGATTTCAAGATGTTTTTCATCCCTGCAAACCAACAGAATGAGTGTCAATATAACTGTCTTGATAATACAGCATGCCAAAAAAGTGGTCTCCTATAGTCAACTTACCCTGTGTTTGGGGTAAGTTGACCCTAGGAGCGGCGGTGAGTTGAGCCGTATCCCTACTATCCCCCAACTCTCTACCCCAGCCCTCCCTCACCTTCTCTCTCCCTAAATAACAGTCACTTCTTCCCATTCATGCATATTCTTATCTATTATACGCTTTTCAACTAGTACAATAATTCTTTTTATTAATATTGCAAATAACTGCTAAAAAGCTGTTTTGAAAAAAGTCATTTTAACATGAACTACTATTGTGACTTTATTAGTCCTCTAAGCTAAAATGGTGGACTTTTATAGGTTTTTGACCTCATGTTGTAGCTCATAGATACCACAATTGATGTATAAAACAAATTTAAAATGATCTTTTATGGTCTGAAAACAATTCTAATAAAACTTATGACAGACTAAATTCACTTTCAAGAGTGAATGAGTGCGTGTGTTTTTGGAAATAAATGTCTAACCCCTTCACTCATGTGCTTCGAACCTTTACAGACTCCATGAATTGATGCCCATCTCCTAAATATTTGGTCACATGATCAATTTCTTTTACCATCTCCAAGCAACAGGGGGTGGCTCAACTTACCCTAGTCTCCCCTATCTATAAAGCCCCAATTTACCAAAGAGAACCAGTGTTACCATGACACTAGCCAATAACAGACCTTGGTGGACACTCTGTAGGTGATGTAGGTCTCCATGGTGGAGACGTGCTTCTTTGGGTCGTCGACTGTGACAAAGAGGTCACGGGTTTCCGTGAGAGCATAAGGGTCCTGGATGTCTGCTTCCAGGTCATCATCCAGCTGCAGCCTGTTGAAAAGTGAGGACGCGGAGGCGGGACTCGAATTCTCAACCGGCGTGCCATTGGTCAGCCCGGCTTCCTGTAAGAAAAGAGGCATCGGTTGACATCAATTTTTAGAAGCTGCAAATGAGAGAAGCTGCAAACAAAGAGCTGATAGATCGATGCTGATGCTGTTGCGCTCGTCTCTCTTGTTCATTGGGGCTCTTGTTCAGGCTGCTGCTGTGTACACACACCCTACATCATCTGACACTGCTCCTGTTTTTCTAATTGAATGATGGATGAGGAGAGAGAAATGGAGCATCTGTGGACCGCAGACACAATTTCACAGCCTTAACACAAAAACATGCAACAGTGGGAGAGCACTGGCTGGTATGGTAAACAAAAGAAGAATGTATTTAAAATGGAAAGAGAATTTTGTTTTTGGTGATTAACAGGTGATAATTAAAAAAATAAATAAAAAACAGCTTTATTTTCCTATGAAAGGCCATTTAACAGATATAACAATCAGTACTTGGATTAAAAAAACATTTGATTAAAACTGTGTTAAATCAACTAGAGGTGTCTATAGACTGTTCAGAGATCACACTTGTCTAACGGTTTGAAAACAGGCTGTTTAGGCGGGTCCTTCCTCTTCAATTTTTATTTTTGATTTTTTGTAATAATGACAAACACAGAGTGAAAACCTATTTCCTTACAGGCTCCATCCAAACACAAAGAGAATCATCAAAGGTAAACAAGTGGGCAAAAGTGGAGGCTGTAGACAGGGTGTCTAAAATAAAGAAACAAGGTTTGGGATTTTGTCATGTTGTGTACTAGAAGAGGTTGATCTGCAGTTTTATTTCTCACTAAATTTACACTCAGGACTGCACAGCAAAAAACCACCAGCTAATCATCTCACTATCATTTCTGATTCACCTAAGTGACCAAGCTCCTGACACTACCTGTAAACATCACGTGAAGAAGAGGCAGATCTCCTCAAGGGTAAGGTGCATGCAGGAAAGCTAATGTTCAACCTAAATCACTGTTTTCTACCTCACACAAAAGTCCCCCTCTGAAGTTGCAGGAAGTGTTACTCCTCTGTCTATCCGCTCTCACTTCCACGGAAACACTCTGCCTCAGCCGCACACACTGACAGCCCACACACACACACAAACATCCTCTTTTCACCTCTTTCCCTTTTTGCTAAACAAACATTCAGAGAGGGAGACAGACAGACAGGCTGCTGAGGTTGAAAGTGCTCTTTTTTACACTACGGTGCTAACCTGCACTGGTAATCACTGTTGGGATAATTGCATCGCGTTGCATCATTACATCACTGTGAATGAACAATCAGGCCACCACAACACAGACCCAGCAGACACACGATAAATGTGGGAGGTAAATGGGGGAGAGAGATTTTATTTGAATAAAGAGCTAAACAGAGAGCTGTGTGAATTTAAAAATCAATACTGTGTCACAGTAATGGATATGATGCAGAGTTCTGCCTTTTCTATTCAGCATAGACACTTAAATCTTCCACCCTGGAGTCACACTAAAGCAGTTTGCATTCAAACCCCTATATCCAAAATCTCAACAATACTTAAAGCACGAACATGGTCAAAGTCATGATAAGTCATGCACTAATGTCTGTTTGCTTTTTTTTGTGTTAAGAAACTCTATCCCTATCAGCAGGTCAATGAAATGAAATATCATGTGTTCTACTTTCAGTGCAGAGTAATCAGATAGGAATCGAGATGTTGCAACACAATAAGTTGTGCAAAATTCTAAGGCAAGTACCTCCTGAGGTAAGAGTTTCATACTGACGCAACACATCTTGATCCAAGTTTGTTTAGTGCACTTTAGCATTAATACCCTGAAATGTCGATAAAATACAATCGTTTCAGTCTTGGAATTCAAATGATTATTGTCCTAGTGTCACATCTGCAACTTCATTCTGATTGGTGTTAAAAAGACATAAACTCACAAAATTAAAAGGCGTGGTTCGGGTATCTGTTACTTGGAAAGACAAATGTGATGTTAAGAAATCCTTGCAAGAACATGACCACATTAATCTCGGCTAGGGCTGGGCTATATGGGGAGAAGTTTATCATGATATATTTTTTTCAAATCAGTCAATATCGACATATATCACTGTAAAAATATTAAATTTAGCAGTGCTTATTGGTAGCATTCTTTTGCAATACAATAAGCTACTTCATCTGTGAGGTCTTTGTGTCTCTGACATTTCTTCTTAAGGCGTTGTGCTAAAGAAAGCGGTTCTAAAGCGGCTACTTGGTTGTAATTCAGCACGGTTTAAATGATTGGTTTGACCCGGGGCAACTCCCCTTTTCATTCGCTATTCGTATAGTCTACCAAAACATGGCGGAATGCCGACAATTGAAGAGCATATTGACCGTGTTTTATGTTGATATTGAGGGAAGTTAGTTTTCGATTTATATCATTATCATTTTATCGCCCAGCCCTTATCTCTACCCCTGCCAAAAGGCAATCTGTTACCTGCCCTCTTTCTTACTTTAAGTCATTTGTTTACTAAATGTGTTGACATCTTTTTACTGCTAACAGACTCGGGGAAAAAATGAATTTAATGACCCAATAAACATCAGACAGCACCTTTCTAGTTCAGGTAACATTATACTGCAAAAACCCACAATAACATCTCTGTGACAGGAACTACAGAACCAAAGTGGTAAGTGAGCATTTTATCCTTGAGTACAACAACACCTGTCAGCGGGAAAAAAGCTTTTTGATTTGTTTGCTCAGTCTATCATTGTTTACCCAGTCCACCCTGGCTGATGTTTAAACTCTCCAGTTTGGAGTCTGGTGTGTAAAGCCCCACATGTCAAACACACGATCAAGTCAACACGGTGTAAACACTGTTCACAGTAACCACCTGTTTCGGAGTTATTTTTTGTTTGAGTTCATTTCCTTCCCTTAAGTCTAGTCTGGACGTTACTTTAAATTTGATGCTTGCAATGGTGATAGAGGGTAAAGTAGGTTTGGATGGATTTGATAGCTGCATGTAGCAAATAAGGTCAGTAAGAGTGGTCCTGGAATTTTCATGCTATCTTTCTTTAGCGCTGTGGTTATGAATATTTTAATCCCCAAAGGGAAATTCAATTGTCTGTTGTCTCACATAATATGTCTATAAAAGTTATCTACTATTTACACAAGAGTTATAAAGTCTGATGGCTGTTGGTACAAAAGATCTTCTGAATCTTTCTGTCCTGCAGCAAAGAGAGAGGAGCCGTCCACCACCATTGGCCCTTTGGTCCATCAAGGTGTTGTGAAGTGGGTGATCCATGTTCTTTAGAATAGACTCCACCTTCCTCAGTGTAGATCTCTCCACCACATCCTCCACTGAGTCCAGCTTGAGTCCAACCACAGTTAACCACAGCTGGTCATTTTTACTCACTCAAAATCTGCCATATTTTGGTTCTCTCTCCTGCAGCTGTTATTGTCCCAAGGACTCTGAGTCTTCACCAGGGAAGACTTACATGCTCCAGGAATGGTGGAAAAGAGACTAAGTTTTCAGTTTAAATATTAATATTTTTTTTTTGTTCATGAATGTCTAATTTCAGTTATTTTGTTGCATCTTTATATGGTCCCCTCATGGCCCCTTTATCCCTCCTTTTGGACATTGCACAGTTAAAAATAAAAGAAAACTACTTTAATCTGTCATGTATTGTCCTATTTTGATATATTTTGATGACAAGTACTTTTTTGGGGGTTTATTATTTCGGGTAAAAAACCACCCTGTGATAGTTATGGTGTTACTAGTTTAAGCGAGAGTGTTGTAGGATTATATCAGTTTTAGTAGAGCCCCAAAGACCCTACCTTATCCCCTCCGCCGGAGACGGAGAGCGGCTCCTCGGTGGCGGACAGAGGGTGAAGGATCTCCGCGATGGGCTTCTGCCCCGAGCTGGCCAGGCCTCGCGGAGCACCGACACTCATCCTGCAGGAGGCGGGAGGACGTGGCCGGAGATCGGAGGTAACGGCTCTCCGGTTCTCCGCGGCCAAACCCCGTTAGTGTAGAACAGATGGAGGATTTTCCTCGGTTCAGGGTCTCCTCACTTGAGATGTTACACCCGCTGGTTGGTCACAACTGTCAGCTGACTGCAACTGCGCAGCTCCGGAAGTTAAGGTACACGAACCCGGATGTAAACAGATTTGTCACGTGACGATAGAAAGCGAATGGAGCGCCAAAGGTCGTCTATTAAAAAGATGAGTGACTGAGAATGAAAACGCCGCCCTATTCGCGTTTCGTATTTTTTTATAGGCTTGTTTCAGAGATTTGATGAAGAGCTTCACACTTTCCACACCGAGTATGTATTACATACTATTACATTTTGGCAATTTTTCTTAGGTGTTAAAATGGCTTTTTCTGTTGTTGTTCTAAACAGCTACAGAGTGAAGCATCTGTTATTTAACTCATATCACTCGCCTAACTGAAAACACCGGGTACACGCCATACAGCAAGGCAGAATGCACCCCCACTAGCCATCTATTTGAGCTTTTATCGGTATTTTAATCTTTCATTTACAGTAACAGTGGTGTAGAAGAGACACATATAAGTCCAGTGTACCACACAAGGTTAAGTTTGAGATAGAGTTGTTCTTCGGGGAAACTTATCGCTCTTTGTGTACACCAGGCGAACCAAACTACAGCGACACCATTGAGAACCATTTTCTGTGATTTTTACTCACACTTTTGACTTTTTTCACCGACATGGCCAATAATCCACCAGGACAAGGTATATTACTGTCTTTGGAAACTTGTTGAGGGGGTCTGTGATTTTAATACTTGCTGCACAAAGGCTGAGCTATGAGTATATGAGTATACTAACTTCCTGGAGGAAATCCGACGTATTTAGATCATTATTGAACAAAGATATATAATGGTCCGGTCAAACGACTGATTTTATTCTAATAAAATAGAACAACTACTTTTCTGATAATTGAAGCCTTCAAGAATCAGTGGTTTCTGAAAATGTGTGAAATATCGGTAGGTTAAATTACATGATTAAAATCTGATTTTTAAGACTGTGAATGACTGATATTACATGTAATTCCTCCTTGTATTTAACTCATTTATTGGAACTTTTATATTTTATATTATTATTATGTTTTCAATTGCTAAAAATATATCTAACAGAAGATCAACTGGTTATATTTCAAGCATAATGCCCTGTGCCTTCTTCTTTTCCCTTGACTCTCTTTTCTCCTCCTTTTGCTTAATTCAGTATTTCCCAATAAGGCACGGGTGGCGATCCTTGCTGAGTTGGACAAGGAGAAGAAGCGGCTGATGCAGACTCAGTCCATGCACTCTATTGGAGCCAGGTAGGGATAGTGTACATTCAAGGATGGTAAGAGGGGATTTCCCTGACTAAAAACCTTAGAGAAACCATTTTTCAGAGGGAAAACAACTTTGAGTGTGGTATTTTTTATTCACAGGAGGAATGGCTGTATTTTTGCATTAAAAACTGTATTTTTTTTCTCTTGCTTTGCAGACCAAACCTAAAGGTGTTCAGGGACAACGCAGAACAGCAGCACATCGCTGCCCAGCAGAAAGCTGCTCTGCAGGTGCGACAGAAACAAACTATCCACATATAATGAAGAACCAACAAAACCTTTTAGATACAGTACCATCGTATTCAGTGCAAAATCTAAAGTGTTCATAATTACATAAGAGAGATAAAGGTCACATAAGTTCAACTAAAAATACCTTTTGGTATCACAGAACTCAAGTCAAACTTACTAATAGAAATTGTCAATAAAAGAAAGGTAACACAAACCTTTTCCTTACTCTCTTTCAGCATGCTCACACACACTCATCAGGCTTCTTCATCACTCAAGACTCCTCTTTTGGGAACCTCATCCTCCCCGTCATTCCTCGCCTTGAGCCTGAAAGTTAACCTGTTAAACTCTCTTTTGAACCCTATGCCCAATGTGAGTCGACAGCCTTGAACAACTGATGTGCACAATGGACTCTCATTTTCCTCTTTAAAGCCTCTGATGAATGGAAAATTGTTTGTCTTGTTGTTTACAATCTCAGGTGAGTGTGAATTCACTGCACACTCTGCAGACTGGCATAAAGACAGATGAATGAAGCTCTCAGAGCTCTGTGTAGATGAAGATAGCTGCTGTGAAAACTCAGGAAGTCTTCTAGGTGTGAAAACAAACTGCAGTTTTACTGGAAACCCTGCGCTGTTGCTTATCTCTGCACTCTTAACGTGACTTTTACAAGGTGCACATTTTTGTCTTTTTTTTTTCACTTGCAAAGACTTTGTAATGCTATTTGAATAGGCCTAATAAATTGTTACATTAGATGCTATGTGTAAAGTGTATATATTGAATTAAGTGTCTGTTTCATTTACATAGAAGAGAGAAGTGAAGCTCTAAATAAGAATTGGAGGAATTTTGCAAGTCAATTTTTCACAGGAGATCAACATATCATGTGAAGCATCAGGTGTTGGTTTTCTGAATCACTTTTTTAAAAGAAACCTGAGAGATATAGACAACTTTGGTCTACTTTTTCAAACCATTACATAAAGCTGTATTTGCAGTTCAGTGTGTTGCAGGGCTGAAAACCCCGCCTGCTCTCTGGTCCATGTCATGCATCTTCCTTCTACCAGTAGCTCCATCATGGGGGCCGAAGATCTTCAGCTGGAGAAGTTATAGCATGTGGCGTGCTAAGCATTTTCTTTTATAGAAGGCAGATGAGACGGTTATAATCATGGGTATTTATTAGTAATACATTTTGATTGGCAATCCATCAATATAGTTCAGCTCTAAATCTTAAAATAGATCTTAAAATGCCATAAAGTCTGTTTTTCCTACTGTAGGCTGTCTATATCTGGAGTTTTCTCCCCCTAAAGATATTTTTTTTGGAGTATCCGCAAACTAAAACACAATAATATACAGAGTTTGCCAAATTTCAAGATTACTGGGGGAAAAAAAGCTTGTCCCGTCTATTTCTGCCTGATACAACAATGACTTCTAGTGGCCAAAGTTCGTTACCGCAGGTTGCAGGATGAGGGTTTGCCTAAGGGCCAGTTTATATCATATGTGGACCTCTTTATCACGATATAAACCTCTTATATGTATCATTTTTCATAGTATTTTACTACATAGTTTTACTGCTAAATGTGCTTTGTTATTTTTCTGTATTGTGACGTTTTGTCCCACAAACTGTTGAACTCAGAAAAGTAAAAATTAAAAATCCAAAAATAAGATGAGAACAATTCCAAAATGAGAATCATTGATAGTTATTAATTTTTTTTTTTTTAACTTTTTATGATAACTAACAGAAAGAAAGATAAGGAAAAAATACCAACCAAATCAACAATGTTGACTTTTCAACTGTAGCCAATCAATGCAATGTTGACTTTATATTCATTTATCTGAATATGTTTAATTATTGTCATATAATTTGCCTCCAAAGTAACTATTAATGTAAATGTAATATGATTTGATATGCATAATTTAGCTGTTGGCTTTGGTTTTGCAATTTACAAATAAGTTCATTAGACATGGACGGAATACAGCCTCAAACTGATGCTGGTAGACTCATCAAAAATGGAGCTGAGAAATTAGGTTATGTAGTTTTTTTCCCCCCATGTATGAATTCAATGACTTGACTGAACTTGCTCCTGGCTCCACCCTCCGTTAGTCAGCCAGTCTACTACGTGTTAAGACTGGTGCCTTTAACTTTACAAGCATCTCAGGGAGACGAGGAGGAGAAAAAAGAAGGACTTTCCCCCCACCCGGCCCGTGTCTGACGAGAAAAAGCAGCAACACAACTGTAGTTATTTCGACAACTTCAAACTTATCCGAAGCCTTGCATTGAAAAGCAACAACTTTCAATCTTGGCTTTCCTTGTATTTTCCGACTTGGATCAAGTTCTGCATGGAAACCAATGATATTTGAACCCGCACGGAGGAGCGGAGAGAGGAGGTGGGTGTTGGACACAAGAGTATGCGTTGTTCTTATCCGTATGGAAGTCGCATGTAAACCTCAAAAGTAGGAAAGGGCTTGTTGTAGCCGCTGTTTGATCTAGATCTCATTCAGGAAAGATCTTGATGGACTATTTAGGAGGGGAAGTACAAGTTGTTGGGACGACAGCTAAGAAGTAAAAGTCAGGAAACACTTCAAGACAAAAGATCGGAGTAGTATCAGTCCTGAAATCATGGCATTAAAGGCTCGAGTGCTGTACGACTTCAGCTCTGAAAACCCAGGGGAGATCTCCATAACAGAGAACGAGCTGGTGACTCTGTTCACAGAGGAGGAGCTGGAGGGCTGGCTGGAGGGGGAGAACAGTAGGGGGGAGATCGGACTCTTCCCTGCTTCATATGTGGAGATCATTAAGGACCACATTACCTCCAACACTAACAACAACGGTCTCTCCTCTCCCAAATCCAAAGCCGTGACTCCAACCCACACCTCCTACACTGCTGACACCCAGCCCCAGAGAGGATTTGGGGCTGGGAGCGGTGGCAGTGGGGGTGGCAGCTTTCATACTAGTCATGGCAGTGATGATGACTGGGATGATGACTGGGATGACAGCTCACCTGCAGATGCCCCCCAAGGTTTTGGCACCACGCCCCCCTTGTACCCGGTGACCTCCTCCTTGCCAGGGCGGCTGCAAAGCACCCAGCAGCATCAGCACCACCACGCCAAGAGCTCAGGTACAGTGGGGAGGAACCTCAACAGGTTCTCTACCTTCGTCAAGTCTGGTGGGGAGGCTTTCCTGTTGGGGGAGGCTTCTGCTTTTGTGAAGGACGGGGACAGGATCTGTGTGGTGATGGGGAAGCATGGGCCGGAGTGGCAGGAGGATCCATATCCTTTTACCTGCACCATCGACGACCCCACCAAGCAGACCAAGTTTAAAGGCATGAAGAGTTACATGTCCTATGGCCTGACTCCAACACACACCAATATACAAGTCAACCGCAGGTACAGTTTCTCCACCATTTTTTATCCCCTCTTCTTCTTCTTCTTCCCTCTGCTGGTTTCCAAACTGGGCCTGTTTCCTCACCGTTTCCCCCAGACCCCACACACTTCAAATAAATATTTCAGCGGTTTTTCCTGTGGCCACAATTGTTCCCACATAACGGCAAAACCAGAGCTGACTGTGACCTCTTCCCCTCGGGAGCCCTTAGGAATCTTCTTTCTTCTTTGAAAGACCCTCTGAACCTCTTACATGGTGCTCTTGTTGGTGTATCAAACATTTCAAACCAAGTCTTACTCACTTCAGTTTTGTCTTGCTCTGCGTGGCTTTTTCAAGAAGTGCTCTATCATTTTCATTCTCATTTCTGTCTTCTTTCCTCCCACATAGCAACCCCCTTTCCTTTTTCCTTTCATCCACTTAAAAAGTGTCAATAAATACTTTGCACTAATCTCCCTCTGTCTTTTCTGCAGATATAAACACTTTGACTGGCTGTACGCTCGCCTTGTGGAGCGTTTCCCAGTCATCTCAGTGCCCCATCTTCCAGAGAAGCAGGCCACTGGACGTTTTGAAGAGGACTTCATCTCAAAAAGGAGAAAAGGACTGATCTGGTGGATGAACCACATGACCAGCCACCCTGTGCTGGCTCACTGTGACGTTTTCCAGCATTTCCTGACATGTGGTGCTGATGAGAAGGCCTGGAAGCAAGGCAAGAGGAAGGCGGAGAGGGATGAGCTGGTCGGGGCAAATTTCTTCCTCACGATCAGGTAGGAAAATGCATTGTGGTGCTGCAGGAGATTGGGGTGGGATTTCAGCAGTGTGTACAGCTGTTTTTGTTTTGTACGGGTTCTTGCACAGTAACAGCTGTAGATGCTTGAAAGATCTTTGAAACATCCATAGATGTCTGATGTTTCAGAGGGGTCCAATGTGCATCTGATCATCTCTAATGCATATTTTACCCCCTGACACAGGCGCTTAGTACTTTCATCAACTTAAAGCTCCAGTGAGGAACTTTCAGTTTGTGTCAGGTTTGTCACCCCATAGATAATGCTGTCTTATCTTGTCCTTTATGCTTAAGTAGTGTCTTCTGACGAGAAACATCATCATTTTGACTCTTTTGAAAGTCAAGTTTATAAGAAATTGTGAGTATTTTATGTGGAAATGTAAAAACTGGGCTGTATCTCCAGCTGCTTGGCTGATACCTACCCTCTGACTCTGGTTTTAGGCATTGAAAATTACAATATTTAATCCACAAATCTTATATCTGATGTTCTTGTTTGCTTTTGATATAACACAAAAAGCATCAGGGTGAAATTCAGTCTATTTCAGACACATCAGAAAACTCCTGACAGGAGCTTTAAGTATATACTGAGAGCAAATTGCTGAAATTCAGTGATTGTTTAATTAAATTGATGTAAAAGGAAAAATATTTGTCTCAGTCAAATATTTACATAAGGGACTTTTGGATTTCTGTCCAGCAATTGAAAACTGCTGAGAAAGAAAAATGTAAGTTGATTTTTGGGGGGTTAGTATAAAAAAAAGACAGCCATGTACAGAATCTCTACTTGATATTGTGAAATCAAATATAAATGGTTTTCTCAGACAGTAATATGTTTTAGATGATTTTATGACTTAATGGAAAGGTATAGATATTGCTAAACATGGCAGATGATGTTGTCCATACTAAATATTACAAGATATTGTTCACACACCAGTCAATAACTCCTTTGTATTTGATATAATGTAAAAGAGTGATTGGACATTTGCAAAAGATGATGGTGTGAGAACTGATGCTGATTATGTCAAAATGCTAATAATCTGTCAATTAATTGGTCAGCTGATTTAACGGTCTATCTCTAGAACCAAAACAAAACAAAACAAAAATAAAACCACTGACCTAAAGTGAAAAGTGAATCAAAACCTGATCAACATAGTTGTCTTAGCCAGGATTATGTTTGATGTTGGGTTATGCTACAGATTGCTGGGTCTCATCTGGCTGATATTGCTGTCAATGCCAAATATTGTAACATAATACAGTATTAAATCCCGAGACAGTGACTATTTTGGATTTGACATGCTATTGATGTTGAATGAAAAACATGTGTTATCAGTTAGGTATCAAATTATTTCAAAATGCCAATAATCAGCCATCAGATTGATTGATCCCCATACAACACAAAACAGTGGAAAAAGTTTAGGACTCGTACAGGATGCAAATTGTCACAAGATAAGGGCTTTAACTTTCAGGGTCACCATTCACCTGCAGCAGTCAAGAGAAATGCAATGACGACTGTTGTGATTTGGTGCAATATAAATAAAAATCGATTGATTGAATTCATTGATTGATTGATTAAAATGATACAATCGGTAATAGAAGATACGTGTAAACCAAACTTAAAACCAATCAGAGCAGAGATTAAACAGAGTGCATCATAGTTTTTAGCTGTAATTGTTGACGCTCAAGCTCTGACATGTTGAGTGAAAGGCAGTACGCCAAAACCACAAATAGCAGCATTTGTTACAAACAAAATGTCATGAAGGGAGTAGCAGGAGCACTCTTATTCAGATGTCCTCTGTGTTTTAGATGAGTATATGTTTTGTTTACAGCATGTCAAAGAGGTGTTAATCAAACCTGTGGTGTTGGTCTCGACATAGTATTTAACATCTGTTGTTTTGTCCTCCCACTTACAGCGATATAAAGTGGCAGGGGAAAATATTTGCCCTTTAGCACAACACTGTTATCAGTTTCCCTCCTCTTGTTTTGTAACTGAAATCTTTCATCATAGGGAGTGTCTGATAGTGAAGATGAGATACGGTGGAATAAGTTGCTCTAACATGTTTGTTGAATAAAGTTTATGTAACGCTGTAATAAAAGCTGAACTATCAGAATGAAGCCAGGAGATCTCTAAGAAAATCTTTTTTTTTTTCTTATTATTTTAGTCCTCCATCTGTCGTGCTTGACCCCCAGGAAGTTGAGAGCAAAATCGAAGGCTTCAAGACCTTCACCAAGGCCATGGACGAGAACAGCGTTGCTGTGAATGCAACCATCAACGAGTTTGCTCGCAAACAAGCATCGGGGTTCAAGAAAGAGTACCAGAAGGTTGGACAGTCCTTCAAAATTCTGGCGCAGGCATTCGAGCAAGACCAGCAGGCGTACTCAGCAGGCCTGAACAAAGCCATTGCGTACACTGGCGACGCCTACGAAGCCATCGGGGAGTATTTCGCTGAGCAGCCTCGCCAGGATCTGGATCCTATTTCTGACCTGCTGGACATCTACAGAGGACACCTGGCCAATTTTCCTGACATCATCCATGTACAGAAAGGTGGGAGAGGATGTGTGTGTTTGAGAGAGTGTGTCCCTAAATTCATTCTGCACCCACGTTTACATTCAATCTTTCAAAAGGGTGAAAATGCAGCAGAAAGGGTCGTGTTACGAAAAGAGATTTATGGGTTACAGAGGTATGTTGAGCTGAAGTTAGAGGTTTCAGTGTCACACAAGTTTAAGAGCTCTACAATGAGCTGTTATAATGTTACAAGTCAGCTGGAGGCAGTGAGTGTGCATCAGTTTTCAAAACAACACATAAACTCACGATTACACCGTTTGCTACTTAATCATTTCTCCCCCCAGTTCCTCTCATGTTGCAGCAGCTGCAACCAACTGGAGATGAATATTGCTGACCACTTGCTTCTCTAGTTATACTAACTTTAGTAATGACCGCACGATAGCAATACACAGCTGTCTGAGGAGCCATAAACAAACTTCAACCAAAACGCCACTCTATAGCCACAAATAATGCTCAGAACAGCACCTAACTTCATCAACAGTACATATAGGGTCCCAGCCATAGTACTAGCCATCAAATATCTTCTTAACTTTGCCTAATTTCTTTAGCAAAGAGACTAAACACAACTCACCTACTCTCTTCCAGCAGCCTTTTGTTTGTAGCGAGACCTCAGGCCAGTCCACTGTGGACTGCTGTGGGGTGACGCAGCTCAAGGAAGAACATTTATGATCATTAATTCATCATTTCCTTGAAGTAATTATCACCATGTTTATCATTTTGCACTGCAGACGCGGTAGTTCTTCTACCTTAGCGTCTCGGTCTGATTGTATTTCCAGTAACGATTATTACTTCAAGGAAATGATAAAGTAATGATCATAAATGTTCTTCCTTGAGCTGTGTCACCCCACTGCAGTCTGCAATAGACTGGTCTGAGGTCTCGCTACAAACAAGCGGCTGCTGGAAGAGAGTAGGTGAGTTGTGTTTAGTCTCTTTGCTAAAGAAATTAGGCAAAGTTAAACAGATGTTTGGTGAATAGTACTATGGCTGGAACCCTATATGTACTGTTAACCAAGTTAGGTGCTGTTTTGAGCATTATTTGTGGCTATAGAGTGGCGTTTTGGTTGAGGTTTGTTTATGGCTCCTCAGACAGCAGTGTATCGCTATCGTGCGGTCGTTACTAAAGTTGTTATAAGTAGACACAAGCATCTCTCGAGGGGGTGTCTAACTCAGTGTTACGGTGTGTTTGACCCTAACTTAATTTTACGCCGGAATATCCCTTTAATCACAACATCTTGTGCCTTTTATGTAAACGTGAAAAAAAAAGCCTTCAGGGAAAAACTAATAAGGTTTGGGGTTAGCTATAAGACCAGGTGTAACACATTTACCAGCTCACTGTACGTCATTTGAGCACATCCTGGAAAAATTACATAAATCTGTGATTCATTGACAGAAGTATGTGAGAAAATTAGAGGTTCTCAAAAAGAAAAAAAAGAGAAGCATTAAAATCTCCAACATGCTCACAAGAAAGTAAACCAATGCATTAGCTATCATTCTTCTCTTTACAGATGAGTCAAAGTCGGATAGCTTTATGGAGAGCCGGTAGGGGATAGAGGATTGAAAATCTTACTCATGGATGCTTCTGCAGGGTGGGGGGGTTGAATCCAGTGAAGAGTCATACCTACAAGCCTCTTGCTCGCATTTTCCATGCTGCAGGCTGTATTACTTCTCTTGAAAAAACAAAAAAAAGTTATTTATTTTCACTCGCAATTAAAATAATAAATAATCTTCCCAAAAGCAGGTCAGCTCACAGCTTCCAAGCTCATCATTCGTGTCAGTATAAAGGCAGACAATGCACAAAGATCCAGATTCGGACTCTTTGGACATCTGTTTTCATTTACTGAACTGCAGTGTCAATCTGGGTTGAAAACTGAAACCCATGGCCTGTCCATTGTATCACTGGAGGAACTGTTAGAGCCTGTGCTCACTCACTGGAAAACACAAACACAGAATCACACACACACAAGCACACTCACACATGCATGTACAAAGGGCTTGCTGAGGAGTTAGCTTGTTAGTTCCCTGCAGGTTGGCTGGAGGGAGTTGCTGCTGGCATGCAAAGTCCTGACGTCTGCCAAACTAAGAGGCACTGTTTCTATAGTTTGCTAAGCTCTGTTCTCTGGATACAATCACAGCTTGGACAATGGAAACACCGTCTGAATCTCAATGGTCTGCATGATTGACTAGATTTCACCTACTTTTAACTGACAAGTAACTCTTGTTTTTCTATCCCTGAGAGAGCCTCTGATTTTTAAAACCTCAGCACATTTTTCTCTCTTCTGCTGCGCTGAAAGATAGTGTTCCTAATATTGACACTGTGGAGTTGATTTTTGTGTGGCTGTGTGGAGCATGACCTCATGCAACATAATGACTCAACCGCAAAGGATGCATGATGACATCCTTACCGGTATCCAACCAACTTATAATCACTAAACAATTTCCCTTAATCTCCAAATTCAGCATTTTCTCATGACGGTCTGACGTTATACTCAGAGTGAGAATCTCAAATGAAATGCTTTGGTGCTGTGTTTTAAAGTTGCACAAGTCGTAAAAGAAGAAGGAATCAGTATCATCTTCCCATCACCTCACTGATATGTAGAACCATCATATCTGATAACTGAGATAAGCAACTATTGGATTGCTTGTATTGTTAGCATTCAGCCACTTCCCTAGCTACAGTAATGTTAGCAGAGAGTGGCTAAATGTATTATCTTCTAATGGTGTTGTGAGATCAGTGAGAAGGGTATTAATTTCAAGCCAACAGTAATGTTAGCAAGGAAACAGCTATATGCTAGCATTAGCTTCTGTCTGATGACTGCTAATGACATATTTTTGTACTTACGCTTTACTCAGAAATTAGCTTTATATCCTTTTACAAACCCCAGTTTCAATGAAGTTTGGTCGTTGGGTAAAACGTGAATAAAAACAGAATACATTGATTTGAAAATCCATTTCCACCCATATCTAAATGAATTCACTACAAAGACAAGATATTTAATTTTCAGACTGATAAACTTGATTGATATTCGCTCATTTTGAATTTGATGCTGCAACATGTTAAAAAAAGCGGCAACAAAATACTGGGGAAATTGAGGACTGCTTCAGAAACGCCCGTTTGGATAATTCGACAGGTGAACAGGTTCATTGGAAACAGGTGAGGGTTATGATTGGGTACAAAAGGAGCATCCCTGTAAGGCTCAGTCCTATACAAGCAAGGATGGGGCGAGGTTCACCACTTTGTCAACAACTGTGTGAACAAATAGTCTAACAGTCTAAGAACAACGTTTCTCAATGATGTTGTCAATTAACAGAGTTCATCTCTACGTCTACAAGTTCAAACTCTACCATGCCAAGACAAAGACAGATATCAACAACAACCAGAAACAACACTGGTTTCTCTGGACCTGAGCTCACCTGAGATGGACTGACACAAAGTGGAAAAGTCTGCTGTGGTCTGATGAGTCCACATTTCAGATAGTTCTTTCAAATAATCGTTGACGTGATGTCCTCGGGGCTAAAGAGGAAAAGGACCATCCAGACTGTCCTCAGGTGAGAGTTCAAAGCCAGCATCTGTGATGATCTGGGAGCGCGTTAGTGTCTATGACTAACTGTCACATCTATGAAGGCTCCATTGATACAGAAAAATACATACAGGTTAGACAGGGCTGTCATGTCCCTGCTTATTTCAGTAAGACAACAACGACACACATTCAATATGTGTTACAACAGCATGGGCTTCAGAGCAAAAGAGTCCAGGTACTAGACTGTCTGCAGTCCAGACCCGTCTCCCATTGAAGATATGAGGCGTATTATGACATGCAAAATACCGCAACAGAGACCGTGGACTGTTGAGAAACTGAAGTCTTGCATCAAGCAGGAATGGTAAAGAATTCACCTCCAAAGCTTCAGCAGTTAGTGTCCTCTGTTCACAAATGTTAAAAGATGATATAACACAGCGGTAAATATGAGTGTGTACCAGCTTTTTAGGAACTTGTTGCAGCATCAAATTTAAAATGAGTGAATATTTGCAACAACAACAACAAAAAAACAATCAATTTGAAAATTAAATATATTAACTTCGTAGTGTATTCGATTGGATAAAAGAGATTCAAAATCACTGTATTCTGTTTTTACCTACGTTTTACACAACATCTCAACTTCATTGAAATTAGAATTTCACCCTCCATTGTCTTTTCAGATGTCGAAAGAAAATTATAGATGAACCTTAATTGTAACATACCATATTTTTAAACAGCTAATGTCCTTAAACACAGCCTTATAGAACCATATGTGTGTCCCACAGCGTGCTTTTTACTTCTTAAAACCAAAAATAGGAATCCTGTACGAGCTTAAAGTTGGATTTGTTGTAAAAGGGGAACTTTTTTTTTCCTTTTTGATCTTCAGAGTAACAGACTGTCATTGGCTATTCTTTCTCCACGATTTTTTTATGTTTACTCGAATTCATACCCCACTGCTTTCTTTTAGGTTGCAAACAAAGCGAAAAACAAGTTTCACTATACAAAGGAAGTCACAGACACAAAGTTACTTAAGTCAACCAGCATGTGCTGACTCCTATAATCATCCCCAGCTGACAGATAGACACCCAGACTCTGAGTAAACTATCACTGCCATCATAGGAAGCAGTGTTGTTGAATCTGCTGAGTAACATACATGAACACATCCCCACAATGCAAAGTCTGCACAACTACCAGAGTTGTGAAATAATAACCTTAAACAGAAGGTTGCAGCTGAGTCAAAGTTTCCATAAACTGTGAGTTTGCTGAGGGACCTTAATTGAGTTCAGTTATGGGCTGAGCTTTTCTTGAGGCTTTTTTTCCCATTTTACTGTGGCATTACACTCAAAATTGAGCACACAAACAGTGACGTTACATTTTCAAAGACATCAGCGTCTGTTTCTGTTTCTCAAGGTCTGCATTCCTCAAATCTTCCTCATGTAGCACCAAACATTTCTCAAATCACTGCCTAATTACAAAATAACTCCAACACTGCAGTCCAAATTAGAGAGAAAAACAGCTGCTGGTGGACAGATCTGTTGACCTACATGTCCCCCGACTGTATTTTCTGACTTGTGGGTTCTGTCAGTGAGGTCCAAAGGCTACATCTGATCTGAATGTAGTAGAGATTCCAGGGCCTCTTGTCCTGTGTTGCCCTGGGACTGTAGGAATGCAAAATCGAGCAGTCTCAGGATTAGCCTCCCCCTCCTCCCCTTTTCTTCTCCCTCTTTTCCTTCCTCCTCCTGGTAATACAGCGGTTAAAGAGAAGAAAGACGAAGAAGAGGGGAGGGCTGTGGATGTTTGTGTGTATGGGAGAGGGAATGAAGATAGTTAAGGAGCTGAATAGGTTTCCCACCAGCCAGCAGCACAAGAGTTCAGATTACGGCTTCATAATCGCCTTGGCAGCAAGGGGAACGAAGTCCAGTTTCAGCTCGTTAGCTTAGTTTTGCAGCAAAGTGTGTGTTTTTTAAGTGTGTGTATATGTATTGTATACGTGTGTGTTTGGACGATAGCTTGTCATTTCAATGCTCTCTAGTGTCTTATGACAAGTTCCTCTTAATCAGGTTTTGTGGGTCAAGTCAGTTCAGATGGTACTTCCCCCAAAAGTCTTAGTCACAGCAAACTAGAGACTCTGAGTCACCACTGGGCATTGAGTAACTTTATGAACGCCTGGGAAAAGGATGTAATAACCAGCCAGGATTCGCTGGCCTTTCTACCCCCCCCCCCCCCCGCAGTGATATTTAAATTAGCGTAACAAATGGTTAAATGAATAACATGTTGCTGTCTTGTACTGTAGGATTTATGAGTTTAGATCTTTTGTAACAGTCAGTGTCAGCCTTTCATATCATTTGTGTCATAAATTTTATAACTTTAAGTTAAACAATCATTTGCTTGCATTAATCAAAGTCCCAAGTCCAAGTAGTTCTGTTAACTCTGAGGTCATGGAAACCTATATATTTTCTTACCTACAGTTAAAGCTGCTGCTGTGTTGTTAGTTAAGCTGATTAGTCATACCTGCCGTTTCATCCTCTTCACTTGTTTTGTTTGCTCTTAATTATTCCAGATGCTTTATTAGTTTTCTTGTCAAAAGTTTAACAGTCAGAGGAACTTAAGATATGTTTAACTAGCCAAGTTGAACTTATGGCTACTTTAGATTAGCATAAAGACTCATGAGCTAGCTTCATTCAAAGGTTACAAAAATGTGAAATACTTAAATACATGTAACTTTTAACCCCATTATTGACAAAATCACATCAGATATTTAAGATAAGTCCCAAAAAAATGTGTCTGTAATCAATCCTCGCACCCCATCAGCCTCCCTACCTGCAACATTAGGCTTTAAAAGAATTCAGAGTCTCAATTTAAATCCGATTTGTCTGACTTACATTTATCTCTTTCATTAATAATGCATATATCAGTGCTTCTGATGTGATATGCAGCCTACCTGACTACATACAGTGTCCTAAGCTCTGTCTGGCCCTGCCCATATCTGCTGAGGCATCTGAGCGCCCTTTCTCAGCCTTGATTGAAAATCTGTCTGGCAACACCATTACGCAGGAGAGACTTACACATTTGGCCATTATGAGCACTCATAGTGACTTCATTGATGAATGTGATGTTGCAACACTGCTTGAAATATTCATCAGTAGGTTAAATGAGACAAGGTCCACTTTTGGAGAAGTGTGACAGCCCTGAGTCGGAGGCACAAACTGTTCTTTTTTTTTTCATTAATGCTGTTATATTCCTTAAATGGCTTGATTTATTTATCAAAGTTCAATTTTTTAACAATAAAATGTCTTGTTTATCCATTCTAGTTCTCTTATGCTACTACAAAATTACTTGAACTGAAATCCTTATTCATCGACAAGTGCACTTCTTTCCTGCCCTTCCCAACAACCCCCAAAATAGTTCCTACCTTCATGTCTGTAATGTAAGTCAAGGCCTTTTTGTGAGCTGAGTAAAGCGAACTGTCTCTTACAGATTCTTGGATTGAAACTCTTTAACTTTTTAGGAAGGGTTCAATACGTGTTTATGAAAGAAAGCTATAAAGTGAGGGAGCTGAAAATAATATATCCCCACATTTTACTGTCTCTGTTGTTGACTGACGCTGTTAAGATGACTGATTGCTGCGTTTTACTCGATTTTGTATTCTTACTCTTAACCTAACCTAACCTATTCTTAACTTTTTTTAAAGTCCTCTCACTCTCTTTCCCTTTCTCCCTTACCCATCTTTTCCAGGTGCACTTACAAAGGTGAAAGACTGTCCAAAGCAAGAAGGTGAGCTCCACAATCGCTGCAACATCATCTCCTGCGCCACCCTGGCAGAGATTCAGCACTTCCACCGCACACGTGTCCGGGACTTCCGCTCCCAAATGCAGCACCACCTCCAACAGCAGATCAGTTTCTTCCAGAAAATCACTGCCAAGCTGGAGGATGCACTTCAGAGGTACGATGATGACCAATAGTGAGAGAGAGAAAGCAGAGAAGTCAAAATCCAAAGACTTTGAGAAGATGGAGATGATTAAGATGGGGCAGGGGTGATTGATGAGTCTGTTCTTCAGTGATGGGGGACACTTAACATCCTTTTAAGAGAGGAAACTACTTCTTTTGATGGATCCTGGGCTTGATGCAAGTGTACCAAGAAAAATACCACTCTCGAAAAAAGAAAGACCACTTGACTTGGAATGACTACTTCTTGAAAAGTCTGGACAGCTCTGATGAATGTACCAGTAACAGGGATTTTGCTGACGCTCCAGGCGTGTCTTGAAACTTGGTGGGACTGCCGTGATATTAAAAACAGCTGCTCTCAGTATGAAAAGGCTGCATCTTAGACCCCAGATATGGGATTTCCCTATCTCCCCATGCCTCCACTGCCTGAATACATTGTGAAAACCCTTTATCAGGTAACTCAGACGGAGATAAAACTTCTTATCTGAACTCCTTAAATGATTTTCAGACAGGACTTTGTAAACTGGATGATATCTAGTTTTTTCTTTTTTCCTAGTATCTTTTTTTGACTCGAATGGCCTAGTCAGTATTGTTTTAATGGGACATATTGCATGCAGGGGTTGTATACATGGAAAGGACAAAGTGAGCACACTCCACTATGTTATTTCAGTTTGGTCTCATGGTTCATTACAGCTTGAAAAGTTGCCTGTTTTGATGTCTTACATCCTTTGATAGCCTTCCACTGGTACGACTCTTCTGTAACATCACTTTGCGCCCTGTGGTTTGTGTTTTAGTTGCCATGATTGAAATGATAGGATCCTATGTCATGGTTATTCTATTTGATTTTTTCCCCTGCCGTTTCTTTTGAGAAGCAGCCCTGCAGTCCTTTTAGATGTAGGTTGTAATCAGTTTTTCTGGTTTTCCTCACTCTAAGGAGGTCAGAGATACGGCTTAAAGCAGAGACACATGGAAATGATAGATGACTCCAGGCATGAGAACTTTAAACCGAGGTCGCAACACAAACTCTCTAAAGTTAGCCTTTTCATGCCATCGGAATGTATTCACTCCTTTTATGATATTCTTGAAAATTTAGACAATCATTGTAAAAAAAAAAAAGAAGAGGGATGATATGTATTTTTCACCCTCTTCTGAAGTGTCTGGTCTGCTGCTTTTTGTCATTCAACTTAAGAGCGCCAGGGTAAGAATTTTTAAATTTTACTTAACGGCGCTGAGGGAAGTCGCTCTTCTTGATAAGCAGACATACTACTCCAAAAAAGTAGGTGTACTGATTTATTTTACTAATTAAAGAAGCACTAAAATTCGCCCATAAGGCAGGTTTTCTGTATTTTCCACATAAAAATGATGCAGAGACTTTGAACTCCTGAGTTTCATTAGCAGTTGAATCCAGGGAGAACATGTACAAGACATGTGGTTGGAGGTTTAAATGGAACAAATGTAGAGGGATTAGATAATCTATTAAATGCACAAAATGGTTTACTGTATCTAGTGAGTCAAGTTTTTCTGGAATTTTCTATCACAAGGTTTGTATTAAGATGAACCACCAGCCAGATGTGTTTCTGTAACGTGTTATTCACTCAGATGAAACTGTGTAACATGTAAAAACAACTGAACAGTATTTCAATAAATAAAAGAAAGTATGCCTCTGCTCTGACTGTGTCCCAGAGTTTGACTGATTTAAATCTGTGCTTTCAATAATGTAGGTTAAAGACATGTTTTTGACACAGCACCATCATTTACTGACATTTCAGATCACCTTTGCTCTATCAAAAATTAACACATTGAGGAAAAGCAGGACACTGCACAGTTCTAATGGAAATCACACACAGATACAGATGCATCTTTCAAACTGATTTTTAACCCCTGATGTCCATTAACATAAGCACTGATCGAATCAGTGTCATATCAGTCTGTAGTGGAAAACTGCATCACATGCCCCCTTATTGAAAAAGGTTTTATTACATTTTTAAATTACACCTTTTCCATCAGGAGTTCATAAAAATCATGTAGTCTGTTTGTTTGCAGCATGAGTTTTTGCCAAAGAGAGGCATGTTATCACTTGTTTTTCCTGTGCAGGCAGCATCAGTCTAGTCCCTGATATCTGACACCAGAGATCACAGACTGGAGGTCAGGTTTCAGCAGTCCAGGCTCTTCATTATTTAGACCAGCCTCTGTCCTCTCTCCTCACTGCTTTTGTTTTCCTTTATTACTAGAGTTAGGTAATAACTGCAAATGATGATGCGTGCTTGCTCTGAAGTAACTAACTCATTGAATATTGTCTTAATTAGATTTTAAGAATTTGTGTAAGTACAAAGATATGTCCTGTTGAGGGAGGCCATATCATATATTTTTATATCATAATGTTTATTTTCACTCAGCATTTGATAAAAGTTGTATATATGACAGAGTTTCAAAAATGCTAATTCTAAGTTTAAGTATATTTAAGTTTTATTATTATTCTGATTGATATTATACTATTATTGTTATAAAATACTGTGAGCCTATCATTGTCATTGTTGATATCCTTGTAAAGATAAAAGAAAAGTGGGAGGTGGAGAAGGTGGAGAAGGTGGAGGAGGCAATAGGCCCCATAAGCCAGACATCTCAGTAAAATAAAATCTTTCTAAATAAATATCATGTACAGTTGTCTGTGGGAATCATGGCTAAATCTTGAAGATAGAATACAAAAATGCATAAATTGTGAAACTAATGAATTTACTTTTGTACTTATGAGAGTTATCATAATGTTCGTAATTAGACTTGTATGGCTAAAGACTAAACACTTATTGCAAAGGACTTAAAGAGAAACAAACTGGAAATCAGTTTTTAGTTTTTTTGTTTTTTAAATCTTGTTCAGTTTTTCCATCAAGTTCTTTGGGTTCAAACACAGTAAAATGTTCAGAGTTGTTATAATAATTTTTAACACACAGGTTCCATGGAGGTCGTATGATCGAATCTATCGGTCTGAAATTCAGTTTGGACTAGTGGCAGAAAATGTGGTTTCCCTTATACACAATCAAGTTTGGGGGTTTGCTAACTGACTAAAAAATACTTCATGGCCAAGAAAAAAAAAGGTCTTCTTAAAGTGATCTTGCATGAAAGTGACATTTCAGTTATACACTTGATCGTTCTGCATATTTAGAGTTTCTGTTATCTATGAATGATGCTGGCAGTTGGAAAACTCTTGATTCGACAAAATGAATTTCTTAAGTCCTTCAAATACAGCTGTCAATAGAATGTCTGGTCACAAGTAATGGATATTTGTTTTCCTGTCTCACATTGTCATTATTATTGAGCTGTTAGAGAAGAATTCCCTTTTCTGTCAGACTGATAACTGACAGTGCAGCGCCAAGGTTCTTATCATTTGTTTTTTTGTCATGTTGTCAGGATGAATTGATCTTCTGAAGTAGTCTGTAAATTTGTGTTTGCAGTGGCACAACAGAGTCCAATTTGGCAGTTATACATCTGACCTTTCACGTCGAACACTACAAAGTGAGCTGTCGAATCTGTTGTGTCCTACTCATGCAGAGATCCCTCACTTTGTAGGAATGCTCACCTCAGTGATAACTCTTTAGAGCAGATAGAATCTAAATGCTCAAAAAACATGAGGCAGCTCTAGTGTGAGGTGGTCTCTGTCTTTTGCAGCCCACAGTATCTGCTGTCTATCAGAAAGTTATTTTTGGACACTGTGATTAATGTGTGCTCCCACGATCAGACTCCTGCCCAATGACAGGGAGACACTTTGTGAAGCTGTAGATGGGTTGGATAAGATGAACACAAAGGCTTTAGTTTTGAAACACAGTCAGTGAGAGCAATTCTGTCATGGATTTTTAACCTGACATACCCATTTGTAACCTGTAGATGGAAATGCTGAATAAAAGAAGGATACTCTTGTTTTTAAGGACATGTTTTCTTGTATTGTTTTGACCCTGCCCTGTTATTTGTTCCTGTTGTGCTGTGCGGCTCTGTCTCCTCCCCTGCAGAGTGTTGCTGTTTCTGTGGGTCTGTGATGGTTGGATCCACTGATTTAGGCGCTGATGCAGGTGTGGCCTCTGACTGGTGGATTCAAGGAAGAGTGCGGCTTCTGATTAGATGAACCCTGTTACCTTTCCACAGTAACAGGATTTGACATAAAATAGTGTTTACCCTCGTTGTACTCTCTTTAAAGGTTAACCTTTTAAATTAAAACATTTTTAGGTCATCAAATGAAAATTATCGAGCTAATAATTATTTTTGATCGATTGATAAGCCGGTGGAGAGCCAGTTATTTTGTGTCCAGTTACTTTTACTCTTGTCAGCCCTGTTACCATAACGTCAATCCTGTTGTTGTCATTGATTTGATAAAAATGTTAAAAAATTACAGCTCAAATGGGCTTTCAACACTTACCATTACAATTTGACTTACATTATATTTTAAATTTGGCCATTTTTCAAAAAAATAAAAATAAAAAAAATCTGATATTAGAAATATTGTATTTTGTTAAGTTTATGTTGCTAACAGGGTTGACAAGATTATGAAAACAGCCAGGAGAAAAACGGTTATAAAATATGAAATAAAACAGCCTGAGATGGCATACTATGATTTCCTGCCATTTTAAACATTCTTTGATTCCTGGGGGTACTTAAAAATTAACAATTAAATATAGTTTCAATTTTAAATTTACTAAGTTGAAAAGGCACCAATTTCATGGAACGACCCAAGTCGCCTACTGTAATTGTGAAGTCGTGCTGCCCTCAAGTGGAAAACTGTGTAACTGCGTGTTGGGTTTCTTTGAATTTTTCTAAAAAGTTTATTTAGCTAAATGTGATGTTATTCGTCTGAAATGTTAATTCACCGTGAAATTGAATGCAATTTTTGGCTTACAGATAATAAAAATTTTGATGCTACCATATAGTCTACCGGTACCTCTCAAAGCTGGTGTGTTAGGGTATCTGAGTTGGCTGTACATATTGTGATATTAAGGCGCACACCTACAACAAACGTTTCTTTTTCAAGTATTTATTTATACAACAATAAAATAAAATAAACTTTAAAAAAATTTCCCATTTTTCGGGATTTAAATCCTTTTGGTTCAACAAAGCGGACGTTTGCAGTAGAGGGAACACCACAAATCTCGCGATAATTACGTCCGGGGTCAAAGTTGCTGTTGGCCATGTGTAAATGTTGCGGCTTCCGCTACACCTAATTCAGCCACATTCTGCAGTTTGTATACTTCAGTTCATTCATTCAGGGTCATTTTGGTTTAAATGCCTGCAAAGGTTTCGAGGAGGTTGTTAAATTTCACCAACTGTTTGTTAAATCTCAGTTTTGGTACCTTTCCGCGTCAGTCAGAGTCTTCGGTTCCGTTGATGAGTCAGTTTGGATCCTTCAGCTGTGAGGTTCTGTTCTTTGACGGTCGAGCCTGACATGTTAAAGACTGGACTGCTGCTCAGTGCTTCACTTAAACCCAGACTGACGTTTCTGAGAGGTAAAGAGGTACATGAAAACATGGAAACTGAGAGTGTTTGATGAAGGTGAGTCTATCAGTTTTGGGATGACCATAAACAGGAACTGTGCTGTGTCCTTTTTTGCAGGTGGATTTTTAACTTTCTGCAAAATGACTGAAATACACAAAGACGAGCAGGCTGCCAAGCTACTGAAAAGAGTCATTGAAGAAAATGAAGACTCATCTGAAGGGGTGCAGGCCTCAAAGAGAGTGAAGTCAGAGGGGGATCACAGTGAAGATGACAAGAGATATCCCAAAAAGAAAGTTGTCCTTTTAATGGCATACTCTGGAAAAGGGTACTATGGCATGCAGGTGATTTTATCCTCTCAGTTGTTTATTATCATCACTATGTTTTCACATATTTAACTAGATTTTTGCAGCCAAAGACTTATATTTCAAATGTTTCACTGTGTTTCAGAGAAATACGGGAACCTCTCAGTTTAGGACCATTGAAGATGATCTTGTCACCGCTCTTGTTAAATCTGGATGCATTCCTGAAAACCATGGTGAAGACATGAAAAAGATGTCTTTCCAACGATGCGCCCGGACAGATAAGGTTTGGGCTTTTACAGCGAAAGATCAACAAATAATATCTGAACAAATTAAAACTAGACACTGGTCACTTTAGTTTCATGTACCTTGGTTTTTTAATTGCACTCCTCCCACTGCACTGTTGTTCTGTATTGTGTAGTTGTACATAGCCTTTTATGCTTTTAAACTTGATATATTTCGTGCACCATCACGCCAAAAACAATTCCTAGTCTGAGAATCCTGTTCATAGACAATGACAATAAAACCCCTTCTGATTCTGATTCTGATTCTGATGAAGTGTTGTACATTGCAATACGTTATATAAACCAGGAGAAAAGTTTGCATCTGTGACGGATACATGTCTCCCCTGAGATAAAATTGTGATGTATTCTTCCCGATGTTTTTTTCAGGGTGTGTCTGCTGCCGGCCAAGTGGTGTCTCTAAAGCTGCGACTGATTGACGACATAATAACTAAGATTAATGAGCATCTGCCACCACAGATCAGAGTGCTTGGTAAGACAGTAGTCAGTTATTTTCTTGATTACATTTTGAACAGTAAGTCCAGGATACTTGGGTAACACATTACAATAATGTGAACTAGGGTTGGGTGAATGATGAATAAACGGAAACGCACTCAAACGGGTGAGCTCCGACTTTCCTGTTAGCGAGCACAGACAACTACACACTGACTCAGAGAGATCCAGACATCTGCTCTCTCTCCCCGGTATAAACGGTATAACATTTCTACCGGTAGACACTTTTATACCGTCATACCGCCCAATACTTATGTGAACTGTTCCTCATACTCTATTGACTGAAACTGAGAGGAAAGCCAGCATTTATTTAAATTATTACTTTTTTCTTTTTCCAATAGGTTTCAAACGAGTGACCCAGGGCTTTAACTCCAAAAACAAGTGTGATGCTCGTACATATACCTATATGCTTCCAACAGTGGCCTTTTCACCCAAAGACTATGACACAGGGGATTTAAAAGGCTTTCGCCTTGAACCAGAGACTCTTCAGCGGGTGAATAGTCTGTTTGCTCGCTACAAAGGCACGCACAACTTCCATAACTTCACCTCCCAGAAAGCAGCAAACGACCCCAGTGCCAAGCGCTACATCACTGAGATGTTCTGTGCTGAGCCTTTTATTTCCAGTAGTGTTGAATTTGCAGTGATCACAGTACGGGGCCAGAGCTTTATGATGCATCAAATCCGTAAAATGATTGGTCTGGTGATCGCTGTGATTAGGGGCTACGCAAAAGAAGATGTGATGGAGCGGAGCTGGGGACAGGAAAAGGTGGATGTGCCAAAGGCTCCAGGGCTGGGCCTGGTTTTGGAAAGGGTTCACTTTGACCGGTACAATAAAAAGTTTGGAGGGGATGGGCTGCATGAGGGACTAGAGTGGGATCGTGAAGAGGAGGCAATTAAAGCCTTTAAGGAGACACACATCTACCCCACCATCGTGGAGACCGAGTGTCAGGAGGGCTCCATGATCAGCTGGATGGCCACGCTTTCAATCCATGATTTTGAAGCCTCAGCTGTAAATACACAACAGCAAAATGAAAAGGTATTTAAAAATAATCAATGAGTGCTAATTCAAGAAGATGTGACTAAAACAAATTTATTTCCTGTAAAATTAATTTATTGGTGTTTTCCCCCCCCCAGGACAATGCAGAGCTTTCAGGAAATGACTCAGACTAACTCATCCTTCCTGCTCAAAGAAGAAGCATTTTCTTAAAACATTCCCTCTCTTTTTGGGAATGAACTTTTATGTTTGACAGATTTCCTTTGTGTGGGATGAACTTCTGCTTTTCATACGTTATTAAAAAAGACGTCAATACAAAACCTCAAAAACTTTCTCTTACTTTTCATGCACCTCTTACAATATAGAATCTTACCACAGCTGTTATCTAGAGTGGTAAAATATTGTCTTTCAGTTTCAAGTCATAAATAGGAATTGGAGTAGCGTCAAAGGTGGCATGAGGCTGGTGAAGTATTTACAAAATCTCAGTCATCAGATGCCTCAGTGACATAAAGGCTTTTAATATATTTGTTATAGAACAGCAGGGGACTGAAGAGTAAGTAAAGTTTGTTTCTAGAGCACTTTTCACGGATAAAAATCACAATTCGCTGTACATAAAGTGCAATTACATAAACATTAAATGGTACAAAAAAGGATAAGTACATATACATACATAAATATGAATACAGTACAGTGAATATGGAAATGAGTGCAGATATAAAAGATAAGAAAGAGACAAACAAAAGGGGTAGAGGTAAAAGAAACTTCACAAACACCTTTTTCCATAGTATCCATAGGCTTTTATATCAGTACAAGTGTGAGTTACAAAAGATCAGTTGTTGAATGATATTATAATTTGATTCCCTAAATATAGTTCTCTTTATACTATCTATCTGGAAATAGTCGTTGCAAGAGCTTATTTTGTGTACGCGGTGTGTTTTGCCTGATTTGAGATACAGCCGTTTCCAACCAGATGCTACCGTTAACAGTGTATGCCTGTAACTCGAAACCCTCCATCCGCTAGGAGGCGATAGAGTTATAAGGTGTGCTGAACTAGCGTTGCATTCAATAGCCTTTGGACGTACAGGAAAAGGGAATATCACCTAAAGTGTAACTGCCGCATTGCCAAAATAGCGTAGCCTACTTCAGTAAAAACCAACTATAACAATCAGCTCAAGTAAAATAAATACATAAGCCAACCCAAATACTGTTACATTTTTACACAATCTCCTTTAAATTATGAACTTGTTTAACGTTGACTTCGCGAACTGTTCTCCGGTGTCTGGGAAACATTTTTGTCGTATTTCTGTAAGAGCACCGTGAACAGCACGTCACTGAGAAATCATGGCGCCGACCAGAAAACGCAACGTGAGTTCGGCAAAAACAGCAGAACGAAGTGCCAAAAAGGCCAAAATTGACCTTAACAGCAAAGTCGAGAATATTCTGAAGAGCAGAAAACATGCCAACGACACGTTTGACATCCTTGAAGTCCTTCAGGTAATGAATGAGTTAGAATCATAACCGAACAGCAGACATGCTGGATCAGTTTGTCATTTCAGTCGCTTTAACGGTATTACCTGCTCTGTTTTTCGTCTTGTTTGTGTCATTTTGCAGTCAGATGAAGAAGAAAAGACGGTTGTTAGCGCTGTTAATGCGTGCAGTACACTGTTCTGCACCCTGTTAGAGAAGAAAGAGCTGTTTATAGGAAAACTGCAGGAGGAGGAAGACGCGCTGAGAGGTGAGGATAAACGCCTCAACTTTATCAACTCTTATATGTGATGGATGGTAGACATAGTATCTACTTTAGCATATATAATATAAAACTATTACTGTTGATTAATCCAATCAAACATTGTAGGGGAGAGTGGGGTGAGTTGAGCCATGCACCCCCTGTTGCTTGGAAATGTGAAATGCGCTGTTGGTTTGCAGGGATGCGCAACATCTTGAAATATATGCAGATACACTAGTTAGAGACAAAACTATGATACTTTAATAAAGTGATCTGAAATATGAAAAATGTCTCATTTTACCCCTCTCTTCTTCATACCACATTTCACATTGTCTTCTACATTGTTTATGTGTTTAATTTCTGGGACAGGAGAGTTCAGCGCTGAAGAGAAGTACCGTATATTCATGAGACACCGTTACAACACCTGTGTGGAGATACTTCTTGAGCACCTCAGCCATGAAAGACACGCAGTTAAGGTGAGTTTTATCCTGTGACCTGAATTAGCAACCCCGCTCAGGTTTACTAATGCCTAATTACTAATGCCAACCATCGTGTTTGTTATTCCCTGGGTTGTATATTAAAAGCACAGCTTCTATCAGGAATAATGCAAGAATCAAGGGGCCCAGGAAGGAAATGAAGATTGTTTGTTTGTTTGTTTTCCAAATACCAGGAGAACACCCTGACCTGCTTGATGAAGTTTGCTGCAGGAGAAGGAAAGCATCCTCTCGAAGACTTGGACTGGTCTGAACACTACAGTTTTCCAAGAGAGCTCATCTCTGTAGGATTTCATTTTTCTTATAACCTGGAACTTAATTCATTTACTCAACCTTTTCAGTTTATGTGTATTCTGATATTTCTCTTAACATTTTTTATGGCCAGGCTGTGGTGGAAAGACTGTTGTCCAAAACTACCGACAACTCCCTGCTGATCTCCAGATTCCAGGAGTTTCTTGAGATGGAGGATGTGCGCTTCTATGTCATGAGCTCCATTCGTGAGAATGTGGGCCAGGTCATGGACAAAAACAAAGGGGTAAGAAAACTCACAATGGGCTGTGCTTACTTGTTGCTTTTATTCATCTTTTGAAATTTAATAATAATCAGTTGAATCAATTACCGAAATATCTTATTTTGTTCCTCTTAGGCTGTGATGCCCATTTATCAGAGTAATGTGTTGACCCTCATGTCAAACATCAGTGTGCCAAGCAAGGAGTCTGAGCTCATCAACTTTATGGTCAAACAGGAAGGTAGGATCTAGTTTTCTCTAATGCCATGGTGTGATTTTCCTCCTTATAATGATGCTGATCTGTAAATTAATGGAGTTTTTTTAAGTTAAGATTCCTCAGGTTGTTAAAGTGATCCTTTTTTTTTTTTTTTGCAGCTAAGCATGAAGACTGGAAAGCTGCAAAACTTCTCGTACGTAATACATTTGTTATCACATGTTCACAATGTTCCTATCTTACGAGCAGCTACTAAAGGAATTGTACCTCATTACAGGAGCACAAGCGTGTCTTTGAGAGGATGTGGCTGGGCTTCCTCAAGTATAAGGTATGATGAAAACACACCTCAATGTTTTCTTTTGTCTTAAATGATTAAAATGTTGCTCTTCTGTACCCTCAAGCTTTGTCTCTTTCTTGTAGTTGCCAAGTAACATGTATAAAAAGATCCTGGTGATCCTCCATGACTCCATCTTGCCCCATATGAGTAAACCCACGCTGATGATTGACTTCTTGACTGCGGCCTATGATGTTGGTAAGTTGAGCCTCTGACTTACTTCATGCTCATTTTCTTCAAAGGTCAATCAGTTGTACTGTGATTTCGTCTCTGCTTCATGGGAGGTGATGCTTACAAAAGGTGATGATAGCAATAATGATCTGAAATGTCGTCATGTTCGGTTGAACAGGTGGGGCTATCAGCTTGTTGGCACTCAACGGCTTGTTCGTTCTCATTCATCAACACAACCTGTGAGTACAGTATTTAAAAGAAAACAATATTTTTCACAAAAATAATAATCTGATGTGTTTAGAAACACAATAACTAGCTGCACGCTGAATCTGCAGAAGACGACTGAATACAGAAATCTATTTTGAAGCTGAAGAACTTAGTGAGTCTGTTGTGTTTTTTTTTTTTTTACCAGAGATTACCCCGACTTCTACACGAAGTTGTACAATCTGCTTGAGCCGTCTGTTTTCCATGTGAAGTACAGAGCTCGCTTTTTCCACCTTGCTAACCTCTTCCTCAGCTCCAGGTAAGCTGATCTGTACTTCCTAAAGTGTTATCTAGTTCTACTGGTGTTACTTTGTCACATACAGTTTTAGTTCTTCTTAAAGTAGGTCAAGAGCTTCTCCATTCTTAGTAATTTGTGTTCTTCCTATTATTTACAATACTAGCAATAAAAATGCATAAGCTTATGCTCATTATTTACAATATTCTTTTGATATGTTTTTGTGGGTTTCAGTCACTTGCCACTGTACCTGGTTGCTGCTTTCGCCAAACGCCTGGCCCGTCTGGCTCTCACAGCACCACCCACAGCCCTCCTTTTAGTGCTGCCCTTCATTTACAATCTGATCCGGCGCCACCCATCCTGCAGAGTCCTCATCCACAGGCCCAGTGCAGGAGATGGTGAGAGTCAGCTGAACTTATTAGCATTTGTCCCCTCATCAGCCAGTAACTATCAAACCTGTCAGCGGTTCCAGATTGGTCTGATTTACTATGATACTGAAATACTGTCAAAGGATGGACAATCTTTTCTGAAAGCCTTAAGGATGAATGGATAAATGTAGGTGTGTGTCTTTGTTGATTTTCACAGAGCTTTTGGAGGACCCATATCTTATGGATGAAGAGGATCCTGCACAGTGCCGTGCTTTGGAGAGCAGCTTGTGGGAGATTAAAGTATGTGCTTATTATAGGGTGACCATACGTCCTCTTTTACCCCGACACGTCCTCTTTTGGGCGGCTGTCCGGCCTGTCAGGGGGAGTTTATAAAATCCTTCAAATGTCCGGGTTTTTGTATGGAAACCTGTTTTTTTTTCACTGGCGGAAACAGGCTTCCATGGTTTTTAGTTTGTGTAATGTGTAATTTGCATCACAGACTATTGTATTTACCGTACATGTTCAATCGTTCATATGGAAACACATTCTCACATTCAAAGCCACTGACAAGATGCACGCATGCACTCTCTGCCAGTGGGCAAAAGAAAAGGGAGAGTAAATTTGTATGTGACTGATAATTTTGTTGAGGAGAAATGCTTTAGATAAATGAATATATTGTTTATGAACGCAACTTTGTGTGAGTATTTATCAGTATCTCCAAGAGGCCTGGTTAAGTGTCTTTTTGGTAATTCAGAAATATGAGTGTAACTGAGTTAGAAGCGCGTAAAAAAACACTTGACCCGACCCAAAAAATCCTCAAAATTTTGCGCGGGCACAACTTGTAGTAGTGTCCTCTTTTTGGGGATTTAGAATATAGTCACCCTAGCTTATTCATGATCTTGGATTGAGCTGTTATGTGTGACAGCCACGGTGTCTGTCAAATTGATTTGAAAAACGTGACAAAAATGCACTTGATTTTGGGTTCATGTGTCTTTCCTCCTCCTGCTTCTCCTGCAGACATTGCAGAAGCATTATCACCCAGATGTGGCTAAAGCTGCCATGTCAATCAACACCCCACTTTCAGCGCAAGAGGACGACATCAGCGAGGTTTTAGAAATAACTACATTTGAGGTGATGCCGTGCTTCTATTTTCCTTTTTATCAGTGTGTATTGTATTTAAATGTTTACCTTTGCAAAATGAGATATCAGATGAACGATAAATTAAGAATACAACTGCAGATTCATTCCTTCTGGTCATCATGAACAATGTGCTTTATGTTCTTTTATCCTCAGCTGATGGAGAGAGACCTAAAACAGTCTCAGAAGAAGAGCATTCCTCTGGAGTTTGAAACGGCCACTCAGTTACTTAGAGGAGGAGATGTGTTGGGACAACACTTCTGCCTGGATTGAAACCATCATAATAAAATAAAAAAACACAAGGAACTATTTTGACAGATTAACTCTGGCACCAGCAGTAGTGGTGGAAAATTTTTTATAAAATGCAGTTGATCTAAAAATGTGCTGTAATGTTTTTATATCTTTGGTTTAAACTAGGGCTGAAACGATTACTCGAGTAACTCGAGTAACTCGATTAATAAAATTCCTCGAGGCAAATTATATGCCTCGAGGAATCGTTTAAATCCGGAACCATGTGCAGCGCACGGTGTTTGACACGGACGGTTGTTTCTGTTGCGCAGCAGCGTGCTCTTTCCGCTCCTTCCGCTGCCGCGCGTTTGGTTCAATCATGGGCTGTGTCCGAAATGGCATACTGCCTACTATCTACTTACCTACTCAAGCAGTAGCTACTGCCTACTGACTACTCAAAGATGATTTGAGTATGCCGCGGCTGCCCGAGCGTTTACACACATACATACTACATACCCCAGAATGCATTTCGTGCCGGCCGGACGCAGCGCCGGGAAAATTTAAATAGTCCTACCACAAGCTACACAGAACGACTGCATCCCGGACAAATTATATAAATTCATTCAATTATAATATTTTTTCTAGCGAGAAAGTAAGTGTTTACATCACGATTATGAGCCCAGTTGTTTGAAATAGTGGCTGTTTGTAAATTTGTCTCGGCGTTTTCGGAGACCGAAGCGTCCACTTGGTCGGTGTTTGCGTCTATTTACCGTAAACACCGGGCAGCAGCAGCTCCCCCTTCACGTTTCCAAATTATTGCGAAGTTTTTTCATAATCAACATCTACACGACACAAACCGGGCGACAGTGGATGAAAAAAATCACACAAACATCCGTGTATCCATGGTGATAATGCTATACACCACCTGCTAGGCGTGTGATGAGCAGCAGAGGGCTGCAAAATGACCAACACACAACATAATTATTATGACCTCGTTCGGTTATTCCTTGGCAAATACATCATTTCCCGACTACATTCTTTTCATGTACAATGATTATTTCAGAAACCATCAGATTTTCAATCACAAGTAAGAATTAGTAAAGCTCACATAGATTGTCAACTGGAAACTCCCCCGTTTGTATATTCTGAACCATGTGCTCTCTACAAAAGATAATTTTTATTAATCAGAGGTCTGAGCTTAATATGAGCGACCACTTTGATGATGCATTCAGAGATGAGAAGATGCTCAAACTTGATGTAATAAATACATCTTTAATAGACACTTAAATAAATAAAGTCAATTCATACGAATAGTTAAAAACATTACTTATAATCCTAATTTAAAATACAAATAAATCTGGTAAAAAGATCAAAATATGATAAAATGATGAAAATTGTGTAATGTATACTGACTAAATATTGTTTATCTATTTATATATATATCATTATTATTGCAATCACATGCCATCTATTTCTTTTCAGCCTCGGGAAGGAGGGCCATATTACCAGCTGAGGTGCGCAATGCATTGTGGGGCAGAAGCAGTACGTGAAGCAAGCTCCGTTGCACACTCAGAAATCGAAGCTGATTGAGTATACATCCGGGCATTTCTCGCATACACAAAATTCACATACTGTACAGTGTGAACGCACTGCCTACTCAATTCAGAGGCGGGGTTAGTAGGAGTAGTAGGAGTAGTAGGCCATTTCGGACACAGCCATGGAGGGAAACGAGGACAGACAGAGAGAGGAAGAAAGAGATGACACGCAGAGGAAACGGCAGAAAGTGTCTAAAGTGTGGGACCATTACACACTGAAAAGGAAAGAAAACGCCGTGCAGTGCGTTCACTGTAAGGCGGAGTTGGCGTTTCACAACAGCACGTCGTCAATGCTGCAGCACCTTAAAAGAAAACACCCGGTCCATGCATTAAGTCCGCAGAGCGGACCATCCATGCATTAAGTCCGCAGAGCGGACTTAATGCATGGATGGTTTTTAATGAGGCAAACGTGATTCAATGCAAAGTATTACAGTGAGAGCAAAACATTTCTTATCCGATTACTCGATTAATCGACAGATTAATCGATAGAGTACTCGATTACTAAAATAATCGATAGCTGCAGCCCTAGTTTAAACCTTCCAGGGGAAGCAATTGGTTTACTTTCTATAAAACATTATTAAATAGTTTCATGTTTCTTTTGATTTATTTTTTAGGTGTTATGTGGTCATGTACAGTGCACATGTACATTTTCTTGTGTTACAGCCTTAAAATTCATTAAGTTAAATTCATGTTTTACCTCAACATTCAACACACAATTACAGATAATGACAAAGTGAAAAAAAATGCTTTGAAACTTTTGCAAATGTATAAAAAAAACAACAAAAAAACAATGGTTCAAATCGGGGCTCTACCTGGGCCACTTGAGGATATTCACAGAGTTGTCCTGTAGCCACTGCTTTGTTAGCTCGACTGTGTGTTCAGGGTCATTGTCATCTCCCCAGTCAGAGGTCCAGAGCACTCTAGAGCAGGTTATCATTGAGGATGTATCCAGACATTGCTGCATTTATCTTTCCATCTACCCTGATTAGTCTGCCTGTTCCTGCTGCCGAAAAACATCCCCACAGCATGATGCTGCCACCACCATGCCCCACTGTAGGAGTGGGGTAAGTTGAGCCCTTTCCCTACTACCCCGCCCTACTCTCCACCCCAGCCCTCTCTCACTTTCTCTCTCCTTATATAACAGTCACTTCTTCACATTCATGTGTATTTTTATCAATTATTCACTATTCAACTGGTACAATAACTCTTTTTCTTTAAAATAAAAACAGCTGTGAATGTTCTGAATCACTTGAAGGCGTTCTCATGTTAAAATGGCTTTTTAGTAGTTATATGCAATAATAATAAAAAAGTAACACATTTCAACAATCTGCACTGAAACTCTGATCCTCTCCTCAGACTCCTTTACACACGGGTTTAACCAGCAGGGGCTGTCAATCATTTCCACACCCCATGATCTTGAAAACTTGAGAGAAGCTTTCAAAACTCCTTTTTTATTATTTTTTATTTTGAGATCAAGTTGTGGCAAATTGATATAACAGCCAGAACACATAATGTTTTAACTCCAACTTCATTTTTAAGGTGTGCTTACTGAAAAAGGGGGAATTGACCAGAGTGCAGGAGTTTACCACAGGATTGTCTCCCACTCAACCACAAGGCAACGACTTCTCAATCTTGTCATCATCTCCTGCTCAACTATGAATCAACTGGGGGCTTAATGTAGATGCTATACAAACATGTTTAAGTATTTAACCCTATAGTCTGCCCTTACTGTCACAAAGCTAATCCTCCTCTCCTATCATGCTGCCAGGTAAGCCTCAAATACTTTCCCTCCTATCTTCTGTTTGTATTATATCCTCTCATTAAGTAAACCATATGGCCACACAGCAGGCAGCCCGGGGTACAGGGACGCCGCCAGAGAAATTCTGAATCATAACCGAGTTCAGTCAGAGAAGAGCAAGTCAGAACAGAAAGAAGCTTTCCAGAATCACACAGACAAGACAGATGAGGAGCCATACCAGCTCAGGGTTTAGTAGTGAATACAGCATACAGACAGTATTTACGTTCAAGTCTTACAGTTTTTGCTTTTCAGCTTCAGCTTTCAGAATTTGCAAAGAGGTCAGAAGCTAGCAAGACAAAAGAGCATGGTGAGGATGTGAGAAACCCAGGAGCATCGCTTGAACAGGTAATTATGTTTTTAGTTGTTCCTCTTAGGAATATTAACAACAAATAATGCAGTATTCAAGTGTTAAGAGTTTCTAAGTACTGGAAAAAGTATATGCTAACTGTAGCTTTAAACTGTTAGTTTGTAGTTGCTGCAAAGTGCATACATTATTACTCAAATAAACAGTCTCCAAGAAATCCTTACCTTCTCATGAAGAAATATTTTTCAGCAACTTTTAATGACTTGCCTCTGTCTGTTCATTTGACATGTTAAACACTAAAATGCTGTATGTGCTAACATGTAAACTATGCAGATTTGACGTTTTAAAGCTGAAGTGTCTACATTGATTAGCAATCCTTTAGCAGGCATTTTCTTAACTGAAGTAGGGATGTTAAACTAAAGTAATGGGTTATTGATGAATTAGAAGGCAAATAGATGGAAGCTAACACCCTCTTACAGGCACGCAGAATGACTCAAGCACAACTCTCCCATCTTTCTTTAGATCTGTGAGCGATACTCAGCGCTGCAGGTTCAGAGAGGTCTTGGCAGGATGGGAAATTTCTGCACAAGGATCCCTGAGTGTTGTTTGTTGTCATGTCTGTCCTCCTCCCCCACCTCCAGCCCCCTGCGAGAAAATAGAAGCAGTCCAAGGTGAGTCAGCACGGAAGAAGCTGTTAAAGCATTTGGCTGGAGCTTTAAAAGAGACAGGAGATGAAGAGCTCTTACTTTAAATTCCAGCTCTGAGAAGAAGTATTAAAACTAAGAAAGCCTGAGTAGATCCATGCAATTGGTTTATTCAGTTTTCCTATAAAACTAGTAAATTTTCGTAGTTTTCTTGAGATTTTCTTAGCCTTACATCAGGTATTCATATCTCAAAACAAACTAAACACACCTTAAGGGAAAACTCAAAGGGGATTGTATGTTTTGAAATGGGACTCTTCGTAGTACCTCCTAATAGTAAGAGTATGAGCTTCAAGGAACCGAGTGAGCTTGGCTTTCAGGCGTTCTTTTGGAAACCAGATGACACAAATAAACACACGTTTAAACTGACTGTCATTATTGATTAATGACATTGTTTGCGGGGTTTAGAGGTATGCAACTTGATGTGAGTGTCTTTATTTGTGGAAAAGGGTGTTTGTCTTACCAGTGGGTCCAACATTACACACACCAAATCCCTCTGTGCTTAAATGAGAGAGTGTGGAAGATGCCCTCCGCAGCGCTTACAGCGACACTTGTTGAGGGGCTGCCTTCTGTCGCCATCGTGTGGCATTGCTGTTTTTCAGCCATCTCTTGATCTCTTCGACTACTTCACGAAAATTGTAATACCCCTCGCCGGCGGCGGATTTAAAATTGAGGAGAGGAGCTGATGTGATTGGTGAAAACAGGTCTTGGCTGTGTTAAACTCACTCCATGCCTTCTCTCCACCCTCTCTACTACTTACCCTCTCTACTGGTAGGAGCCGAGTTAGGGAGGGGGGATACTTTCGCCGGGCTGCACCACTCACCAAAATAACAAAGTGTGCTTGGGCACAACTTGTCGGCGCGGTGGACCTGACTTACGCCGCGCCATGTCGCCGGCGAGGCACGAAAATAGAGCCCATTGTGTTAGCATCAGCGGGCAATGTATGGCGAAAGAAATCCAACAGTTATACTATACAGTTATAGACTCTTTGGTCCTTGGCATCCAAAGTGACTTTTGTCATCATATCCCCACTAAAAGGCACAGTTTTACTTTGGCCTCTGTGAACGAGTCAAAAAAAGAGGACTGATCATCTGTGTGCAGAAATGTAATCATGCAGCAGTGACATAAGTCAAACCTCCTACAGCAGGATTAAGACATTTCCCTGAATTTGGACTATAGTAGAGTATGAATGAATGTGTATGAGGAACATTTTTGTGTGTGTTTTGAAAGAGGTACCAAACAGAACAGCGTGGAGCGGGGATTTAAAAGTGACTGATACAAGCTGATGTTTTCCCCAAGCCTCCCTCGTGTCTTTGTGTTGCTGTAACACAGTAATCCTCTCTTATGTAACTGAGTGGAGTCCTCTCTCTATCTCACTCGGAAAACTTCTTCTCATATGCACATGGTCCTACACGTATAGGTATCGATCACAACAGTGAGAACTTACAAATTCATAGGAAAGAAACAGGAAAATCCTGCTGTCTGGGACTAACTGACAAAGTTACTGTAACAAGCAAGTTATGAGATTTCTAATGAAAGAAGATGAAGGAGTTGTACAGTAAGTGACGAGAAACTCTGATAGATTTTTCAGGATACAAACATGTAATATTCCTTGAATTGTGTTAAACTCCGTAAGTGTTTTTCTACATAAAGTTTTTGTTTGTTACCTTAGAACAGATTAGTTTCAGGTTATTTTAGTACAGTAGTAATATGTTGTGATACTATGAAGTGAAACATGTTGAGCCCATGATTTTCTCTGTAATCTCCTGTAATATCCCTCTTGTTTCTGTACTTTGGTAGCTCATGTGCTTTTTTCCCCCCTTGCCTAAAATGGATATTTGCAAAACGAAGATTTTTTTTTTCATTATTGCTGGATTTATCATAAACTGTTTTGTGTAGCTGTATTCAAAACAACAGTGCAATATAAGTCGGGAAAAAAAATCAAAAACATGTCCCAATGATGTTCTTTTTGTAAAGCAATCGCAGATCACACAAATACTTGATTTGTAATTCATTCATTCATTCCACTAAAAGACAAAAACTACAACAGCACATTTGATTACCTGTGAGAATAACCTAGTATGTGGTTAAAGTATGGCATTCAGATACATCTTATGACTAAAAATGAATAACTTTATCACTCATTTGCATATCTTGTGCAGTTTTTCAGGAAGTACATAGAGGTGGGATTGTGTAATCAGTGCTTGTATGCTTTTGCAGGTGATAATGCGGGATCACACATCTAGCGCTCATATGGAGGAGCTGCTAAGGCAGTCTCAGATGGAGTTACAGTGGATCCAGAGACAGCTGGCTATGATTGCTGCCAGAAACATTCACCATCATCACCTGCGCTCAAAGGCTAAGGTACAGTACTGACGTGCTCTTTTACCAACATCGCTCATAGTCAAAGTTTTTGCCTGGAGCAGAATTTGTTTTGAGGTCTGACACAGAACAGTTGCTTCTACAAAATTTAGAGAATAGCAAAGCCTCATTTTGGCTGAACAGGCTTTATTCGGATGAGTTGGGAGCCCTTTGCAGCTTCTTGTGCAGAAATTCTTACAGACGATGAGGCTTTATGTGCTTGTGCTGCATCTTTAGATGTGATGTGGGTCCTAGAAGAGCTAAGGGGGTCAGCTGCACGCTTTTGTGATGATATTTTACATCGAGATTGGCTGTATGGAGGACAATTTGTTTTAAACTTTATAGGGAAAAAAGGTAGATTTTTTGGTTGTAGTTTCTGAGATCTCCGTTGAAAAAATGAAATGCACAAATTTATTAAAAAGCATGAATTGAGAGTTTAAGCTGCTACTGTACTTTTTGAGTTTCATTTTCAAAAGCCGTAGATAAAGTAAGGTGACTAAATTTGACTCGAAGAATATGCCGTTTTCCTACAAACATCTCTTGTGGGTCTAAGTTTGATGGCGGGTTTGAGGGTCCTCTGCCTGCTAGCATGTCATCTCCATAAGGACAAATATAGAGTGTAAAACTCCACCCATAGAGTCTCAAACGTACAGCCAATCACAAAGAGAAGAGAGTCAGCCAACCATACTGTATGACATCACTGTGGCGCCTTTAAATAAAACGCATTGTTATTACAACTACTGCTATAACAACTGTTAAAAACTTAATTTGTAAGAGATTACAATCTTACTCACTCTGACTGTCCTTAGAAAACTTGAACATCTTTTCAGTCGTGCTTATGATAATTTTCAACGCAAAAAGGAAAATTGTTCTTTATCTCTATTGGCTCCTAAGCTTTTCCAGAGTTTGTGTTTGCATTAGTCAGTTACACTTCAGTCAAGTACGAGGCATGTTTATGTTTTTTTGAATAAGCTTTGTCCTCATGTGACTTAAATAAATCAATACAAGAACAACCCTTAACTGGGCTAAAGTAATTCTTTGATTTGAACTAAAGATGCAGAATATGACAGTTTTTCTGTTTGCACTTTGACTTGGTGCCACAAACCAATCACATCTCAAACAAACACTTAACAATTCACAGATACTATAAACTCAATTGAATTTGTTTGCACAAATCTGTCAGTTTTTTCTCATCTTTTACCTGAGCTGTCTGTAGCAAATGTACACTACTGATTAAGATAAATTAAGAAGGAAAATAAAAACAATGTTAAACTTCTCAAACCTTGACCGATTACATAAAAGAAGACTTGCCACAGATCTGTATAAGCACTCTGGTGTAAAATATCGAATAGATTTTCATAGTAGGTCTTGCATTATTCATACTGTATTTTTAAAATATCAAGATTTGTGGTTTTGCGATGCATAATCAACTAGTTCATCCTCCTATAAGTTATTAACCCACAGAACCCTCTGAGGTTTCATTAGTTTCTCTTTACATTACGAGTCCTTTATAGATACGGCCAGAAGAGGACAGCAAACACATTTTGGTGTTCAGACTCCCCGTAGTTAAAGAGACATTGCTGTGTTTTAGTCTTATGGTAGCAGCTTGTATGAAATGACACATTGCCTTCAGGTATTTGCATACTTAAAGGGGTCACTGAATATTTCTGCCCAATCCAGTTTCCATCTGTTCCTGATCCCGAGTCTCACATGGCTTCATGTCATGACTGGAAACCAATTCACTGAAAGAGCAATGTGTCTCTACTAAAGATGGGAACAGACAGAGAGCAAGTGTTGCTAGGCAACAGAGTGGAACAGAGCGTACGTTTTTTTCCTTTTTTTTTTCCTCTTTCTCACACGCACACTTAGTGTCTCTTTCTTTCCGTCCTCTCCTCCATCCTGTGCCTCTGTCCAAGTGTTGAAACAGTGAGTGCCTAATGACAGCAAACACTGAGTGCCTTCTGCTGATGTAACGTCACGAAAAAACCGCCACGCCAACTTAATTTGAGTTCTCTGATGAGGGATTTAGAAGGGGTGATGAGAGTAAAGGGATCTTTGTGTTTGAGATCTGTCCAACGACATGAGAGTCTAGAGCTTGTTTGTAGCGAGAGGTAAGGCTTAATTTCAAAGTAAACACTAACAACTCTGGAAAAAAGGGAAAATAATACTGAGAGGTGTATTTATGGATGAATGCTATAAATGCTGTAATGTGTGGTGATGGTTTACTTGCTTCATACTTGTCCCTATACAAATAAACATCAATAAATGAGAGGCTGTGTATGATTTAGACAGTAAGAAATAGCAGAGATGGGATGCATATCTAAGTTCTCCTGTGTTTCAGAAATTTATATGAAGGTCAAAATGCTCATCTTTGATGTTATGATAAGACACCATGAGTGTTGATCAGATGTACACAGTCTATTTAGATGAAAGCTGCCACGCATGTCTGTTTTTGGCATTTGTGACGTCGGTTTTTGGTCACTTGAACGGGGCGTGCACAAATCTCAGTCTAAGCGTGACAAGGAGCACAAAAAAAGGAGGGAGGGGAGATTTTAAACACACAAATAAAAGAAGGAGAAGATAGAGAGCGTAAACAGATTTAGGGGTGGTACCAAGGGACTGTGTTTGTGTCTGAGCTGTTTCAGATTTTACTCATAGACTTCCAGCCTGTTACAGTGACAAACAGACAAGCAAGCTACTAACGCCGGAGACTGAAAGCCCACATGGACACCGGCAGTACACGTGTACTCACACGGATGTGTCACGTCAGCCTTCACTGCCAGCTTGTGATGTGACGGGAAGGTAAGACAGTCATTTTGGGACAAGTGGCTCTCTGCTTTCAAGGAGGAGACAGTACCTTCATTCGTGTTGTCAAAGGCATAGATGTTTGTCTTAGTCCCTCTTTTTTTATCTGATACTGTGATCTTCTTGATGTAGAAGGAAAAAGATAAACAAGTTGCTGTTGTGATTTAGAAAAATGTGATAACTTCAGGGGAATACAAGGTATTCTCTTCGTCAGGTGTCGTAATGGAGTGTTTGTAAATGAAAGTGGATTGAGAAGTTGATCAGATTCATTGAAAACAGTATAAACCCCACCTCAGATGAAACAAACTTCTGCCTGATAAAATTGGAAAGCTCATTTTCTCCTAAATATTTTACATTCCCATCTCACCGCATCAAGCAACACTCATGCAAGTATTTCACTCACACAGCAGATGGCGTTATGACAATCTATTTAAATCACGTCCAGTCGAAATGAGATTACCTTGGGGTATCCTGGTGGCACGGTTGGCTGAGCACACACCACTTAACCACGATGCCCTTGGTTCAGATCCAGCCCCCACATGCTGCTTTCCTATTTCTCTTCACAATGTCCCTCCAACATCAGTCATCCAGCAAGCAGAAACACCATCACATGACGGAGGGATATGAATGATTGAATGAGTACACACTTCACTGTGGAAGTGATGAATAGCAACTGACTTGAAATGATCATAACACCAAGAAATTCTTACTAAAAAGCCCCTATTATAACATAATTATATGTTGTAACATCTTTTCAGCTACCCACACTATCTGCTTGGCTAAATCAACAGTTACTCATCTGCCACTTGTTCATTATATTTAAATGGAATATCTATTCACAATGTACTAGTGGTGCAACGGATCACAGGTAATACATGATTAGTTTGGACCACATGCCAATCAGGGATGAATGATAATCACAGTAGAAATAAGATTTTTGCTCATAAATCTTGGCCCTCAGTCTGGAGAATAGCAGTATGAATATAAAGGAATGCTGGGCTGGTATTTGATATTGTTCCTCTAGTTTTGCAGGTCAAATTGTTCATATTTTTATGTGATATTTACTTTGTAGTCAGCTTGAGGTTGAGTGGTATCTGGCAGTATCAGTATTAGATAAGTTTCTCCACAACCTGCTGTTGTCTGTGGCTGTACACTTATTTCTCCAACTTTGTTAAACAGCGCTGTGTTTGGTCCGAAACTGAGGATATACTCCCTAACATACAGTAGCTTGTATTAGAATTCAACCGACACACACAACTCACAAAGGTGCGCACATATCACAAAACAAAGAGTGTGTGTGTGTTACTTATAGACTGTATATAGAATAGACACCGTCTGCCTCCTTGCTGGGTGAAGCCACCGGGAGATCAGCACCCTCTGGTGACAGGCTGCAGTATAGGTCATATATACCCCACCTCGTGGGATGTTCTTCCCATGCATGCATGGGTTCTCTCCGGGTACTCCGGCCTCCTCCCACAGACCAGAAACATGCTCATTAGGTTAATTGGTGACTCTAAATTGTCCCTAGATATGAGTGTGAGCGTGACTGGTTGTCTGTCTCTCTATGTGGCCCTGCCATTGACTGGCAACTGATTCAGGGTGTACCCCGCCTCTCACCCGATGACAGCTGGGATAGCCTCCAGCCCACCCGTGACCCTGAAAGGGATAAACGGTATATAAAATGTATGTGTGAATGGCTGTGGTGCCCTTACCTCCTACATCTTTGCTGATTTTGTTTTGAACATGTGTAGGTAGTGTTTTCTGACTAAAAGTCTTGTTACTTGATTTGGGTATTTACTGTTAAAAAGTTGAAACAGGGCAATTCTGATGCCCGTTGATAGTCTTGAAATGACTGTCAGTTGTCGTCAGTTTCTAAAACTCCTCAGTGAAGTTTCAATGGACGTAGTTTGGAGGTTAAAAATATGATTCAATTGATGCAGCTTTTTCATTTCACAGGCTGCTTCACTCAGATTTTGTAAACGCAACTTCTAAATTAAAAGGTCAGACTGCTTGTTATTGTTAATATTATTGCCATGCTGACATATTAAAAACACAAACCAGCAAGAATCTTTGGTGATAAAGTACCTCACACTGTTTGGTATGATGCACACACACCATTCAGAAGAGAGGACCCACAGCTTCATTTATAAACGCTGGTATCAGGCTTGTAAATCAGTTTCCAACACAGCCTGATTTTCACATTTCCCAAATGTTGCCCTGTTTTTTTCTTATACTTACTCAAAACGTCATTTAAAGTTCATGTTTTGCTGAACTTGAGGGAATGTTCTCTCACAATCAGACTGTGTTTTTCTTTCAACAATATTGAAAGATGTAACAGGGGAGACAAGCCGTTTTTTAATAAAAATGCAAGGCAACACTGGATAAGAGCAACTTGCAAGATATTGTAACAGATGTAGACCGGCACCTCAGAAGGATTATTGTTTGTTTGGAATGAGAACCAACAAGGAAAATAAAAACCTAATATTAAAAGCAGACACAAAGGAAAGTCTTTTGTTTGAAGTCAGAGTCTCAGTTTGTCGGCTGGGGTTTCTATTGTTTCATTGACTGTCTAGTCTGCACTTTTTCTCTAACAAATGGTTCGATCCTTGTTCTTCTTTCCAGATAATCCTGATCTTTCTGCTTGTTTGCATTTCTTTGTTTTCAGTAACTTATAATCAGTCTGTAGGTTTTAATGATATCAGTCTTTATTGGAATAACTGATTCAAAGCAGTGCTGCAGGGCTGGTTTTCTGGAAGTGTGTGAGACAGCACAGTTTTGGGAGTAGATGAACGGTCCTGAATGTGTCACTTCTCACCGTGTCCTTTTTAACCCCGTCCCCCTTCCTAGCACACATTTAGCAGGAAATGTTGTTAGTATTTCCTGTTGCCCCCGAGCACATGAGTGCGTCATGATTCCCAAAGTGTGACGCAGCTGCTGTCAGAGCGGCTTTAGCAGCTCCCTGGGTACGATGATGATGTCTCCCAAGTGGATGACACAAATTGAACCCTGTCCAATGAGGGACTGGTGGCAGCTGTAGCCTCTATTGTCTGCTTGATGGATGATTCGCTGATTGAACATTGCCAGGTTTAGACGTCTTTTGCACTCATGATGAACGGCAGAAATATTTGATTCAATCGTGTTGTTTTTATTTTTTCAGTAGGTGGAATGAAAAGTCTTGAAGCTGATGGCTTCAATGGAGCTGATTTCCTCTTCCTCCTGTATTTCTTATGTATGTTTTTAAAGTCCCACTCTTATCATTTTTTTTTAAAGTGTTCTCAGTGGGTTTTAAATCATGGTTGTGAAGTTTTTTTTTGCCAAAATCATGTTACCTGTGTCATTTTCAAGGACTTTTCTTCTGCAGAGCTCCAGTAGCTCATTCGCCTCTGAGTCGTGGGTGGAGACAGCGCTGCTCTGCACACTCGTCTTCACGTTAGCTTGCAGCCTAACATTGCTTGTGCAGCAGAAGTGGCGGGTAACATAGGGGCATTTCAGCTCTTGGACACGAATAAAGCTAATATCATAATTAGCTTTCTTACGAGCATTGCAATCCGCTGACACACACGCTTGTTCCTCGATCGTCCTCTGTATTTCTCCTCTAACTGCAGTGTGTGGCCTGCATAGTGGGGCTTCAGGGGCGGAGCTTGGATTGGTTACGTATAAAATATCATTGTTTCTGAACCTGCAGTTTGGGTCTGCCAGAGATTCACAGCGATTTGAATAAATACTCAGAAAAGCAATTTCGCATCCAGTTTTCTCATGACATGTCCTGTAGCATCAGAAAAATGCCAAATGAACATATAAAAAAAGAAAAGAAAAACATGATTTTCATCTGACAGGATCTTGTTAGCAGGTTAAACAAATGAGTTCTCATTTCTTCCTTCTTTGATTTACTCTCATTTTGTGCTTCAGTACTTTTCTAGTGAAACAACTTGTGTATCAGTTCTCACATGGATGTCCATATGGCTAATATCACGCCCGCAATAGGCTGTTTGAACGTGTTAGTCTGTTTGAAAAATCCACATTACTGGTTGGCAAGTACACCCGTCTCTCTGTCTGTTCTTGGAAAGTCCACTGTATCACCACCGGTGGGTCTATCAGTAGGCTCGTCTGCTTGGCAGATCTGCAACATTAGCAGGTGGATCTGGCCGTCTGTCTGTCTGCTTGGCAGGTCCATCACGCTGGTGTTGGTAGCCCTGCCTGTCAGTGTGAATGAACATATTTCCTGTAACTTTGTTTGAGTATTTGTTTAGAAGAGGATGGTGGCCTGGTCTCCGTTCAGGGGATCTAGCTGTTTTGTTTGCATGCGAGTTCTTTTGTCTGTTGACAAGATACCAAAGTCTCTGGTAACATGCTTGTTGATAACTCTGTAAACTGATTTCAAAGCCATCTGTTTGCTGCCCTCTCAGGGGTTAATAAAAGGGAAAAAAGGGCTCCAGGAGATCAGTGGGCTGATATTTTCACATCTCCCATTACTCTGCTCCAAATGGATGAAGGTAATATGAATTTTGGAGAGAGCAGAGAGAGGAGAGGAAGGGAAAAAAGGTGTACAGGCTTCAGATGGATGCAGCACAGGTCTCTCTTGTAGGGTGGTAATGCTCCCCTTTTATAGCTGTGGTACTGTTGGAGTGGTTGGGTTGGATAAGTGTCTTTTTTAGGAGGCAAATGGGAAGACTACACCACATTTGGGAGTTTAGATTACAGCCCTCCAGAAAGTTCCCGTGTCATGCATTTATATTACTCAAAGCAGTCTGGAGAGGAGCATCAAATCCAATTTGAGATTAATTAACAGTTTTTTTTTTTCTCCCTGTGATAGAAAACAGAGCGCAGGCCATCCTCACGTCTTTTGGGGGTGTTTATAAAGGCACAGGCAGAGTTACAGCCAATTATAAGCTTCCTTACCTCTATGGAAAAAAATGCTTGTTCTGTGATGTGAAATTTGTAAAAGTACAAAATTTACAGCAACGCATTTTTCTTTCAAAACAAGACACACTGCCAATTCCAAATGTGGCATTAAATGGATGCTTGGCATGAATTTGAATCATCTGAACCTAACACTAAACTATTTGCAGACCTCAAGAGAAGCTGGCAGACTTCCCGTTACAGATAAGCTTGCTATTTTCATTGTGGGTTCAAGTCCATCAAGTAAATTTAGAAGAAAAAAACATAACAAAAAGATGTAACAAAATAACTTTCTAACAATCAAAATATTTAGTTTTGAGTCTGAGTCGATCACTAACAAACAGTAAATACCATTTATCTTAAGTTCAATTCATACAACCACAATCATCATGGGTAACTCTGCCGCCAAAGAAGGATGGTAAAGAAAAGGCCGACTGTTGACGGAGTGTTGTATTAAAGTATATCGATAAAAAGTTGACTGGAAAGGAAAAGTGAGGTAGAAAAATGTGTCAACGTAACCAGGATGACCACAGTCTGCAGAGGGGTGTCAAGAAAAATTCATTCAGATTCGAGAAGTGAACTGTGGCTGGTGTGCATCACACATAGATGTCTTTAGGATCAAGGCTACACATTTCTAATATTAAGCTACATCTGAGACGATCAGGGATAACATCTGAACATCAAGTGTCTTATCCAGGCCGAGGAGAAAAAGAAAAAGTGATTCATAGTCCTCTTTTGAGATGAAAGTTAATTTTGCACTTCAATTGGAAATCAAGGCTAAAGAGTGTGGAGGAAGAGTAAAGAGTCACGGATCCCAAGTGTTTGAAGTCGGATGAAAAGTTTTTGCTCAGGATGAAATAGGTTGTCATGTCTTTTGCAGTCAGGGAAGTCATCTACTGGAAGATTTGGGAATATTCAGTGTGCCCTTCTGTTGGTTAGCTAGAAGATGCCTGTTTCCTTTTCCAGAGGGGCTTTGCACCCGCCCACCGTGCCAGGACTTTGACTAGGGTTTTGCTTACCATGGTGTTACTGCGCTGGATTGGCTAGCCAACTGTGCTGGTCTAAACTCCAGAAATAATCTAGATAAGAGGAAATAAGATCAGTAAGAGCCACAAAGTGCTTCGAGTCCATTTGGATGTAGGAACTGCTAAGCAGGTTTAAAGGCAATGCACTGAAGCAACCAATTCAAGACTTTTCATCATCACCTTTAATTAAAATGTCTTCACCCCGATAACTACCAAAGTACTAAGTGCTGGGTCACTAACAAAGAGCTGAGTACAAAAATACCAGGAGTAGAGCAGGACAGTGTAGACCAACAGTAAGTGGAAGTAATGCTATTTGCTACCATGGTGACATGTAACGGCAGTAATTTACAGTAAAGGATCCCCAACCAAGTTCAAAGTATAAGAATGAAGACATTTTTCTGATGTTTGGGATCCCTTTATAGATTTTTTTTTTAAACGAGTTTGGGAAATATTCAAACAGTTTCAGAAACAGTTTTTTTTTACGTTCCTAAACTATAAGCCATAACTTTATTAATAAAGACATAAAAAGCCTTTAGTTACTTTAAATCTAATAATTCAGTATAAATATGGAAGTTTACCTTTTTGAATATACTGAGAGAAAAATTACCTTTTTTTTTTTTAATTCTGATTTCTTGAGATGTACCTGTGTATTTGGAGTCTTGTAGGCTTTGACTTGGTGAAGTACGCCAACTACATTTTCAAAATACGACCATTCAAAATACCAGAAGTTTGCGATCTCCTCCTGATCTTCCATTTCTTCTCTTTGTTTTTTTGCAGTCCAGATATGAAGTATCATCTCAGCAAGCTTTCGGACACTCGGCCCACAGCGTGAATCGCTTTCACGTCTTGGAGGAGAGAAACCAAGCTCTGAAGCTCGAGTTAGCCACACTGCGCCAAGAGAAGCAGCAGTACAGGAAACTGGTAAACCTCTTCTCTCACACAGATAACCTCTTTACATCCCCTCAGTCTGCTCTGTTCACAAAGTCAACACTTTAGGTTTTATTTACCTGCAAACAAGAACAATACATGTTCACTAATACCCCTCCCCTTGAGCTGAAACTATGAAGACATTATTATCGTGGCGCTGACAGCTTGTACCGACACTGTTAGTCACCGTGGTGAGTTGTTGTCCATGTTGCAGCTTTTATTCTTCAAGGACGCAGCTGTGTAAATGGGTGTGACTGCATATACAATCCCTTGTTTGGTCTCCATCATAGAGTCATGTGGGCATGTGTAATGTGGTAAAAAGAGATAAGGAAGGGCGTGTGGTTTGTGTGTGCGTGTTGGGGGGTCATGTATATTTTCCCATGCCCTGTATGTACGTGCATGCATTTGTGTATTTAGTAAATTTGTCCTTTGGAGGCCTCCCCCAGGTGGTCTCGGATGACAAGGTGTGTGAGCCGTTGTCTTAGCAACACGCCCATTTGCAGGAGTGTGGACAGACTGTAAGAGGGGAACTGACAGAGCATAAAAGCTGCTGCTGTTATAAGCTTCAATGGCTTGAAATACTTAAACAGAGCAGAACCCACATGCTCCAGCCTGCTTTCACAAAAATAACGCTGATAATGCTTCATGCCTGTTTATCTGCAAGGCTAAAAGCACCTTATCACGTCGTATTTGTTTTGAGATTGAGAGCGTTCTAGTTTCTAAAATTATGTGGTATAGAAGCATAAATTAGTTCATATTTCAGTGCAGAGTGACTAACATAATTTACTACACTCATGGATTTGTTGCCTTCAGAGTTAGATATGGAATAAACAAAACTCCCTGTCAATCATTTTCCCACTAATAAAAATTAAACACATTTAAAGTGTTAAAGTCACCCCAGACCTCTTAATGATTTCATTTTAACATATTAGACAAGAAATATACATATATTTTTTACTATAAAGTGTCTTCTTGAATGTGCTAACACCTTTTTTGTACATAGTGACATTTATGGCTAACTGCCCAGTATGAGATTTTGTAAGTTTTCACAGCCAAAACCTTGGCACAAACCCTGCCCTGTTGTTTGTCATCATTGATAACATGCAGCAGTCAGCAACATAACTCTATAACGTTATGTAATTATGTGTATGTTATGTGTGTGTGTGTGTGTGCGTGTGTGTGTGAGAAAAGAGACAGAGATGGTGAGTGAGTGAGATTGTGTGTTTTTCTTACGGGAGGTTGGAAGTAGTCCAGCTGGGTGCCTGGAAGTCTATTTACTGTCACTGCTGACAGCTACAGTATCACAGACTGCATCATGGTCATTCATGCAAAGACAAACTCAGCTTTGGATCAGCAGGACTAAGAAAAGCTCAGTCATGGAGGAGGTTTTACTCTCTTGGATTTGCTTATGCAGATATACTATGGGATTACAAAAGACAGAGGTTTTAATACCAATATCCTCATTTTATGTTCAATCTTGAGGGAACGCATGATGAGGTTGAGGCTGACTGTTGAAGACACAGGGATCCAGACTAAAATTAGATTATATGGAGGATATATGATTTAGAGATGTGCTGGTGGGAAACAAAGACTTTGGCGCAAAACAGATGGCTGATGATTCAGCGAGCGGTGGTTTGAATGGATGCTTCGTTGACAGCTTACAGGGTTAGTTATTGCTTTTATAATTCTACTTCCTGCACAATGTAATGGTTGTCACAAGAAAATGATACATGTGTGATGTTACAAACCACTGCGTGCTCCATCACACAAAAAGGGGCTGGTTTCAGGGGTTTTAAGGTGGTATTCGAACCACAATCACTGCATCGTTTTATTGCAACTTCAAATATCAATTTAGATCTTTGTAGCATTTGATTCAAACTCATTATTTTTCCACCTTTTTGTATCCACCTGTCTTCTGGCAGTATATGCTTGATCCCTCCCAAATCATGCAAACTTATTTTATCAAACAAAAAGCCGCTTGATCAGGCAGTCAGCAGATGGCCTACAATCAGTTCTCATGGCCAGATTCTAGTACATATAGGTAAAAATCTGAGGTTGTTTGCTGGGAAAAAACCCCACAAAGCTTTAGATTTGTTGCCTGGAAACAATCTATGAATGACAGTCAGAAAGCAGTACCTCAGGTAGGAAATGACCTTCTGTTTGCAGCTAAAAGGCCACAGCTGTATCCCTGGACACCATCTCTATGGCAACAATTGTGTAGCGCTCACAACGGGCCCCACTCAGCTGATAGTCCTCATGATGATATGGGCTGTCCCAGTGCGAAGAGGAACAGTGATCTAATCAATAATCACTAATAGTCTGTGTTGTCTCAGCTGACCCAGTAATCTCCATTTTTACTCCCCCTAATCAAAGACACACAGATGAACTACAGGTTATCATAGCGCAGTGTTAAAAACAATACCACTACTACATACCAGATGTTTAGAAACGGCAGCATTTGGCCTCCCACATCTCTTATGAAGATTGATCTAAGACAGGATGTGTTTGGGCTTTTATTAATTTCATTTATCTGGAACAGGGTACTCTCAGATGGCACAAGTTAACTAGATAACTGGATTTCCTTTTTCATCCCCGGTCTTGTGACTTCAGGATTGGTGTTATCTCCACGAAAGAGTCTTCAGAAGGAACCATAAAACAAAGGGGTCACCTAACCTCTGTGTAGCTCTTTTCTCTAGATAGGAGACTGACAGATTGTAACTAAACTAGATCTGGTAGCCTAGTTAGTTTGTCGGCGAGCGATTTGATTAGATGAGGAAATACAAAAACATTCTTGAAGACAAACCAACACAGTCAGAACAAATCCCGCTAATCAAACTGGTACATGCTAATGTTGCTTCTATTTTAAAATTTTAAACCAGTTATTAAGACAGGACACTCTCTGAGAGACAAAGAAAATATGATCACTAAAACTAGGGTTAGCGTTAGACCTTATGTCTTCTTTTACCCAGACATGTCCCCTTTTTTGGGGGCTGTCCAACCTTGTCCCGGAGAGTCTATAAAATCCCTCATAAATCAGGGGTTTTGTATGGAAGTTTTGAGTTTGTGTCTCATGAATTTACTGAGTTAGAAGTGCTTAAAAGACACTCGATACGACCTAAAAAACTCTCAAAATTAACTTCGTGCAACTCCGTGTCTCCGTCCCTGCGTAGTCATGTCCTCTTTTGGGGGATTCAGAATGGTCACCCTACTAAAAACCACAAAACACATAAATCTTCTGTGTAACTTTTCCTCTTTGTTAAGGTAAAGAATATGACTAATAAAGCTATTCTAGTCCTTGATGAAGGTTACCCTTTGTATGCTCACTAAAGGTTATAATTATGAGTTTGCAAAACTTTGCTGTTGTTGATTTATAGAGAACAATTATACGTACGGATCCTAATCAAAACATTACCGCCTCACTCTGCATTCTGCAAAAAGTTGTCTTGAACACAGAAAAGTAGTGTCTGTATTCTAACTATTTGCTTCCACAAATAATACAAGCTTTGGCATGAGTTACATCTGTATGAGTGTATGTGACGATACTTAGGATAATGCAGTTTTAGTTCCTGAAACACACCAATGATACAATCCAAAAGGGTTACCTGAATCAACCAAAGATGAAAACTCCTGAAAGTGTCCCAGCTTACTATACAGAAAACATGGCCGACATTGATTCACATTAATTTAAAACTTGATTACATTATTTTTTATTTTTTTTAACCTCTTTTCATATCTCTATTTTTTGTCTCATACACCTTTAGCTTTCCATAAACAACCTTTGGTCCCTCACTCATCTTTTTTTTATGATACTTTGTCTCTTTTGTCTCCATTTTTTCTCTTCCATAAAGCTCCTTCCTTCTTAATGTCCTAATGCTCATACCCAGGCAAAAGAGCTGGAGCTGGTCTGGCCTGTGCAGCTTCATGCTTCCAGTAATTGAAGTAGACATGATGTATATCAGGGTCAGCCATGCCAGCCTGTAATCAGATTTCAAACATTTTCTTTTGGTTTGATTCACAAAACTTTGAATGAGTTAAAATCATTTCCTGTTTGTCTGTTTATCATATTTTTATGATTAGATATCTTACATCGCTGCTTCCTTTGCAACCGTAGCTGATATTTACGTTGGAGCTATCTTTGGAAAAAAATGAGAAAAGGTCTGTGTACGATGGCAGAGTATTTTGTTCTGAGTGATACAAAGACAGATTGTTACATAAATGTCCAGCGCTGGCTGCTTTTCAGAGGGTACACTCGACAACACAAGTGTCTGAAACAAATTTGTGGTCCATCTCATGGGAACACTAAATCATACAAGCCTTTAAAGTAGAAGGGGAATAAATTCTGTTGCATCAGAGGGAAAAATGTGCTAAAAATATGGTGCTGTCAAAATGTAGGGCCCTCCTGGATTAATTGAAAATCCCCTTAACCGGATTAAATCATTTTAGGGGCTAACTGTGGTTTACCCACACTCACGCTGACACATGCATGGACACGCATGAGCCCCCACGCATAATCTGATGTCAATATGATATTAATAATTACTCATTGTGACAAGGCAGTGTAGGCAGTGTGATAGCAAGTAGTCTGTGTTGTAGTTGAAAGCGAAAAGCTGTGAAACTGTGAGGATTAGCGTTGGAACTGAGTGAAAATGGAATAATTGGTTGCATGGGGATAAAATTAAGCATCATATTTTCATGCCTGTAAAGTTCAAAACGGGAAACACTTTCTTGGGTTTTGTTAACAGTGCACATTTTATTCAAGAGACACACACACAAAAAATTGTGAATAACTTGGCAGGGGTTCTGTCATTGGAGTAAAATGACCGAAACTGTGATTATGAAACAGTTTGTTAGTAACCTTGAAAGATGGCTGTGAAATGTTTGGGCTCCTTTCTACAGAAAACTGAGCAGTTCTGCATTCACCACATTCATATGAAGTTTATCCATGGTCTAATTACACGTCTCTGAGGAAGTCAGAGTTAGTCTGTCTGTCTTTTTGCTGAGTAAATAGCTGCTCCTCTATTGTTGAGTTTGAAAAAACTATTTCATGGTTTGTTATGAAATAATAAACAAAAGCATGTGGTTCCCAGAGATATTTTGTAATGATGTTTCTGTCATTACAGAGATTGATTCTTTGGTTTTAAATAAGTGTTTGTTGATGATGAATGAGCTGCCATCAGCCCTATCTTTTCAATGAATATCATGCTAAGTATTAGTGTTAGCATTTTGAGTGTGTTGAGATTATATTTGGGCTTTTTAGGCTTTTATTAAATAAGTACATGACAGTAATAAAAGTGGGAAAGAAGGGAAGAGAAAGTACAAAAGGCAGGGGATGAAATTTGAACCTGAGATGGCTGAGGAGGACTACAGTTTCTGTACATTCAACGCACAGTTTAACAGCTGAGCTAAACCTTAGGTTGTATGATGTGATAGGATACGATAGGATATGATATAATACGGTACGATACAGTACGATACGATAGTGCGATAATGTTCTGTAATGTTCTGTTGTGTACAGAGTCGACAGCCCGCGTTTGGCTTGAGCGCTCAATGATGTTTCCAGCTTTTGTAGCCAATCAGAGGCGAAGGAGGCGGGACTTTCCCCCTACCACCCTACAAAAAAATATATATACATCGCGTCCGGGGATGAGTTGAAACTATGGGAGAGGGGTGTGTCGAATACAGTGAGGTGATTGGATGGGGAGGCAGAGCAGGAGATTTACCAATGGGAGCATGGGGTTCATGGGCTGCGTGATCACAGACAACATCTCGGCACTATTTAGTAGCAGCGCATGCCCTTCTTACTTGTGCTTCCTACCCATTCGGCTACTGTAATAACCGTTGTTCTAGCCTTCACGCAACATTTTTGTTCTCATTCATGAAACGCTTAAATCGGGGACATTTTCGGGGACAGCTTTTGCCGGGGACAGGACATCCAATTCGGGGACTGTCCCTGGAAATCGGGGACGTCTGGTCCCCTTACACCAGAGTTCGAGGTCAGCGTTCACACCGCACCAAGGGGGTAAACGCTCCAGGGTTCGGTTCAACCAGACTAAATGAGGATGGTGTGAACACGCCCTAAGTTTATCATCCAACACCCGGCCCTTCATGGTCACTGAAAAAAAAAAGGCTACCAGTGAAAAGTATAAACTATGTCCTGCTGTGTTAATACTATAACACCAGTGCATGGTAATAATAATGGCATCAGTCAAGACCATGTTCAATTAGCATCATTAATGCAGACACAAATTGGGGGCAGGAGAGAGAAGGCAGAGTCTGTCTGGCATTTCACTCAATTTGGCAGACAGACAAGAAGGTCCAGACTACAGAGCAGCTTTCTAATAAAACACCCTTATTTTAGTATCCCAGACTCCAAGATGTCTGCTTCCCATTGCCAATGATACTGCTAGCACCTCACAGTCCTGATGCTTTCTGATGTAGCTGACGGTTGTAGCAGTGGAGCTGGCTGATTAATTCAACAGAGTGGATTTCCGCAGATCGCTGCACACGCGTACAGCGTGAGAGAGAAAGAGGGGAAATTGAGCAGAGGAAGAGAGAGAGAGAGAGAGAGAGAGAGAGAGAGAGAGAGAGTGCGCGGAAGAGAAAAGGAGAAAATGATGGAGGAAGAAGGGTGTAAAGGAGGAGGGTCTTCGGGGGTGGGGAGAGAGTGAGAGGAAAGGGAGTATAGGAAAGAGAGAGTGTGTGGAGAGGGGGCGGAGGAAAGAGAGAGAGAGAGAAACACACACACACTCACACACGCACGCACGCACACACGCAGGCCCCGGAGCTGCTACTGATGCTGCTGATGCTGCTGCAGCCGTTTGACAATTCCCCACCCAGAGAGAGCAGGGAAGAAGGGAGGAGATCAGAGCAAGGAGGAGGAAGGAGTAAGCGACACCTCAGTCAAGATGCTGCCGTGCTAGCCAACACTCACGGTAAATACTGCTCCTTTATCACCACTCTGCGTCCTCTTTACTGCTGCTGTGTGTCTGTCTCTGCATCGGCGGCCCAAGTGTGTTTGTGTTTGATTTAGCTCTTGTTGAAGCTCTATATATAGAGCTCAGGGTTAGCATAGCCAAGCAGCTGGGGAAAAGCTGTCAGTGCAGCTGCTGCAGGAGGCGGCAGACGTCCACAGAGAGGTGGAAAAGAAGAGGAGGATTTGTTCATTTCTGTGTCTTCTGGGACTCACTGAGAGGGGGAGAAAAGACACATTCAGCTGGGTCTTGGCTGTGGCAGAGACACCTGTTTGGAGATGCGTGGGTGTGTGTGTGTGTGCGGTGTGTGTTGAGGGGTGGGGGGTGGGGTCCCGGTGTATGAGTCTAATGGTGTGTTTGTGGCTGCAAAAAGAAGCATGTGTGTGTGCATGGATTTCTCAGTGTAGGATACCACTTCCTTTTCTGACTGCAGTAAAATTATGAATCTTTCTGTGGTCTGGATTCACATGCAAACATCATTATTGATGAAAGTACATGTGCAGACATATGTTCACATGATCAGTTAGACACACAGGGAAAGGGGAAGTGTGCTACTCTGTCAAATAAATTGATTTTGTGTGCGTGTGTATGTGTGTGTGTGTGTGTGCTTTAACAGTAACCTGAGCTGTTCCTGGTTGCCGCCTGCTGAGGGGTTGCCAGGTGTTGAGGATGAATATTAACGCTTGCGTGACTGAGTGACACTCACTGTTAATCATCTTTCAATACTTATGAGTTAAAATGTCTCGCTTGTGTGCATTCACGTAGAGCATATTATCAGCTGCTGGTTTATTAGAAATACCTGAAAAAACACTAAAAAGAAATACAGCCTAGTTCAAGAATCTTCTTTAATGTTTGGGTTAAGTTCCAACTTCTCCCAGCTTGTTGTTTTTAGGTTGTTGAATTGTATCGAGGAGTTAACAAATTCATGTCGAGTCTTTTATTTGACTGTTTTGGAAACAGATTGCTGGTCTGTTAATGTATTACCTGTTTCTTTCATGTCGAGGATTTTTTTTTATTGCAACACAAGGCTGCAAAGCTTTTAAGCCTTTTAAAGCTGAGTAGGCGTTTTGCTGGAAATTTTGGTGAAAAAGTATACCAGCTAAAAGAAAAATCCCATCATGTATTAGTCATTGAGTAGACCTACTTATGTGTGTTGATGGTGAGCAGAAAAGAAGTTGGTTCAACAGGGTTGGATATTGATATAAGAGAGTTATCACAGCTTACCCTGAGCTGTTGCAACCCAGCAGATGTTTTAATTTTCCATTAGATGTTGATGTTTTGCTGTAGAGGATTTAAAAAAGTGTGTGTTTGTGTAGGTTAGAATATAAGTGGTTCATCTTTTTGCACTATGCATATGTCTGACTGTATGGCTGTGTGGGTGGGAGATAGGCCAAGAGAGAAATATGGCAGAGAGGAGAGGGAGAGTTGGTGTTTTCACAGATCTGCTTGGGTATCTTTTTGTGGAATTCTGCTTATGAACTGTGAAACTTTTCTCATTTTTTCTTCTCTTTTTTTTATCATCCACTTTCCTATTTTTTTGTTACATAAAAAGTATAAAAATCTAGAAGAGTCGGTGGGTGAAATCTTTTGTACTCCCCCTAATCATATTCCTCCTGCACCACTCTACCATTTCTTCTCCCACTTCTTCATCTCCATGCGGCAGACTGTGAGGCTGTGCCAGCTGACGTTCAGTTTGATGCCACAGGGCGAGAAAGAGAGAGAGAGAGAGAGAGAGATGAAACTTGTGTTTCTGGTCTCATGGCTGATTCTCTTGCACCTCTTCTGAGATTACCAGTGAGCCTGGCATCCAAACGACAGTCCTCTTGACTAACCAAAATGTTTCCCTGGACACACTGCAATGATCTCTCACCAGCCTTAGTTTTTTCAGGGTGTGGCAACATAAATAGACATATCTGTAAACTTCGGCCAACACAAAGAATTGTGTACCAGAAAATCCATGTGTGTTTTATAGAGATGTACTAAAGCCTTCTAGACGTTTAATATTGCCTCTGACACAACTATGTCATGTCCTGGAATCTTAAGCACAGCTCAAAGTAATTTTTTTATTTCATGAATTTATTAAAAATCCTTCTAAAACATGTTCTTGGCTTAGATAACCATGCATGATAGATTCTAATATACATACAGTTATGGCTGCTATTATAATGAAGGTATTATGTTATATCAAATGCAAACAAAAAACAAATAAAAAAAGGACTTGATATCAGCATTTGATATTAGTTGATCCGCTCTGTGATTACCAGTATTAGCTGTTGGAAGACTGATATCAGTCAACTTCTTTTACTCACCCAATAAAAGCGATGCATAACCACCACAGGTATGTGGGTCTTGACCATAGACTTCAGGACAACTTGGCTGTCCATCATTATATGAATTTGAAGGGGAATATTTCCTGGTATTTCCGGGATTTTCTCCACTTCCTGGAACCATCACTTGTGCAGTAGCATTTGCGCATTCGACGAGAGAGTCGCCGAGAGACACTCGGCTCAAACAGCGTATCCCCCGGATGAGCTACACAATCTTCTTATGCCCTTAGATTGTATTAAGTGTCAATCATAGAAAACATGAACCCGCTAATAACTTTTAAAAATAGAGCTGTACAGAAAAAAGAGGACTTGAGCACAAACCAGTCTTACATCTCAACCAGGGGGAGAAATATTTATATTCTGTGTAATTAATTTTGAAAGTTTGTCCACAGCTCCATAGGCATTGCTGGAGGAGGCGCGATTTATGCTCCATACTGCAGCCTGTCACCAGAGGGTGCTGTTCTTGGGGTGGTTCCACCCAGCGAGGAGGCAGACGGCATCCATTTTATATACAGTCTATGGTATTAACCTGAAGGTGGTACTAGATCTGCTAATGTTAGGCACTCCTAGCAAACCAACAAGACAGATCTTCCCTTTAGACTCAGTGATCTTGTGTCTAGCCTTGTTAAAGAAATTGTGCTTAATTTTGACAGTGTTATGAGCGTTTTATCACTTTTACTTGTCGGTTAGTGGAAATTAATATTCTCATTGACATGATAGGGAAATTAGTTATTTTGGAAAATCTGTACTACTCTAGTATTTTGCAACAAACTCCCACATCTTCTCTTGATCACATGCCTCCATATGCACATTTCTGGCAAGCTTCCACTGCTTCCACTTAAAAGCTGTTTTTGCCATCTTTATTGTATTGAGTCAAGATGCCAAGTATGGCTTTTGAGTATTAATATGTTTGTTTGTTAAATACAGTGCTTTTTGAGTACATCCTCATTGTAAGCAAATAAATCCGGAGGCTTGTGTTTGCAGTATTTAACATGTGTACATTAAGACAATCCAAAGGGCATCAGATATGTCGAATGTGATACTCCACTGCTACTTTTTTATCATCCTGACACTCCATACCTGAAAGAGAACAGTTTCTATAGCAACCCTGTCATCCCCTCCCCTCGCCCTTCCTCACCTCAGTCATGTGCATGTGTATGTGTGTGTGTGTGTGCATGTGTGCACATGTGAGCCGTGAATACTAACATAGGCCTGAATATGACTGAGTGCTCTATTGATTGCTAGCATACATGCCATAAGCGTTGATGTCATTTAGCCGGCGGGGGAAGCAGAGAGAGAAACAATAAAGGAACATTTCCTCTGCACATTTCCTGGCAGCTTTTCAAGATACACAGAAGTTATATTAAAGGAAAGACACAGAGCACTGCAGAGGGAGAGAAAGCTAAGAGAGGAGGGTGGGGCAAAGAGGCAAAGTGAGAGGAGGAAGAGAGGGATGTCAAGAGTAAAAGGATGTCTGATTGAAGTCTAAATACATATATACTTTAATAAAGAATAATATGAGGAGCACTTAATTTATCTTGGCAGGAAGGTGGTGTACTCACCCTTTTACAAATGATTTCCCATCCTATTAAAGAAATGAGTACAGAGGCGTGTTTAAGCACTGACTCACCTCTTTTGGGATTTTTATTCAGAGTGCATGATGCATATATTTGCATTTGTATCCCTAGATTGTCAAACTTTAGCAGACCTGTACCTTCTTCTTACTCCCTCCTGGTGGTATCATTTGAGGACACGTGTATAGATTCCTCACGATGTTGAGCTTCCATGACCCTCCGCCAAGTCGTGCAATGTTGTTTATTGCTTTGGCATATGTGCAAGTACGTGTATCAGATCAAAGTGCCCTCTACCAAACTTCATTTTGTGGCCTATTTGGTTTTTATCGCCGCCATGCTTTGTGAGCCCTTTAGCGAAGGATCATGCTGATAAAAGGCCTGTTAATTCCGTGGCACTAATTGCCTCCTACTGTCATTTGTAATTTTAGGCTCTCTTCTCCACCACCCCCCTTCTCTCATGATCCTACTTTTCCCCGAGTCTGTTCCCCTAAATAACTGCTCGATTACCTTCTTTCCCCTAAATTGTACCTGTCTTGTGCCTCTGTCTTTCTCTTCACTCCAGTCCTCTGTGTTTTGTGTCTGTAAAAGCTTGAATGTTTAAACATAGGACAGAGGCCTTTGGTGGACTGAACACCAAGGGCAACCGGATGGGGGGAAGCGGGGACAGAAGAGTACACAATGTCAGACAGACCAGCCTGCTCGGATACAGATGACATGACAGGACCTGTGCTGCTGTAACTGTCACCTACTGGTCACTGCCACTGAGCCATGTTCGCTTGAGACCTCAAAGCAACCACATATATCTGCTGTGCAGGGCTGCAGAAATCATCATGGAGCACAAACAAAAGTGACCAAAAAGTAGATCAACTGTTCAGTGCTCACTAGGGCTGTAATCAACCAAAGGAATTCTTGGTTGACTAAAACCCTAAAAAACGACTAATGGAGGAGTTTCCGATTGTGACGTCAAACCCTTCTGCGGCGGGAGACAACGCAGCCTGGCGGGGCAGGGCGTGGCTTGGTGGGGTGAAAATCTACAAATATCAACAGAAGAAGGCAAAAGGCAATCAAACTCAAAATGCAAGTATTCAGTAATATTCAGTTAACCACCAGACATTGATTGACGTAGACGCTCTTCACTTTTTCCGTCTCCAGCCAGTCTCCAGTAGGTTGCACGAATCCAAAATGGTGAAAACAAGGGGTTGTTACCTGTGAAACGGGGGGTGCTCTGAAAACATCCCCATGAGCACTTGGTATATTCCTCCTGATGAAAATAACCATAGACTGTAAATTGACGCGGAAAAATATCGAGTCAACCAATCAGAATTTTGGTCGACTCAGCACGTATCGACCAATAAGTCGACTAGGACTTTACAGCCCTTGTACTCATGCATCAAATCAGATCTTAGGGAACTTTTTTGTATCCAGATGATGTTGTCAAGATGAACTGTTAATCCTTAGTGACTGTGGGTCTTTGAATCCCCGTTTCTTGACTTTTGTGGGATTGTGTTCTCCAGACATCACAAAAAAAATGTTTTTAAACCATGGTAGCAGTCCCAGTTTTTGTTTTCACTTTGCACTAAACCACTTTCAAGCGCATGTCCTACTTAGGCAGAAGAAATAGTCCAAAAACACATAAAATAGGCAATGATTTATTTACAATGCACAAAAGTTACAAAGCACTCCACAATAAAAGTATTTAGTCCAACACAAAAATCAGGGCGGAAACTAACAAATGCAGAATCAAACTAAAAAAAACAGAATTAACAAAGGAGGGATACTTTGGTTCAGAAAAGCAAGAAGAAAAGGATTCTGTTGAAAGTAGAAACTCCTCAGAATTGGACTGTCTGATCTTTATTTAATGCAGATCTCTGGAATCATCCAGCAGACAATTAGAAGCCAACTTGAGACACTTGAAGTTAATTAGTTAATCAGAAAATAAACCCAGGGACTTTAATTTCTAGACAAAAACAACAAGAAAAGAAAGGATAATGTATTCTTCACCTCCTGGCAGCCAGTGGAAAGATGCCAACACCAGCATTACGTTCTCCCAGAGTGTTGTCTTAGTGAGAAGACGCTCTGCAGCATTTTGAAGCTTCTGCTGATGAGTATGAAATGCACGGTTTGCACCGTTCGCCACTGCAGAAGTCCCTTCGTCTGTCCTCGTACGCCCTGTTTTGTAATGCGATATAGAAACAGAAAAAGCGAGTTTAGATTGATTTTATTTGATTTTTTTTCATGAGGAGCTTTGAGTTGTAAACCCCCATAGAAAGCAGCAGTGAGGAAACCTCTTCTCTGTACATTTTAGCAACTGCGCAATGGGGTCAGATGTAAATTATTTAGCACTTGTGCAGTATGTTTTGCTGCAGATCGGGGTCATGTGAGCGTGTACGGTGATGAAGTGTGTATGCACTCAAAGGAGAATGTGACAGAAAAACGTAAATTCATGGCAGTTTAACGTTCAAGCATGTGACAGCTGTATGGATTTGCATGTGCTTGAGCGTTAAATGCTGTGTTTTTCATTTATGTGTGTGCTCTTGTGTGATTTAAGTATGAAGGTCTTTTCAAGCATTATGTGAGCATGAAGGCCCATCAGGGCACATGTAATCCCCACCCAGCTCTTGGGCCCTTCATTAGCATTACACTGATCTTCTTCAGAAGTTACTCTCCAGCCCTCTGATATGCTCCTTGTGGCCTGAGGGAACAATAGGTCCTGTTCACATCAAACGTGTTATGTCATCGATGTGACTGGAAGCTCAGCTGCCCTCGTCATGGGAGCACTATTTCGCATCATTGCCTGCTCTTACAGCATGTACACATATGCACATATACACGCTTCAATTTGAGCCCCTCCATACCCTAATACTCCCTATGGGGCATGTGTTTTCTCAAGAGGGGCCAATGTTTCACCCAGAAGGTCCTTCACATACAGTAAGCAGAAGGACACCAAAGTTCACAGGCAGAGAGAATATGCTCATATACACTGTCTCTCTCCTGAGGACTTCAGTCCAGAAAGACAGCAAGCCCAGTTAAGGTTCACCTATCTATCTATCTATCTATCTATCTATCTATCTATCTATCTATCTATCTATCTATCTATCTATCTATCTATCTATCTATCTATCCATCCATCCATCCATCCATCCATCCATCCATCCATCCATCCATCCATCCATCCATCTGGTGATGGGATGCATAGGTCATAAACCCCGCCTCCTCCAGCAATCCCTATGGACTTGTGGACAAACTTTAGAAATTTATTACACAGAATACAAATTTTTCTCCCCCCTGTTTGTGATGTTGACATGTAGTTATTGTCAGACTGGTTTGTGCTCAAGTCCTCTTTTTTTCTGTACAGCTCCATTTTTAAAAGTTATAAAGGGGTTAAAATTTTTATGATTGACACATGATACAGCCTATGGGCGTATGAAGATCGCGTAGCTCATCCGGGGGATATGCTGTTTGAGCCGAGCTTCATCACAGCAACTCTTGGCGACTTTCCCGCCGAATGCGTACAATGCTACTACACAAGTGGTGGAGTTCATACAAAGTTACTGGAACGTTGGTTTCAGGAAGTGGAGAAAAATCGCGGAAATAACGAGAGCTTTTCATCTTCAAATCCGTATACTTGCGGACGGCGGAACCAAGTTGTCCATAGTAGTCTATGGGACCAACTGAATTATAGTTCAAGAGGGAGATACACTATTACGACAGCTGCTACAACTGTCCAATCAAAACCCAACATGAAATAACACTTGCTTACCCGGCTGAAGAATATGTTTCAACACTACACTCTCCACCAGCTTTTGTAGCTCCTGGTTGTTTCTAATTTCAAGTTTTCTAAAGAAAGTTAGGATAGAGGAGTAGAGTTGTTAGGGCCCGAGCGTAGCTGCTAAGCAGCTGCGAGAGCCCTCTTGTTCCTGTAGTTTCCTTCTTTTGTTATTATTAGGGCCCGAGCGTAGCTGCTAAGCAGCTGCGAGAGCCCTATTATTCCCCAAGTGGTTTTTCTTTGTTTCTTTTTTCTTTTTCCTCCCCTTTGAACTGGAAAATGGCCCACTTCCCACTGGCGAAAACTCATGAAATTTGGCAGGACGACCGGGCCTGGTGAAAAATTTGATATTCTGAAGTCGCCCAAACAATACAATGCAAAATGGCTCCATAGCGCCCCCTAAGGTGAAAAATTCACCTGACGCCTGTACGCTTTGTCAAAATGACACAAAAATTGACACACACATGTATCTCAATAAGATCTACAAAAAAGTCAGTGCGGGCGTATCTGTCAAATGTACGGTTAAAGGGTTATTTCGCATTTTTTGCCGATCCGCACACATTGGAATTTCGCTAACTCCTCCGAAGGCTTTCGTTCCACCGGCACCACATTTGCTCAGGCCAATCTACACCCCATGGCCATTAAAAGTTATTCAAATCATGACGCTGCACCCCACGGTTTAGGTTCTAGGGGGCGCCAAAGATAACACTAAAATCCACATATTCAAAAGTCTTATAACTTTTTATTTTTGCCCTCACTGGCCTCCAAGTTTTCTAGTATGATGCAATGTCCAGCCATCAACACATTTGTGAAGGAATTTTTACTCCCCAAAAGAGCGCCCCCCCATGGCAGGAGAAAAAAGTCCATTTTTTCTTGTCCCCTAAGGTGAAAATACACATTGTTGAGTGTCACGCCTGTACGCTTTGTCAAAATGACACAAAAATTGACACACACATGTATCTCAATAAGATCTACAAAAAAGTCAATGCGCGCGTATCTGTCAAATGTACGGTTAAAGGGTTATCTGCATTTTTTGCCGATTCGCACACATTGGAATTTCGCTAACTCCTCCGAAGGCTTTCGTTCCACCGGCACCACATTTGTTCAGGCCAATCTACACCCCATGGCCATTCAAAGTTATTCAAATCATGACGCTGCACCCCACGGTTTAGGTTCTAGGGGGCGCCAAAGATAACCCAAAAATCCACATTTTTAAAAGTCTTATAACTTTTTATTTTTGTCCTCACTGGCCTCCAAGTTTTCTAGGATGATGCAATGTCCAGCCATCAACACATTTGTGAAGGAATTTTTACTCCCTAAAAGAGCGCCCCCCCATGGCAGGAGAAAAAAGTCCATTTTTTCTTGTCCCCTAAGGTGAAAATACACATTGTTGACTGTCACGCCTGTACGCTTTGGCAAAATGACACAAAAATTGACAATCATGTGTATCTCAATTAGATCTATGAAAAAGTCAAAGAGCGCGTATCTGTATAATGTACGGTAAAAGGGCTATTTTGCATTTTTTGCCGATTCGCACACATTGGAATTTCGCTAACTCCTCCTAAGGCTTTCGTCCCACTGACACCAAATTTGCTCAGGCCAATCTACACCCCATGGCCATTCAAAGTTGTAAAAATCATGACGCTGCACCCCACGGTTTACGTTTTAGGGGGCGCCAAAGATGACCCAAATATACATTACAGTAGACAAAGTAGTTTTGCCCACTGAGTGGCGCCAAAGGGACTTGTCTGTGGAGTCTGTGAGTCACTATTGGCCGTTTTTGACTACTTTAGATTTTACCTTTATATTTCCTCTTACAAAATTTTTACCTTGCCTTGCCTGGTATCATTTTTTTCAGCACAACCTCACCTGTGTCAATTTACAGTTATTTTATCATTTTGACATACTATATTTACACATTGGACCCAAATTCACACACAAAACATAAAATCCGAGTGGAAAAAAGTAACGTTTTTACTGTGAAAACCACAAATATGTGTGATGAACTGTTTTTAAAACTTAAACTTCAAATAAAAATTGTAAACTTCAAAACATATGCAAATTTTTAACAAAGAACATAGTAATTTACCTCTATTTACATCAAAATGCAGGCAATGGCCCAGGTGTTCTTTGTAAAATTATTTACAAAACACTGTATAGTCTCACAAATGTCACTTTTTATTTAAGCCACTACAAAGACACATGATGTAAATGATGCATGATGTAAAACATGATGTAAAAAACTTGTGTAGATCCTCCTCTATGTTAGTCCATGTGTAATTTTTCCATAATTCTTTGTTTTTTGCAGCATTTTTGTTAGTGTAACTGCAGATTGTGCTGACAGTGTCTATGGCACAAAAAAAAAAAATTTAAAATGCCTCAACATGAACCCCTGGTGGTCTCTGAGGGTGAAACCTGCTAACTGCTGCAGCTCTGTCAGCTTCAGTCTCCCATGCAGAGCTCGGAGCGCATGTGTGGCTCTGCACCCTTAGCAGCGTTGCTAACTCCTCAGTAAGGAAAGCCTGCTTCATGTCAGAGTCTCTAAACTCCAGAAGAAGTCGATAAAAGTCACTTTCCTTCTAAAAAAAAGTCGTTAGGGGGTCTGAAAAGTCATTGAATCTAACAACAAAGTCGCTAGGTTTGCAACTACGTGTCCCAGACTGCATCCCTGCTGAGAGTCCCTCCCTCCCTTCTCATATTGCAGGAAGAACGTAAGCGCCCGCCCCTTGTCAATCAGTCACCATATAATTTTGGATTGGTTGTTGTGGTGAAGTTTTCCACCAATAGGAGAGATGTTGTGGTGTGTTTTTTTTTTCTTTTGGCAAGCCTTTTCCGCCTGTAAGACCTGTCGCTAATGTCTGCATGCTATGTTTTCCTGTCTCATACAGCGCGATCGAGCGCTGAACGTGATCAAAATAAGCAGAAAACAAGTATCGCGGACATAATTTATCATAACTCTGGTTTTATTTGGCCTATCAACACAATTTAAAAACTGGTATATAGGTTGAGGTCCTCACTTTTGAGATAAGTTGAAACGGAGAGTCAATGAGGCTCCGTCTTGCAGCTACATCCGGTTAAATATGTCATGTGACTTGAACGCACACACACACACACACACACACACACACAGACACACACACACACGCACACACACACACAGTCAGAGTCTGGTTTTTAGCACCTGCAAAAACATGCTATTTACATATTTGACAAGAATGCAGAGGCTCCTTTTGCCCCTGAAAAAAATCAAATTTCAAACACAACTTGACTGGTCATTTCTCCAAAAGACAACCATGAAGCTCCATCCAAACCTGAAGCAGGCAGTTGGTGCATGTGTACAGTAACCTGAGGGGAGTGAGGTGAGTGCTTCTGAGGAGAACATGAGCAGTGAAGATTCACCTTAGAGCTAGAACAGAGACGTGCACATGATTATACAGGGGCAGGGGCTCAAGTTTTTTCCAGTTGTTTATACAATATGGAAATTAATGTGAAATTAAAAAACAAAGTATTAATAGAAAGGTAATGACTGTCCTGTGTAGGTGACAGTGATATCCAATAGGCTAGGCACTCACGAGGCTGGCTGTGGCAAGTGTAAGTGAAAGCAACACGCACTGGCAGGAAGAACAGCAAACGCCGATGAAGGAAAAGGGTCTTTGCAGTGATGGGCGTTACCAGAGAGGGCGATGGCCAGAGGACGCGAATGGGACGGGGAGGCAGCACGTTGGGGGGGGGACGCGACACAGCTCGGGCCCGCCAGTGCCCCAACGGGGTCCTAGTTATTATTATTAGGGCCCGAGCGTAGCTGCTAAGCAGCTGCGAGAGCCCTCTTGTTCCTGTAGTTTCCTTCTTTTGTTATTATTATTATTATTATTATTTTTCCTCCCCTTTGAACTGGAAAATGGCCCACTTCCCACTGGCGAAAACTCATGAAATTTGGCAGGACGACCGGGCCTGGTGAAAAATTTGATATTCCGAAGTCGCCCAAACAAGAAAATGCAAAATGGCTCCATAGCGCCCCCTAAGGTGAAAATTCACACTATTGACTGTCACGCCTGTACGCTTTGTCAAAATGACACAAAAATTGACACACACATGTATCTCAATAAGATCTACGAAAAAGTCAGTGCGGGCGTATCTGTCAAATGTACGGTTAAAGGGTTATTTCGCATTTTTTGCCGATCCGCACACATTGGAATTTCGCTAACTCCTCCGAAGGCTTTCGTTCCACCGGCAACACATTTGCTCAGGCCAATCTACACCCCATAGCCATTAAAAGTTATTCAAATCATGACGCTGCACCCCACGGTTTAGGTTCTAGGGGGCGCCAAAGATAACCCTAAGATCCACATATTTAAAAGTCTTATAACTTTTTATTTTTGCCCTCACTGGCCTCCAAGTTTTCTAGGATGATGCAATGTCCAGCCATCAACACATTTGTGAAGGAATTTTTACTCCCCAAAAGAGCGCCCCCCCATGGCAGGAGAAAAAAGTCCATTTTTTCTTGTCCCCTAAGGTGAAAATACACATTGTTGAGTGTAACACCTGTACGCTTTGGCAAAATGACACAAAAATTGACACACACATGTATCTCAATAAGATCTACGAAAAAGTCAATGCGCGCGTATCTGTCAAATGTACAGTTAAAGGGTTATTCCGCATTTTTTGCCGATCCGCACACATTGGAATTTCGCTAACTCCTCCGAAGGCTTTCGTTCCACCGGCACCACATTTGCTCAGGCCAATCTACACCCCATGGCCATTAAAAGTTATTCAAATCATGACGCTGCACCCCACGGTTTAGGTTCTAGGGGGCGCCAAAGATAACCGTAAAATCCACATATTTAAAAGTCTTATAACTTTTTATTTTTGTCCCCACTGGCCTCCAAGTTTTCTAGGATGATGCAATGTCCAGCCATCAACACATTTGTGAAGGAATTTTTACTCGCCAAAAGAGCGCCCCCCATGGCAGGAGAAAAAAGTCCATTTTTTCTTGTCCACTAAGGTGAAAATACACATTGTTGAGTGCTACGCCTGTATGTTTTGTCGTATTGACACAAAATTTTACATACACGTGTATTTCAATAAGATCTTCGAAAAAGTCAATGGCCACGTATCTGTAAAATGTACGGTTAAAGGGTTATTTCGCATTTTTTGCAGATTCGCACACATTGGAATTTCGCTAACTCCTCCGAAGGCTTTCGTTCCACCGGCACCACATTTGCTCAGGCCAATCTACACCCCATGGCCATTAAAAGTTATTCAAATCATGACGCTGCACCCCACGGTTTAGGTTCTAGGGGGCGCCAAAGATAACCCTAAAATCCACATATTTAAAAGTCTTATAACTTTTTATTTTTGTCCTCACTGGCCTCCATGTTTTCTAGGATGATGCAATGTCCAGTACAACACATTTGTGAAGGAGTTTTTTCTCGTTAAAAGAGCGCCCCCCCATGGCAGGAGAATAAAGTCAAGTTTTTCCTGTTCATCATTCAATGGCTCAAACGCACTGCTCTCTCGGCAAAAGCGAAAGGAGGAGCAACTTGCCATTTGGATATATCTTAGCTGTGTTTGTGCCCTCACTCATGGTCCAGACTTTTTTCAAATAGGACATGGAGTTTTTCTGCAGCGAGCGTTTTGGTAGAAACTGCGCTTCCCGTTCATTATAATGGTAAATGACCACAAACAAGTGCGCACACCATCTTTGGACCTTGAGTGTGACGCGATCGGGTGGGGGAGGCGGTCGCGCTGGGGGCGGCGTGACACGGCTCGGGCCCGCCAGTGCCCCAACGGGGCCCTAGTTATTATTTTTCCTCCCCTTTGAACTGGAAAATGGCCCACTTCCCACTGGCGAAAACTCATGAAATTTGGCAGGACGACCGGGCCTGGTGAAAAATTTGATATTCCGAAGTCGCCCAAACAAGAAAATGCAAAATGGCTCCATAGCGCCCCCTAAGGTGAAAATTCACACTATTCACTGTCACGCCTGTACGCTTTGTCAAAATGACACAAAAATTGACACACACATGTATCTCAATAAGATCTACAAAAAAGTCAGTGCGGGCGTATCTGTCAAATGTACGGTTAAAGGGTTATTTCGCATTTTTTGCCGATCCGCACACATTGGAATTTCGCTAACTCCTCCGAAGGCTTTCGTTCCACCGGCACCACATTTGCTCAGGCCAATCTACACCCCATGGCCATTAAAAGTTATTCAAATCATGACGCTGCACCCCACGGTTTAGGTTCTAGGGGGCGCCAAAGATAACCCCAAGATCCACATATTTAAAAGTCTTATAACTTTTTATTTTTGCCCTCACTGGCCTCCAAGTTTTCTAGGATGATGCAATGTTCAGCCATCAACACATTTGTGAAGGAATTTTTACTCCCCAAAAGAGCGCCCCCCCATGGCAGGAGAAAAAAGTCCATTTTTTCTTGTCCCCTAAGGTGAAAATACACATTGTTGAGTGTAACACCTGTACGCTTTGGCAAAATGACACAAAAATTGACACACACATGTATCTCAATAAGATCTACGAAAAAGTCAATGCGCGCGTATCTGTCAAATGTACGGTTAAAGGGTTATTCCGCATTTTTTGCCGATCCGCACACATTGGAATTTCGCTAACTCCTCTGAAGGCTTTCGTTCCACCGGCACCACATTTGCTCAGGCCAATCTACACCCCATGGCCATTAAAAGTTATTCAAATCATGACGCTGCACCCCACGGTTTAGGTTCTAGGGGGCGCCAAAGATAACCCTAAAATCCACATATTTAAAAGTCTTATAACTTTTTATTTTTGTCCTCACTGGCCTCCAAGTTTTCTAGGATGATGCAATGTCCAGCCATCAACACATTTGTGAAGGAATTTTTACTCCCCAAAAGAGCGCCCCCCCATGGCAGGAGAAAAAAGTCAATTTTTTCTTGTCCCCTAAGGTGGAAATTCACACTATTGACTGTCACGCCTGTACGCTTTATCATATTGACACAAAAATTGACACACATATGTATCTCAATAAGATCTACAAAAAAGTCAATGCGCGCGTATCTGTCAAATGTACGGTTAAAGGGCTATTTTGCATTTTTTGCCGATTCGCACACATTGGAATGTGGCTAACTCCTCCTAAGGCTTTCGTCCCACTGACACCAAATTTGCTCAGGCCAATCTACACCCCATGGCCATTCAAAGTTGTAAAAATCATGACGCTGCACCCCACGGTTTACGTTCTAGGGGGCGCCAAAGATGACCCAAATATCCACATTCTTAAAAGAATCCACATCCCCCCCCATCCCCCACCCCCCATGGCAGGAGAAACAGTCAAGGTTTTCCTGCCCATCACTCAATGGCTCAATCGCATCGCTCTCCCGGCAACACCGTAACGAGGAGCAACTTGCCGTTTGGATATATCCTAGCTGTGTTTGTGCCCTCACTCATGGTCCAGACTTTTTTCAAATAGGACATGTAGTTTGTCTGCAGCGAGTGTTTTGGTAGAAACTGCGCCTCCCATTCATTATAATGGGAAATGACCACAGACAAGTGCGCACACCATCTTTGGACCTTGAGTGTGACGCGATCGGGAGGTGGAGGCGGTCGCGCTGGGGGCGGTGCGACGCGGCTCGGGCCCGACAGTGCCCCACCGGGGCCCTAGTTTTTATTTTTTCTGTACGTCAAAGCGCTAAGATCCACCCAGTATTCATCACACCATCTGAGAAGCCTGGAAACTGACCCTGTACAGTCTGACACAGATTTGGATCAAGACTTTATTGGACCCATCTTACACAGTGTGACATCAGATGAACTTGTAAGATTGGTGTTATTGCACTGTCTGTAGATGCCTTCAAGCTGCAACTTACAATGGAGAAATATATTCCAATGCTGCTCAATCTGGATCTAAATATGAAACTCACTGTAAGTTTCCAGTGCCTCAAACTACATCTTTGATTTTTGTGTGTGAAATAATCCACGACCAATGATGTGTGTTGAACATGATGATAGAATATTGTTGCATCTCTTTCACTTTGTTTTCTGAGGTTTTTGCAAAGGCATACAAATGAAGCGCACTGCAGCACATGGCCAGATCCACAAAAGCGTTAAGTAAGCACTGCTTATATGCAGATTGCAGAAGTTTCATGTTACATAAAGCATTGTTGCTGGAGCACTGCAGATTACCTTTGAGTCCTACACACCTTTTAAATGTTAGTGCACTGGTTGCAGTATTGTTGTTCTGGTTATGTGCTAATAAATGGAAGGAGAAAATGCAAATTGCAACTTATATGTTGTGAATTCCCTGATCTTGACCATATCTATTCCCTAGCTTTTCTCAAATGCAGCTTCAAACCTTAAATCACTTGTTTCTTCTACCCGGTGTCCTGCATTGCCCAGCATCTGTAGAGAATCCAAAGCAAGAACTAATTTTACTGTATCACTATAAAGACAAAAGGCATAAACTGTATGTACAGCACACTCACAAGTACAAATGTTACAGGAACCAGGCAGAGCTCAGATGAGAAACAGGAGAAGCGACAGAGGAGGTCGTAGAGTGAGGTGAAAGTGGATGTGTGTTACGTGGAGAAGATAATCTCTCCTGACGGTAGCGCCGGCCTCTCCCTGCCTCTCCCTGCTTCTCCCTGCCTCTCCTCCGTCTTCTTCATAAACTCTGGGTTGTCTCCTGCTCTGTTAGGGGCTGGCAGTGGAGTTCACATGTGCACTCACAGTAACACACACACATACACACTTAAGCACACAACAGGATGTATTAGAGCCAGGACATTTATACAAACACATAGCTGTTTAGGATTTAACTCACCTCATCTGTTGAGAAAAAAACAAAGTATGCATCCCTGAGGACTCTTTATTTGTGCTCATATTTGAGTTCATAAACACCCAAAATTGTGGGTTTGTGCTCTCGCTAAGCACAAAAGACTCTTCTACACTCTGCCTCCTCTCTGTAAGAAGATTTCTTATGTGCATAAAATTTTGGTTGCCACATTTACCCGTAACAGAGTCTTTTGGGCTTTCGACGTTAATATTAAACATCTGTGACTGTGTAGGCTGAGCTCCCTTTCAAACTGTGTTTGATCCACATTATTAAATCAGCAGGAGTGAGTCATATTTTATATTCAGACATTTTTTAAAACCTGTATTTGCATATCTGTGGACAACAGGGGGTTCCCTTTAATTATGGTTTCATTATTTATCATGGAAAGTCTTGGTTTTGACGTGATAATGTATGTACGTTTATTATGAAGGATCATTTCTGACACGTTAATGTTTCAAGGTTTTCTAATCCTTCAGATATAATGTGATTGGTATGGAATGCTGTAAATGTGCAGGAACATAAGGCTAATGTATGCCCAGAGATGCTGGTTATGCAACCCATTCATGGATGCATGCACACACAAACACACAAGCACACAAACTCTAACTGACGCTGCACTTTATCAGCGTTACCCACTGCCATCTGCGCCCACAGTTTATACTTACTTGAAATGGCCTCAGGGGTCTATTGGCTGTTTCAAATGTACACACGTGTGCGCACACGCACACACACACACACACACACACACACACACACACACACACACACACACACACACACAGAGACTAATAACAACAAAAAAAAATGAGCACCACATTTATGACTTATGAATGAGAAACCTGTGGAGACACATAGGTGGCATAGATTCCATGAATGTCAACTGATTATGTGTTGACACATAGAGGGGAATGTTTTGAGCACAGGTTGATGAATAATCTATCGTTGACATTTTGGTAAGAGTCACCCTGAGCTGCACTTCACAATAAGCACAAAGAAAGGAAAAGGTTGCAGTGCCAAGTCTGGAAGATGGATTTTTTCAAAACCAAGTTGTACATGTGAAAACTACTAACTACCTCTAACTTCAAGGTTAAAGATGGGTATTGTGCAGTTTGTCAGACTCTATATTTCCTCTCTGAAACCTCTTTAATAGCTTTGCATGATTTCAGACTAAAAAAAAAACTTAAATTTCTCACTCTGGTGTTTTGAAATAACTTCATTTCAGCCTCTCTCTGAAACACTTCTGTCTCTGTAAGCCCCTCTCTCTCCACAATCCTACCTTAGCTTGATAGGCCACCTCTCCAGATGCTTTCCTTCTGTTCTCGTGGTGGCCTCACCCAGCGAGGAGGCAGGCGGTGTCATTTCTATATACAGTCTTTGCTTTGAATACATTGACTTCAACTTTGTAACTTTGCAGGTTTTGTCTTAAATGTGGAAAAGCACAATATCACCCCTTTAAAGGGAATCTCCCCATGTGAAGTGCTCTCTCTCTCTCTCTGTGTAGCTATTATAAGTGAGTTGTTTAGGTATCATCATGATCATGTTGTGAGTCAGAGGTAATGCACAGTGTTAGCAGCTTGGATCCGATTGATCTCAAAATACTCCTGACACCTGCAATAGTCCACCAAAGAAGCTGATGTTTGGCAGAAGATTAAGCGGGTAGAGGCCACACCTTTTGCTGTAAAACAGCACACACCTTATAAGCCCTTCAGAGGACAAAGTCTACGTTATTTTCAGCTCCACTGCTGCAGTCAAGACCTCACTAATGCTACGTAATAAATCTACAAAATGCCCCTCATTTTCATAGGCAATTCCTTAAGTGGGGATGTACAGTGCCAGCACACATCTGCAGTTAAGTTAACATCATCCTTGAAAGTGTCCTCTCTTAAGATGATATAGCTAAGTGGTTTGCATTCAACTGTTTAATGATAATCCTGATGGTTCAATGTGCTTTTGTCAATGAGTTCTTCACACATTTTGAAACATAACCTCCATTTTTAGAGTAGATTGTCAGGTCAGGGGTCTCTGTTCATTCCAGTGTAGTAAAGGTCTGCAAATATGCTTGAGGAGCGTGATCCATCAGTGGGAAAATATACTTGCAATGTGACAGCAAATAAATATGGTGCAAGACTAGTTTCACTATGTGACTCAGCTGACATTGGTCTTTGAAAAGGGCTTCAGTCCCTGCTCAAAACTGCATCACTATATCAGAATGCAAATGAATGAATCAAGGACTCCATCAGCAGAACCAGTAGTAGAGTTACCAAACCTCAAATCCAAGTCAGGTTTGGATAAAGACAGAGTCACCAAAGAGGAAGAAGTTGTGGAAGGCTGCTGATTCACCTGAAATCAGTCACTGTATGAATGATGTGTGTATGAACTGATTGTGTGGGACCTTTTGGATGTGTGGAAAATTCGTTTCATTGTTAACATTAGATTTCAACCTTGTCTGCATGTCTTGAGATTTAAATTAAACGTTACAGTGCTTCGCATCAGGCATGGGTGTGCACCACGTCTTTTCTTATAGGGAGATGCACTGATCCTTTTGCTGCACCAGGAACACTGAAGGATCTAACAAACTCATAAATACCTGTGGCTTGCCTGTTGATAATCAGAATCTTAAGCAGCCAATAGGGCTGGGTGGTAAACCGAAAATTTACCAATACTGACATTTATGACAGCAACTGACATCATTTTGCCGATATCAGTATATTCGGTGTCAAATAAATAAACGTTGGTTTTGGATGTGTAGGTAGGCTATGATCTCATGTCCTTTTAAAACGCTGTGAGAAGACAGGAAAGACAGGTGAGGAGATAGAGGTTAGTTCAAAAGTTGTAGTGGCTGGGGTGGCAGCTGAAGAAGACGAAGTTAATGTGGGAGGGGGTGAGCGGCTTGTGGAGTAGTTATCGTCCATTTATCGTTATTGAGGTGAAATGCCTAATGTATCATGATATACATATCGTATTTGGTAAATTGATTTGAGTCCATATCACCCAGCCCTAGCAGCCAAGTATCTTGGATTCAGCGGTTGAGTTACTTTGCTTGCTAACATAATTGTTATTGAGCCAGTCTGTGTCATTAGCATCTCACATACCTTTTGCGGTATATTTTCTGGAAAGATCTCAGTCAAGCTTTTTCCTTCTTTTTGATTTCATACATGTTGGGTATGTTGCATTGCTCTTGCTTGCATTTGCTAAGAACTTTTCAAAAGCAAAACTTCTGAGTAGTTTCTTAAGGCAGCCAGGCCAGAGCTGTTGCCAAACAAGACAGAACTTGGACACACATGCAGGTGGACAAGTGCCAGTCTTTGCTCCAGATGGTATAAATTATAAGTCCATCATCCAAGCAGCTGAACTAATGTAACTAGCTAAGCCAATAGTTGTTATCTACATGATAACTAGTGTGGCTTGACTTGACTCCTGACTGTTAACAATATTCCTCTCTCTAGCTAACCAGCGTTTGAGATAAGGTCGAGTCAGCACTGCAGCACAGCACTGAATAGGGAAAAAAAAAAAAAAAATACAAATCTGTTTCAGAGGATTTCTTTCAGCCAAGTTTGACAAATATGTAGCATGGATTTTTTTGTTTGTTCCTGTGGTTTAAGCGTTGGTTTTTCAGATATGAAAACCATCCAGCATGCTAGACCACCAGTGCTGTTTTCTCAGTTTGATCACATGATGTGGAGGCAGATGGTTCAGTCCTTCATCCAGCTGTCTTTGGAGGAGCTGTCCGTGGTCCTGACGGCTCCAGACACACAACATTGCTGAACAGAGAGCTTTCCTGTGGTTTGGCAATCACGGCTCTGATTCCATTTGCGGTTCTCCAACCACATAAGCACGAAACCATACAGTTGTAAGTGTGCACAGACACAAACCCGAGTTGTACCGTTAATCCACAGAGCCTGAACTCAGACGAGGGCTTTTATCTCTTTGTGATATCACAATGTAGCAGTGATACTAAAAAAACACTTTGTGCTGAACTTAATATAACCTACAAAGGAAAACAAAGAGGAGGGTTTGTTTTATTTCAGAGTTGAGATGAGGTGACAATGCTGCCTTTTCACTGGAGGCAATTTTGTCTGATAGAATCTCTTTTGCAGACCATAATTACACTGTAACATATGCTGCTGATAACAACTTCATATATTTCTACATGTGTTCCACCATATATAACCTATCTTTCTAGACTGAGTATAAAAATGTTTAATGTCCAGTATCTACCGGCGCTCCCATTGAACTCAACATATGTTGTTAGTGTCTTTTCCAAGTGGAACAAAGTGTTTCCACTGTGACGTCTGATTGATGACAATCCCTCCAGGAGTTGAGGGGGAACAGCAGTATCCTCCTACCCACAAGAATCCCATTTACAGTCAGCTGTGGCGATTGTAGAAATCTCTGCAGCCACGCTTTCATCCCTCATCTACTCTCAAATATAACTTCTCTGTTTCTTTTTCCTGTCTCAAATATTACAACAAAGACATTCTTATTACGAGTATGATCAACCACCTCTGTGTCTGAATTAAGCAAATCAAAATTTCTGTCAATGTAATGTTTATGTTGGCAAGATTTAAATACTCAAATTAATTTCCATTTCTGACTGTTTTGTTATGAATTGGCATATCCGCACTTCTACAGCATGACTGCTTCCTGAAATGAATCTGAAACCTGTATTTATGTGAAATAGAGCATAAAGAAGAGAGTGTTTTAAGTCTTTACTGCCAAATGCAGACATTGAGAGAAGTAAATTTGCATTGATTAAACAAAGCTGGATGTGCTCTGTAATGAGGAGAGAGACTTGTTTTAAGATAGTTACCATTCATACTTAACCCAATTCGGATATGAATAAATGTCAGTTCATCCAGTGAGTACTTCAAATTAAATCATTTCCAATTGCTCTCTGCTGAGCTCTTCATCATAAGGTAACCCAGAGGGAAATACTCTGAACTCAATACACATTTCATAAACTGACATCTTGTTGGCCCAGTCAGAGTGACTTCCTGGTCTGGTTGAGACAAGAGCAATCAGAAGAATCGGAAACTATGACGCAGCAGCCAGACTGGCTGAGGCAGTGACGCATAATAGTACAATAACCAGAAGCATTGCCTTAAACGTATATGTCGTAATGGTGTTATTTATGGTCGAATTCAGCCTCTGCTTTTCAGAGTAGCCTAAACACAATGATGGTTTTTAATGGTTGAAACTGAAAGACTTCCTTTGGTACAGTCGTGCATCACACAAGTTGTACTCTCAGGTGGCTGAAAAAATAATGAAAGAGAGGTAGTAGAAGTTTCAAAATCACACGACAACTGAAGAGTGTAGCCCCTGTATATGGGGTGCCTGATCTACTATCTGAGCTAAAACATGCGCCCCATGGATTTTTTTCTAAGGATTAAAGAATACGCTTGATGCCTGAGTCAATATAAATGTTCGGATGGCTTACTTCAGCAAAAAACACTGGTATCAAGGGAAACCATTACTATCCAGCTGCAGCTCTGGAACCAGGCGTCTTGTGCTTGAGCCCCTGGCGTACAGGAAGTGATGTATTTGCTTTAAACCCTTCTTTTAGTAGTTTTGAAGGTGTAATATAACACCAGTTCTGCTTCTCACCAAAAAGAATGATTGATCACTGGTTAATTGGTGATTACATATGGCTGCTAAAACATAATTTATTGATGTAAATTATCATTGTTAATAATAATAATGATAATAATTTGATACAGAAAATGTTAAAGGATAGTTTTGTGGGTGTAAATGATGGCCTGAGACTGAATCAGTTAAAAGACACTCATGTAGTGAAATACAGGTTTACAGGGCAGAGACTGACATTACACTGGTGTTTAAACTCTGACTGCAGCCAGTTTAAATGTGACAGTCTCAGTCAATTGCTTGGTATACTGGATTCATGTGCCTGGCTCATCTTATTTTATTCTTCTTTTTCTACTTCATGTATATTATAGTATTAAAAAAGGGAAAAAATACAGTAACACTTTATATGATCTCACAGAGTAAAATGCATTATATGCACATTTGTAGTGTCTTAAAAATGTGTCTTTAATACTTTAAAATAATAATTATTATAATGTTTATGTAGTGTGCATGATGCCTGAGGGTATGGTTTATAATACATTATACCTCAATGCAAAAGGGGAAAAAAATGGCGATTAGAATATGTATTGTTGTTGTCAAGTATTTTTGTCTGACACTTTATTTGCAGATAAAAACATATTTATAAGTTCTTATAGATATGTTACTGGGTCATATAATTGTACATTGTTTCATACACTGCTGTCACTTCACCACTTCACATTTGCAATCACAAATAATATTCAGTATATTCTATAGTATTATGATTTATATTATTGAGAATAATATAAATTGTCACTTTTTTGTGATAGAATGAGTTCTTTACGAATCTTCACAACTGGGTAACGTAGTGAGTTATACTGTGTTATTACAGCAATACCTCAAAAGACAAAGGTAAAGGTATAATGCATAATAAAAGCATACCTTTATGAAGTATTATGTTGCTATCAGCTGTTCTAGATGCTTATAGTCACTCATTAGGGTTTTTTATAAAACCTTAGAGATTCATTTATAAATTTTTATGAATGTGCTTGTGATGCGTTATTATAGGTGGGTTTATGTAAAGTGTTGCTCAAAAACACTTGATAGTTAAAAAAAAATGTGGAAGTGCAGTAAGTATAAAAAAATGAATAAGCTAATGAACGTGATGATATACTCTTGATTTTTGTGTCTGATTTTCTAAGCTAAACACTCATTCGTACAGAATAGGAGGTAGTATGTTACTCGTGCGGAAAATGATCCAAAACAAGATCAAAGTTTTATTTTTATGAATCACGTCATACTTGCAGAGCCAAACTGTACATATGAAAACCTTTTTTTTTAATAAGATTTACAGTATGAGTCTATTTATTTATCAAAGAAAAAAATGAGAATTTGTGTTTAATGGAGTTAACAAATGATTTTTTCTTTCTTTTCTTTTTACCTTTATGTGTCGCATTTCTGTTTATCTTGTATCGAAAAAAGTTTTGATGTTGTCATGCAAACAGTTGGCATTACCAAATAGAGATACATCAAGTTTCAATTTTTTTTCTAATATTCAGTCTTAAAGCTAAACTGTTAACAAAAAAATCCTTTGGTTGCAGAGCGGTATGTGAGTGTTTATCAATCTTATGTAACTCTAATCCATTAAAAAAGTGACATTCCAACATGTCAAACTACATTTTACGCTATTTTACATGATTTTACCGTAGAAACATGATCGATTTGAACAGACTGGTGACTTTTGTCAACTTGTACTCTGGTAAGGTTAATGATCGCTCATTCAGAAACGGCTTGAGCAAACACTCATAGTGCAGATATACAAGCAGCTCACATGGATGCACATTGCATTCTGGGACTTAAGAATCACAGTGTGAAGCTGACCTCAGTGAGCAGAGCAGATTTAGGGCCAGCAGCTAAATTAGTGGGTTTGAAGAGGGAATATAATCAGGGTGGTGACAGAGGGGAGAGTGCATGGGTGAGTGTGTGCATGTGTGTGTTGGAGTTGGAGTGGGTGTGGGGGCTTAGTGATAGATGGATTGAAAAGGCAGAAGAGGGAAGAAGACAGAAGTTGTCAAACTGAATTAATCATTAGAGGTGTGGACGTCTCCAGCCTGTCCACGCTCTCCACACGCACATATGGATCTCCAATCCTACAGCCATGCACAGACTCACACACACTCGCGCTCATGCCACTTTCACACAAACACAGATCTGCGCAGATGTCCTTAGAGTGCTGTTAAACCCCTGTTAAGTTATTTTTTTTTTTACATGAGAGAATGTCTGATTAACATATCCTTTATGCATTGAAGCAGATTTCCATGTTTATTTGCACATATTGAAGATAAAATTGGCACAGGATTTGTGTGTATGTGTCCCCTGGCTTTGCAGCATAGCACTGTGTTTACACGATGTTACAGAGTGTTAAGCAGAGCTGTGAATGTGTGATTCACTGGAAGTGGGAGGAAGCAGAGAAGCCGACATCATTCCTGAGGCCCATAAAAATAAGCCTTTAAAAGGTCACTCTTCTTCTCTTTCTTTCTTTAGATTTATTCTTTATCATTTGCAGCAGCCTCCTCTGAACTAAAACTTTCTTTTTACAACCCGACTTCCTCCTGCTCCCTAACATTTACACCAGCCCTTCTTTCCTGTTCCCCTTACATCTCTTCCAACCCCCCCGCTGCACTTCCTTATGGTGTCAACTGCAAGGCCATGTCCTGCAGTGTCCACACAGAGAAAGGCTCCAGCTGGCTTCTCTTGACATGCCATGTCTCCATAATTACCAGACAATGGCAGGAGAACCGGATTATTTCTGGCTGCCTCTGTAGCTAGGTGTGGTTCAGTGCACTATCTGCTCTGTAGTCTGCAGCAATGGGATGCGACGGCAGAGTTACACAATAAGAGCAGCAAGTGAACTCACTCACCAGTCTCTGTGTCTCCCTGTCCTTGTCTGTTCTCGATCTGTGTCTCGGTTTGATCGTGTCCTGCGACAGCCCTGGCTGTCTCTCAGCCCGCACATTCAGAGACGGATGAACCTGACTAGCCTTTCACTCTGTTGGTTTTCCTCCTACCACAAAGGTTTATTAGCTTCTTGGTTTTCTACCTCTGAGCTGCGCATTTGTTTCTTGTGCACAATCTGATATGAATGGCTTGGATGCTGCTTTTCCAATTTACATGCTGCAGCTTGTTCATGCAGAAAAAAAGCAGCACAGACAGCTGTCTTTTTGTAGCGCAAGTGCATCTCTACACGTATTATGAGGGCATCGCAACTGCATCCTCTTTTTGAGGAGACTGTTAATCTACATATTTTTATTTTGAGGGAATATTTTTAGATGAAAGAGACATTTTCAAAGAAAACCCTGCTGGTCTTGGACGCACTGCCACGAAAACAGAAGCTGTGATTGACTCCTGTTGCTGTTTGTTTAAAGACAAAAAAACCAGCTGCTCTTACTAATTACTCATCCACATATTATAGTAGCGATGCTGAGAATGGCAATCAACAGTATGAGTTTAGTGCAGTAGCATGGGCTGGTATTATATGCCGGGCTATGACCAGTCACAGTGAGATCACTCCCGAATGCTCAGAGCCGTGATAGGAGGAGAGCATTGCCCTAGTTCGAGTCTGGCGTAATTATGTAATGCTTGAGTACCTGCAGCACCAGCGGTATGACAACTTCTGAATGTGAATTGGAGCTGTGGAGAGTGCAGACAGGAAGTGCACACCCCTTTACAATCCCTTTTACACGGTGTGCAACTTAATCTTGAGCTGACATTATGCGCTCATTTTCCTTATCTAGCGTTCAAACTTCCTCACTCCTCCATCCTTTCACCCTCTGTTTGTTTTCTTCTCTCATACCTTTTCCTCCATCCCGGTTTCCTTCCTCTAACCCCTATCCCTCTCTCTTCTTATCTCTGTCTTCTTACTAAATGGAGGGTGACAGTATGCAGCTGTGGGTTTTGTCCTTCAGACAGCATCTTAGAGAAAAGCTTAGCCCTGCACACACATGCATACAGAAGGAGGGAGGGACCGGCACTAACCTGAGTCTTTCATCTGTCGCTTATGTAATAGTTTTAAGATAGAGTTACGCCGCGCCGCTTGCATACATGATGAAGGAGAAGCAGAGCGGTCTTTGCAAAGAGGAAGATGGTCCAGAATAATGTGAACACACTCTTTCCCCTCTCTCTCTCTTGTCTTCAGAAAGCAAAACTCCATGCTGCCTTGCAGGAGAAAAGCCGCCTGAACCTTGAGCTCATCAACCATCACCTTAAAGCATCCAAGTATGACCAGGTAGGGCTCTCACACATGCAAGCGGACCAGCATTTGCAAGGATACACAGAGTGTTGATCCATTGTTTATGGAGCTTTCTAGTGTATTTTTTACCACCGTTGATACTGGAGCTTTATCTTCCAAATGGCTGTTAGATTACTTGTTTGGTTGACTCAATGCATCACATGATCTCCTTTATATTGAACCAATGCAAACACACATGGTATTTATTATCCTTTGTATTCTATCTGTACACACACGGCATTACTACGTGTGTTTTCCTGTGATTGTGTCAGTATTGGCACAGGGAGGCTCTGGTTGGCACACTCAGCCAGAGTCTCCCACTTCACACACGCACACAGAAACATGCACACGTAGGCGATTAGCTACTCTGGCACTAATAGTGACTCTCACAGAGGGGGCAGATTTGACACGTGTCCAGGGACTCAGCTTGGAGCTCTTGCTCCAGCGTGCCACCGAAGAAAGAAAAAAAAAAGGTGCCATCTGTGCGCGGACAAGGTGGACACAGGGATGAAGAGACAGAGGGGCAAAAGAGTGTCTGATCCTGCCAGACATACAGTGTGGAGAAGTGTGAAGAAGTGTGACTTGCTTGTAAGAGGCAATCATGGCAGAGGCACAGGGGGCATGTGGTGGACTGTGCACAGAGGGAGAAGGGAGTTATGGAAGTGGGAAAAAAAGACAGAACCTGAGGGCAAAGAAGCCAAAAACAACGAAATGGTCACAGGAGGGTTGTCATGATATCAGAGTTTGAACTTGGACACCAAAGAAGTACAAACCAAGTACTCATACAAAAAAAAAATGCTGGAGCACATGATTGATTCAGCAATTTGAATATGGAGCAAACATACTCAAGGTTTGACAGCACAGGTGTCTGGATTTACCATGTGGCGTGTGCTCCAGGATTTCTTCTTTTTCACTGTGATTTCCTGTCCTTATTCTGAGACACCCCCCCTTATAATTTATTCTGAAAATAGACCCAAAATAAAATATTAACTTTGATTTATCATTCATAATTCTGATGAGGTGTTCAGTGGTGTGTGCCCTCTGTTCATATTTTCTCATTTTCTTACAGTAGCCATTTCACTGGCGTCAGTCAATGTTCAGTGAAGTGAGGCTCCTTGTCAACAGTCCACTGATTGAGACGAATAGAAAACACACAGGGATCAGGTGACACTGCAGAGTCTCTCACCTGTTCTCTCTTTATCTCTAACAGAAATACACGACTTGTTGTGCATCTTTCTTAGGTGCCAAAAGGACTTAACCAAACTTTGATGTTTGTCAGCTTGTAAATGAAAGTTAGCAGTGTAGTGGCTGTGACATTGGGCGGAGCAGAGAGACTCGCAGCAGGCAGAAAGAAGCAGTAAACAAACCAAATCCTGCACCATTTTGCAGTTTATGTGGAGACGTAGACACATTTACAAGTTCACCAGTGGCCCCAAGATGGGGTATTATCACAATACTTGGGCCATGATATTACAATACGATATTATCGTGATTTTTAACATTTTGCGATACAGTGAGTATTAAGTTACAATATATTGCTATTTATATAATTTTTTCAACTGTTCAGCTAATTAAGCATTTGTCTTTCCTTTATCCATCCATTTTCTACCGCTCATTTTATGTTTGTCTTATTTACGCTGTATTTTATTATCATGTAGCTCATCTTGCAAACCTTATAAATATATATTTGTTGTACTAACTTTCTCCTGCTCTATGATGTCACCTCTGCCAACCTTACTGGACAAACAGCTGATTTTATTTTTCCATTATCATAGATTTGACTTCATATTAACAATTAATTTGAAAAATCAATACTTGGTAAATTAGACGATACGATATATCACCAGACAAAATATTGTGATACTATGCTGTCTCAATTTTTTTCTCCCACCCCTATAACATTTACATCTAATTTATTCATCCGCTCTCCTTTTTTCTTACCTACTGACCACCATTGCTCACTCTCCCTCTGATTCAGAAGATCTTTTGTACCAACAGCCACCAGACTTTATAACTCTTGTGTAAATAGTAGATAACTTTTGGAGACATATTATGTGAGACAACAGACAATTGAATCTTCCTTCGGGGATTAATAAAGTTCTTCTTCTTCTTATTCTTATTCTGTTTTGCTAATGGCATCTTAACTTAAATATACATAAAAGCAAACCATCCGCATACTTTGTTTTCAGGTTGTGGCCCTGCCCCTCAATCTGAATTGACCATCATTTAACCAAAATTTAGCAATTTAATACCTTGAAATCAGAAAACTGTATTATTAAATGGTTATCTTGAGCCCAAATCTTACAGCTAGCAAGTTAAGTTTAAAAAAATTCTGGATTTTTTTGTTATTTGTTCGATTTAGCTTCGCAATTGCCATTACATTGTACAGTTGTCTTATTTTAGGTGAAAATAATGTGGGTATGAAGTGGTTTTGATTTCAGAGGCTACGCTGTCCTAATTTTCTTTCCCTTTATTAAGCATTTTTTTTAACATACCTACCTCGAGAAATGATCATTTTAGTGAAATAACGCTTCATAGCTCGGATGGCACTAGAGCGTCAAACACCAGCTCCAGCCTTAAGTCCCTCAATATGAATGAGCTAATTTCCTTTTGCAACAGTCAAGTTTTTATGCTCTTTGCAGGGAAGAGCTTATCTTTTGTGCGCTCATCACTTTAGTTAATTAATGAGATGACTGGTGTATGGCTGAGGGAAGAATCTGCTCTATCCTATGAGGCCACCTTTAGAGGAACCAGCTTAGCTCGAGGCCTTTGACTGATGAAGAAGGGAGAGGCAGAACACTCAGGTCAGCAGCTCTGTCTCATCAAGACTAAACGGAAATGTGCTGATTAATATTTCTGCAGACTGTGAACTCCAGATCAACCCTCCAGTCAAAAATGAAAAAAAAATAAAAAAAATTCCTCTATTCATAAAGTAAAAGTAGGTCTGCTGCAAGAACAAACCTTATAAAAATTGAATGCTTGTTTTGTCTTTCAAAAAACAGAATAATAGGAACATTTGGAGCCTCTTCAAGTGTAACAGAGGAATTAAAGCCTGTTTTGTTTGTCTCTTAGCCTGTTACTATCCATGTTGTTAATAATCCTCTTAACCTCCTTTTGCTCTTTTAATTTCTTGTCCTTCTTTCTTTGCATCTGGGTTCTTTCTGCTCATTTAGGTGCTATCAGACTATGACCAGCTGAGACAGACGTTCGCTGTAGTGAGCCAGGAGAGGGACGTGGCCCAGCAGCAGAGGAGCCAGCTCCAAGGCAAAGTAGAGAACCTGGAACAGGTTCTAAAGGTGAGGTGCTCATCTGCCTTCTGTCACGTATATCTCTCTTTAATGTGAGTTTTTCCATCTTCTTCCAGTGGATGTATACCTCTGTGTCTTTACAGTGCATTTTATCTTCTTTGAGAGATATAGGCTAACATGTATTATACATCAAATGCTAGAGTTTGATGCATATTTCAGTTTGTAAGCTGTGGGTTACTATCCCTGTATTCCCACCAGCTAACAGCAATGAACAGTGAGTGCTGTACCCTCTTTACCCTGGTGATCTGTCAGCCATAGTCATATTGGTGATTTTCCCTGCTGTTTACTCAAAATAGGACCACAATTTACAAAATGAGCATTAGTCTCTGCTAAAGAAGATATGTCACCTAGTCACCCCTCTATGCAACCAGCTCTCATTAAGGTTTTTCCTTTTAGATATCTACCTTATTTGACCGTTTGAGTTGTGTTAAAGCTCCTGTGAGCAACTTTTTGTCTGCGTTTTTTTTGGCGCCTCCTGTGGACAAAATGATAACTCTATTTTTGTTGCTGGTTTGGCCTCAGCCTTGTGGAAGTGTTGCTTAATGGCAAAAGTCTCCTCCTGTTGTCTTTTTCCATAAAATATATCTCTTGCCATGAATGTTTGCTATGTAAAAAAAAATACTGAGGCTATTTTTTCAGTGTAATCATCCCCTCACAGCAGTTACAGGCATTAAAAACTACAAAAGACAGATTTCCAGTCTTGTATGTCATAGACACGCATCACTTGCCATCTCAGTCTGTTTCATAACAAAACAAAAACTCTTTACTGTAGCTTTAAGTCACTACTGTCAACCCTAATTTCCTAACATGGCAGCGTCAGAACAAAGTTGTTTCAATAATGCAACATTAGAAAACTTTTACTGTGAAGAATTGGTTAAAAAAAAAGGTTTATCATTGTCTTTGCTTAAGTGGAGCAGGAAGCAGTGAATGCCAAGAGTTGATTCAGGGGACATTGTTGTCAGTCACAAATCACTCTGTTACTCTACTTTCTTTTGCTGCCACTATGTCTGCATCTGTGTGAAGGGGTTTCTGTCATGTGTCTCTAAACTGCTTGTGTGGGTGTTGCAAAATCTATGTCGTGACAGAATGTGACATTGCTGTTACCACGTCCACCCCTACCTGACACCCGAAACACCTAAACTAGTTTGTTTACTCAAAGGGTTTAGATTTGTTTTTTTTAGTCAGCCATTTTTACCTTCTGTATGCTCCAAGAAACACATTTACCCACAGAAGGGAGATTTAATTATCTCCAGTCATGGATTAGGCCAAACGAATGAGTCTAAATTAACTTAAGCTGGTGACAAATCTCTCTTCTCTCTCTTCTTGGAGATGATTGAGTGATATCTAGCTTAGCTCTTAGTGGGAAGAATTTTGCCAGCATATCTATCTACCACAGAGTCTATCTTTCAAATTGACTTTCTGTTTATCTCCCTAAAGTTATGCAACTTTTCCGTCTGCGTTCATCCCTCGTACATTTCAGTCGTTTTTTTTTTTTTTGGCTCCCACAGCTCATCGCATTTTGAGAATTTTCTGTCCTCAGTTTCCCTGCCTCTCCTGGAAATATTCCCATCTGGCATGCGTTTGCTCCCTAAGAAAACTTTAGAGGGAGAGCGATGCGGCTCACGAGGTGAAGTGTCATCCTTTACATGGAGGCTCTCTTTCATCGTGTTATGTTCTGCCAATAGAAATCAGACACAGCCTCACTGTGCCGTGAGAGGCGCTCTCATTACAAATCCTTTCCTTCCTGCATCTCATATTGATTGTCTGTTTGTCACAATGTTGAGAGAGAAATGTACCCATCTGAGAAATCATGACCTGATCCTTAATACGGCAAAGAGCTGTTTGTCACTTTGTTATTGTGTATTGATTATGGAGACAAAGAGACTATTTGGAGAAAATTACACGGGGTGATGTGGGTGGAGAGGAGAGATGAAAGAAAAACAACATGAAAAAAGAGATTATTTTGATTTTTAAAGAGGTCTCCAGTCAAAGCGTATCAGTCACAGCAACGTCAGATTTGCCTTTATAGTTTGTCGAGCCTGATTTGGAAACAAACAAGGGTCATGGTCACTTCATATGTGGGAATCAAGGCGTGATCACAACGTACTCTTAGCTTTTCTGGCACCCATAAAGGCTTAAAGTGCATCACAAATATGAAGTATATCATGTCTTGATTTAACACACGCAGAGAAAGCAATTTTATCACATTAAAATTGCTGTAGTTATCAAGTCCATTGCAACATAAAAATATTCAACATCTGAATAAAAAGTCAAGGTCCAGAAAAAAAACAGGGGTGATAACACTGGGATTACCTCGAGCATAATCTCTATTCAGACTCAGAAATATAATAAGATATAATATAGATAATGTGATTTATGGAGATGGAAGCGTTCTGGTTTTCTTCGTAGTCAGAGAATATAATAGTCCAGCCCAACATTTCAGCAGCTTGTGTGGAGAAAGAGGCGGAGCACATTGCCTATAATGTAATCATGAATGCCATCTGCTACAGTCTGACAACTATTCAGCTTTTAATCAAACACTATAAATAGATATGTGCCTGCAAGTACAGCTGACAGGCCACTTTTAGATGTTGTCTCTTCATCCAAACTCTGTTCTTATTTATCAAGTGGCTGGTTGGGCATTATTAACAGCAACACTCTGAAAAGAAAGTCATGGCAAGTCATAGAAGTCCTTCACTCTGAACTGTTAGCTCCATAGGAAACCCTTAAAAGTTTTATTGCTGAGATTGTCACAAAGAAAAAAAAAACAAGGCTAATGACATAGTGAGAGGGTTGGACCACAAACTGGCGCAGGAACTGGAAATAACAGAAAGGGTTTCTTAAGTCGGTCCCTCCCAGCTTCCAAAAGTAAACTTAGGTTGAAGTCACACCCACAGGTGAACCTTCGTAAATTCGGAATGATCAAATGCAGTTGTAAGCTTTGGGACAAACCTCCCTCGCTTTTTTGTAACCATAGTTTCATGTCACATAAATCTAAAAATGTTTACATGAAAATACTGAAGTCTTACTTCACAGTAGGGCTGGGCGATACGACCTCAAATCAATATAACAATATTTTGAGCAGCTCAGCTCGATAACGATAAATGGATGATAACTACTCCACAAGCTGCTCACCCCCTCCCACATTAACTTCGTCTACTTTAGCCACTGCTCCAGCCACTACAACTTTTGAACCGTCCTCCATCTCCTCACCTGTCTTTCCTTTGTTGCGGACTGGATGGGGTGGAGTCACGTCTCTGATGTAGGACAGCATCTTAAAGGGACATGAGACCATAGCCTACCTAAACACATTCAAAACCAACTTTTATTAATTTATTTTTTTGACACAGAATTTTCCGATATGAGCAAAATCACATCGGTTATTGTCATAATTTTGGGTTTATCTCCCAGCCCTACTCCACAATACATGGTAATCCTGCTTATAAAGACGGCTATTAGCCTGTAACCTGGTTTTTAGACTCTTGCCATTTGCAGAGAGAAGGACTAGTTTGCAGTGGTTTGATAAAATCTCTGCTTTCTACAACTTGCCATATTTTTTTAAAACTTGAACCTTTGCAAGATTTTGAGTTTTACTTTAAGTGTAATCCAAGCCCAGAAGTAAACTATAAGCCTCACCTAATATCTAGATCTCTGCCTTTTACATGTTGTGTAAATGACCCTTTTTCTACAAGTGCGTCAAGACTCCAGATAAAAGAAAGCCTTTTCAACAGTTGACATGACACCTCAGAGAGTTTACTGGAAATGTAGGTTAGTTTATCATGCCCTATAGCTGAAAATCTAAGGGTTAAAAAATGTAGTTTTCTCGAAGTCTGCCGTGACAGCCTCTCAGCCAGCCCAGTTCTCTGCAGCTTAGAGCCTCTCCCTGATTATGCAAAACAGTTACTGCCTGCTCAGGACACCTCCAAGCCACTCTGGGAGGTAAAGAGGCTTTTCTTTTTTCCTTTTTTTTTTCTTTTTATAAGGAAGAGGGAACAGAGAGAGAAAATGATGAATGTCAGAGCTTTCTAAGCTGCCTTTTCTTTTTAAGCCTGGAGCCACATCTTATGGCCTTGACTCAGTTTCGGTGAGATGTGTCAGCCTGTCGTGACTCAGTGGATGGATACTATATAGTCATGACTCGGCTAATTTAGGAAAGACTAGATTTGGGATCAGTGTGGGTGACCATGCGTGACAGCTGAGTCAGTTGAGTGTATACATAGAGGAGCATCCGATAGGTGTATGATACATATTATATAACAAGATCAGCCTTTTCATACTTATCTTCCTTATTTTCCTCAAAGCTTGAGACTGCAAAATTTAACCCTAAAGTAACAGAGCAGCTAGGAGTGATATTATTTTTGCTTTCTTGCCAAGAGATTTCAAGGATAAGAAATGCTGAACAATGTCTATTGCAGTGTGCTTGCTAAGTATAGCATGAGCTTAGCAAAACAAACACACACTTGGCTAGATGTATTTTATTTATGAATTTTGATTTGCAAAGAGTTAGACGAGGAGATCTGATGCACACATCTGCAACGGCTTTCACAAGCATTGTGAGTAAGCACGAGATAAAATGAATGTCTGACCCATAGACTGTATATACTTTTGACAACTTGGCTCCACCTTCTGTCATTATAGGAATTTGAAGCCGAATTGTATTTCCGAGATTTTCTTCACTTTCTAGAACCAACATTGCGCAGTAGCATTGTACACATTCGGTGGTAGAGTCGCCAAGAGTCGCTGTGATGATGCTCGACTCAAAGTGTCAATCATAGAAAACATGAACCCCCTAATAACTTTTAAAAATGGAGCTGCACGGAAAAAAGAGGACTTGAGCACAAACCAGTCTTACAGTAACTACACATCAACATCGCAATCAAGGGGGAGAAAAAAATTATATTCTGTGTAATTCATTTCTAAAGTTTGTCCACAGCTCCATAGGGATTGCTGGAGGAGGCCGGATTTATGACCAACCCATGACTAGGGGGTGCTGTTCTTGCTGTGGCTTCACCCAGCAAGGAGGCAGACGGCGTCCATTCTAGACACAGTCTTTGGTCTGACCAGGTGCTCCCTGAAGTCTGCACTCCCAAAGAACAAGAACTTTTACTTATTTACACAAGAATGAGCTGCAATCGTTAGTTCCACTTTAAGGAAGTAAATTTTTTAAATTTGAGTTGACCTGTTTTCATAAAATCAGTGTTTTCTTCTGAACACACCACTGTTGGAGAAATTAAATCTAAACTTTTAAAACCAGACCAAATGAGGAGCATATTAAATCTAAAAGTCCCTAAATTTCTTCACACAACCACGAGGATGCAGAGATCCTAGCAGTCAGACATTTTATCTAAATATTCCCTGAAAGCGTTGCCATCCACTGCAAAATTTACCTTCCTTCTATTGCCTTGGTATGACAAAGCAATATTCTGATAAGCCTTTTGAGGGCTAGCTACACTGAATTTGTCACCCTCAAAAAAAGAGGTAATTTATCAGTGGCTGTTATGTGACACATAGTGATACAAGTAGTCAATATCTTGTCCTTTCTCCTTTTTCTGTTTCTCACCAGCATATGCACGAGGCTGTAGAGCTGAAGCAACAGCTGCAGATAGAGCATGAGCAAGCCTTGGTGGCCCTTCACACCAAGCAGAAGGAGATCAATCAACTGCAAAAGGTAAGACCATATGGATGAAGGCAAACAACAGCTTCATCTCTGTCCTTTGACATAAATGTTCTGGGTCATCTATTTTGTGATCAGAGGAAACTGAAGCTTCTTGTTTCAGAGCTGTTGATGTGTATGTGCTGAGTCCCTGTCACCGAATCGCTGTAACTGTATCAGCAGATTAGGTTTAGAAATGCAGATTCAGCTTGCACTTTTCATATTGTTTGATGGCGGGATGAAGAGCTCCCTTTTTAAAATGATGCCTTTTGAGGAACATTTATACACTTTGTGAAAATCTGTCAGTGTGCAGACATGAATTTTCCTGTGTGTTGGATTCTGTCTGCTACTGTACCCTTTGAGATTGGGATTTATTCTTCAAACATCTGCAGAGGAAAGAACTCAGATATCACACGGGACTCAAAGATATTTTGGATATTTCTGTGGCTGCTAAAAAGGCCTCAGATGTTTAAATATCCTGGGGTTGTATGACCAAATCTGGCCCAAATGTGATTTCTACATAAACTAAAGTAATTTTTAAAACTCTGAAGCTACATCCTGGTCCTGCCCAGCCTTTGAAAATACTCTCAAATAAGACAAAAGCCTGTTCAAAGTCCTTCCAAATGAATTACTAACATGTAAATATCCTCAAAATATCCCCTGGTTTAATTTACTCAGGCTTTGGCGTTGTCTTAAATGAGCCAAAAAGAGCTTCTTCAGAAATCTGTCGCTTGTATTTGTCATTATTCTCCGAGTGAACACAAACAAATAAGCTGAGGTTATTTCAACAATTATACATGAAAGCTGTAAACTGCTTTTACTTGTGCTGCCAGCCACTTTTTACACATACACACACCTACATACACACACACAAACACCCTAAAATAAATCCCTCACTGCTCATCAGAGCTCTGCCATCAGGACTCTGCATCTCTTCCAGTACCAGAGCTGTGATCAACCAGTGAGCCCGTGCCAGGGTATTGGGCTGACAGTTTGTCAGCTGTGTGCTGTCTGTTGTACATTATGGACTATGATCACAGCGTCAGCTGTCACTGTGTGTTTCTTTGTGTTCTCTCCAAGCTCAGGTTCAAGCTGACCAACAGCATGAGCAAGTAATACACCTGTGAGAGGGAGACTTACATGACCAAGACTTTTACCTTCTTGTTAGTGGTCTTGGGTGTGTTTTTCACTTGATGTAGGCTAATGAATAATTAACAAAACTAATCAATAATCACTGTACAGGTCAGGAATGTAACAAAAGTTATCTTTAACAAATTATTCAAACAAACTAACCAAAGTTAATGTCCCTTTTTAGATTTTAGCGTAAAATAGATTTTTGTGGTCTCTGGATTTTTCATTTTTGTGTGCACATGTGTGCTCTTCGATTTTTTAAAATATCATTTAGGTATTTTTTAAGTTAACTATCAGTACAACTCCTAACTTTGAGGCAGAGATTAAAAAATGGTGTACCATGACACTATCTTTGACAATTAACAACTGTCCCAACAAAAAAAAAAAAAACAGGATGAGAGATAAACATTATTAACTCTTCTTTTCTGGACATTACCAAAGGGATGCCCCAAGGTTCAGTGCTGGGACCCCTTTAATTTTCAATTTACATAAACAATCTCTGTAAGAATTTGTCAAATGCAATGTATCATTTTTATGCAGATGACACCATTAACTATAGCTGTTCAACCTCACTCACTCACTCACTCACTCACTCACTCACTCACTCACTCACTCACTCACTCACTCACTCACTCACTCACTCACTCACTCACTCACTCACTCACTCACTCACTCACTCACTCACTCACTCAGGTTTTTGAGTTTTTACAAGCTGCTTTTAATGTTATCCAGTCTCACTTATATGATTTTAAATTTGTTTTAAACAGATAAACTCAAGCTCATGGTTTTCTCTTATAAAAAGGTGCTACTACTTAACATTACAAATATTATAACATCTAAAAATAAACCTGGACTTGGGTTTTATCCTAGATCAGGAGCCGTCATTGAAGCACATATGAATAATAATTATAGAAATAACAGTAAAGATTCCTGATGCTATCATAGAGATATGTTTTTCTCACATTGTCAACAGGAAGTGAGGAGGTCATCAAGTGTCCCCTAGCATTTGTAATCAGGTTGTCTCATCTCTCTGTTTCACATCTCTTTTCTTTTCCTTGTTTTTGTTATTATTCTTTTCTTTTTCTCATTTTCTATCTATTAAGGAAAAAAACTGTGTGTGTGCCTTCCATTTTTTTACCCAAGAATTATATTTTTTACTACAGCTGTCATGTTTATACCCTAAAACAGAGTTTAAGCTGTAAATTACAGCTTGAGATGTGAATTTCACAGACCGGGGACTGGCCTTTTCATCAAACAGTTGTAAACAAATGCTTTATTACTGTGTATGTAATATGATACACCAGTTCAGGTGGTGACTCATATAGGACAGCTTAAAGCAAACAGTGGCTCAGACATTGTGTTTGCAGTTTTATTCCTCCCTCTGCTTCTCTCTTCTTCTCATCATTGTCACATAACTCCAAACTTTTCCGTCACCACAGTCACAGCCTTTCACATCGCGTTAATCCCGCGACCGCGCTGACCTCGATGCCTTTTATAACTTTCCCCTGATCAAATCTCTGACCTTCTGTGCTCCATCACAGTCTTTAAGATGCTTGTCAGCGGCTCATCTACACGAAAATATTTTCTCATTTCACTCCAAATCCTTTCGACACGACAATAGGGTGTAGACTTCTTTGAGTGTAGTTCAAGTGAGGTCATGGTATTATCCGTGCAAAAGCGCTTTAATACGATTTTGGTGAGCAGGCAGCGCTAGTTTAACTCTGATGAACATGAATTCATGAAAACTCCTCTGCCAAGGAGTTCCTCTTCTTTCTCTTTTTCAAATTGACTGAATTAATCTATAAACTGTTAAAGGATCAAATGACAAACCTCGCTGCGCTTTCCTTGCTTAACCCATACTTTCCAGGTCTTTTCTTTTCTTTTAGTCCCTCTCACTTTAAGTTTGCGCTGATTTCACATATTTATCAGTGCTGATAAATATTTAACTGTTTTCTATCCTCTGCATCAATCACACCTTCATCTATTTGTATGTTTTTCACTTTTAATTTCTCCTCAGTCTTTATTTTCTTTTCTGTTTTCTTCCTCTTCATCCGAACAGAACAAAAAGGACAAAATGTTTCAGGTAAAAAAATTCAGGTTATTTATTTTTCTCAAATAACTTTCATCTTCATCTTTTGTTTGCATTGAGAAAAAAGCTCTTGCTCTTAAACCATGAGTCAGCACTTTGTGCCAACTGAGATTTATATGAGCTAAACTAAAGATCTAATACTTGCGTACACCCCCTCTATTTCCTTTAATTTTCCTGTGTTTGTTATGTGGTATGTTTTGAACGTCTAGTAATCCTCTTAACTCTTTCTAGTACTCAAGCGTTGTTATCAGTGTAGCCATGTTATGTATCAGCGGCAGCAGCAGTGCACATGACTCCACACTTCTACATGATTTGATAAGACTGCAGGTTTCTATCTGACATGCTGCTATAAGCTCAAAAATGGCTCTTCAGGGATCCTTTCCTAATTAGTTCTGTTGCTCATCAGCGTTTGCAGATTACACATTCTTCAGAGAATCTGTATCTGAACATAACATGAGGAAATCAACTCCAAGCTTTGGGCTTTTACCCAATGATTCACGCTTCAAATCAGTGGTTCTCAATCATAGACCACAATGACCAGCAGGTGGCGATAATCAAGAGGGAATTTTTTTTTACACTCAATTAGCTGTATTAGAAATAAAATAAAAAAATGCATCGTAAGGACACCGTATTTCAAGTCTATAGCATTACTGAACAGCCCTTTCTTACTCATATTGAATTACTTAATAAACCATTGATTATGAGGCTGTGTGTATAGATGACAAAATGCTACATAAACAGTGCCCTTCAAAATAAAAAAACAGGATTTGACTTCTTGACTTGCCCAGGTAGATGCCTGCGACTCACTGTAAACAGGTCTGTGACCCATCAGTTGAGATTCACTGCTCTAAACCCTGCTTCCTCTCTATCTACCTCCCTCTTTTCTCTTCTCTATCAAAGGTCAAGGTTCATGACCTGGAGCAGAAATGCAGGTCACAGAGTGAACTCTACACCCAGCTGTCCAAAGAGCTACTGAATTTCCATTTGCAGTCAGATACTGTGGACATCCAAATAATCAAACCTAATTCCACGTCCGAAATCCCCCTTACACCCAAGAGGAAACTTCCACAAGCACAGACAGAGACAGGTGGGCCAAGACCAATTCACCTTTTTCTACTCTCAAAAATACACCATCATTTCCATTATTATAAATGTTGAAAGGCATTGTGGAAGTGGTGTTTGTTTACAGTTGATTACACTTTCAAGATAATATTTTTTCTTTGTTTTTGACTGTGATTTTGTGTGTTTTAACTAAGCTGCAGCCTCTGATGTTCAGTTAATGTCTGGAATTACCAAAAGTGTAGTCAGTTATGTTGTGCACACTGTTGTTTGGTCAGATTAAGATGCTAAAAACTCATTTTTATAGCAGGTCTGAGTCAGTGAAATGCACTTTTTACTCACTCTTTTCACTGTAGACAAACCCTGAACCAGATTTCATTTGATCAGAAGGCTGACCAACAGTGTGAAAGACAGTCAGCGTTGTTTAATCCCCAGACAGCTCACATAACAGATAAATGGGCTCACTGCTAGCTAGAGGTGGACCCTATTAAAGCCAATACTGCTAAATCATGATCAATATCTTCCCTAATTGATCAGAAGCCTGATGTATGACACGAATGTGGTTGAACACATTAGTATTCTAACGACACATAGAGAAACCTGCAGATCCAGCAGATTGAGCAATATCAGCGATGTAGATTTATACAGTGTGGCACAGACCAAAGGTCTTTGAAGTGCAGGAAATCCTGTTTTATCTTTCACTCTACATGAAACAGAAGAGGGACTCGCTGATGCTTTTTCTCCTAATGCATAATGTTACCCCCTGAAACGGTGCTTTCAGGTTGTCGATTTCCTTTCATTTCCTCAAGGAATCCAGCCGTTCACACTCTTATTCTTCATTTTTTTTCTTTTGTATTTCCCTCATTCTTCAAGTGTATCTATTTTCCCCGAGGGCCTGAGCGGTATTTAAGGTCAAATACATTGCAGATGTGAGATGTTGATGAGGGTGGAATAGCCTTTGCCACGATGAGTGTTTGCTGTACACTCGCTTCAACAGGAGATCAATAGCTGTGCAATGAGCAGCAAATGGGTGCAGAAGGAATGACAGTTGCTCTTTATTTGTTATGGAAATCAATGTCTCCTAGGCGATGAGAGCGCGGCTAACACGCCGCTACTGATCTCCCAGTTCTTGCCCCGCACAACACAGACTGGAGACAGAGAAAGACCCGAGCTGCTGTCTGACAAATTCAGCACTGTGACAACGGACCGCCCCATCAGCCCTCGAAAGCTGACCTCCTCCGAGGTAATTCTACATTTCATTGTATTGATGTGAGAATTTCCTGTGTAGGTTGAGGTTCATTGTCATATTTTCTCACTAAATGGTTTACTTTGTCTGATGTTCAGCTTATAATGTGAAGGAAATTGGGTTGCTTCTGTTGTTTACACATAGATGGAGGATGAGGCCAGCTCATCGCCCAGGTCCAAGCCTCGCTACACAGGCCAGGTCCGCCTTTGCACTGCCCGTTACAGGTGAATAAGTAGTGAAACTACTTTATTTATTCCCATTTGATTCATTAAAGGACATAAAATAGCAGGTATTTTGCAAAATAAAGTTAAAAAAATAAAAACTTCTCCCTTCAGTTATAACCCTTATGATGGACCAAATGAGCATCCTGAAGCAGAGCTCCCCCTTGTGGCTGGAAAGTATCTTTACGTTTATGGGAACATGGATGATGATGGCTTCTATGAGGGTAAGAAATATTGTGATGCTGTTTTTGCACCACTAGACATTGACTTGTGAGTCAGGTTTAAGCAGGTATGTCAAAGATGAGCCTTGATTTCAGAACAGCCAAACATCTATGTGTTTGAGTCCTTGCCTGCTGTTGTCAGGGTAAGCTTCTCAGAACAAGGACGCCATGCTTGCTTAAGATGATCATATTCTTAGATAGATGATTTATTTCCAGAGAACTTGATAGACACCAGTCTTGCTGGGAAATTACATGTCTCCTTCATGCAAGAGGCCAACTAGTGCCATAGCATCAGTATACAGTATTTGAATAGTCTAAACACATTTGTATACAAACAGAGATCAGTTCTGACACACTGACATTTGGTATTTGACATCTGAATTGTTTAAATATCCTTTTAAAATAAATATGTTAAAAGCATTGTTAGAGCCTGTACACTAAACTGTTCCCTGAACTGTTCAAAGTTTTTTTGGGGGGCTATTTTGCCTCGGTCTAGGTGGGTCTCTATGCTGTTTTCTAAGCATGTATGGTCTTATGGTTGCTAGAGATGCACCAATCCTTTTGTTTTCCTGATCTAATCCGATACCGATACCTGGGCTGAGTGTATTGGTCGATACCGATCCAATACTACTGTTGAACGAATGAACTGTATACCTGCCCCTGTGACATTAGCCTTGTTAAAAAAAAGGTAACACATTAACACAGATATAAATATACTTAATATTATTTATTAACAAATAACAAATTGCACATTAGCACACAGCAAAAAGAAGTAAGACTTCCATGTCAACATTTAGTGCAAACAGACGTAGAATATAGAGCGAACAGAATCGCTGTGTTGCTGTGTATGATATTAATTAAAAGAAAAAAAAAGACTGGATCGGAACGCCGGATTAGCGTCATTCATCAGATATCCGATCATCCTCCTGTAATATCAGATCTGTTAATTTGTCAATATCGGAGCCGATATCTGATCCAAATATCAGATTGGTGCATCCCAAATGGTTTCTTTGTTATAGAAGCTGTCTTGGGCACTTCTGCTTTCCTTTGTTGTGACAATAAAGTCTGTTGTAAATGATAAGAGAAGCCCTTCACGTCTTTTTCCTGAAACTGAATAGTTTGATTTTAATAATTTTAACTGAAGTGCTAAGCGGGCAGCTACTAAAAAACAGCTGATGTTGAGGGGGGGTTTTTGTGCTGAGAATGCTTTTAAAATTCCTAACCACTCTAGTTTTGTATGGAAAACGGGAGCTGCCAGAGCACACAACAGTGTTAGTGGACACAGCCTCTCCTCTGATTGTACAGATAGAGAGAGGTAGAGCAAGTTAAGTGATAAGAGTGGCGAATGACATGCAGCAAGGTCACAATCAAGCCTCTAACCTTTCTGACGAGAACTACAGTCTCTGTATGTGCCGCGTAAGATTTAACCCCTGGGTCCCAAAGGTTCCAGTGGTAAAGCTGTTTACCGTGAGATCATGCCTCTCAAGCGCTCATGTCAAAGTTTTCTGACCTTTTTGTCATCAACATAATCATCCAGTTGACATTTTACCTCCTGTGTCAATTACTTAAACGTTTGTCCCTCTATTTTCCACTATATGACCACGTTATTTCACTAGACCTGTGCAGGAGGAAACTTTGAGTCAGTGTTACCAAGAAAAAAATCCTATACATTTCTAATATCTAGTGATTGGAGAGATTCTCTGTCTAATCCCTTTAGAATTATGAAGGCTTCTCCATCGGAGGCAATCCTAATCCCCCCAGCTAGCAATCTTGCAGACAGCGCAGCCTGTTACAGACACAGTCGTACTCAGCTGCAGTGATTCATTAGCTGTGGGCGGCAAGATTGCATGGCATTGCTAAGGAGCTGTGTATTTACCAGGCAGGAAGGAGACTCGGGCCTCAGACCAAGCTGTTGTCAAGATGGGACCCCAGTCCCTTTTAGCTTGATGACTAATCCAGCGGGGCTCAGCTTAATCATCAGCAAACACCAACAACACAGGAGCACACAGCCGCGCACACATACGCAGACACACACAGATGTTCTTAAGGTATCTCGGGCTACTGTGGAAAAAGGGATTGAAGGACGAGATGATATGGAGCTTTTTCTGAAGACAGACTTATGCCCTTTGGGAAAATAAAAACTACAGTGCAAAGCAAAGCTGTTTTTTTCTCCTGTGTTGACCACAGCAGCTACATGCTCAGGGCTGTTCCTGGAAATCTTCCACAGCAGTGAACTTAAGTTCAAGTTCTTTGAAATGTTGAAAAGGAAAAGTGTTCGGTGTTTACTGGAGAAAGTAAGAAACAGGGCGTTAGGCAGCGGTAAATCTGACATCTTGGGGAAGAATGCATACTGTGTGTTTACATATCTCACTCCTCTCACTTACTGACTCATCTCAACCCTCAAGGAAAACAGCTCCCACCTGTGGTTTTATGTATTCAAATTACAGCTCTCTTTTTGTCTCTGTCTTGCAAGAAGCTTTTAGCAAAACCAATTGCTACTTGACTTTTGGGACTATTTGGATTATATCAAAAGAAACTTTATCATCAGTCAGTTGGTGTTATGTGTTTCATCCAAGTAAATTTGTATGTTTTGTAGACATGCCTCTTTCTCTTTTTTTGTCACAGGGGAGCTGCTGGATGGCCAGCGAGGACTTGTTCCCTCCAATTTTGTGGAGTTTGTCCAGGACAAAGAAAAACCAGCAATTCAGTCCGGGGAGGGAGGGGAAGACCTGGGCCCTTTGGACCATACATCCCTGTCCTTAGTGCCAGTGGATGGAGGTGTCTCCCAGGACAACCTCTTGGGCTCATCTAATGCCTTGGTTCCCTGTAGCAATGGGACAGGGGGGCCCCTTGACCCCGAGGACCTGGCTGACGATGTAGTGCCTTATCCCCGAAAGATCTCCCTGATCAAGCAGCTGGCACGGAGCGTCATTGTGGCTTGGGAGCCTCCTATAGTGCCTTTGGGCTGGGGGAACGTCTCTGGCTACAACGTGTTGGTAGACAGGGAGCTTCGTGCCAGCATAGCGTACGGTGGTCGGACCAAGAGTTTGCTGGAGAAGCTGGACCTGGACGGCTGCGTTCATCGCGTGTCGGTGCAGTGCGTGACAGACCGCGGTCTGTCCGACGAGCTGCGCTGCACCTTGCTGGTGGGAGCTAATGTGGTGGTGGCTCCTTGTGGTCTGCGGGTGGACGACATCCAGCGTGACACTGCCGAGCTCTCCTGGTTGCCTAGTAACAGTAACTATGGTCACACAGTGTTCTTGGATGGAGTGGAACACGCAGTGATGAAGCCAGGAAGGTATAGACTACGTTTTCACAACCTGAAGCCCCTGACGGTGTACAAAGTGACAGTGTTGGCACAGCCACACCAGGTGCCATGGCAACTGCCACTGGAGCAGAGAGAGAGGAAAGAAGCTGGGGTGGAGTTCTGCACTCAGGCTGCAGGTCAGCAAAGCTCACTGATATACAGAGAGATACAGCATGAATAATAAATGTGTAGCCCCGCAGCAGATGTTTGTCACTAGAGTTATGCTTGCTTCAACATGTATAAATTCATATTCTGTCAGTATGACAAACAGATAGAGATCAGTGCTAATCTGTCTAACCGTATCCAGTATTAGCTTACCCGCTGAAGATATGTATTGAAGGAAACAGCACGGCATTGCCTTACCATACAATTTTTGTGTATTGTATTTTGTCTAGGTCCAACACCATATTGCAGAACAGGTCAGAATGAAACATCAGTCCTGGGCTGGGTTTCCTACATATCTGAGCACTTAAACCTTTTTTTCTGTTCCAAATCAAAGCGATGTGATGAAATTATAAGTATGGAGATACTTATAGTCATTGCAGTGGGAATGATCATTTAATAGACTTTGTAAATTAAGGGGTTTGGGCAAAACGGCATTTTTTCTGGTCCAGAAATTTGAAAATTCTTTTCTTAGATTTATCATCATATGCTCATTTGAGTATTTATTATGTGGTAAATATACTGTGTTGATGGAAACCGAATTCAAATGCAATTTTGCCCAAGTTTGCTTACTTCACTGAGCACATCACTAATTAGAAACAGCCACGCATCACAAGATATGATCAGTTATTAATTCAGATTAGTAATTTCTTCAGCCTACGGCCAAGCCTGTAGTAACCAGGGCTATATAAAGCAATGCCACTTCACTTTATCTAAACTGAAGCTCTTTAGATGAATGTGCATTTACTTCTGTTTGGATGCTGTTGAGCACGTCACATGCAGTGGACTGGAGAGTGTAAGATAAAGAATGGGTCAACAGTGCTTCTCTAGGAAGGCTGAGAAGCTTGCTTTAATTATTATTATTATTATTATTATTATTATTATGATTATTATTATTAATCATGTATTTTTTTGTTTATTGTTGTTATTTTTGTTGTTTTTGTTATTGTTTATTATTATTATTATTATTATTATTATTATTATTATTATTATTATTATTATTATTATCGTTGTAGTTTTTATTATTATTATCATTATTATTATTATTGTTGTAGTTTTTATTATTATTATTATTATTATTATTATTATTATTATTGTTGTTGTTGTTGTTTTTATTATTACTTTTTTTGGTTATGTTACAGTACAAGAGTAAGTAACAAAGTGGAAAATACAGTTCTGTAATAATTAGCTACAATGTTCAAGTAACCTCCTTAGTTTGCTGGTTAAGTTTATTTGATAAGCCAGTGGTCATTTTAAGTTTTAATAACTTATCATACACTGAACTTAATGTCATTTTTCCACAAAGCACAGCACTTGAATGTCCTCCACAACATTATCACATTATCTGCATGAACTGTGTATTATGCCAGAACATAAATAAGGTGTTTACTTTTTAAGAAAATTCAGATTTGAAGTTAAAAGAGAGTAGACCCAGTTTATTTCCTGAATCCTCCTCACCCCTCTTTTGGTATATAACTTTCTTTGCATGATTGTGTGTGTGATGAATGCCCCACTCCTCTTGCACTTTTTCCATATATTTGCTATTTTTAAACATTAACATCTTACACTTTTCCTTATAACCCTTCTCTTATCCACCCAGGCCCTCCACAGCCCCCTGTGGATGTGCAGGTTCTCTGTGGACAGGCTCCAGGGGTCCTACAAGTCCACTGGAAGCCCCCTAACCTCTCTCCAACAGGCACATCTAATGGTGCAAATGTAGTTGGTTACGCAGTCTGCACTAAAGGACAGAGGGTGAGTTAGGAAGGGTTCATCCTGGGTTAAAGACATCAGGAAACAAGTGACATGTTTAAGTATCATTTGAAGTATTAAGGAACAAGAAAATACACAAAAAATATGAGATCTGTACCTCAAAACCATACAAAACACAAAGGTGTGTTATTAATTCATACCTAATTCAGTTGAACCATCAGAAGCACAGATGGGAGTGTACAGCCCCTCTTGTTGAGATAACATTATGTCATCAGAGCATTGAGTGTACACAACAGTGCCACCTAGCTGTGAATTATGTTCAGTACAAGACACTTAAGCACCAGACCAGCTGGAAGGTTCTCACTCCCTCTGGTGGCCAACAAGATAAACAAAAGTGATTTTCTTTTTTGACAGCACAGTCACTTCTGTATTATCATGAGCGCTACAAATTCAAACAAAAGAAACTTCAAAACAGTTAAAAAACTTTTTCCCTCCTTAGTCTGATCAGCACTGGGGTTGAAACAGTGTCCTAGTGTTTGTACTGGAGGATGAGAAAGGAAATATGTTAGGAAAACTGTGTCCATCCTGCTCCTTCCCTAATATATTTCAGTTGTTGTTAAAAAAAAAACAGTTATGCATCTTAAATTGATATTACCATCCAACTTCCTGTTTTTGAATCCAGATAGCTGAGGTGTTGTTCCCGCTGGCGGACTATGTTACTGTTGAGCTGACAAGGATTCAGTGCCTGGAGGCGCGGGAAGTGATCGTCAGGACGCTGTCAGTGCAGGGAGAATCCCAGGACTCCCAAGTCGCCGTCATTCCAAACAACCTGCTTGTGCCTCTTCCTGCACTTCCCCTGCCGCCGCCGCCAGTACACCCCCACGCAGGACCCCCTGTACACCCTCACCCTCAACCTCACCTCCAATCCCCTCGCCTTCCTCATGGCCCACCACAACTTCCTGCCCCACCCCAAGCACACGGACAACCACTCCAACCCCATCCTGCACACCCTCAACCCCATCCCAGACTTCCCCATCCAGGTGGACCCCCTCAACCTCAACTTCGAGCCCCACATCCACAGCCCCGACCGCTACATCTTCAGCCCCGCCAGCCCCACCAAGGTCCTAGGCCCCAGCACCAACTGCCTCTGCTACCCCACCCCCAACACCACCCTATACCTCAGAGACCAGTATGTGCCAGAGACCTGGATGCCAAAGACCACGCAGCCCACCATGGGGGACCTGTTCAGCCCGGACAGCCTGGCTGGGACCCCACACGCTCGCCCTCTTCGCAGCCTCCCGTGTCCATGCAAGGTCACACTCTAGAGGCCCCACAGCTCGGCAATCCACGCTCTCCGTCCCCACAGAGGATACTTCCGCAGCCGCGGGGAACGCTTATCCCGGACACTGTGGCTAAAGCCATCGCCCGAGAAGCAGCGCAGAGGGTGGCAGCAGAAAGTGGAAAGGTCTGATGAAAACTGAAACACTGATTTAGAATTAAGAGAAATTCACAGCATCAAAACTACTATGGAGTATTAAGGCCACATTAAGAAAAAAGAAGACTTCGAAATTAAAGTAATTAATTTATAAAAATAAAATCATTTCTAATGAGAATAAAGTCATCATAAAATCATTACTTACGAGAATAAATATGTAATAAAATCATGACTTACAAGAATAAAGTCGTAATAAAGTAATTACTTATGTAAATAAAGTTGTATTAAAATTATTATGATAGGATACTTATGATAATGTGGTACTGATGTGCCAAAAGATTAGTATCTCCGTGTTTGAGAAACCTATATTGAAAGACATTTTCACGAAATGCTCCATGGCTCTGATTTCAACAATTATCATCTAAAACAACAGGTTAGAATACGAGGACTTGATTCCTACAAGTATTTACTTTATTACTCGTCTGACTACTGACTTTATTCTTGTAAGAAATGATTTTAATACGACTTTATTTTTCGTGAGTAAGTACTTTTTTACAACTTTCTTTATTCTTGTAAGTAATGATTTTATTACTACTTTATTCTCGTAAGTAATAATTTTTCTATGACGTTATTCTGGTCAATAATTACTATTTTACAACTTTATTCCCACAAGTTATAATTTTTTAACAACTTTATTCTCGTTAGTAATTACTTTACTATGACTGTATTCTTGTTAGTGATGACTTTTTTCTTCTAAATTAACAACACCAATCTTTTTTTCTATCTTAACTTGACCCTTATACTCCGTCGTACAAAACAAACAAACAAACAAAAAACAAATGCCAGGTCTACTGCAGAAATCCATAACCAATAAAACTAAGACGTGCTTTCTCTCAAGTGCCCCTGTTACAAAGTTTCTTCACTTGTCATGACTGTTTACAGGGAGACAGGCGACAGGGCAGATATGGAGAGCAGGGTCATACATTTCACCAGCATCACTCTGATGAGGAAGAGGAAGATGAAGAAGGATATGCTCGTGGGCGTCGGAGAGGACCCTCAGTTGATGAGTTCCTGCGAGGATCTGAGTTGGGGAGGCCGGTAAGAACATCTAGTTATCCAGTAAATCTTCTACCTTCACTTGAACTGTAGACCATTTGTTTTTTAGTGGAAAACCTCTCAGGCGTGTGTGTGGAAGTGTGTTTGTGTGTGTGCAGGCATGTTTGGGTGGTTGCATGCATACACTCCTTTTTCCTGTGTTTCTGTTGTGTTCATGTGCGTGTGTTCACCTATCCATGTGCGTTTGGTGTGTGCATGTACGTGTGTTTGTATGTATGTATGTATGTGGACTTAAACACTTGCGTCTGTGTGTTTGTGTTTGTGTGTGTGACTGTTAAAAGCCTCACTATGGTCACAATGAAGAATATCACAGCGAAAGCAGCCGGGGCTCTGACCTGTCTGACATCATGGAAGAGGATGAGGAGGAGCTGTACTCTGAGATGCAGCTGGAAGAGGGACGCCGGCGCAACTCGCACAACACACCCAAGGTGCAGTTCTTTGCAGTTACTTTAAACTCGAAAGCCATAACCATCCAAATTAAGTATTACCATAGTGAACTGCACAGGCACAGATGCTTCAACTGAGACTGATGCCTTAACTTGCTTTTGACATGTGTTGTCAGTGAGTGTGCTGAGTTACGTTCAAATTGATAGAAAAGAGAAAAATTGAGAAAAAACAAACAAATCGTGGTGCAAAGACTTCAGCACTGTGGTGAGGACCAGAGAAAGACAGACAAGGTTTGAAAGCTGAGAGTGATTATTAATGAATAGAAACAACAATGGAGCAAAAGTATCAAAGATTGATTATTAAAGGTTTGTGGACCAGATGGGGGTTTTACTTCTGGAGCAAACTTGGTATTTTTACTGATTTATCTAGCATACTACATTTTTAAGCCAAGATCGAATATAATACTTTTACACTCAGTTGGTAGCTGTAGCCCAGGAGATATGGTGCAGGCTATTAGTATGACAGGGGTAGCTTGGCTTCATGGCGACCCGCAGCCGGAGATTTGAAGAATGCTGGCACTGTCAGACTGCAGCAGCAGTGGCATCTTAGCGCACTCTGAGAGCAGATTTAGATGTTTGGGCTCTGTGGAGAGAGATGAAGAAGTTGGTGTGAATGTGTTCAGCACCTTGGAGAGAGACACAGGCAGAGACTGGCTCTGGACCATAGACTGTATATAGAATGGACGCCGTCTGCCTTCTTGCCTGGTGGAGCCACCGTGAGAACAGCATCCTCTGGTGATGGTTTTCAGTATAGGTCATAAATCCCGCCTCCTCCAGCAATCCCTATGGAGCTGTGGACAAACTTCAGAAATTAATTACACAGGATATTAATTTTCCTTCCCCCTGCTTGCGATGTTGACATGTAGTTACCGTAAGACTGGTTTGTGCTCAAGTCCTCCTTTCTCTGTACAGCCCCTTCTTTAAAAGTTATTAAGGGGTTCATGTTTTCTATGACTGACACTTGATACAGCCTATAGACATACGAAGATTGCGTAGCTCACCCAGGGGATACACTATTTGAGCCAAGCGTCAACACAGCGACTCTCTGCGACTCTCCATGTTGGTTTCAGGAAGTGGAGAAAAAACCCGGAAATACCGAGAGCTTTTTGGCTTCGAATCCGTATACTGGCGGAAGGCGGAACCAAGTTGTCCATAGTATATACAGTCTATGCTCTGGACATTTTAGCGCTGTGAGATGAGACAACACCTTCACATAGACAGTGGGAACTGATACCTTTGACACAAACTCACTTTTTTCTTTTTTTTTTAAGTTAAATTCAGCATTATGTTATCAGTATTTGCCTAATTTTGAAATGTTGAACTGTCTCGTGGGCTTGTGTGTGTCTGAGTGTGTCTATGCGTCTGTGTTTCAGTGAGCCTGCCTCTGAGTGCTGCATGATTTTGTTTACATTCAATTTGTTCAAATACACTGACATGTTCTTATCTCGCACACAGTATTTGTACTTTCCACACGACTGTGAGCAACTCATGAATGTTTAATGTTTGCGAATATTCCCTGTGTTGATGTGCATTGCAGACAAACGCTTCTGCCGGAGGCCGTCATGACCGAGACGGTGGGAGAAGAGTTCACCACGGTGGTTCCCAGCCTCACAGAAGGCCTTTAATGGTCCCCTCCATTGGTCAGTATGGGCAGGTGGCTGGAGAGAACCAAAGAGAAAATCTTGATTTAGAAATGTACATGTTACTGAAAAATAGTGTTTGTTGCTCTTCGACACCTTCATGAGCTTCTCCTCGTTGCCAGATCACCTCTGTGTCTATAAACCATGCTCATACCGTTCACGACATAAACACAAATATTTATCATGAAGACAGTATCAGCTGACTTTACCCTTAATCTGCTCTGGACGATTCATCACATTGTTACCATCTGTTCCTGAATTATCATAGCTATCTGTGGTGTTGGAGAGAGTAATTGCCTCTTACGAACAGCAGTTTTTATAACCATAGTTCTGATTTCAAAGTCCTAAAAAGGACATAGACAATCCTAAGTGATGACTTTAGATCCTCTTCCAGTCTAATAAGTCCTTTTCTCTAATTGTTGGACAGCAAAAGGCCAAAGCAGTCCTCAAGATTTAAGTTTAAAGCTGCTGTATAGAACTTTTGGTTTGTGTTGGTTTTGGTGCCCCCCAGTGGACAAAGTTATATCTTTTGACCTGTATATCAGAAAGTAGTTGCAGATTAAAAAACTCATCCTGTTGTCTATTAAAAGGGAAATATGTCGCTCAATGTGAGTATTTACAATTTCTTCGGCCTGTTATAATCATCTGGTCTGACACCTACCCTCTCACAGCAGTCTCAGGCATCAAGATTTAAAACTGAGAAACTTTCACCTTCGTTTCTGATGGTCTCGTTTGATTTCGAAGGTCATAGAGAGGCATCTGTCAGTTTGAGTCTATTTCTCACCAGCTGAAAACTTCTCACGGTGCCTTTAAGTGACTTACTCCCCCCATAGATTTGTTTTCTCTAGATCAAGTCATCACACGATAGATGACACCACCAGATATCAGTCGCTAAAAATGTACATGACTTAACTCAGATCCAGCTCTTTCGGTGAGGTCATCCACAGTTTTTGGACCCCCACACAAAACATTCACATCAAAAACCTCCTCTATTGTGTTTTATCCTAGCCTTTGCTCTGATAACCTCAAAAAGACAGTTGTTCAGTCATATTTCTCTCAGTCAAAGTGGAAGAAAAAAAAACACCTTTTTTCCCCCCTAGAGAATAAACATGCAGATGTTTGTGTTTTCATTTGATTGTGTTTTGGATTCTGTAAAAATGTTGCTAGCAGGGTTACTACTTGTTCAAGAATACACATCCTGGCTCGTCTTCAGAGACTTGCCAGTCATCAGCTGTAAAATTTAGTTGCTGGCTCTTTAGGCTTTATATAACCAGGCCACCAGTTATATACACTCACCGGCCACTTTATTAGGTACACCTGTCCAACTGCTCGTTAACACTTAATTTCTAATCAGCCAATCACATGGCGGCAACTTAGTGCATTTAGGCATGTAGACATGGTCAAGACAATCTCCTGCAGTTCAAACCGAGCATCAGTATGGGGAAGAAAGGTGATTTGAGTGACTTTGAACGTGGCATGGTTGTTGGTGCCAGAAGGGCTGGTCTGAGTATTTCAGAAACTGCTGATCTACTGGGATTTTCACACACAACCATCTCTAGGGTTTACAGAGAATGGTCTGAAAAAGAAAAAATATCCAGTGAGTGGCAGTTCTGTGGGCGGAAATGCCTTGTTGATGCCAGAGGTCAGAGGAGAATGGCCAGACTGGTTCGAGCTGATAGAAAGGCAACAGTGACTCAAATAACCACCCGTTACAACCAAGGTAGGCAGAAGAGCATCTCTGAACGCACAGTACGTCGAACTTTGAGGCAGATGGGCTACAGCAGCAGAAGACCACGCCGGGTGCCACTCCTTTCAGCTAAGAACAGGAAACTGAGGCTACAATTTGCACAAGCTCATCGAAATTGGACAATAGAAGATTGGAAAAACGTTGCCTGGTCTGATGAGTCTCGATTTCTGCTGCGACATTCGGATGGTAGGGTCAGAATTTGGTGTCAACAACATGAAAGCATGGATCCATCCTGCCTTGTATCAACGGTTCAGGCTGGTGGTGGTGGTGTCATGGTGTGGGGAATATTTTCTTGGCACTCTTTGGGCCCCTTGGTACCAATTGAGCATCGTTGCAACGCCACAGCCTACCTGAGTATTGTTGCTGACCATGTCCATCCCTTTATGACCACAATGAACCCAACTTCTGATGGCTACTTTCAGCAGGATAATGCGCCATGTCATAAAGCTGGAATCATCTCAGACTGGTTTCTTGAACATGACAATGAGTTCACTGTACTCAAATGGCCTCCACAGTCACCAGATCTCAATCCAATAGAGCATCTTTGGGATGTGGTTGAACGGGAGATTCGCATCATGGATGTGCAGCCGACAAATCTGCGGCAACTGTGTGATGCCATCATGTCAATATGGACCAAGCTCTCTGAGGAATGCTTCCAGCACCTTGTTGAATCTATGCCACGAAGAATTGAGGCAGTTCTGAAGGCAAAAGGGGGTCCAACCCGTTACTAGCATGGTGTACCTAATAAAGTGGCCAGTGAGTGTATATACCATAGACCCATTAACCCCAACAAGCCTTCGTGCTATCTTACATCAGCTGAAAGGGGTTTTCTGGTTCTACCCAGAGTCAGACTGAGCTTTTGTAGTCCAGGCTCCTAAACTCCAGAATGACCCACCCTCAGTGATGCAGGCACTTCTCTAAATCCTAACACGTCACTTGTATGAACTATTATCTCTGTGAAAACAAAGAAATAGGTGTTTCACTTTTTAGTGTGTTTTATTTTATTAGTTTACAATTCCAAATGTTCGAACCCTTGAAGCACTTTGAATAGAAAAGTGTTATTTAAATGAGAGTGATAACTATGATGGTTAAAGATTCATCACAGGAAGCTGTAGGAGTATTGCAAAATCATGAGTTGACCTTCTGGGAAGAGCATGTTGACTTTTGCTTTGTTACCCAATCACTTTCTAATTGGTGTTTTCTGTAGAAGTAACCTCTGAGAATAACAGTGAGGGAAACCCCTCCCCCATCACCGAGGATGGTAACTATGGCAGAGTAGCTCGGCACAGGAAGTGGTCATCCCGCAGGCACATGGGCAGCACCAGGTCTCCCCATGGTATGTGCCTGCAGTCCTGTTTCTATCACCACAGCATGGTAACAAAAATGCCACCAGCAAATGGCATATGGCAAGACGTAGCTGTGGACACCTGCAAGTGCCTGTTTCTAAGTAATAATAGTTGTCATGATGCTTTCTGTTGAACAGCATGACTGCACTGCACTGATATAGCGGCCCCACTGTAAAGCCACACCCGGGTTCCAGGTTGAACGTTTTCACAGTTGCAGATGATTTATGATTGACTGTTCGGAGAATGCTTCACTCACTGCACTGAACTTAAGATGCCTGCTAAACCCCTCCCCTTTTTGGTACAACCACACCTACAACACTGGAAATAAGAGCAGTCGTGCATGGAATATTAAGAAACACTAGCGATTCAAACTAAGACTGACCACACATTCACTGCTGTCTTCTTTAAGAGTTTTTTTTTTGTTTGTTTTTTTATACTTTAAAGTTTCAAATAACAGCTGTTGGAAATGCAGTCCTCCCTGACGAGTGTTTCCTGGCGCAGCATTAACATTTAAACGACACCTTCTGTAGGCTGGGAGTAATGCATTTCACATCAGGCTTGTATTTTAAAGCCTCAAATCAAAGCTCTTGCACTACAGTATTACTCTAGAAGCCAACTTCTAGTTATGGACAAGCTGTTACAACAACTCTGCCACATGTGCTTTAAACTTCCTGCTGTGACAAGTGCTGGCAAGTTGTGGAAGTTACAGAATTTATTTTAAATTATATTTTGATTGTATATGCAGAAAAAAACATGAGCACTTTTGTGTCTGTCTGGATGCATGTATGAGTCTTGGGTGTTTTTGCTGTCGTGTCATACCTCTGAACCACATTCTGTCTGTGTACTGCACCATGGTTTGTCTTGCACCCCATTTGTCCTTCACTGCTTTGAAAACAGACCAACATGTTAGACTACATGTAGTGTGTATGCCTGCGCTACAGTGCAGAAAAAAACTACTTGAATAGTTCTCTGACCACAGTGTTTTTTTTTTACTCTGCATGCTGACGAGCACAAATAGATGTACAGGAACAACAAAATGAAATCCTTCTGTTGATTTCCTTAAAGCATGGTTAGATATATCACTAAGTTGTAAATGCACTTATTGAGATATAAGTTTCTGTCTGAGGTATTTTTCAGGTATTGCTTAGCACAATTAAAGGCTAGATGTTTACATAACACAAGAGAGAAAACAGTTTTATACAATAGGGCTTGGCGATAAACCGAAAATTTACTGATACCAAAATGTACGACAATAACTGACGTCATTTTTCCCATATCGGAATATTCGGTGTTAAAATAAATAAATAAATAAAAGTTAGTTTTGGGTGTGTGTAGGTAGACTATGGTCTTATGTCTCTTTAAGACTCTGTCCTGTGTCAGAGACAAGACTCCACCCCATCCAGTCCGTAACAAAGAGGGAAAGACAGGTGAGGAGATGGAGAACAGTTCAAAAGTTGTAGCTGAATCGGTGACTGAAGTAGACGAAGTTAATCAGCTCGTGGAGTAGTTATCATCCATTGATCGTTATTGAGGTGAACTGCTCAATATATTGTGATATTGATTTGAGGCCATATCGCCCAGCCCTATTATACCATGAAACAAAGTTCCTGCTTCATGTACAGGATCTGTATCTTTGCTTGCAACACTGCGGTAAGTAAAGCAGAGTGATGGATTATTTTGTCTTAAATGTTTTTAAAGATGGCTACAGGGACCGCGATCGACGCTCTCCCACGTACTATGATGAGTCAGAACCTGAGGAGTCCTTCCGGATCTTTGTGGCTCTCTTTGACTACGATCCTCTGTCCATGTCCCCCAACCCAGATGCAGCCGATGAGGAGCTGCCTTTCAAAGAGGGACAGATCATTAAGGTGGGAGTTACTTTGATGATGGACAACAAAAATTAAACACTACCACCTAACTTAGAAGCAGGAAGGTGATTTCAACCAAGTCCCCATCACTGTGTTTGTTTGGGCGGGAAAAAAAAGGTTGTTTAGAGTCCTAATTGTTATAACTTAGTCCTGCAAACCTGGAACAGACGCTTTAGAGCGGTCATCTCTTTTTGCCAAGAGAACCAAAAGACAAACAAAAGGGTGCATGGGTGCTGTCTTCATCATTGCTTATCTGCTCAAAGAGAACAGAAAAAAGTACCACAATCTTTGGTAAAATTTTTACAGAGACATCAAGTTAATTCAAAGGTGAAACTTAAAGGCTGAACTCTAAAAGACTAATCTTTTACCACCTTGTGTAACAGGTGTATGGTGATAAGGACACTGACGGCTTCTACAGAGGAGATATAAGAGGCAGGATGGGGCTCATACCCTGTAACATGGTGTCAGAGATCAGAGCTGAGGACGAGGAGACCTTGGACCAGCTCATGACACAGGGCTTCCTGCCACTCAGCACACCTGTGGACAGAATAGGTACTACACACAGTACATCTGAAAAGTATTACAACATTTCAATGTGTTACAGCCTTATTCCAAAATGGATTCAATTCATTTTTTTCACCTCAAGATTTGACGCACCATACCTCATAATGAAAGGTGAAAAAAGTTTGTTTGAAACCTTTTTTTAAATGTATTAAAAATAGTAAACTAAATATATCATGTCCATAAGTATTCACAGGTGCATCCCGTTTGTACTCGTTATGATTCAGATGTTTCCACAGCTTGATTGGAGTCCACCTGTAGTAAACTCAGCAGATTGTACGTGATCTGGAAGGCACACACCTGTCTTCTTAACGTTTGATGGTTCATTGTGCATGTCAGAGCGCATACCAAGTCATGAAGTCATGAAGGCAAAGGTCTAGGGAAGGGTACAGAAACATTTCTGCAGAATAGGAGAACCCGGCCAAAATAGCTGTACCAATCTTGTAGCATCATACTCAAGGCTGTAACTGCTGCCAAAGGTGCATCTACAAAGTACTGAGCAAACATTGTGAATACTTAGGTACATGTTATATATTTTTTTAATTTTTGATACATTTGCAAGTTTCAAACTAACTTTGTTAGGTATTGTGTTAAATTTTGAGGTAAATCATGAATTTAATCCATTTTGGAATAAGGCTATAACACTGTGTGCTGTGAATTCTTTCTGGCTGCTCACTTTTCTGGACAGAGAAAGATTTTGTGTTTGAACAATGTGGATGTCAAATGAAATGCTATTTCATTTGTTATTGCTTTCAGAGCAGAACAGAAGAGGACTCAGACGAGATCAAGCCTCGCGGAGGATGGTTGCTCTGTATGACTATGACCCCCGAGAGAGCTCTCCTAATGTTGATGTGGAGGTATCACTAACTACTAAGGACCTCTTGCTAAACAAACACATACTTGCAGAATCAAGGGAGTACTTGATCCCTGGATAACCATGGAACAGAATAAGGAAGTATCTGATTAAGTCATGATCTATCTGGACTGCATTGCTGTATATTCTCTTCTGTATCTCTGTCCCCTGATAGGCTGAGCTGACCTTCTGTGCTGGTGACATCATTGCTGTATTTGGAGACATTGATGAAGACGGATTTTATTATGTAAGTACAGCTCAGCCATGCCGCACAGTTTATCCCAATCAATCCATGGCCAGAGGAATGAAAATAAAATCAAAGTGTGAGATGTTCAAAGATTCACACTTTAAAGTCCCACTCCGGTTGATTTTGTTTTTTTATTAAACTATTTATCGTGTTCTCAGTGGTCTTTAAGTTGTGATTATGAAGTTTTTAGCTAAAATAGCGTTACTTGTGTCACTTCTAAGGGCTTTTCTTCTGCAGAGCTCCAGTAGCTCATTAGCAATTGGCCTCTGAGTCGTGGGTGGAGACAGCGCTGCTCTGCACACTCCTCTTCAAGTTAGCTTGCAACCTAACGTTGCCGGTGTAGTAGAAGATAGGAGCTTTTCAGCTCTCGGACACTAATGTCTTTAGGGACACAATGAAAGTTAATATTATGATTAGCTTCCTTACGAGCATTGCAATCCACTAATGCACACGTTTGTTCAACGATCATCCTCTCAATTTCTCTGAGTCTGGCCTGCATAGCGAGGCTCTGGGGGCGGAGCTTGGATTTGTGATGTAGGAAATCTCACTGAATCTGAACCTGCCGTTTGGGTTTGCCAGAGATTCACAGCGATTTGTGTGCAGAAATCCTCAGAAATGTAATTTTGCACATGTTTTTCTCATGGTGTTTTCCGTAGCATCAGAAAAATGCCATATGAACATGTAGACGACAAGAAAAACATGATTTTCATCAGAGTGGGTCTTTAACCATAATGAGCAAATAAATCAATAACAGCTGATTAAAGGGATCAGAAATAGGAAACTTCAAATTATTTGACATCTTTATCTATTCAACAAAAGGATCATTTGAACAGAAAATGTCTTAATACCATCCCTGTTTATCAAATGTGTTTCCTCAGCAGTCAGTCTCTTCTCCTTTACTCTGTCACGCTCATGTCTATCAACAGGGTGAGATCAATGGCCACCGTGGTCTGGTTCCCTCTAACTTCCTGGAAGAAGTGCCTGATGATGTGGAGGTGTATCTTACCGATACTCCAACCCACTACCCCCAGGAAGAGCCTGCCAACCGGCCCCCTGCCAACTCCTCCGCCACCGTCTCAGAGAGCAAACGGGTACATCATCATCGCCGCTCTCAGCGCTAGGCCCTGTGTTCATCCATCCTCCGTCCTCTCTCTTGATTTCCGTCTCTTGCTTCCTCCACCTGCCGTCTGTGTGCTGTTCATTGTGTGTGTTTGTCCATGTGGTGACAGTGGTGACTCTTTGCAAACTAACAACCCCCACCCCCTCTCCTCTCAACCTTCGGAAAAAAAGGGGACAAAAATCCAGTGTTTAACACCTTTCTGAGTCTCAGAGAAAGGAAGAAGCAAAGCCTGACATGGACAGAGAGAGGATAGACTGTGGGAGCTCTGCGGGTGATATTTGCATGTAGCACTGGTTAAAGAGGACTTGAAAAAGGCTCAACTCATTCCTTACACATGATAATTTGGTACCTCTTTGCACTGAATCTAAAAAAACCTGTTGTGGTTATTGTGTATAATATTAAGTGCTTTATAACACATAACAATTGCTACCCAATGACACTGAGAGAAAATATATGAAAAGAAAACTAAAAAAAAAAGAGCATGCCTTTTTCAAACTTGATACATTTTCTAAGAACTTTCTTGGCTCGACTGCTGTATTTCCTTGAAGAGGCTTTGTTTCTTTATGTATATTGCACACACATCAAATCTATTTTTCAGCCCTATTGTCAGTGGATATGCAACGTTTGCTCTGAGCTCGGGAGACTAAACTAATCGCAGCACTGATACTTCCATACTGTGTTGTTACAATGGAACAATAAAAGGAAAAATTGGATATTAAAAACGACCTTTTTGCGCCCTGTGTTCATGTGTGTTGGTGGTGTTGTTGACGTTGTTGTTGTTGTTTTCAGTTTTCATAGTGGTGTGGGTATTAGCGACAGGACCGATGCTGCCACATCTGATTTCTTTTTTGTTTTTCCTCACCCGCTTGGCAAAACAAAACAAACAAACAGAGGAAGATTGTTCATTTCACACCATAAATGGCTCTGTCTGCCTTGTACAGTAAGTCGGCAACTTGGGATACCAGGCTCACGGATTTAATGCAAACAGCTGGGTGTCACAGTAGACACGTTAGTGCCAGACTGTATCAGGAGCACACTTTGCAAATGTTCCTGTAATCCTCATCTTTCACCAGCCAAATCAGATTTATTGTACGCATTGTTTTAATTTGCGTCACTGTACACATTTTTTTAATCTCCTTGAACAATTTTTCAAGGAATTGGACTTGAGTTTGGATCAAACTTTACATTAAAATTCAAGTATCGTCTAAATGCTTAACCATGTGTCCTGCTGCTGCATTAGATGACAGCCTGGTTTCCACAGTTGTGTCCCTGGGTGTCGTTTTTGTATATGACTGTACTCTATGTTCCCTCCTGGCCTAACTGACTGCAGACTCCTTTTCTGACTGTGGTGTGCTGATGCCGTGCTCAACATATCCTGGCTTCCTCCTCCTCCTCAGTGTTTCTCCTACATATTAACTCTTTGTGTGTGCGTGTGTGTGTTTGTGATTACAAGTCCCATTTGTACTGTAAATTTAATACAAAATTTACCTGACAAACCAACACACGATTATTCAAAGATAAACTCAATGTGGACTACAATCAGGTTGACTCATTATGAGTACTCTCTAGGCCTCCGCTTTAATTTGAAATGATGGATAAAAAATCAGATTTATTTATTTTTGTTTAATTTAAAGTAGAAATGTTAAAATAATGTGTAGATGGATGAGAAGGTAGATAAACCTCAAACAGATTAGCAGGGTTACAGATAGAAAAATGACAAACTACAACAACAACAAATGGATGGAAACAAGTGATGAAATGCAGCATTATTTGTACCGCTAACTCCTTAAGAGGTCCTAAACTGACCCAAGCTGATATTAAGCAGGAGATCCTGAATTAGTCACCAGTCATGATAGAAACACAAGGACTTAAATCTAAACTGTGAATGTAGATAAAGTTATAAAAAAAATAGTTTAAATCCTTTATTTCCAAGGTTACATTTCCAAGAACCCAGAACAACAACTTCTTTGTTACAAAAAAGACATCAGTAAGTAACCTTAGCCCGTCTGTTATACACGTCTGTTTATTTACAACAATCAAGTGAAACGAGTCTACAGCTTCTTCTTCTTCTTCTCTAAAAACAGAGAAACACTAACAGATAACTGAAAGCCTCATCATCTGAATAACAGTAATGCTTCTTTTGTAATACACTGCCCCCTGCCTCCACACCTCCCCATCACCTCTCCCCTCAGGTCACCACAGAAACCACAGACACCGTCGACAATGACACCATCCCTGTCCGAGCACCATCCCCGATTGTCCGGCCCCTCCTCCCAGGCACCATGCGACCCCTGAGCCCCACCAGGGCCCCCCACTTGCCTCTGGACCCCCGTGACTCCCAAGATCTGGCAAACAAGAAGAAGAAGGGGCTGCTTTCCAAGGGGAAGAAGCTGCTGAAGAGACTCTCCCCTGTGAAATAAAAACAAGCAGCGTACATGTACAAAAATGTGCACATGCTGGGCTCTGTATATTGCATCCATACAATCAACTCTGATCCAACATCACGTGACAGAGAGGATGTGAGCTTGGTCTCCAGGACTGTGTGAGCCTGCTTGATTATAACCAGTGATACAAATATCCATGTTTGGTGATGGTACAAATCAGCTAAATTATGTACAGTGCAGTGCCAAAATCAAGAGAGAAACCTGCAGACACAAAAATTAATTACTGTGATGTATTTTCAATCAATGGATGGCATAGAAAAAAACTCAAAAACTAGGATTTTCATGACATTTTCTGTCTTTTACCATTACAGAGCTACACAAGGCAGCAGGGTAGCTGTGAACTCAAAGCATCGGGTAACATTTAAGGTTTTATATTATTACCAAATTTTTGTGGATTATTTTCAACATGATAAACTATACTGAAAAATCTCCAAAACTACACAGTAATGGAGGCATTCTGTGGCGTGTGCTATAGCTGCTAACACAAAGGCTTTATTCAGTGCAATATCAGAGAGAGGTAGTAGCATAATATGTGGTAAACCAGATTGGCATCAGGGCATTAAAATCCGAAACACCGGGTGAGTGAAGCTGTCTCAGTGGCCTTTTATGAAAACAAAACGAGCGTGACACTCCTCCTTTAATTTCCACTCGTTCTCTCTTTTTTTGTTTGTTTTTTTTGTTTCATGACTCGTTCATTGTCACTTTCAAAAAAAAAAAATCAAAAACAGTCGATCTGTTTGTTTTGTCCCGGCTGTCAAACTGTCATGAAACGCCTAGTTCAAGACTCAATTTTGTGTCTGTCTTCCTATTGCACAAAGATGGGTGTTTATCGTCTGACAGTTGGTAAGACTTGTTTTGCGTGCCTGTGCGAGTGAGTATGTGATGCAGTCATGCTTTGCACCTTTTATGTTTCTTGTTCACTTTCTTTTATTTGTTTTCTGAAGGAGAGGCCATGTAGTGATTGGTCCTGTAATGTAGTGATGTGCTGCTACCTCCATTGCCTGTGCACTGTTGAGTTCTGTTTCATGTTATTCTATTATAAAGGGTCATGTTAAAGCCTCACAGAAATTACAAAATGTCAAAGTGCATTGTTATCTGGTTCTGTTTCATCTATATACTGGGCTCTGTGGAGAACTTCATACATCACCGTAAAGAGTGGACTTCGACACATTTACATTTGAGAGGGAATCTGGAGCAGAAATGAAATGTTAATCCAATGATCCTGTATAATTGCAGCAAACACATTCAGAGCCTGAGAACACAGATTCTAATTAGTACTGCCAATACTCAGTTGTTGCTCCATTTACATTGTCAGCTCACAAAATAATGTTGTCTATGAAACAAACAAAACCTATTTGCATCATGACAATTCGATATTTTGGAGAAAAGAAAGTGTAATTACGTCCATAGAAGTGACTTAATTTCAGACTTTTTTTGACTTTTTTTTTTTTTGTTGTCAGCGTAAAACGATGAAAAAGTGTGTCCTGACTTTAAAACAGCAGAGTTTCATGTGATCAAGTGAATTATAATCAACATTTGATCTGATTTTTTTACCAGATTTGAATCCCTCACTCCTCAAATAAGGGATCATGTTTGGTAAATGGGTCGGTCTTGGGGGACAGTAATCTGCACAACCACCTGTTCATTATACATCATCCCACTTATTACCCAACAACTGAAAAAAAAATCAAACAGACAAATTTTGATCTAAGGAGGATTTCATTGATTTTAAAATGATCTATACTGCTATGTTTCTACAGTCAGTAATGTCTCCATAGCAACAGATGTTTTTCAGTCTTCTTGAGGGATTAATTAATTTTAACATGATCATTTTAGGTTTTGGTCAATTTTAGCCGTCATTCACATCAAACTGAGAGGTCATTGTTGAACTTGTGACTCTAGTTGTCTCTGGTGTTGATTTTGCTACTAAGAGTTAAGTACAAAGTATTATCCAAAATGACCCCAACATTAAGCAAATCCTTCACTTTTCAATTATGGTAATCAGAAATTTGGAATTTTAAATTAAACCTTTATTTTTTTAAAATCTCATCACATTTTTCGATGAGTTGAAAGACAACAGAGGGACACATTTATTTCAATCTCTGCTTATAGCTTTCAAGTGGACAGTGATGGTGCTACAAGATCATAGAAATAACATTTTAATTCTGAAATTCATTTTAAAGCATTTGACAACTAAAGAGAAGAATGGCCCACCCACAGTACTACTAATATTTGGTTTTCTGCTAAATGACTAAAAGTCTTTAATTGGTAACACAAGCGTATCTGTTTCTCATAAGTTTAACCGTTTTAAGAGTTTTCTCAGTTTAACTAAAAAGATAAAATTCCACTTTATTTAATGTCATTTCTCTTTGCCACTTTGCACTCGGGCAAAATAGCAGATCTGAATCCATCTTTTGAAACAGGGTTATCCTGCTGTTACATTTGACTATCATTGAACTGTAATGGCAGGAGAGGGTTTTTGCCTAAAGGGAATGTAAGAAAAGTTTGGCTTTCATTTCATTATTTTTTTGTTCCTCTCATTCAGTCTTAAATCCTGTAACACGGTGTCCCAAAACCAAATCATCCTCTCTCAAATGGGGTAGTGTCTCTAAACGCTGTAGCTCTTTTGTACTTGGATCCATTTGTAGATACTTTCTAAATGTTTCTACTTGATTTTACGACAGCCTTTTTGTTAGTGTACTGAGATTTCCTCCCCCCTGTAAAAGACTGCGAGCATTCTCCATAGTGTCCTTTTGAAATCAGATGTATCAGTCCACCGTATGTGCTTGCTTTGTGAATTCAAAGTCTGAAAAAAAGAGAAAAAAAGAAGATGAGAAATCATTGGACAGTATTTATGGTGATTAATTATGTGTGGGTGTGCATGTGAAAAAATACAACTTTTATAACCAAATTAAATTTGATATTTTTTAGAAATTTGCTGTGTCGAGTATTTTTGTCCATACTGTGCTGGATTGGACAGAAAAAAATAACCCTTTGATTTTAGATGTTTGGTAGGGGATATAGCAAATAGTAAGTCCTTATTGTTCCACTAAACCAACCACTATACTTTATCAGTGAGACAATAAATAACTAGCTGTCCTTAGCTCGCCTCTTAAGAGGTTTTGCTTAAACAGATCAATGTATCATCCCACCATTGTGATTTGCAAGCCTATATAATACATACAAAGGTCTATGTTGTTGGTTCCTGATATGCTAAGTGCCCCTTTAAGTGATACTCTACAAAAGATAGTCTATATATGGGACTGCAACAAACGATGGGTTCTAAAGCATACAACAAGCTAATGTTGAATAAAATGAATCTACAAGCTAAAATGTAGATCTGCACATTTAATGCTATAATTCAAATTGTATTATGGGATTTATCAGAAAAGTTAAGGTTAAACTTGTTGATTAGTTTATTTATTTAAGCTACACAAAGTGATCAAACAGGAAAACACTTCTGCGGGAAAAATGTACCATTAAGGTTGCTTTTAAAGGTGCTAAATCAAACAATGTTACAGCGAGAGATTCAAGGATGGATCGTGGTATGAAACAGATTCACGAGGATTTTTTTTTGTAACAAATTCCTCTGATGACTCCAATATTCCCTGCTATCTTACTTATAATGAAACTTCTATAATTTTTCCAGGTGAGCTTTTCATCAGTGACAGAATTTTTGTAAATTTGACCCTTTCTAAATTATTATTGTCAATATGTATTTTAGGACAATTAGTTATTTTACTCATAGTTTCTGGGTGTAAACATCAAATGAGCAGTTTTGTTTATATTGGGAGATAACTTATTTGCTAAAAACCAGGTACTGATTTTACCCATGTCAGTGTTCAACTCAGAAACCATTTTAAATTCTATTTTAACTAATTACTTGAGATTATTTCAGGTATAAGTCATTAATATACAACAGGAAAAGCAAAGATCCTAGAACTGAGCCTTGTGGCACCTCACAGGAAACCAATGTATAATTAGATGGATTATTGGTCCATACAATGCAGACTGCTGTGTATTTGATAAGTAGCTTCTGAACCATAACAGCTAAGTTGTATACAAACAATAAAGAGAAAGTTTCTACAGCGAAATATCACCTTAAACTGTTTTAGATGCCTTGGAAAAATCAACAAACCCCGAACAAACAAGTTTTGACCCAAACAAGGTCTCACAAAGATGGATAATGAGCAGACTTGGCAACACTGCTCTTTGGTTAGCGCTGACTGCACAACAACATTGTTTCCTAAGGCATGCAGTGCTATGTGGAAGGCATTGATAAAGGAACTGTTGAGCATAGAGACAAATGACACTGTTGGCCTGCATTCCTTTCCCCCAGTCAGGTTTACCACCAACTTTAAAATGCCTTAAAAACATACAGAAAGCTTGGCATGGAAGAGCTGGTGGTAAACTCATCAAGGTTTTCAGCAGTAGCACTGTATGGGACTAAAGTACAGTGGTTACTCAAAGCAGGCATGTTTTAACAAGGCCTGGCCATAACCAAATCAACTCACAATTACACACCGCAAAACTCTCAAAACAATGAGCTTAAATAGGAAAATCTAAAAGAACCAAAAACAGTAAGAGAAACAATAAACATTCATAATAACTCACACGCATCCACTTGTCATTTTGCCTTTTTATTTTCAGCTGAATCGACTGAGGGCTTGGACTGACCTCTTTTTGCTCTTTTTTATAAGCCATGTGATTATATAAATGGAGACTACAGAAGTCACTTTAGATTTGCTGGTGATTACATCACACATTCAACTCTGTAAGACTGAAAAGTCGTTCATTTTTGAGGAGCTTCAGACAGCAGAATTTCCCCAAGAAGCCTCAAAGCTCATACATGAGTGGCACTGATAGGATGACAGTGACGGATATCCTTTGTGAAAATTCTACCCATGACTTAACAAATCATATCAAATTGAATCATGCAAAATTCATCAGCCAACACCAACTGATTTCCATTTTTATCCAAACTTAATCATCTCTCACCATCAGCCAAGTGTTAGGCTGTCAATCTGCCTACAATATCACAACAAATCACAGCCTGCCCATCATTTTATCAGTGACTAAACACTGAGGGGATGGTGCCAATGTTGATCTCAGTTCATAAACAAAGCTGACTATCTGTAAAAAGTGGGTCCCCAATTAATAGAGTGTTTGACAGACATGGCTTCAGAGCAACAATAAACAGCAATGGCTGAATGAAAGTTGAAGGAGATCTTGGACTGGTTTCACAAAGATACTGGACCGTTAGGAACTTTTTGCTTGTGTTGAGTTTGGTGCCCTCTGTGGACAAAGTGATACCTCTTATCTCTTGCTCTGTACTCTTGGTTTTACTCAGTTCAGTGTTCATTTCAGAAACCATTTTGTTTCTACTTTCCTTACATAGAAAAATATTGTAATAATTAACCAACAACTTAAATTACATGAGATTATTTCAGGTATGAGTCATTAACCTAACCTGATCCTTTCTGTCTTCAAACAGTGAAGTGTTTCACTCACTGCGAGTAATTGCCATGAAAAAAAGCCTGAATCAATCATCTGGTCTGACTCCTACCCCCTCCTTGCTATTTCAAGCATTAAAAATATAACAGAAAAATGATCACACTTGTTTCTAATGGTCATAATTACTTTTAAGAAGGAGAACTTTATTGATCCCCAAAGGAAAATTTAATTGGTCATAAAGAGGCATCGATATAAGAGTGTTTCTGAACCAGTTAAAAACAGGTTCAGAAACAGTGCCTCTAAAGAAAAATATGCTTTACAGTTATGATGATAAAGTCTTCATGTGACAAGAATCAAGTTGCATTGTTATGAGAAACAAGTTATGATAAAACCATGATCTTTCAAGAATAAAGTCCTATTACAGTCATATTCTCACAAAAATAAAGTTGTAGTAGAGTCATGATAACACAACAGTTAGACCCTGCAGGAATCTGCGGGGTCCATTGTCTGTATGGTCTTGTACATCAGCATTTAGCATCGCCGTAGCTACTTGGCTTTGCCAAGACTGCGCATGCTTGTATCTCAGCCAATCGGTGGAGATTACCTGGATCAACCCCTCGTCTAAGAGCCTCCCATTGGCAGAATAAAAGGACTACGTTCAAATGTGAATTGATTAATCCAATCGCTGTATAGATGGGCAGGTACAGACAGTGAGCTTTGGGCTATGATTGGCCAGACTGAAATGTCTGTCAGCTCGATTGGCATTTTTGTGGTTCAATCAGAAGGAAATGTTTGTTGCGTTAGCTTGTGGGGAACTTTATAGGAAAAAAGACTGAAAACAAAGTTTACCGGCGAATCTCGCCGCGGAAAACTGACGAAAATGAATTACTCTTTCTTTCTTCTGTTCCTGTGGAAACTTTACCTGCTAACCATTGTGAAACTAGAGGGGTATATGTACATCGTAGTGAGGTAAGACTGTTCTCATTTGAAAGAGGAGGATGTCCTGATGTGTTTTAATATATGATAGTGGGGTGGAGTTACCTGACGGCTTCTTTAGTTTCCTCTTTTCTACTGGAGTCACTCCTGTTCGCAGCGCGTTTAAAACGTGTAAAAGTGTTTAAAATCTTTAAAAAATTATCACTGTAGGTCAGTGAACATTTTAGACATGCTCTAACCCCCCCTGTAGCAAAATCAGAGAAAAATCTGTTGTTTCATCTCATCCATGTGAGAGGGAGAGGCTCATGCCACGGTCTTACCCGCACATGTGCGGGACACCGGGCCCAAGTGATTAAAACAATTACATCACAACAGCAAACCTTTTCTCTTTCCTCAGCAGACAAGATTTTAGTGGCGATTGTGGTTGTGATCGTTTTCTGTCGTTTTAAAATTACGTCCTCAGGAGTTGCATTTTTTCCTCTTCAAATAAGAGCTGCCACCTAGCGGACAGGATGAAAACCACTACATGTAAAATATATTCTGCACCTCGCCTTGTATTCCGCGGACTACTTTAATTTCCACGGAGGACTTTGAAATCTGCGATAATTTTCCTGGAGGGTCTAAAGAATACTTTTTCTTGTCACAATGTTATGAGAAAAAAGTTGTGATGAAGTTGTAGCTGTGGTTGATGGTGATCAGCCAGCTGCCTGATTCAAATGAGGAACATGGAGCTTCTAGTTAAATTGTACTTTATTCTGCACCAAAACAACTTTACTTTCGAATCTTACTGTTTTTTTTTTTTTTTTTTGAGTCATTAAAGAGTGAAGCAATGTTGCTCTGTTGTGCTGCTTCATAAAGTAACAATATCTATACCTGTATGTGTTTATATTGGTATTTGAAGTGCCTTCAATTGCTGGAGAGAGAAAGAGTGAGTATATGTTATCCATTCATGTGTGTGCCAACCCTGCATGAGTCAGCACTGAAAGATGAACATTAAATGAGCTAAAATGAGTCAGAACAGCCAGGATTCAAAAGTGCTTTAGGTTGATAACCCTGGAGTGGAACATAAATGAGAGATCAATTAATGACTCATTAACATGGATGAACAACATGTTCAGAAATAGTATTTCTTCAGCATCATGTTTATGGCTTTTCTTCATATCAGTCTCATACTTGTAGGGGTATCTGTTTACCTGCTGTTACTCTGCAGTCCTCAGGAGGGCAGCAGTGCTTTGCAGTTTCACATTGTGACAGCATTGTAGTGAAAAGACTGCAGTGTCACAGTGCCCAGGGTAATACACGAGGTGAGCAAACCCAGGTGTCATCCATCTATTTAATTGTCTGATTAAACATTTGCTGACTTTAGCACAGTAACCGTAATTACACAGACACCAAATTCTCATCATAAAAAGTCTATATACGGCTGAAGTTGAGAAAAAGTCCTCCACTGTCCTCTTCCCTTTTATACCCTCCTCTTCATGCATATTTGTTTTTAGTACTTGCTTAAATCTGACATTAACTCGGGCAGAAAAAGAACCTCAAAC